TTGCTGCTTAAGTTCTAGATGCCTTGCTTTATGAAAATAAATCAAGCTCCGAAGAGTGCTTGACAAAGTTTACTTCTGCATGGTTCATGCTGTTAATCCACTCGTGGTTTTCAAAGTTGGGGTTCCAAAAGAATTTGAGTGGGCAGAACTGAGATGTTGGGGGTGGAATCCCACAAAGGAGTAAAGAAAGGGACTCGTGAATGCACACAAGCTATCCACTCTTGCTTGATGTTGGTTGCTCTTCGGGGCTGTCCATAGCAACTTTTCTAAAGCAGGATTTCTCAGCTGAGATTCAGAAGCCCATCCCTCTCAAGCCGAGATTTTTTAAAAAATTTCAGTTTGACAACTTTCTCCTCAACGAGGGTAAATAATAGGCAATCCATAGCATTAGAATTAATTTATTGACATAATCAAAATGTGTTTGTTGGGGTTTGGGGTTATTAGGAACTACAGAAAATTCACCGCCTGCCCTGGGCCGCTGATGTGTGGATTAAACCAGAGGTCCCCAACCCCTGCTCTGTGCCCGGTACCGGTCCACACAAACAAGCAAAGCCCCATCCATGGGATGCAGGCAGCACACAAAACCACACACTCTCCGGTCCATGGAAAAACCTTTCTTCCAGGAACCGGTCCCTGATGCCATAAATGTTGGGGACCTCTGGATTAAACCACTGGAACCAACAGCGCATCCTGGATTGTTTTAGGCTAACTGGAACCTTGGCATCCTGCACAAAGCTCCTGACAACTTGCCATGTACGCCCGTAAACCTCGAGAAATAAAGCATGAGGATTTTGCAGCAGCTTAACGTGTGGTAGGGAGAAGTATTTTAACCACCTGGAGCACAATTTTTTTTTGAATTGGTGGATTGCTTGCAGATTGACCCTTCCTCGTCTTTCCCACTCCTGCCAACCAACCCCTCCCCACCAGGTAAAATAAATGTGTTGCTACTCACCAAGTAAGTATGTACTGCATGTGCTCGTTTCGTAAAGTTACTCGGGTCTGGCCACCAATTGGCCCCCCAGGAACGGAGCTTCCTGGGGTTATAGAGAGAATCAGAGTTGGATTCAGTAAGATTTCATTTGGGTCGATCGCCCATTCAGTTCAGTAAACTTAGATCCATCCCATCAAGGCTCTCTTAAATCTTGCTTCAAGGAATTAGATTTCCCCAAGCCTCTGCCCTTGAGATTTGTGGAATTTGAAGTCTCAAAGTTGGGCTTTTCTATTAAGACCACCACCCTGCCATTAAGACTATTGACATGTCTTCCCAAGGGGAGCGCTTGTCGATTGCTTCCCATTCATTTACACCTTGAAGCAGTTTTAAGCTTTAACAAATCTTGAAACACTCCATTTAGTACTAAATTAACCAAGATAAGTACACAGATTCCATGTGAGGGTTTCCTGGTCATTAATCCATAATGTCACCGCTACATGTCAGCATTCCAGGGTTGAATTTCATCAAGATCTACTAGGCAAGCTGGGTGACAAATTCCGTCACCCAGAGGGGGGGGGGAGGGGAAGCAATGTTTAGGGAACTTACTATAATCTGCATCAATAAAAATCGGTTCCGCTCCAGTGACTTTGGCCATGGTGTCCAAATCTCGGTAAAACCAAGTGTTTTTTTCAATGTTGTTTTCCGCCACAAAAGGCCTCCGAGGTTCTGACAGCCTCACCAGCCCGGTGAGTTCAATATCCCCTTGGATCTAAAAAAAAAAAAAAGAAGAATCATCCAACTGTAATTTGTCTTCTTCAAAACGTGACTAGCTAAATCCAAAACAAATCTAGAAAGGAATAAAACCGTTTCGAAACATAGGATCAATCATTTCGGTTATAGGACCTATTGTTTGGTGCAGAATTTTCATTTTATGCCTTAAGGCAGGGGGTCTTCAAACTTGGCCCTTTTATGACTGGTGGACTTCCAACTCCCAGCATTCCTCAGCTGGCGGCATACCTGTCCCTTTAATCTGGTCTCTGGATTCATCTTCTTTCTGGGAACAAATCCTCTGTTGACTAGGATTGTTATCCTGCAGGGTTTTTTTTAAAAAAAAATAAAAATAAAAGGTACTTAGTGGGAACTTCCGCCCAGTTAATTCTCAGGGTAAGTGAGTGCAAGACTGCATTTTATTTATTTAAAATCTTAATCTAGCCCCCTAGCTCCCAACCAACGCTAGGCAGCTCCTTAAGCCTGATAGCTGATGATATATACACACCCAAGGTCAGTGCAATAAAAGGGAGTGATCACGTGGGCTCCGCTCTCTACGTTGGACATGATACGCCCTGCATTCCTGGCTTCTTTCTCAGCATCTACTGGGGAGCGTGGGAGTACATACAGCTCTTTGGTGTGATCAAAATGACCTCTGACCTTGACTGGCACGTATTCCATTTTGTTCAGTTCATAGAGGCTGTAGAAAAAGAGCAAGATAGGAAGGAAAATCTGGGTTATAGCTTAGACAGCAGAAGCCCGTTGAGAAAAAAAATCCTGCCGGTTAATATCATCATTTATGATTGAGAGGAGGGGAGAACAGACAAAACGTAACTGCCTGTAACAGTAAAGAAAGAGGCAACAGCCTCAACTTGCTATAAAGAAAACTTAAGCAAGCTGGCTGCTGAATATACATATATCTTTTTAAATACCCCCAAAATTGTAATTTCCTACTACTTTTTGTCCTCATATGACATGGTCTCAGCCAATTAGCAACTGGAACAATTATGCCAGCCAGGGCTACAGTTCTCATAAAACTAGCAACAAAAAATAGTTTGGAGTGAAATGAGGCAAGCCAAATTCTGGAAGGTGAACTTGCAAAAATGTGAGCATGTAGGGAAGCTCTGCCCTGGCAGCCATTTTATGGTTATTGATGTAGTACATTTTGCAAAGAGGCTCAAGTTACTCCAAACTCAGCAACTTTAAGACTTATGGACTTCAAGCTCCCAGGATTTCTTCAGCCAGCCATGCTGAGGGAATTCTGGGAGCTGAAGTGCACAAGAATTTGTTTTCTAGAGGTCTGAAGGAAGTAGAGTGTATTCTGGGCAGGAAAAAGGAGCAGCAGTTTTTCTTTCTGATGAAAATAAATAAAAGCTTTTGTGGGTCTTCTCACCACAATCAAAGTGGAGGTGCCCATTTGATGTTCTCAGTGATATTCTAATTCTCTTTACCATTCCCAAAATACACTTACTCTGTTGGCAGTGGAACTGGTTCGGCAAAAATTCTGCTTTCCAGCTCGGCAATCAGCCTTAGCTTCCATTCCCGCCGCTGAATCTGACACAAAGCACAAAAAGTCGGACTTTCGTTCCATTGTGAAGGGGGAGAAATGCATCTCCATCTACAGAATTCCTCACTCACAACAGCCTGAAGTATCTACCCAGCACAGTAACAAGCTTTTAAAATTCGTTCTTCTGAATGCATTAGAATAATAAGAGTAACATTTGAAAGAAATAAGGTACACACTTAAAGAGGCTTGCTCCACAAAAGCTACCCTGAGCAATGATTAACGGATAGGCATTTCTTTAAAGAAAGATTTTTCTGTCCAGTAATTGAAAACCAGAAGATTTAGCACACTGAACAAATCTTTTACTTTACAAGTAGTCCTACACTTACCACCACAACTGAGCCCAACATTTCTGTTGCAAAATGAGACAGTTGTTAAATGAGCTTGATTTATACCACGCAATAGCTTGATTTATACCACACAAAAGGGTAAGGAAACATGAGAATAAGGTATACTAAGCTCCCCAAAAATGTATCCAGACCTCAGTTTAAAAGGTCCAAAGAGCCAGCCTTCACTTCAACAGTGTTTACCTGCCAAGATCCAAGGAAAAATGAACCTATTGGGATGAGCAGAAGTCCCCATTTTAGTATGTTTTCTTCTGTGGAGTGGGCAGTAGCAGTTGAGGCAAAGTTTCTTGTTGGACAAAGCCTCCAGCAAATCTCTGAGGGGAAAAAAAGAGGAAAAAAAATAGTATTAGTGGCAAAGCTATTCATAAAAACTCGGAGGTGGCATCCAGTTTATTTCTCAAATGTTCTTTTTTTTAAACATAGGGTTTTTTTTCTAAAACAAAACACCAGGTTATTTCACACGGGCTCAACTCACTCGGGGGCTGCTGTAAGGCGTCTTTCCGACAGCAGCGGGCAAAGGACCTCCTTCCATCATCCAGGCAGGAAAACTGAAGGAAAAGAGTAGAAGTTGAAGGAAGAATGGGAAAAGAAATGCCAAAGCCAATACATTCCAATTTATTCCACACACTGACAGTGAACTTCAACCCAGCCCCTCAACTCATTGAGAAGAGGCCCTAGCTAGCCTACCTCGCAGGGCTGTTAAGAGAGCCAAGCTCAGACCTTCCAGCTGCTGGGCACTCCCAATGCCCACAGGCTTTCAAAGGACCCTTGCCCTCCAATTGTTTGGAACTCCAATGCCCATAACTCCGCACCAGGGTCTTTCCAAAGAAATATGCCACTGAAACCCGCCTCCCCTGATATAGTTGGCACTCCAATGCCCATAACTCCCCACCGGGGCCTTTCCAACGACCCATGCCACTGAAACCTCCCTCCCCCTATATATTTGGAACTCCAATGCCCATAATTCCGCACCAGGGTCTTTCCAAAGACATATGCCACTGAAACCCGCCTCCCCTGATATAGTTGGCACTCCAATGCCCATAACTCCTCACCGGGGCCTTTCCAACGACCCATGCGACTGAAACCCTCCCCTTCCCTGGTATATTTGGCACTCCAATGCCCATAACCCCCCACGGGGGCCTCCCGAACAGCCCCAGCCCCACCGAGCTCAAAGCGGCTGCCGGGCAAGGTCAAACGGCCTCACCGCAGCCAACGGACGAGGCTCGACCTGCCGGGCAGCCGCCTGCGAGGGGCGGCTATTATTATTATATTATTACGGCCGCCGCGGCGTCGTTTCCCTCACCCGAAGCCTCCGGAAAGCGCCCCGGAATGCCTCGTCGCTTAGTAACCGCCGCCAGGCCGCCATATTGCCTGGTTAGAGGGTCAACGGGTGAGGACTTCCGGCTCGCGCCGCCGCGACTTCCGGTGCGGAAGCATGGCGGAAGCGCCGCGCGGGCAGGGAGAAGCCGGGACTGGCTCCTCCGAGCTGGAACAGTTCCTGCAGCGGCACCCGAGCTTGCGCGTCCTCCCTCCGGGGAAAAAGGTGATCGGCGCTCGCCGGTGCGGCGCTACGGAGTTCGGGGAGGCTGGGCGGGTTGGATGGGAGACCACGCGGAGATCTCCAGGGAGGCGGGGAGGTTTGGTCCAAGCTGGGGACCAGTTAGATTAGAACAATTAATCAGTGGAACAACCTGCCTCCAAAAGCGGTGAATGCGCCAACGATTTTAAGAAGAGACTGGACAGCCATTTGGCTGAAATGGTATAGGGTTTCCTGCCTGAGAAGGGGGTTGGACTAGATGATCTCTAAGGTCCCTTACTTTATTATTATTATTGTTATTACTTCCGTTTGAATCAGGCAGGCTGATCTTGAGGGCAGGGTGGCTTGGCGGCACCTGCCCTGCCTTGTCCGGTTTCGGAAGCTGGAAACAGTTTGGTGGAGGGGAGACCACTGGGAAATCCCTGCTGCCCAAGCTGGGAAGTTGCATGCGAATTGGTCTTGGCTTAACGAGGCAGCTCTGGTGGAGAGGATGGCTTGGCGACACCTGCCCTGCCTTGTCCAGCCTCCAAAGCTCAAAACAGCTGGGCTGATGGACGGGAGACCACTCGGAAATCCCACCAGGTTGCACCAAAGTGGAAAATTCAGTTTGAACTGGTCTTGGCTTAGGCAGCCTGCTCTTGAGAGTGTATTGGCTTGGCAGTACCTGGCCTGCCTCAGCTGGTCTCCAAAGCTCAAGAAGTCCGGGCCGATGGACACCTGGATGGGCCACCACTCAGAAATCCCAGGAACGACAGAGCTCCATTCGAATCGGTCTTTGTTCACCCTGCCTTTCTCCTCCAGGTCCGCTGCACGTTAACCGGTCACGAGCTGCCTTGCCGATTGCCTGAGCTGCAGGCTTTTACAGCTGGGAAGAAATACCTGCGTTTGAGCAAGGCCCCAGGTGTCTTGGACTACAGCGAGTACGAACCGCACATTGTGCCCAGCACCAAAAACCTGTACGTGCAGTTCACAAATGGTGTCCCAGCAGCAGGGGAAATGGCTGAGTTTGTGCATTATGCTCGACCGTGGTTAGCACAGACTGAGGTTTCTGCAGTAGGCAGCCTGGGATGGGTTGATTTCAAATTGAGCAAGCCATGGAACAAGTTAGTGGGATGGATTGATGGCAGAATTTGATGGGCGGTTTGTTTAGCTGCGGTGTAGCACAATGTGCAGACCTGCTCAGTGGAGGGATCCCGTTTCCTCCTTCCCCTTTAATTACACACCACAAATAGCATCCTGGGATCATAACTTGCAAAAATCCCAGCCAGATTAGAAGGTTATGTGGACGAATGATCATGTCTGTATAGTATTCATTTAATATTTAGTCTTTTTCATAGGTAAAAATTTTTCTTTCCTTCCTTTCTCTTTCTTTCCTTCTTTTTTTTTCTTTCTTTCTCCTAGGAATCAACTTTTCTGCAAACTGACCCTGCGTCACCTCAATAAGATCCCGGAGCACGTTCTCCGTCATGTCCAAGGCCGGCGTTACCAGAAAGCGCTTCGACGATGTGAGTTGGCAGTAGAGTGTTGTTTCTTTTTTTCATCCCGACACCAGCGTCTTTTCTTAAACGGTTCCTTCCTTTCCTCTGCTTCGTCAACTCATCCCAGGAGGTGGTTAGATCACGTGCTCCAATCCTTGATGTTTCCAAAGGCAGAGGGGAAGAAAAAATTCCTCCAAGGGGAGAGAAGCAGGCAAGGGGTGCTGGGTATGGCAGGATAGACTGCCCCAGACGCACAGGTTCTACTTAGCACTGATGGCTTGGAAAGGTGGAATGGAAAGGGCCTGAAATCTCTGATTGGATCCTTTTCTCTCTCCTTTTTACAGATGAAGAATGTCAGAAAGAGGGGCTGGACTACGTCCCGGCTTGCCTCTTGCAGAGACGCCGACGGCCACGGCAAGACACGGGCAACGGCTTTTGCGAAGGGAAGGGAAAGCCGAGAGGGGGATTCTGGGAACCTCCCGCCAGTGATGAAGGGGGCAATGAAACCGAGGACAGCCTGAGTGACTTGTACCCGAGTAAGTGAACTAGAAGGCCAAAAGAACATCTGGATGCGAGCTATGACTTAGCAGGTCCTGGCTTTGCTGTTTTCTTCTGCCCACCCCATTCTGTTTCCTTGTCTGTTGTGTGCTTAAGGAAAACTCATCACCGACATTCCTAAGGGAGAGCCTTGTTCACTAAAGTTAGAAATGTTTTGCACAATGAACTAGGAAAAGAAATTCCAGCCTGTTTTATGCACATCCCTTCTTGTCTTGGGTGGAGATCTTATGCTTCCCGCTGCCATCTTTGTATATTATATTCCCGTTGACTGATAAATGTTTAACTGTAACTAGGATGAATGTTATTACTGTTTTTATCTTTTCAATGTTTCTGGTTTTAATGTTTTCTAAGCCGCCCAGACGAGAAGGGCAGCACAGATAAATCCAATTAATAAATAAAAAATATTTTAACTCTGTTACCAGGAATGGGAACTTATTTGTTAACACTGCTGTTTTCCAAAACCATAACTTTTATGCCACTAGGGCTGGTTTCTGGAGGCAGAATTTAGCTGCTGGTGTTGATTTTAAGGGATTTTTTTTTAAGGTTTACATTTAATGTTCAATGTTTAAACATTTAATATTTAATGCTTATTTTCAAAGCTGAACTGTTCCCAGAAAAAAATGCTGCAGGCAAAGAGACCCCCCACGAAAGTATGAGCGACAGTGACGAAGAGCCCCTGAGGCCGGTGGTGGAAAATGGCAGCCAGGTTGAAGCGGTTGATTCTCAGACAGCCACGAAAAGGAGAAAGGTAAATCCGGACAATTTTGACGTTTGTGGTTGTGTTCATGCTCATCTTTTGCTAGGTTGGGTTAAGACTTAGGAGTTGCCCGTGCTAAGCTTGATTCTTTTTAAGCTCTGCTTAAGCATCTGTTTCTGGCCCGTGAGGGATTTGGGGATAGTCCCAGTCCTTCCCACCGTTAATGCTATTTATATAGTAAAAGTGATCGCTGTTTTCCAATTCTTCACTCCTTCGTTCTTATACAGACAAGGCACTGTTTGCTGTTGACACGATCCAGGATTTGCAGGATTTAAATAACCTTTCTTATATTCCCAGGAATGCTCAGGTTAAATAGACGGTAATATTTTTAGTAGTAAGATAATTCTGGAACAGAAGGCCAGACATTCCTCTGGTTTCCTTTTAAAAATCAGCTGAGCGGGGACAGCATATAATTCTAAACATCCTGAGGACTTTTCCTCAGCAACATAGAAAACTAGACTTGGACTGCCAGTTAGTTAAGTTTTTGCCCCATCCTCATGAGGCCTAGAAACTCCTTTAAAGAACAATTTCTTTACAAGTTTCCACTTACTGTCTGCCTTTCTCCCCCCCCCCCTCTTGTCGATCCAGAAACAAGTCAGCCCTCAAAAGAAGAAATTCAAAAAGTGGAACAGAAAATCTAAAAAGCTTCGGAAGAGCCATTAACAGGAACTCAAGTCTTTCTGATGGGTCAAGCTCCAGTTTGTCTGTGCGGCGAGAAGACTATCATTAGAACTCAAGCATGTTGCATTTTATTTAAGCGTGGTCCTTTTTGGGGGGGGGGTGTAAAATTGTATACATGTCATTGTTCTTCGTTTATATAAAGTTGTTCCAACTCTACTGCGTTCCTGAATTCTTCACTTCGACAGTCAAGGGCAAAATTGCCACAAGGAAATCCGTTTTGTCAGAACCCCAAATTTTTATTCAATTGTTAATTCTGTTCGCCTCTAGGCAGCGAATAATTACAGATAAAGGCCAAACAATACTTGTTTTTCTAAGATATTTCTTAGAAAGAGGGAGGGGGGAACATTGCTCCTTTAAAAATTGTGATAAACAAGAGCCCACCTTAATAAAAACCAAGCAACTGCCTGGTTTCTAAGCTAAAAGTTGTGTGTTTGTCCTTGAACTTGGAAAAGGCGCCACAAAATATTTTTCAGTTTTAAAGTCCCAACTCTGCCTTCCAGCACAATCAGATTAGAGGTTTGAAAACTTTTGTGCAGTATAAAATATTTGGAGCAGTGAAAGGTCACTATGCCGAGCAGCTGATACCAGGGAACGCTGAAGCAGGAGATAAATTATAGACAGTCCTCAACTTACGACAATTGGTGAGACAGTTAAGCAGTTAAGACAGTTGCCCCATCTTACGACATTTCTTGCCAGTGTTGTTAACGGCCGTTGTTAAATTAGTCACACGGTTAGGTGAATCTTGACTTTGCTAGTCAGAAAGTCACAAAGGGATCACGTGCCCCCTTCCCCCCCCCAGGACGCTGCAATCGTCATAAATGTGAGTCAGTTGTCAAACATCCGAATTTCGATCACGGGACCACGGGGATGCAGCTAAGGTTGTAAGTGTGAAAAATGGTCATAAGTCCCTTGTTTCAGGGTAACTTTGAACAGCCACGAAGTGAACCGTTGTAAGTTGAGGACTTCCTGTAGTTCCATTTCTGGCTAACACAGTTGAAGCAAGATGAAGCATCCAATTGACTCTGAAAGTAATTTTGATGTCTGCTCAGGGGAGCCATCGGTGGCAGCTCACTTTGCAAAGATCTTGTTCAGAATCAAATTCACAGCTTTGAAATACAGCTTGACTCACATTTATGACGGTGGCAGTGTCTCGGGGTTGTGTGATCTCCTTTTGCGACCCGACAAGCAATGGAGAAGCCAAATTCACTTAACCCCCACATTACTAACTTCACAACTGCAGTGATTCATTTAACAACTATGGTGAGGAAGGGCATAAAACGGGGCAAAATTCATGTAAACTGTCTCGCTTAATGACAAATTTGGGGGCTGGGTTGTGGACGTAAGTTGAGGATTACGATACATTTGTTGCAGGAAATATTCCCCGAGTTAAAAGTTGGCTGGAGAGACCCTGATTTTGCTCCGACGTGTCACAGAATGAGTATTTTCCAGCGCTGCAATAATGTAAAAAAATTCTCTTTTAACTCTTTCGGCCTAACCGTTAAGATTTATAACTTGGATGGTCTGTTCTCCATCTGGGATGTGATTTCATTTAATTAACAACTTGAGCGTCGACAAAAAAAAAAAAAAAAAACAACCCAAAAATACAAGATGGAACACCCATCACACTGAAAAGTACACAGCAAGGTTATCGGATCACAGCAGTTTTAAATTTAAGAAACAAAAATGGAAAAAACAGTTGTCAAAAAAAATTCAATTGGCAGACTCGGCCGCTTCTTCGTTCCAATTATTTTTTTTTTATCCAGGAGATTATACCAAAAAAAAAAAAAAAAAATGCGAGAAAGATAAAAGTTCTCGAATGAAGAAGCACCTGGCAACGGGAATCAGATTATCGGCGCAGTCGTGAACTAAAACAACTTTAAAAAAAAAGAAAAGAAAAAAGAGATTGTGCCTTTAAAAAGGGGGAAAGAAGCACCTTTGCCAATGCTTGCCCATGCTTGTAAATGTTTGGTTTTGAATTCCCAAAACTGTCGAGTCGGTTCCCGGATGCCGAGACGCTGTGTTCCTTTTTTTTTGTTTGTTTTGTTTTTCCCCTCCATTCCTCCGTTCTTCTCTACCACTCCTTCTTCTTCTCGTCCATGGAGACGCCGCCGGGGCCCAGGGCCACCACGAGAAGCAGGCCTCCGATGACCGACATGGTTTGGAAAAAGTCGTACTTGAGAAAATCGTGCATAGGCTTGTAGCCGGGGACAGTCCAGAAAGCGTTGAAATACAGGTTGATGGCAAAGAGCCAGATGACCAAAGTCAAGGCCGCTAGCTTGGTTTTGAACCCGATGGCCACCAGGATGATCAGCGCTGTGCCCACCATGTTCTGCAGGATCTGCGGCAACCGGGAAGAACAGACCATGAATGAGAGCTAGGTAGAAATGGACACTGAGCTAAACCCCCCCAAATCCCCCCACTTAGCAACAGAAATTTAGAGACTCAATTGCAGTCGTAAGACGAGGACTGCCTGTGTGTTTTGACGCTTAGTCCAAATACATCCCATAAAAGGAGCACCTGAAATTCAGATTTAATACCGTCTTAAATCTATAAATGCATCTATCCATCTCTCTGTCAATTGAATAAACACATTTCTGTTCAATTTTAACATCGAAGGCTTTAACACCAACAGGCGTTTGGGATGTTGCGAGCCACCCAAAGTTACCATTTTAGAATTATAAATTAGAATTATAGAATTATAATAATCATAAAACCGAGGTCATGTGACTGTGGAACCCTGTAAATGGCCCAAGCACAGTCATATGACCATGCAGGGGACGTCTGTCGGAACTCCGGAACCAGGTGATCCCTTTCAAAGGAGGGGGGAGTCTGTCGTAACTTCAAACAGTTGCTAAGCAACAAGTCCTAATTTGAGGACTCCTTGCATCTTGTGGAATGCCTGACCTGATGCAGCGAGACAGGAGCCCAGGAAGTATATATCTTCCAATTACTTTAGGCACTTACCGAAAAGAAGCTAACATCTAAATGCAGGAGGGTCATAAACATGAGGACTAGAAGCACTCGTCCCCCCAGCTGCATGTATTGCTTCGGGGAGCTTTCCCGCATGGTGGGTACTCCGGCAAACATGCTTTTTCCTTCTGACCGAGACTCTGCCAGCAACAGCAGCAAACCCCCTCCCAGAGCAAGATTTCTGCAGGGAGAGAGAGAGAAGAGACACCCCCCCCCCAAAAAAATCGTAATATTTGGCATAACCAAACTTGCAAAATCTTTTCACCCGCGTCAACAGAGGTGGAAATATTTCCAGACCACATCCTTCTGAGGGTTCCCTGTCTCCATTTCTAAAGGACTGTAAATTTGACAGGCAAGGCAGTTAAATTAAAGAGCCCATTTTGTCTAAGTGTTAAGGCACCAGGCTGGAAACTGGGTGACGGTGAGTTCTAGTCTTGCTTTATCCATGGAAGCCAGCTGGGTGACTTTGGGCCGAACACCAAGAGTCAGGGAATTCTAGTCCTGCCTTAGGCATGAAAGCTGGCTGGCTGGCTGACTTTGGGCCAATCACCAAGAGACGGTGAGTTCTAGTTCCATCTCAGGCGCGAAAGCAGCTAGGTGTCTTTGGGCCAATCGCCAGGAGATTGGGAGTTCTAGTCCCGAATTTTTATTTTACTTTTTTGGGACAGGGTGCTACAAGATCAGTTCGCAAGGGGTTCTAAACTCGGTTAGAATAAGTGTGTGAAGCAACGCAAAGAGAGACATACCTCATCAAAAACTTCAAGTCCCATAAAATGCTGTATGCAATTGTCTAGAAGGGGGGAGAGAGAAAAAATAGACAGACGATGAAAACCTGGAATATATTCACCTATCTGCTCAGAGCCACTTCAATCCCATTTTCCGAGACAGGTTTTGGAAAGGAGAAATGGGCGCGCTTTCTCACCTGTAATGCAATAATTCCAAATAATCCAAAGCAGGCGTATTGGACAAAATTCCTGCTCAGCACCAGAATGCAACCGCCTAGAAGAAGAAGAAGAAAAATGTAAGAATGCAGGTAGTCCTCAGCTTGTCAACCCAACTGAGCCCAACATTTCCGTCACTAAGCGAGACAGTTAATTTTGCCCTGTTTTATGACCTTTGTTGATGCAGCGGTTAAGGAAACTCAGAAAAAAATCAAATGTCCATGCTCTGTCCACTGCAGTTATATGCCCATCAATAAAATATCAGCTAGTTTTCCACCCTGGAACCTGTCCACTCTCTCGAGCTAAACCCAACAGGATGATGAAATGAGAGACAGTTTGGTCTAGTGGCTAAGGCATCAGGCTAGACAGCAGAGAGACTATGAGTTCAATTCCTGCCGTAGCCAATGAAAGCCAGCTGGGTGACTTTGGGCCAATCCCCAGGGGACGGTGAGTTCTAGTCCCACCTTAGCATGAAAGCTGGCTGAGTGACTTTGGGCAGGCCCTCTCTCTCACTCAGCCCAACCTACTTCACAGGGCTGTGGTTGTGGAGAAAAGTGGAAGAGAAAGGAGTATTAGCATGTTGGCGCCTTGAGCTATTTGTAAAAATAATACAGGTGGGATACAAACAAAGAAATAAAATGGTCTCCAGCTCCTGGGTTCCAGTTCCTGATTGTGCCCCCCAGCTGGTGTAAACCCCGAACCCCCGTGGGTCGCTTACTTAATTGCCCAAAGAGGTTAATGAAGACGAAGATGGAGGCCAGCACGTAGCCGCAGTTCCACGTGCTGCTGATGTAATCTCTCTGCTCGCTCCACTGGAACCACATGCGAATCCCGTCTTCCAGGAAGGTGCTGATCAGACAGAGCCGGGCCACGTGGGGAAGGTACTGCTTCGTCACCCGCAGGAACTGTCCCGAGAAGTCACAAGAAAGACAGGTAAAGGAAGGGCAAAAGGCCAGCTCCCGTTTTGCTCTCTTTCCTTCCAAAGGCTGGAGGACTCTGGAGACCGCAGAAACATCAGCAAAGGATCAAGTAGATCCTTCTCTCTCCCCTTCCCCATCCTCCATCAGATCTTGGCTGTGCAAATCAGGAGGACGTCTCCTGCGTCATTATAAGTAGTCCTCAACATGATCACAGCTGAGCCCCACATTTTCGGCGCCAAGTGAGACATTCATTAAGTGAGTTTTGCCCCATTTTAACCACCTTTCTTGCCTCAGTTGCTAAGCGAAACACTTGTCATTAAGTTAGTAAACCGGTTGTTAAATGAATCCGGGTTTTCCCATTTGACTTTTCTCATCAGAAGTCGCCAAAGGGGATCACACGACCCCGGGAAGCTGCAACCGTCATAAAGATGAGTCAGCTGCCAAGCGGCCGGATTTCGATCACGTGACCACAGGGGAAACGCTGCAACGGTCGTTAAGTGTGAAAAAGGGTCCTAAGTCCCCTTTTTTTCAGTGCCATTAAAACTTAGAAAAGTCACTAGATGAACAGTTGAGTCGAGGATTAACTATATTTACAGCTGCCAAGCTTGGCCTGGATTTGAAATTCACGTGTTTGCATTCTGGAGGCTCAGCGGCCCTTCGCAGTCCTTGGCAGTGTCTCCATTTGCAATTTGTAATGCTATTACTACAAAACAGTCAGCTTCATTCCCGTGCTCCTTTTCCTACAATTAAAAAGCCCGCAGTGGGGTTTTTCAAAGATGGCAAAAAAAAAAAAAAATTGGCATTGCACTTTGCGTGCCAATCATTTTGATTTTCTAACAAGGAGCCAAATCAGATTGGAAGAAATCTGAGAGAGAGAGAGAGAGAGAGAGAGAGAGAGAGAGAGAGAGAGAACACGAACACCTTGCTCCATCAATTCTAGAATTTTTTATTAGCTTTAAAGATTTGTGGCTTTTAAAGGAACACGTTTCTAGCCCTTATAGTTATAACCTCCCTCCCCTTCCCAATGAAGAAAAAAAAACCTGACGCTATAGATCATGGCTACTGAAGCCTCAGACAGCAGAAGTACAGTAGCTGCATAAGATTTTCGGCGAGGAGAGAAAACACGGCCAGCAACTCCACGCTTGCAAAATCGGACTAATTATACAGTACAGTGATTGCACAAGGAGAAGAAGAAGAAAAACCCAACGTAATGCATGTTTTCTTGGTTTCTATCATTTGCCCTGTTTTTCCTTCCATTGCTAAGCAAAATGGTTATTATTATGAGTCGTGCCCAAATTATGACTTTCATGCCGCGGCTGTTCAGCGAATCACTGCAGCCGTTAAAATGAATCTGACTTCCCCATTGACTTTGCTTGAGGTTGCAAATGGCAATCAGGTGACACAGAGAGAGAGACACACACACACAGAGAGAGACACACCAGGATGTTGCAACCATCCTAAATAAATATTGGTTGCCCAAACGCCTGCATTTTGCTCGTACAGGGATGCTGTGAACGGTCGTAAATGTGAGGACTGATCCTAAGTCGCTTTGTTCAGTTCAAGCCAAGATCCGTCCCCCAAATCGTAGACTTTTCAGATTCTCCCTATTTCAAAACAAATTCCCTGTGAACAAAAGCACCACCTTCCTGGAAAGCACCCTGAGATTTGGGACTCCCCAAATGAACAGATAAAATTATACACAGATTAAAATTACACAGGTAAGAATCTGCGGGTTCAAAGCCCACAGTTAACCCTGGACTGCCTCAAAACATGTTTATTGTATTTCTCGGTGAAATTGATGTGCTGCCCGTCTCACCATCAAGGAGACTTTTGAAACGTATTCTGAACGTATTCTGACTTACAACAGGACGCAACCATCCACAGCGGTTAGATAGGCTTAGTAGAAAAGCAGAAACGAGATCCAATCTTGGTGGAGGCGTCTCTGCGCGCAGCAAGAGCCGTAGAGAGCCTCTTCAGATGTAACCACAAGCAAAGATGGTTTGCTAAATCCAATTAATACAGGCGCTCCCTGATCTACAACAGTTCATTTAGTGACTTGAAGTTAAAATGGCACTGAAAAAAGCCGTGGTTAGGATGGTTTTCCACACTTACGGCCGTTGCATCATCCCCAGGATCACGTGATCCAAGATTCAGACACTTGGAAACTGACTCACATTTATGACGGTCGCAGTGTCCTGGGGTGACGTGATCCCCTTCTGCAATCTTCTGACAAGCCAAGTCAGTGGGGATTATCTGCATGTATATAGTTATTGAGCTGTTATTTTTTTAAAGGCAGTTTTAAAGCCGCTGGTTCTTCTTTGGCTGCCAATGAAACAGGCTGCAGCAGATCAATCAATTAATGATCAATTAATCTGTCCAAGTTAAGGGCAAACATAACCTTACTCAGTGCCAGGTGGTTCCTATTGCTGATGTTGTGCTAGCAATGTAACCAGAGCTTTGGAGTCGAATCAACAGCAGGAAAGAACAAATAAACACAGCCAACCCACTGATAACAAACCAAGACACGAGAACTATGATTCGTTGTGATTGTTTTTGCAGCTTGAAATGTTAGGTTTACTGCAATTGTGGGTTTGCTATATGGGAAGACAGCCGAGATCGTAGGTTTATTGAAAGGGACCTTTTTCTGTGAATGTTTAGGGGCTCAGCATGTTGTGTGAATTAGCCCACAGTGAACAAAACACACACAAAATGGGGCAAGGTGATCCTGGCTACAGTAGTATAGGTTGCGGTGTCAGACCTACATTGCTAATGAAATAAACCCAGTTTATCAATAGACGAGAATATTGGTAGGCCAGGGTTGAAATGAGGGGTCCTGGGTGCAATCTCAGATTGGTGGTTTTCTTGTAGACATTTGATTACCCAACTAGGTAACATCATCAGTGCTACAATGGAGTAGGATTTGGGGAGGGATGTTCTTCGCAGTCTCTGAGCTTGGTGGTTTTCATGCAGACATTTCATTATCCGGCCAGCCTCAGGTAGCACTGATGATGTCACCTAGTTGGGTAGTGAAACGTCTGCAACAAAATGACCAAAGTGAAAGGGCTCTAAAGACTCCCCAAATTCAGTTTATATCGTATTCTGAAAAGGCCAAATTGTAGATTTTTTTAAAAAAATTATAGCCTAGGAAAAAAACAGACCGGCCGAGTCACCTTTTGGATCCTTTCCATGGTCAAAGATAACTGGCAAGGCTCTTTTTACCAGCCCTTGACTGGATTTTTTATGTTTTTCATTGTTCGTGTTTACTTTTCAACAGCAGATGAATACTCATTTAAAAAAAAAAAGGCAAGCCAAAAAAAAGGCAGCCTGACCTAGCTTTTTGCCCTGCTCATAGGATGCCCATGTGTTTGTTTGTGTGTGTGTGTGTGTGTGTGTGTGTGTGTGTGAGAGAGAGAGAGAGAGAGAGAGAGAGAGAGAGAGAGAGAGAGAGAGAGAGAGAGAAAACACAGGGACAGAAAGAAGTTTAAAGAAGGGCTAACTCACAATTCGCCAAACTAGCCAACATAACTAATTAGTCAAGCACATCTTTGGAAAGTTGGGGCAAGTGGCACCAAGACAATCCATCTAAAACACTGGAGCGAAGCCGCTGACATTTTCATTCATTTTATTCACAGAGAAGGCTGGGCAGGAAGGTTTTCAAAACCTCGTTTTGTGTCCTGTCAGCTTATCTTACTCAGCACAATATGAACGATTTTTTTTTAAAGAACTAAGTTTAATCCTTATCCAGCAAAGCATGCGTGTGGTTCATTGAGCGACCGTTCAGAATTACAACGGCACCGAGTCACTTAGCAACCAGCTTGCTTAGGGACACAAATTCCGGTCGTATGGCGAGGACCACCTGTCCCCATCATGCTCCCACCGGCTAACTTGCGACCAAGGAAGAGGCATATAATCCAGGACATCCCAAAAGGAGGCATGACAAACAAACAAGCCTAGATCTGACATCAAACCAGGTTAAATTCTGGCTCCAATTCCTCAATGCTATAAAAGATGAAGGAAGACAAAAAGCCAGCTGCCAGCTCTGTTAGGCCGGATCTACCATTTTGTAGAGGAGGGTGTGCATTTTGCCGAGGGCCGCTCTATAGCCCCGAAGCCGTGGTTTACAGCCCAGGCTGTGTGCCAGGCTAAACCGAAACTTATTCAGCAACCATGGTTAACACTGGCCATCTTAGCCTGGGGTGGGCCTCTTTTCTCCAGTGGCAGAAGGAGGAAAAGCCATTCTTTTTTTTTCTTTAAAAAAAGGGGGGCCTTTTGTTCAGCCGAATCTCCCCATTCAGCTCCAGAGAGAGCTGGGGGCAACTACCTGGCTACCCCCCCACCCCGCTTCCCAAATGCAGGGTCAGCTCTGATGGGGGCAAGCCCTGCTCCCCCCACCCCCTCCACCAAATGGACCTCTAGACCTTTCTGCCGTTTTTTGCTTTGTTTATTTATTTCTTTATTTCTTATTTATTTATTTTTTTTGCAGAGGATAATTTGACAAGCCAGCCAGCCAGTGGACACACAATCACTTTCAATTCCAGGACCGTCGGCAAAAAAAAAAAAAAAAAAAAGTGGAACGCAAAAGATCGATGGAAACGGCCCGGGAAGAGGTTGAGGGGGCGGGAAAACCCCCCCATATGACCCTCTCTCCCATCTCCCACGTTTTGCTCCCTTCCCTCCCTCGCCTCTTTGCAAAGCGAAGGGTCCAGAAGGGTCCAGAAAGCCCCCCACCCAGCCAGCCAGTCACTTGGCCGGACGCTGGAGCCCCTCTGATCCAGCCAAAGCCCCACCTGGTCTGCAAAATCCTCGGCGCTGCCCATCAGATCGTTGCTGCCCATGGCTGGTTTTTCTCTTGCTCTGGGGCGGGGGGGGGGGGAATCTGCTGGGAAAGCCGATTTGTAGGCAGCCGCCCCCCGGCTCTTGGAGCGCCGCTGCTGCCGCGATTGCTCAGGAAGTGGCGGAGCCGCCGCGCTCGCCTCGCCTCGCCTTGCCTGGGCTGTGCCACGTAGGCCGATCCTTAAAGGAACCGCGCGAGGGCCTGAGCAGCCGGCAGGGAGGGCGGGCGGACGGAGAGCCAGACCCACGGGAGGCGGGCAGGGAAGGGAAGGCCGGCCCCGTCTCGTCCCGCCCAGGCGGGCATCCCCCGCCTGCAGCGCCCAAGGCTGGAGAGATGCGCCGCGCGTAAAAACGCGCGCTCCGCCCGGTGCGCAAAAGCGCGGAGCCGCTTGGCCAGGAAAGCGGGTTGAGTTTTCCCGAATTTCCGAGCGAAGAGAACGCGCAAATGGAGGACGTTCGGTGGCTGGGCGCACGGTCAGATGTTTCGGCTGGATTGGGCATTTATGGGACCTCTCCCGGCCGACTCAGCCAGCCAGATGTTTGGGCTGGATTTCCCATTCTTGACCTAGCTGTCAAGTCATCCCAGGCAGATGTCTGGACTGAGTTTGGCATTTTGGTCCACCTCTCATGTCAGCCAACCAGATGTTTAGGCTGGATTTGGCATTTGGGGCCACCTATCAAGACAGTCAGCCAACTGGAAAGAAAGGCCATAAAAATTGGGCAAACCTCACTTAACAACTGTCTTGTTTAGCAATGGAAATTTTGGGCTCAGTTGTGGATGTAAATCAAGGACTCCCTATAGAGTTGGCTTCAACGGGTGTGCCAAGCCAAGAAAAACACATTATGGCTTAGTCAGTGTGACAGGTGAATCCATCATTCAAAGGTCTCCAAAAGTCCAAACGTAGAGTTTCTACAAAACGACCTGTATTTATATGCTTATGAACGTACTAAAAGAAGTGGGTGGTACAATTTACCTTGCGAAAAGTCACCTCTCTTCCAACCAAAATATTCCCTAGTAAGTAGCTTGCTTAAGAAATCCGTCTTCCATGAGATGTCCATCTGCTTACCTGGAAACAGATGTTAAAATAAACTGATCTGTAATTTCCAGGAACTTCGCAAATTCTTTGGGTGCCATTTTAATGCCTATTTTAACCTGTTTACTTTCTGCAAGTTATCCTCTGGACTTGATACTCGGTTAATGTTTGATCGGTCAACAAAGCTGACCATTGTCTTTTGCCCTCCTTCTGTTCTTAAAACACCCTTTCTGGGAAAAAAAAGTAATTTAGGTAGAAGTACACTGTGCCTATATTTTTTCTGCGATGAAGACGGATGCAAAGAATTAATTTAGCTGTTCTCTGTTGTCTTTAGCTTTAACACAATTATAATTTGTGGGGTCTTTGGTGCTTTTTGAACTTGGTGGTTTTCTAGCCAGCACTGATGATGTTACCTAGTTGGGTATCAAGAAAACAACCAAGCTCAGAGAGCACCGACCTGAATTATGAATATTTTGTTTTATCCGTGCCTTTTAATTTCCCATCTTTAACTTTCAAGTCGATATTCTGCTTCTGATGTATTTAAGGCTATTATTTTGGGCTCAATATCCCTTCCATATGTATTATTTCAAGAGTTTGTTTTTAAATCCTTCTTTCCTTTTCCTTCCTTCCATTATTGTTAACAGTGAGAAGAGCCTTTTTTCCCCACGTTTCCGGATCACTTTCCTTTCCTTTGCAAACGGTCCCTCCAAGTAATTCTTCAGAGGCTCAAAGACCCCTTGAGTTTTTCAAATGGAAAAGACCCCCCCCCGTCTCAAAACAGTTTCTTTGTTTGGTGCATTTCCGGGGGGGGGATTTTGGGGAGTGTGTGTGACGGGGCGGGGGGAGGGAGAGAGAGCCAAATAAAATCACTTTGCGCCTTTGCCAGACCACGGAGCGAATCTCTTCGCGAGTTGAAATCTGTTTTTTTTTTCCTTCGGAACGTTCTGACTGATTGATTGATGGTTGATTGATTGATTTAGGAAAGGAATACGGAATGGGGAGTGGGCGGAAAGGGGGGAGGGCTAGAGAAAACAGACAAGGAGGGGCAGGAAAGAACGATCTCCGCGGGGAGGGGGCTAGAACCGTTTACGCCTGACGCCCCCGCCCCATTATTGTTCAGCCATGGAGAAATACCAGGTCTGGGGTGGCGAAGCTCGCGGCGGGGAGGGGGACACTGGACCCCCCCTTTTTTCAGGAAAGAGAAAAGACTCGTTTCTGAAAAGGGGGTCTTGTCTGAAATGGTCTAGGGTCTCCTGCTTGAGCAGGGGGTTGAACTAGAAGACCTTCAGGGTCCCTTCCAGCTCTATTCGGTTTGATTTGATTGATCCGTACCCAGACTAAACAATGCAGTGGGCGAGCATCTCCCCCTCCCTTCACACAGCTGGGTGGTTGATGGGTCAAGCCAGGAGGCAGTTTAAGCAACTGTTAAAGAAACCATGGTTTAGTGTAATGTGTGAAACCAATCACAATGATTGTTGTGTGTACACATACATACTACGTGCATGTGTATGTCTAGCTGTACATACATAGATTAGACAAAATAGAGATAGATAGATAGATAGATAGATAGATAGATAGATAGATAGATAGATAGATAGATGTAAAGGTTGAGATTAGATGAGATAGACAGATTAGATAAATAGATATAGAGAGGGCAGGTAATTAGATGAGATAAAAAGAGATTAGATAGATAGAGAGAGAGAGAGACAGACAGACAGACAGATCAAGATTGAGAGATAGATATAGAAAGATGGATAGGTAGACAGACAAACGCATCAGGCATGAGCTGGGCCATTGTATAATATTATTAAAATCGGATGTTTGCTTCCGAGGCAGATTGTGAAGGAGCTTCCCCCGGGGGCTCTGGGAACGATGCTGGTGGTGGAATCCATGGTAAAAGGAAAAGACACCGCAAGAAAGAAATACATGTTGAAAAAGGTGAGCGGGATGCACGGAAACGCAGGTCGCCATGGCAACAGGATGCAGTTCCCAAAAAGACATCCCTGTGAATTGTCTCAGAGGCCAATGCGCAGGTCGAAACAACAGAGAGGGACCATTTTTCAGAATAAAATCAGCTTTGTGATTCCCTCATAAATGGAACAAAACCAGGATTAGGGTCCATCAGCCTAGCCATAGCCGGGACATCATTGGCGGGTTTAGCCTTGCCGTCTCTTTTGAAGGATTTCAAGTGGATGTTCAGCCTTTGATTTGCACTCTGTTTAATGTTCACCAAAGTCTTTCTGCTTCTTTAAACATAAAACTGGAATTAAAAGCAGCCACTGGCAGGGACGAATATTGTCAGTGTCTGTCCAAATGCTCAGCTTGGCAGAGAAAAGGAATTTTTTACAGGTAGTCCTTGACTTACAACTTAAGTATCTGTTGCTATGCGAGATGGTCGTTAAGTGAATTTTGTCTCATTTTATAACTTGCCACAGTGGTTAGGTGAATCGCTGTGGTTAAGTTAGTAACACGGTCGTTAAGTGGATCTGGTTTCCCCCATTGGCTTTGCTTGTCAGACGGTGGTAAGGGAGGATCACGTGATCCCGGGACACTGCGACCGTCATAAATACAAGTCCATTGCCAAGGGTTTGAATTTTGATCACGTGTCTGTGGGTTGCAACATTCCTCAGTGTGAAAAATGGTCGTCACTTTTTTTTAGTGCTGTTGTCACTTTAAACGGTCACTAAATAAACGGTTGTAAGTTTGAGGACTACCTGTATTGGAAAAAGAGGAAATGTATTTGTTTTTATACATTTGTTTCTTTGTTGGTGTTGGTTTGTTTGTTTTTTTTAAATCGTAGTATATTTTAAACTTTAATCGAAAAGATTGTATGTGTTTTGACTGGGTCTGTTTTTGGGCAGGTCGAATGCATTGATGAAAATCAGGCGAACGATGCTCTCAAAGAGGTAATTATCCTTATTTAAATTGTATCTAGTGAAATAATGTAAGATCTTTGGCTGTTGTGCCTGGGAAAACATATGCCGGGATGTGTGTCATTAAGTGTGAAAAACGATCATATGTCACCTTTTTTTTTCAGAGTGCTTGTAACTTTGAACGGTCATTAAACAAATGATTGTTAAGTTGAGGACTCATCGTGTACCTTTAATTCTCTCCCATTTCACTTTGTCTGGTTCAGACAAGCCAACTAGTATCCAACATTATTACTGTGGTTTAGTATCTAAACAACTTAGGCATCACATAAAACCATGAGCGCAATCTAGGCACAGATTTCAAATTTAGCACTGTAATGTCATTCTTAAGCATAGTTAGAAAAAAAGACTATTTTTTTTTCCTGATGGGCCATTTTTTCCTACAGGTGATGGAGCTGTTGAAACTAAAGCATAAGAATATTTGCGCCTACAAGGAATTCTTTATCATCTGGGACAACAAGGTGAGAAATAGAATCCCTGAAGTTGCAAGCATCCTGCAAGGTTTTTTTTTAGAATTGAATGGGGCTGGGCAACAGCAGAATTGATAGAATAACTGTATATACACTATGATAGCTGTAATAAAATTGGTGTTAAGAACTGGGTGATTTGAATACAGCTAGTCTTTGAGTTATGACGATTGAACTCAAAATCTCTGTTGCCAAGCAAGGCGGCTGGGAAGCGAATTTTGCCCCATTTTACGACTTTTCTTGCCATAGTCTCGTTCAGTGAATCCCTGCAGTTAGCAATAGGGCTGTTAAGTAGGCGTCCCCCGTTGACTTCGCTTGTCAGACCGCAAAATCACGTCGTAAATAGGAGCCAGTTGTCCAGGATCTGGATTTTGATCACCTGACCCTTCTCTTTTCAGATTTCTTCTCTCTTCCTTTGCCTGGTGATGCACCATTCCCACCATGAGGATCTGTTCTCGCGTATCAAAGCTAAGAGGCTAAAACACGATAAGTTTCCGAACAAGGTCATATCAAAGCTGGCTGAACCGTCCTGATCTTTGCAAATCTGTTTGGGTTTCGTTGTTGTTGTTTTTTTTGTAGAAATCAATCTACTTCTTGGAATGTTGGGTGAACCAGATATGACCATATTCAGCCATAACGCGGTGGCTTTATTTGAGCTAAGCACACTGGGGGAACACAGCCGGTGTGTTTTGTTAACCTGGATCTGTGGGAAGAGGGTTAGGGTTGCAAAGGGGCGTAAATCCCAAGTAATTCCAATCTCAAACTGCAAATTCTTTTAAATTGCAAATGTAAGTCCCCTCGATTTACGAAGGACCCAGAATTAACATTGCTGAACGAGACGATGGCTAAAGGGAGCTGCACCTGGCCTTTTCTGTAAACGTTGATAAGCAAATTATTGTGGCTGTTAAATGGATCATGCAGTCGTTAAACAAATCCGGCTTCCCCCACTGACTTTGTTTATTGGAAGCCTGCTGAGAAAGTCCTTTCCTCAATCGATTAATCAATCATCAATCTTTGGAGAAAGAACGGATCCCTTGCTTGAAAAATTCCAGGACGGGCATAAAACATGCCTTTGTCAACTTGAAATTACAATTTGTCAAATGAAATTGTAATTTCATTTCCCCACACTCTTTAATTGTTGAATCAAGAACTCTCCCTTCTTCCTAAACCGGCTGTTTCTCTCCGCAGGCGATTTGGATGTTCTTAGGTCAGATGGTGGATGTCTTAGTTTACCTCCATCGGCTCAAAATTTTTCACCGGTGAGAAGGATTTGATTATTTGTTTTTTTTTTTAGCAGAAGGCACACGACCCCCATCAGCTCGAGGGTGGCTTGGTGGGTTCAGCCCCCGTTCCAAATGGGGAGGGTCTGACCCCCTGGGAAACAATGCTGTGTGTTTTAAGGGGTGAAATGGTACATGTTGTTGTTGTTGTTAATTGCGAAGTCGTGTCCGACCCATCATGACCCCATGGGCCATGTTCCTCCAGGTCTTCCTGTCCATCTTCTGGAGTCCATTTAAGTTCACACCTACTGCTTCAGTGACTCCATCCAGCCACCTCCTTCTCTGTCGTCCCCTTCTTCTCTTGCCCTCCATCTTTCCCAGCATTAGGCCCTTCTCCAGTGAGTCCTTCCTTCTCATTAGGTGATATATGATATGAAATGATACATAAAGTGACCCAAATATTTACCCCCATCCAATCTGGATCAGGGACTTCTAACATACTGATTCTCCCGCTATTACTGTAGGCAGTCAATCAGCTTACAACATCCCCTTACAACAAGTTGTTTGGGGGGGGGAAGGGCAGGGGACTGAAACTGGCCCTCTTTTGCGATATTCCAGGAATCTCAAACCATCTAACATCCTTTCTGCTGGGGAAGAGTCTTTCATGCTTTGTGATTTCAGCTCGGAAACCCTCATGGCCGATGAGATAAAATGGAAAATCAGGGCTGAAGAAGGTAAGTCGCATCACGGAAAGGCATCTGAGTAGAATAGAGCTGGAAGGGACCTTGGAGGTCTTCTAGTCCAGCCACACACACACCACCACCTCCGCTCAAGCAGGAGAACCTACACCATCTCAGACAAGTGACTGTCTCTAGCCTTTTTTTTGAAAGTATCTCACTTAAGAAACGTTTTTCTTAGCGACAGAGCTTTTGGGCTCAACGTCGTAACTCAAATCTGCTCTTTGTAGCAACTTCAAAATTGTCCTGGTGGGTTTCCTTTCCCACAGAGCCTGATTCTAAATGCTGGATGGCTCCGGAGGCGCTCCATTTTTCTTTCAGTGACAAATCTGACATTTGGTCGTTGGGCTCTATTTTGCTGGACATGATCGCCTGTTCTCTCTCGGAGGTACGCGGCGTCGTTCCCAGTTCAGGGCACGATAAAAGTTTGCAAATTTTTAAGTCTTGCGAGATGACGGCACGGGAGGGCGATAAAAGCAATTTCAAGATGGAAAGCGTCGTGATTTTTAAACGTTTAAATGATAAACTCGCATTGCAAATTCCAGCTTTGGGAAAGGATGTCTGAGCACAGATCTCAAGTTCAAAGAGAAACTGGTGGACAAATCAATTTAGCAGATGTTCCTCTGTGAAATGCGGGAAAAAGCTGACATCTGCCACGTACTTTACAAGCATTCATTCAAAGCTACAGCGGTGCTGGGGAAAAAAAGTCCTCACACTTACGACTGTTGTAGTTTTCCCACGGTCATGAGATCAAAATCCCGATGCTTGGAGACTGGCAGGTACTTGAATAAGATCAAGTACGGGGTCACGTGATCTTATGCCCTTCCCAGCTGGTTTGTGACAAGCCAAGTCAGTGGAGGAAGCGAAAATCACTCGTGATTCACTTAAAACGAGTGCAGTGGTTCACTTAACAACCGTGGGGGGGAGGGCATAAAATCAGGTGCCACTCATTCCACGACGCAACCAGGTTGCAAAAGACCTTGCTGGGGAGGTCTGTTGTAAGAGTGAACAGTTGCTAAGGGCTAGGTGATCTGTCGTAAATGGAGGGCTGGCTGCACTATGAATGGATTACTGTTCTTAGGCGTTCCTTGTAAGAATCTCTCTGGTTGTGTGTCTTTGTAGGTGAAAGAGCCCGTGTTGTTACTGCACAACATTAAGAAGGAGGCCGCAGCTCTTCAGGGGGCTTTGAGTGAGTTGAAGAAACGGAAGCCTTCGCTGTCCTCCCTTCTCTTTCTGATGTTGAAAATTGATCCTTCTGCGAGGCCCACCGCAGAGTGAGTTTCTCCCATTAGAACAGAGCTGAAAGGGACCTCAGAGGTCTTCTAGTCCAACCCCCTGCTCGAGCAGGGGACCCTATACCCTTTCAGACAAATGGTGCTCCAATCTCTTCTTGAAAGCCTCCAGTGATAGAGCACCCACCACTTCTGGAGGCAAGGAGTTCCACTGGTTGATTGTTCTCCACGTTAGGAAGTTTCTCCTTAGTTTTAGGTTGCTTCTCTCCTTGATTAGTTTCCATCCGTTGCTTCTTGTCCTGTCGTTTGGTGCTTTGGAGAAGAGGTTGACCCCCCTCTTCTTTGGGGCAGCCCCTCAAAACTTGTTTCTCTCTTTTTCTGTCATTTTAGGGAGCTGGTTGAAAATCCACTTATCCGAGAATGCCTCATTGAAGCCAAATCTCCTTTAATAAAGGTGGAGAAAAAACTTCCTCCAGGTTTCCTGGATATAATTCAGACAAATAGGATCCAGACAATTTTAGGTAGTGCTGGCTAAGTAATTTAACATACCACTTTCATGTTCGGCTGTTTTTTCTTCTTCTTTTTATGTCTTAAGGAACACAACACAGAGAAAGTCATTTTTGGCTATTTTCGGAGCTATAACTATATACTATGCAGAACTATACTGTATACAATTCAGTAATTAATGGGGAAAAAATATCTCAAGTGACTGGGTAAGCTTGATGGGAGCGAGAATCCAATCCTTAGTCAGAAATAAGTCCTGTGGAAATCAAGGGGAGTTAACTTCTAATAAAAGGATGTGGGCTAAATATTTGTTTTGACCAAGTATGAGAAAACCCTAAAGATGCCTCTGAGGATTAAGGGTGATTTCAGGGGGGAAAAAAAAAATCCTTCCTTGCACATTTGTGCAAATACATCAAGAGAATTGAAACTGGAGCTTCTACAGATGATTTAAAAAAAAATTGTGAGGTGGATCGCATGGGAAGTTGCTTTTTTATTTTTAATTCTCCTGCAGAATTCATGATGTCTTACCCAGAAGTTGAGGAAGCCCAAGAAAAGAGCATTGAACGTCTCAACAGCCTGTTGAACGAGGAAAAAAGTACGTTTTTCTTTTTATGGGACTCTTTCCTTTAAGTTCATCTTCTTCCAGGTTGTCCTTGATTTGCATTTATGCATTTAGTGACTGTTCAAAGTTATAGTGACACTGAAAAAAAGGGGTTTATGACTCGTCCTTGCATTTATGACTACTGTAGCATCCCAAAGGTCAAATTTGGGATTTTGGCAACTGGCATGTATTCATGATAGTTGCAGCATCCCGGGGTCAATCAACCATTTATGACCTTTCCAACAACTCAGTGGGGGGGGGGAAGGAAGCTGGATCTGCTTAATGACCGTGTGATTCATTTAACAACTGAGCAACCAAGGCAAAACTGTAGCTATCAAGCGTGACTCATTTAAGAAACGCTTTGCTTAACAATGGCCCCTAATTGTAGACGTAAGTCAAGGACTAGCTATATTTCAACATGCTGGGTTCTTTGGTGATCAAGACCCAAGCTCTGGACTTGGGAGGGCTGAGAATGCTAAGATTATACCCTGGAATGCTTTGGTTTTTTTTTTTTTCACATTTCAATATTTTGCTGAAGACGCCGTCCTGTCCTGATTAAAGATGTAGAAGCCTCAGTGGCTGAGCCATACAACCTAACAACATCACCATAACGAGTGGAAAATAGGAATTCAGGCCCGGGCTTTATGTGTGCAGATTTATTGTGTTATTGGACAACAGATCTAGGTTAGCCATCCTCAGATTAATTTCTGATACAGTACTGCCCAAAGAACGTCCAAAGCCAGGCTGGAAATTCACGTTTTAAAACAAGGCTGGTCCTGGGACTGTAGCTGCTGCCTGCTAGTCTAATGGCCTGTGGTTATCAGTCTGATTTCCAAGATCCCTTTGCAAATGATCAGTTTTAATCTGGATTTCCAAGCATTTCCCATTCAAGAGAGAAATAAAGCCGCTCGTTGGTGCTAAAATGCAGGAGAGTTATATTAGGCACGAAAAACGAAAGCTGCAGCTTCTTCCCCCAGTTGGTGTCAAGGTGTTCCTTCACTTGGTGGATCCGGTGATTGATGCTATGAACAAACACAACGATTCCCTTGAGACACTGTTGGCTGGATTTTCGTTGCTGCTTGGAATCACCGGGAGAGGTGAGAAGACCAGCAACCGTCAGGTTCTCTACGATAACCCAAATGATTATTTATTGCTCCTTAATTCAACAAAGGGCCTAGAGGTTTCTGGGCTCAATGTCTGCTTTTGACAGCTGTAGCTCAGAACTTGAACGTGGAGATACTGGCTGAGGAGGACAACCTCAGCTGCCTGCTGAATTTGATGAGGACCCATCCAGACCACGAAGAGCTCCTTTGTATGATCTGCTCCTTGTTTATGATGATGTCCTCCAACGGTAAGGTGCTCTCACCCAGCCCGGTGGCCTCGCCGGCTGGGAATTCTAGCACAGCGCCGATTATGCAAGAGGGGTCTACAGCTCTGCCATCCTGCCCCGTTTGTTCATCACCACCCTCTCTTTTTTTTCTGCCACTTTCTAGAAGCTGCCACCGCTGCCCTCCGGGGAGCCAACATTTTCACGGATGTCTTGACCACCTTGTGTCGTTTTGCTCAAAACAAAGAGCTCTGCCTTGCTTGTTGTAGCCTCATTTGGACCCTGGCTGTAAACGGTGGGTAGAAAGAAGAAGAAGAATAAAAAAGCCACCATACGCCTCCAATTGAGCAGCTGGAAAACATGGCCTCTGTTTGGACAGGCGTCCCTAGCTCTTCCAGATGTTTGTAAGCCATTTGGGGTGGAGAAAAACCTATTGCGGTGATTTAGGAGGAAGACAGGCAGTGGATGGGTTGATAAAAGCAGCCAGGTTAATCGAGCACAAGGAGTAGTACAGGTAGTCCTCAATTTACAGCCACTTGTTTAGCGACCTAGAACGAAGGAGAAATTTCCTGATAGCGAGGACAATTTATCAGTAGAACGGTTTGTCTTCGGAAGCTGTGGTGCTCCAATACTGGAGGATTTCAAGAAGAGACTGGACGGCCATTTGTCTGGAACGGTCAAGCATCTCCCTCATTTAGTGTGGGGTGCCAGCTGTAAGGGCTAAGCCACAATACAAAATAGATGTTGGACAGCCATTTGGTATAGGGCTTCCTGCCTGAGCAGGGGGGCTGGATTAGAAGACCTCCAAGGTCCCTTCTATTGTTATTTGAAGTTATTTGGGGCTCAGCCGAGGACCAAGTATACTGCACTTCGTGCTGACTGTTGTGGCTTTTTTTTTGTCAATTCAGTGGCTGACGTGGCCGAGAGCCCACTGAAATACGCCACTGAGCTGGTCTCCGTCATCCTCCACTTGCATCTCCCCCACGTGGAAGTCGCAGAGATGGCAGTCAGCGCTTTTTGGGCCCTTTCTCTTCACGGTGAGTCTCCTGAGCCAGGAGGAAGATGGGCATTCAGGCAACCACATAATCAGGGATGGAATTTCTCCTGTAAGTTGTTGTGCTCATTAAGTCAAGGCAGACTCCGTTTTAGGACAATTTCCATGGGGTTTCTTAAGCAAGTCAAGCGAATACAGCTTCCTCCAGCGGACATTTTCTGACAAAAATGGGCAGAAACAATACAGCTTCTCCCAGGGGGCATTTTTTTTTCTTTTTTCAAAAACAACCCACAAATTACGATTGCGTGTCCCAACGAGTCGTAAGTACGAAACCAGGGCTTGCCCAGCGTCCCAGCTGCAATCCTGTGACCGTGGTGTCTGTGTATGTGCCACAGCTGTAAGGTACGCGTAGAGTTCACAAGTCATTTTTCCCATGGCCGTCGTAACTTTGAACCCTCCTTGAACAAACGGTCGTTAACTTGAGGATTGCTTGTCTGATGTTGAAGAAACCACGTATTGAGTTCTACTAGGCCGGTTCATTTAAAAACAAAATTGCTTTCCGTTTCCTTTGCAGTAGCACCACCTTTCTGGAAATATAATAATCATCATCATAATTTCGTGGGATGTTTTCCGGTTTCCCTTGCAGGATGCATAGATGAAGTCAAATATGAACCTTATTCCCTGCTTTTGCTGGAAGCAATGAGGCAGCATCCGGACAGCCCTGTGCTGGTGAAAAATGCTTGCCTCGCCCTGGCCAGCCTCCTGAGGACATCCGGTACGGGTTTCCAAGCCTTGAACTCCATCGCTTGGTAGATGGAACATAGTCCCCGACTTACGATCACAAAAAAAAAATAAGCCCAAAATTCCTGTTGCTTAGTGAGCCAGTTGAGTTTTGCCCCATTTTAGGAGCTTCCCTGTCACCCTTAGCCACACGATTAACTTCCCTGTCAATTTTGCATGTCAGATCGCAAAAGGGGGTCCTGTGACTCTGGGACTCTGCAACAGTCCTAAGTACATGCCAGTTGCCAACCATCTTAATTTTGATCACGTGGCCATGGGGAGGCCACAATGGCTGTGAAGTCATTGGCTCAATGGCTGTGAAGCAACGGATGGAAACTGATCAAGGAGAGAAGCAACCTAGAACTAAGGAGAAACTTCCTGACAGTTAGAACAATTAACCAGTGGAACACCCTGCCTCCAGAAGCGGTGGATGCTCCAAGTTTTTAAGAAGAGACTGGACAGCCATTTGTCTGAAATGGTGTAGAGTTTCCTGCCTGAGCAGGGGGTTGGACTAGATGACCTCCAAGGTCCCTTCCAACTTTATTATTATTATTAAGTCTGAAAAACGGTCCTAAGTCAATTTTTTCGGTGTGGTGGTAACTTCAACGACTGAATGGTTTTAAATGGAGTGTTGTAAGCCTGTGAGTCCAACCAGAATCTTCCTGTCCGGGGGGGGGGGGGGCGGAATCTGCGAGGAACGGATTGCCAACGGTAATAACTCAAGAATATTAAGAGGCCAAGCCAGATCGTATTCACAAAGGGAGCTGGGAGGAAAGACTAGTTTAGGATTAGACTCTCCCTCCACAGGGCAGTTTTTATTTGAACTCATACAAAACGACAATCACAGGATTACTTCCACACGCAGAGATACAAGCTCTAAGTAGCCAGCCAAGACTGTTGTCCTTTCTTGCTTATTTGGATTTGCTGGAGGTTTAGAGGCAGGAAAATCGCCTATTTGGGATAGCATAATGTGCTCTGAGTGAACGGAGTGAAAGTTAACATTGTCTGCTGGGAAAATCAGCCGGGGATTTAATAAAATCTCCCTCTTTTTTCAGAGTTAGCCGGTTTCCGATTCATAGTGACAGACCAGAAGGGTAACGGGATCATCCTGCTAAAGGATTGCTACCAGGTCCACAGGGAAGATCCCGAAGTGGTGGAAAACATTTGTGTCCTGATCGACGAGATGTTTAAATATGGTAACGACGTTTGTGCGGGATCCTGTCCTGCCCAGCCAGGGAAAACCGCACAAAAATGATTCCACTTAAAAAGAAATTAAAAAGCCAAAGCCTTTTTAATTTCTTTTAAATCACAGATGAAATTGTGGTGGAGATGGTCTCCCACAGCGTTACCGACATGCTGATAGAAATGAAGAGCAGATTTACTTCTAGTTTGGTAAGCAGGAAGGAATATTAAGGGGATACTTTTTGTGGCAAACAAGATTTATTTTAATCCGGTCCGAAAAGGAACTCAGAAGATGGGTAAGCAAGATGACACCAGAAATTGCACTTTCTGATGCCCCAAATGTTGTATGTATTTACCTCTAGGAAATCGTGGCCCTGTCAAAGAAGGCACTCTCAAAATTGCAGAAGAAAGGTGAACTGAATTGTTTTTAAAATTTAAATGGATGTATCTAAACAATGTTTTTATTTCCTAAAAGAAAGTCCAAATCTTTTAAAGCGATGCCCTTTTTAATAAAATACAACTTTTTTCTCAATTTTTATTTCACAGGGCTTCTAACAAGGCACGATCCCTGATAGATGACTTTTCTTTTATTTATTTTTTTCTTGCCCCATCAATTATTTCAAGATGAACAGGAGGGCAAAGCTTTGCTTTCTTTTACGGAACTTCGATTATTTATTTGCAAAACGTGAAAGAGCTTATATTTTGCCGAACACACTAAAGGCTGTACAATAAATAGGAAAACGAGGCGCGGTCAAGCCGTAGTTTTTTTTTTTTTCAACAGACGATTGCAAGGATCAGATCTTATCATGGACTACAGCAAAGGAAAAAGGATGAATCTTGTTTTAAAACTTTTTTGACCTACCTGATGGCTAGAGAAGGGTGCGTACATACAGATTTAAGCAGAGAAGCCAAAACGGCACAAACAGGGAGACTCCGCTTTCCTCTGCTGTATTACCGCTAATTTTGGAACCTCAACACAATTTCAAAACCATCTGCCTAACGCAGAAGAGGTAAGGAGAAAAGATGGCTGCCATTTCAGTTACACTTAAAACGTGTCTTCCATTGGAAGTAATTAATGGCCAAAGCCAATTTAAGGGCAAAGAGCAGCTGCAGGACTGATCAAGCAAAAGTGTTTCGATCAGCCAGTGCTGCAGCAAAGCCAGCCGGACGTGAAACGGTCCAGATTTAGTCTTTCTGGGCCTTGGGCGTTCGTTTCAGGGATGCTTCCCACTGTTTTTTCACCAAAGTGTAAAGTCGCATCGCAGCTTGAGCGTCTTGAACCTGGGAGAGAGAAGCAGTGAGTGAAACGCAGGGCTTGCCGCTTCTGAGCCGGTCCGAAGATGGGCAGGCTAAGAACATGGAGGGCTGAGATATAAATCTCACGTCTGTTTCTAAAAACCTCTGTGGAAGCCAGACCCCCCCCCCTAGTCTCAATGGAGCAGAGCACTGTTCCTCATCCTTCTGGGTTAGCCTCCCAGGTCTATCGACTGGGATCTGGATTCTAATCACTTACCGAACTGTGTTCTGAGGTCTGCACCTTGACGTTGAGCAGTTTATCGCACAGCAGTTTGAGGGAGGGTCTTAAGCTCTAAGGAAACAAGGAAGCATTGATTAGATCAGGGGTTCCCAACCCCTGGTCCGTGGCATGCCAGCAACCGGTCCGCACAAACAACCAAAACCCCATCTATGAGATGCAGGCAGCACACAAAACCACGCACCCTCCGGTCTGTGGAAAAACCTCTCTCCACGGAACCGGTCCCTGGTGCCCAAAAGATTGGGGATCTTTGGATTAGAGGGAAGAACTTGGCATTTGAATTCCCTGGACTGATAGTCTTAGCCTCTGTTTAGCAACATGGACAGGTTTAGAGCAGCCACAGGGAAGACAATGAGACAAAAAAAAAAAACTTACGGAAGACTTTTGCGCAAAACGGAAACGCTTAAAATGGCTGGTCCCGAATGAGAAACAGCTTGTAAATGTGTAGAATCAGTTCCCTTGAAGTCCAAAAAGGACTTCTTTCTCACCTTGACCTGCTTTTTGAAAGGTTTGTATCTTTGTGTGTCCCGGATTTTCTTTTTGGGATGATCAAGAAATAGAATCTGGAAAAATAATAATAATAATAAAGACCCATCGGAACGATTACTCAGGGCCCCCCAAATGTGGTTAGTGGACTAGAAGACCTTTGAGGTCCCCGCTGGCCCTAGGTGAGAAGTAGCTTATTTAAATCTCAGCCACAGAAGAGTGACAGGAGTTGAAAGCCCCACATTTGGAAATAAGTATTTCTTAATTTGGGGAACTTAAAAGGCCAGAAGGGGATGACGCTGAACAAGTGCATTGGCCAGATAAAATCTATGGATACTAAAACACAAGGCACCTACTTTTAGTTTAATTTACTTTTACTTTAATAATTGTTTACACACAGAGAGAGAGAAGTTATGATTTATTGTAATGAATAAATTATATATATATATTCAGGCATATTTCTTCCCGCAAGCAAGGAAGAAAAGATAAATCAGAAAAACCAGCTACATTGTGGAAATACATTCTGAAACAAAGGCATGAAAAGGTTATACTACAGTCCTTAGTACCTTTAAGTCATTGTGAAGAGCATGTCCAACTAAGATCCTACCCCTTAGGATGTCAGCTACGTCTTTCTGGACGGTTTTGAAATCTTCCCCTAAAATTCCAAGAAAGCACAACATTGAAAAAAAAAGGGGGTTGTTTTTTTAATTTAGCAAATGTATTACTGTTCAGGGTATAATATCCTCAGCCATAAAAAAAAGTAGATATATATTTTCACTGAGCAGGATGCAAGGACCTAACCCCCCCCCCCCAGGCCTTACTCCACAAACCATGATTAAAGAAATCGTGGCTCAAGGCAACGTGACAACCCAATCATCAGATGCCTGATGAACTTCAGTTTGATTTGACAGGCTACATAAAATTCAAACCAACATCAGCCCGGCTTTGTTACCTGTTTTTAAGTGCTCAGGCCGAATCCCACTAACGGCGGTTCTGTAGTCTGTGACTTTTTCTGTAGCTTTGACATACTTGTCATAGATACATTTGCCAAATAAATTCACAACTGAGACACGGGCCAGGATGCTGTCTTCACCGGTGGGCCCCACGCCCACCATCTCACAGTCGATGGCCACTGCTTTGGTAAGCCTGCCAAGAAAAGAGTTTGAACGTAGAAAAAGAGACATCTGCTAACTTTCCATTATTGCTGCTGCCATTATTATTATTAGGGTTAGTTGCACGGCAGATGTTCAGACCCTCTCAAGGGCCTGGGATAGGCAGTTGGGTTTGTTTTGGGGAGGGTTTAAAGGTCATGTGTCAGGATGAAAGCTGTTCCAAGTCAAGCTGTCTTTTGCAGTTGACTGAAGGGGTTTTTGTCAATGCCGATGTGTCAATTGCAAAATGGTTATTGTTTAAATGTCGTGAGGCCTCCTCCCACTTTAAAAAGATTTGGGGTGGTTTATGACAATTAAAGCGGGTTAAAGACAGGATAGGCCAGACTGAAAAACATAAGACGGGTCCACACATCTCACGCCTTTGAACATAGCCAGGTCTTAAGGCTTTCCAAAACCACAGGAGGGGGGGGCTCACTTAACAAAGAGAAATTTTGGGCCCTATATAAGCGTTCAACCTCTGAATCTACAGAACATAATCACCCTTCAAAAGCATGTTCTTTCACCAGCTCAGGTTCCGTTGCCTGCTGGATTCTCTCGTCTTTGATGCCCAGATTCTCCCGGGCTACTTTGGCGGCTTCTGGTCCCAAGGTTGCTTCGATATCATCTGGATCCACGTCATCAAACCAGATGCTAGAAAGCCAAATGGGAGCCAGAAATTAGGAGAAAGGAGGACTAAGGAGGTCGGCTTCAAGTGACCCGCTGTGAAATAACTCAAGGTCCAGAATCCTCACCTAATTCCAGATCATCTGGAATTAGGTATATTCCAGGATTTGAGGGGCTGCCACAAGGAGGAGGGGGTCAGCTTATTTTCCAAAGCACCCAGAAGGCAAGACAAGAAACAACGGATGGAAACCAATCCAGGAGAGAAGCAACCTGGAATTAAGGAGAAACTTTCTAACAGTGAGGACGATTAACTGGTGGAACAGCTTGCCACCAGATGTTGTGGGAGCTCCATCACTGGAGGTTTTTAAGAAGAGACTGGACAGCCACTTGTCTGAAATGATATAGGGACTTCGGCTTGAGCAGGGGGATGGACTAGAAGACCTCCAAGCTCCCTTCCAGCTCTATTCTGAGTGACTCATCTTGACTCAACAAGAGGTAGCTTTCCAAGATTTAGCCAGGAGGCCCTTGTGAGAAAAATGTAAAGCCTACCTAAAAGGGAGCTGAGGAAACAAACTCAGGCAATTCTTGACTTACGACCGCAATTGAGCTGTCTCGCCTAGCAACAGAAATTTTGGGTTCAATTGTGATCATAAGCCGAGGACTAACTCTAAATACTTGGGGTTAGACTCCAGCTACTTTGCCTAATCTTTGTTGAAGAGTATTGTCCAAAGCCCACAAGTCTTACTCTATAGATGCTGCCGCCACCGGATCATCCTGTTTCCTTCGTTTATGTTTAATATCTTCTTGCTTCTTCTCTCCGTTGTCCACTGGGACACTTCTCTGCTCTTTGCCAGCCTCTTGAACCTGTGGTGGTTCCTTCACTTGAGTGGACTTTTTAGATCTCGTGACACCTGTGGGATTCAAACTTGGAACCTGAACCTTTGACGTCAGCTTCTTCCCAATCCCATTTGGTCCCGATATGCGAGAAACAGTTTTTCCGTCCTCGTCAGCATGCTTTTTCTTGGAATACGTATTGGGTGTAGGAACAGCAGAATTCAAATGGCTGGCCTTTTGTTGCAGAAGCTAAAAAAAAAGATACACAAATGTATGTGTTCAGTTTTCAGGTTGGATTTGCACAGGCGGCTAAACCAGATTTCTACATTTGTGGCCTCAAAACCACAAATACTTGGATTTACCTAGCTTCCTGAATCAAAACTAGGTTAATGTGATTTTTTTTTTCCAGCCTGGTCTCAAATTTAAGATAACCAGCTGCTGGAGATTTCAATCAACTTTGATTGAAGAGGATTTTAATTTTGTCACCATAATATCTCCCAAACGTGTATATTTCTTTGAAACCCAAGCAGCATGCTTTTTTAATCTCGTCTTTCATTTGTAAGCCTTTGGGTACAAATTCCATTATTAATTTGACTTGGTCTGGGCTGAAATGTTAGCAATAGGATTGTAGGATGTCCAGCTTTTGTTTGCCAAGTTGGTGAACAAAGCCTATCTCAGGTTTCCCCTCCTTTTATATGATTAATCAAAGATTAACATGATTGTCACACCCAGCACCTGGCATTCTGTTCCTCTCTATCATCAAATACCTGTCAAAAAGAAACCCCCCCACCCCAAAAAACAGCTCTCCAGAAAAAGTCATTGTCCAAATATACCTCTTGTAAGGCTTTCCAGTTAGATGAAACTTCCTGGGAAGTTTTTGGAGGCAATTCTGCTACTGCTTTGGTTTCTTTGCTCGCTCTCTTCTCTGCTTGGTTGATCTTTTTCCAAAATATATTTTTCTTCTTCTTTTTCTTCTTCTTCTTTCTCTGATTCTTAAGGTCGTCTGGTTTAGTTGTAGAGTTATCTGTTTGGGACGGAGAGTCCTTCTTTTTCATTTTGGTCATCTTTGATACGAGACAGTCATTCAGCTTTGACCACAAGCACTAGAACTGAAGGCAGAGAGACTCGTGTTTTATCATACAAAGAGGAAAAAGAGAAACAACTAAAATAGTTTGTTTTTTTTTAAACAAAAACACAAAACACCAAGGCACCTTTACTTTAGTGACCAGAAAACAAGATACAAATTCTAGCTACTGCTAGAACTTGCCCAGACATGGCTAAGAGTGAGTTAGAGAAGGTTTATTTCTTCTTTTTTCAACCGCTCACCTGGACTTTCGGGACTCCCAAGCTCCATAAACGACTTCCTGAGCAGACGCGATGATGCTCCGACTTTCCCCGCCGTCTCTGCAGCAACCCCGCGTGGCTACAGCAGCGTTGGAAAACCAAAACCGGAAGTGGGTCCTTTCCCCCAGAGGCCGCCGGTGGGAAACACGAGCCGGGTCACTTTCGTTCCTACCGGCAGGCAGCAGCCTCTAAATAAAGAGTTTTCACAATCTTGGCGACTTCAACATGAGGGAAATTCTGGCTGGGGAATTCTAGGAATTGGAGATGTCCTATCTTAAAGGGGCCAAGGTTGAGAAGCATTGCTCTAGAAATAAAAGGACAGAATAGAATAGAATAGAATGGAATGGAATGGAATAGATTAGACTAGACTAGAATAGAATAGAATAGAATAGGACAGGATAAAGAATAGAATAGAATCAAGAATAGACTAGGATAGGATATAGGATAGAATAGAATAGCATAGAATAGCATAGAATAGAATAGCATAGCATAGCATAGCATAGAATAGAATAGGAGAACGGAACGGAACGGAACGGAACAGAACAGAACGGAGTGGAATGGAATGGAATGGAATAGAATAGAATAGAATAGAATAGAATAGAATAGAATAGAATAGAATAGAGCTGGAAGGGACCTTGGAGGTCTTCTAATCCAGCAAATACAGAAGCTAATCAAGGGATCAGGGATAGAACGTCAAAAGCTTGGCTCGGCGACATTTAAGCAGACGATGTTGGAATTACTTCTAGAAGAGAATGTGGTAGCTCAGGGTTGAACTTTGGGGTACTCTCTGTGCTTGGTGGACTTCTTGCAGATATTTCATTGTACTGCACTGTTGATGTTATCTAGTTTGGTAATGAAACATCTGCAAGGAAAGCACCAAGCTCAGAAAACACCAAACATCCCACAATGTTGGAACTACTGGTGGCTAGTTATTGATGACCCAGCTAAAAGACAGACTGTAGCTCATCTCGGCTGCTTTTTTAAATGTTAATAGCTGGACAGGAAAGCACCAGAAAATCCCAGGCTAGCTGGAGAAGTTGAAAAAAAAATATATCTTAGAATAAGGCAATCGCCATTCATTAACATCACCTTGTCCAAAAAACCCAAGATGATTGGTCATGAAGTGATCAGGAGCTGAGCTCAATGGAAAAGTGATTTTAATGTTGACTTATGATTTGGCAAGGTCCTTGTCTTGTCCTTATGCCACTAAATTTAGAGATAATGCTAAAACAGAAGTACTTGCTTTCCCGCCAAGGCTGTTTCCCCAAAGATATGAGACCAGCTGATCCAAGCTTTCAGTTTCCTTACATTTGTCATTTGTATCATCCATTTTCCTCGACAGGACAGGAAAGGAAATATTAGAGTCGACAGCTCCACTTTTCATGCATTGGACATTCATGGCTTTGCTCCAACAGTAGGTGAGTTTCCAGGATTATACACTAAAGAAAGGTTGGTATAAAAAAATAAATAAATTTTGAGCTGTTGCTAGCTAAAGTCACAGGGTCCGTTAAATGATTATTAACTCAGCCTTCTCCATGTTTCGTAAAGATAATAGGCTGCTACTGGAAAAAATAAACATGGGAAACAACCTCACACAGGTTTTTTTCCCCCCTCTCTTCCATCCTTTTGGTTCTATAGCTTTTAAACTCGCCCCCCACCCTTTTAAACTCATTTCCATCTGAATTATTTGGTTGTGGCTGGTCTGCAAATATTGCACAAGCCCGCCCTCTGCCCACTGGCGCCTTTAGCAAAAACAGTGTCCCCTGATAGTTTGTCCCATTTCTTTAAATGTGGGGCCCTTCTGCTCCACAGCTGCCTGTTTGCAGACCGGAAAGAAATCAGCATTCGTTCCTTGGTTAATCAGCAGGGTGGCTTCAGCTCCCGAATCATGGCTAAGAGTCTTTTGAAGTTGTTTTTCACATTCTGGTCTCTGAAGGTTTGCTGGCCCTCCGAAACACACAAGGTAAGTTTGACCTCTAGCCGAATAAGGATTTGGGGGCAGGAGAGACGGCTGCTAACTAATTGTTGGCTTTGTGTGTTGATCTGCAAAGTGTCCTGCTGGGCACTGAGACTGTGCAATCCGCAAATGACAGGGGGGGGGTTTCTTTAATTTCATCACAGCCCACATTCATTTTCCACATCCCGTCTTGGATCCAACATCTGCAAACTTTTTTTTCCAGCTGTCTTTCTGTTTTGATGCATGGAGCTCTGACTTCTTTGATCTGTGGTCCTTTGATCCGTGATCTTTTGATGTGTGGTCAGGAAGTTTTTGATCTTGATCTGTGAGGTTTTTTACTTTCTTCCCCCCCCCCCCTTCCTCCTTGTAGACGTTTCTGAATAGTTTGGAAGCCAGGGACGTTTACTTTTATTTCGGGACCAATTCAAGCCTTGAAGGTAAGAAGACATCAGGCGTAGCACCAATTTTAATTATTGTTGTCCTGATTTTAATTAGGGTTGAGATGTAATGAGACAAGTGTATGATCTAGCCCAGTTGTGTTCTATATTTAGAACAGAACAGAACAGAATAGTAGAATATAGAGTAGAGTAGAACAGAATAGAATAGAACAGAATAGTAGAATATAGAGTAGAGTAGAACAGTGTAGAATAAGGAATAGAATAAGGAATGGAATAAGGAATAGAATAGAATAGAATGAAATGGAATGGAATGGAATGGAATAGAATAGAATAGAATAGAAACAGAGAATAGAATAATGAAATGGAACGGAACAGAACAGAAGGAAAGAACACAATAAAGAACAGAAGAAGCTTCTTGGATGAGAAGCAAAATGTTTTCAAGGGAAAAAAAACAAGAAAAACACTTTTGGGACAACTCCTTATCCATTTAATAATTCCCCTCTTCTGTCATATACTAAAAACTATTTTGCAGCAATGTTTGGAAACAATTTGAGAGCCCATACAGAAAAGTTCTTGAACTGTCCTCCAAAATATACAATAAGCCCAAATTTGGTTCTGTTCGGGCCCAACATAACGGCGTCTCTATTCTCGTTTTTCCAGTGCCAGAATTTGAGGTTGTGCCTCTGACTTGCTCCTGCGAAGACAGACAGACATCTTGTGGAGTTCAGCTTTGTTCCTTCCGAGCTTCCGGAGACCTCTTGGCCGTCGAGTTCCCTCAAGATCGCGCTCTTTCCCCCCCGTTTCTCGTGAGCGCCCGAAGATTAAACTCTTCTGCTAGTTTGCTACGGCGTTTAAGGCATCACTGCTTTGCTGGAGGGAAACCTCTCAAGCCATTGGGGGCAACATGCCGGGTCACTTACTGTGAAGGGCAAATGGTGAGTTAACATCTCAAGATGTTTCAGGCTGCGAAGGTGCCGGGTTCCATTAAAATCTCCCAGGGTGTCCTGTCTTCAACGTCACAACCGTTGCAATGCAACTCAAGTCAGTTGGCTTAGAGTGTTGAGCTAAATTTGATGAATGACTTTGGGGCAGTTGCTCTCTCTCTCTCTCTCTCAGCCCAACCTACCTCACTTGCTGTGAGGAAAATAGGTGGAGGAAGGTGTGTTGGATATGTCTATGGATATTCTCTATCATCCAGATCAGGGGTCTTCAAACTTGGCCCTTTTACGACTGGTGGATTTCAACTTGCAGAATTCCTCAGCCAGGCATGCCTGGCTGAGGAATTCTGCAAGTTGAAATCCACCAGTCGTAAAAGGGCCAAGTTTGAAGACCCCTGATCCAGTTCATGGTTGTCCCAAAGAGGCTTTTCCAAAAGGCAACTGGACTCTGCTTGGGTTTTTTTTTTCCCCCTTGAAAACATTTCACTTCGCATTCAAGATGTTTCTTCAGTTCTAAACTGAGTGGTGGGGAATGGAAGGATTTATATTCTTTGCAATTAGCTGGCCAATAGCCCTCTGAGGGCTGCTTATTTCTCTCAGCAAGGTTTTATCCGTGTTCATGGCAAGAAGGTTTACATCAGAGCAGTGAGGAAGCAACACCAACACCACTTGGTGGACCCCCATCTCCTCAGGCCCCACATTGTCTTCAGCAGTCTGCAAAACGATTCCGCATCAGCACAGACAAGTAAGATGGTCTTTCATGGAAATGAGAGAGATTCCAGAAATGAAGGGGCAGCCTTTTTTTTTTTTCCCTTAAACCTGTCCGTGTGACTCAGTGGTTCTTGGAAACTCAAACAAAAAAACAAGAGGTTAGGTATCTGTAATACTCCACTTTTTTAAACGTCCGGGCTGCCGTGTTTTGTGGTGCTTTTACCACTCCAACTTCTCTGTGCGCCGTTGCAGGTGGAAAGGTTTTGTCCCGGATTCGCAGAGTGGTCGAGGAGAAGGTGAAACATCTGGAGCTCTTGGTGGTGGTAGGGCCAGATGTTCACCAGTTCCACAAAGAAGACACTGAGAGGTACATCCTCACCAACCTCAACATTGTGAGTTCTTTTGGGGCTACACATGGGGACATTCCTTCCTTCTTTCCTTCCTCCCTCCCCCGCTCCCTCTCATCTCATTCCCATCTTCTTTCCTCCCTCTGTTTAATTCCTTCCTTCCTCCCTCCTCCTGCTCATCTCTCATTCTCATCTTCTTCCTTCCTTCCCTCTTTTTAATTCCTTCCTTCCCTTCTTTCCTTCCTCCCTTTCATCTCTCATTCCCATCTTCTTCCTTCTTTCCCTCCCTCTTTTTAATTCCTTCCTTCCTTCCTCCCTCCTCATCTCTCATTCCCATCTTCCTTCCTTTCCTTCCTTCCTTCCTCCCTCCCCCCCTAGCCGCATATATTTTTCTCTGCAAATAATAATGTGTTACTCTCAGATTCTGAATTTCTCCCTACAAACCATGTGAAGATATATATATATATCTTCTACTTACATAGGGAGCAGAGCTTCTTCGTGATCCCTCGCTGGGTATTCAGTTCAGAGTTCATCTGATCAAAATGATTGTCCTCACAGAGCCTGAGGTAAAAAGAGTGAGAGTGAGAGAGAGAGAGAGAGGGAGAAATTGACGGTCAGTGTGTCCTGCAGATTGCAAACCTTGGATTAATTGAGCTAGTCCTGGTTGAATGAAGCACACAGAAGAGTTCGTTACCGTAATATGGATTTGTCGAGTCTCGGCCTTAATTGGGTTCCCCTGAATTTGGGTCTAATTGGGGTCCATGTGTCTTCTCTTCTCAGGAAGGCATTCAGATCACTACCAACATCACCAGCTCGGTCCTGAGCGTCTGCAAATGGAGCCTAAAGATCAACCCAGAGAATGACCTGGACCCTCGTCATGCAGATCTTGTTCTTTATGTCACCAAGTAACGACTGTTAATTTTGAGGAACGGCAGTTAGCCCAGTTGGTGGAAATCTGAGCCTAGCTTAGTATCTTTTCTTTCCCTCATTTCTCTCTCTCTCTCTCTCTCTTTCTCTCCTCTCTCTTTCGTTCTTTGCCTGCCTAGATTTGATCTAGAGCTCCCCGATGGAAATAAGCAAGTACGTGGCGTCACTTCAAAGGGTGGAGCCTGTTCAAGGTCTTGGAGCTGCATCATCACCGAGGACACGGGCTTCGGCTTGGGCATCACCGTTGCTCATGAGATCGCCCACAGGTGAGTGGGCAAGAAGGACCTAAATGAGCCTTCCGGATCTAGGAAGGACAATTGGCCACCTTCAAGAGCAACTATGACCCTTTCTTTGATTCTGTTTGGAGGACAGCTTTGGGATTGACCACGACGGGGAAGGGAACCGCTGCGTGGGAGACCGACACATTATGGGCTCCGAAGGGGGGCACAACAGCCTGGATCTGACCTGGTCGGTCTGCAGCCGAGAGCAGCTCCAGGCATTCGTCAGGTAAAAGGGTCAAGGCTGTGCTTTCTCTGTTCCTCGGATCCTCATCCCAGGCAGAGAGAAGATTCAGGATCTTTCCCTCAGTTATGTTTTGCTTAGGTTAAAAATGTGTGCTCAGAGTTATTAGAAGATATAAAAAAGGGAGCCAGTCAGACTCACTAGCGCTGGTGAAGTTACTTAGTTAGGTAGAGAAACATCCGCAAGAAAACAACCAAATTCAAAGGCCACCATCTTCCTCCTCCTCCTCTCTGCAAACCCACTCCCTTCTAGCACTGATGATGTTGCCTAGTTGGGCAATGAAACGTCTCCAGGTTTAGGGAGCCCCAAGGACCCCACCTGCGTTCTTGAGACAGTCTGTTGCATTCTTCCCAACTAACTCGGCCACCTTGGTTTCTTCTGGTTCATTACCAGTACAGGCCAAGCAAGCTGCACAGATGACTTGCCTGTGCTAAAGACCAGTCTGCCGGAAGCAAAGCCTGGCCTATATTTTGGGGTGGAGGAGCAGTGCAAAATTGCCTTCGGTTCAGGGGCTTCGGCCTGCACTTTCAGCTATGATGTGGTAGGTGAAACTGTTGCTTCTGGGTTAGGGGGACCTGCCTCACCCTGAAGGCAGAAGAGGCTTTAGAAGGCTGAAAGGATTCATTCAAACAGCTGGCCTTCCTTCCTTCCTTCCTTCCTTCCTTCCTTCCTTCCTTCCTTCCTTCCTTCCTTCCTTCCTTCCTTCCTTCCTTCCTTCCTTCCTGTATATTTGGCTGACCCCGTTTTTCTTTTAAATCTTTCCTTCATTGATCTAGGGGAGTGTACATTGTACCCTCGTCTCTCTGTTTGTTTTAGCTTTATTACATTTTTGTGGAGGCCATAGAAATAGATTTTGTGAGTCACGAGCGTCTTTTTCCCTTTCCTTGACCGCATCCCCTTGCCCTTTAGGACATGTGCCGAGTTCTCTCCTGCCACACCAATTCGGCCGATCAATCCACCTGCTCTCGGCTCCATGTCCCGCTTCTGGATGGAACTGAATGTGGGATCAACAAGGTAAAATCAGATTTTTCTTGCTAGCGAGAGGGCAATCATACGATGTCCAAATTCATGCCCAGCTTGGACCCTGGAGCTCTGACTATCTCCTGCCAGATGCTCCTGGAAGGAATTTGAAAATGTAAAGCTGGTTTGTCATAAACTGTGGTTCCCTCCTGATCCGCTTCTGGGGGGATAACGGGGCTGATTTTCCGGCAGTGGTGTGCCAAAGGACGCTGCAGTTCCCTAGAAGATCTGTCTCCGGTTAGCATGGTGCATGGACAGTGGTCCAGCTGGACCTCTTTCTCCGCCTGTTCCCGGAGCTGTGGAGGGGGCATTGCAACGAGACAGCGACAATGCAACAACCCCAGGTAAACGAGACTTCCATCTTCCCAATTTGACACATGCCTCTCATCCAGGGCTTAGATGGCACGGATCAAGGGTTAGACACCTGCCCTTCCAGATGTCGTTGACCTATAATTCCCAAGCTACCTAGCCAGCTGGCCCAATGCCCAGGTCTTTGATCCTGTAGGAATCGTCATCAGAGTCAAGGCCATCCAAATCCCCAGGAGATACAGCTGTTCCAGAGGTCAGGGACACCCAGATCCAGATGTTCCTTTTTTTTCAGACCTGCTTTTGGTGGGCAAGCATGCCAAGGGGAAGCCTTGCAAGCCGAGATGTGTAACTTGCAGGTAAATGGACTTTAGACTGCTTTCCATTTCTAAAGAAGCGACTGGTTGGGTGTCCATATGCCTGGATTGTCTTGCAGGATTTCCTGCACGTAAGAATGAGTTTGGAACCTTAGTCTGAAGGAGCATTAAGCTGGGGAGTAGAGTCTGTTGGAAAGCCACCTGTCCCATTTGCCTTTGGCCATTCTTATCTCGAGGGAGGCTCCAACACCTGGTTTCTCCTAGAAGTAGAACGGGCAGTGACCAGGGGTGACACGTTCTGGAAAAGATGGTAGATTCAGCAAAGATTCAGCCTGTCTTTTCATTGGTTCATCATCCCCCTGTTGACACACTCACGCTATCTTGGCAAGTGCAGATTTGCAGTCTGGTGTTCCACCATTAGATATTTCCACTTGGAAGGGACGGAAAAATCTGAAGGCCTAGTTCTCGGGGAGGACTAACCCCTCAAAAGCAAAGTCCATCCCTTCCTTCGGGAAAAAAGAAGAGAGAGCGAATGTGGCCTTGAGCTTTTGACTTCTCCTTCCTCGAAGCCCTGCCTGAAGACCCAGATGGACTTCATGGATGAGCAGTGTTCAGCAACCAACGTGAAGCCCCTCTACCTCCATCGGCAGTTGCCTTCCTTCTACAAGTGGGTTTCAGCAGCCAGCTATGCAAAAGGTACCTTGGTTTGGGATGACTAACCAGGGAGGAACTAACTACTACTACTACTACTACTACTACTACTACTTCTTCTTCTTCTTCTTCTTCTTCTTCTTCTTCTTCTTCTTCTTCTTCTTCTTCTTCTTCTTCTTCTTCTTCTTCTTCTTCTTCTTCTTCTTCTTCTTCTTCTTCTTCTTCTTCTTCTTCTTCTTCTTCTTCTTCTTCTTCTTCTTCTTCTTCTTCTTCTTCTTCTTCTTCTTCTTCTTCTTCTTCTTCTTCTTCTTCTTCTTCTTCTTCTTCTTCATTATCTGAGTTTCCCCATTGTCTTCTCCCTCCAGGAGATGCTCTGTGCCAATACATGTGCCAGGCAGCTGGGAAGAACTTCATGGTGAGCCGTGGGGACCGATTCATTGATGGGACAAGATGCAAGAAAAGCAGCCTAGCGGACAAGGATACGCTTGCTTTGTGTGTGATGGGCAGCTGCAGGGTAAGGGTGAAGGATTTCCAAATTCTCTTCTTTCCTTCCTTCAATGTCCAGTCACAGTTAAGGTCTCCTTATTAATTCTGCTTCTTTTTATTCCTTCCCAGATCATCAGCTTTTGGAGTAGTATTTTTTTTCCATCTCTTGTCTGTTTTGGAGTGGGGACATTCTTGCCCACCGTTCATTTTCTTGGGCCATAATCCTCATGCTTTGGGAATCCTCAGCCCTCCCAGCACTCGAGGTTGAAACAGTTTAGGAGTGAATCTCCCAGAATTCTCAGCCTGGCATGGCCCAAAGAATTCTGGGAGATGCAGCACCTACAGAGGACACCATAGATCCATTGTTCCCAGCAAGCCATTTCGGTTCATTTTTTTCCTTCCTTTCCTTCAGATGTTTGGATGTGATGGCCGGATGGATTCCGGAAAGAAGATGGATCCGTGTCAAGTATGTGGGGGAGATGCCACATCGTGTATTAATGTGAAGGGCTTTTTCACCGAGGGAAAAGCGAGAGGTATCGTTCCATTCTATCCTCTCTATTGCCTTTTTTTTTTTTTTTGGGGTACCCGAAGCCCATGTACAGATAATCCTTAATTTACGACCACAATTAGACTGTTAATTCAGTCGTCTCCAATTTTACAACCTTTCTCTGATGGCTGTTAACTGAATCACCTTGTTAGGAAAATCTGGTCTTTCCCATTCGCTTTGCTTCTTCGTACCCGGCTGGGAAAGTCCCAAACGGGGCATTGACGCATTGACGTGACTACGGAATTCTGCAACTCTCATCAATACATTATCGGTTGCTAAGCACCCAGATTTCGTTCACCTGATCACAGGAACGGTGCAACGGTTGTAAACGTGAGGACCTGACATAAAGTTGAGGTTTTTTTCCAGTGCCGTCGTAACTTTGAATGGTTGCTAAACAAATGGTTTCTAAGTTGAGGACATCAGAATAAACCTGCGGGATTGGATTATGAAGGTCCCTCACCTTTGGGGTGACCCAGTGGCCAACTGGATGCTTTTGAGGAACCTCAAAGGCTGGATGGGAGATGTACAGCCTCCTTCCATTCTCACTTTCTCTACCTCCAAGTTACTCAAGCTCTTCATTGTCTTGGTTGAGGTCTTCACAACGATCTTCTACCGTATCTCCTCTCACTTGTCTTCTCTTTCAGAGTACACCACCTTCCTGATGCTGTCTCCAAACATCACCTCAATCCATGTGGTTAACCGGAAGCCCCTCTTCACCCACATGGGTGAGTCACTGATATCCAGAATTGGTTTAATAGGATAAGGGTGATTGCCCAGAAGGATTGTCCCATGGGAGGAGATCCCTTACAGCCGTTAGAGTAAGGGCGTCCAACCTCGTCAACTTGAAGACCTGTGGACCTCAACTCTCAGAATTCCCCAGCCAGCCATGGGACAAATGTCTCTGTCTCTTGAGTAAAGGAAGAGAATAGTCAGGGATTATTTTAAAGGATAGGAAGACAAGATTCGAACTGACAGGGCTTGAATCTGATGTCCTGCTGTAGGAGTTCTTCTCCAAATATCTGTAATAAAGCAGCTTATTTCTCTGTGGGCTCCTTGGTGTTCTCTGAGCTTAGTTGTTCTCCAAAGCAGGACAAGAAACAATGGATGGCAACTAACCAAGGAGATAACCTAGAACCAACCTAGAACTAAGTGATAGGGAGAACAATTAACCAGGGGAATGGCTTGCCTTCAGAAATTGTGGGTGCTCATCAGTGGAAGTTATTAAAGGGTTTCCTACTGGAGCTGCGGGTTGGACTAGAAGACCTCCAAGGTCCCTTCCAACTCTCATTATTCTGTTAACCCTAGCTGTGAAAATTCAAGGGCGATACACAGTTGCTGGGAAAGGATTCATTTCTGTAAACGTCACGTACCCTTCGATCTTAGAAGACAACCGGCTGGAATACAAAGTCTTTCTTACAGAGGATAATCTGCCTAGCCTGGAGGAGATTCACATGGCTGGACCACTCCAGGAAGATGTAGAGATACAGGTAAGATAGTAAAGTCGCCGCAGCTAAGGAGCAGGGCCCCTAAATAGAAGGCAAATAAATTTAATCAGTAAAATAAATCATCCTGGCAAAGAGGAACACATGCGGGATAATGTCGCCGTTTATGGAATCGCAGATAGCCCTTGACTTACGGGCACAGTCGGGACTAAAATTTCTTCTGCTGTTTTGCCCCATTTTATGACTTTTCTTGCCACCGTTGTTAAATGAATCACGGCTGTTCTTAAGTTAGCAGCCTAGTTGTTAGGGGACCGCGTGACCCCCCCCCCAGGGCACTCATCAATATGAGTCAAAACATCTGGATTTTGATCATGGGACTATGGAGGGGGGGATGCTCTAAGTGTGAAAAACGATCGTAAGTCACTTTTTTTTCCAGTGGCGTTCCAACTTCGAACGGTCACTAAACAAAACTGTTATAAGTTGAGAACATATCTGTATGTTTGGCTCCTGTTCACATGTCTGTTCCTTTTCCGTCCAGGTTTATAGGAAATACGGGAAGGAATATGGAAGCGCCACCAGCCCCGATATCGCCTTCAGCTACTTTAGACCGAGCAAGAAAGAGACCCACACATGGATGGCCCACTTCAGCCCCTGCTCCGTGACCTGTGGGAATGGTCAGTTGCCTAATTGTCCTTTTATTTCCTTTTATATCTCTGACTTTGGCACGGGGCATCCCGAGTGTTTGGGGTAGTGAGGAAACATCTCAGGGAAAAACAGTAAACTTTAGTAAACTGGGACCCTGCACACTGTTTCACCATGTGGAAAAAAACCCTCAAAACTTTTGGTCTTTAAGGAAGTGGTTTTTTTTTCTCTCTCTCTCTCTGCTATTAATTATTGCAAAGCAGGCAGGTCTCGCTTTGAGGATGATGTGGTGGCTTTAAGAGGCATGTTAAAGAGAGGGAGAGACTGCTTTCATGAGTCCGCGTTGTTAAAGATCATTTGAAGTTACAGCGGCATTGAAAAAAGTGACCTACGACCATTTTTCCACAGCAGCATCCCCAGGGTCAGGTGATCAAAATCAGACACTTGGCAACTGACATTATGACGGTTGCGATGTCCTGGGGTCACGTGATCTCCTTCTGACAATCAACCTCAATGGGGAAGCCAGATTCACTTCACCATTGTGTCACTAGCAACTGCAGTGATTCATTGCATAAAATGGGGCAAAACTCACTTAACTAATTTCTCACCTAGCAAAATAAATTCTGGGCTCCGTTGTGCTCGTAAATTGAGAACTACCTGTATATCTTTTGTCAGCCAGAGTGATTCTCTTCGGTCCTGTTCAAATTCCTCCTCTCCTTCCGTGGAAACTCCCATCATCTCACCTCTGTTCCCTTCTTTTCTATCTTTGCACCATTTCTTTTCATAAATTAGATGGCTCAAAGATTAGAGTAGAATGGAGCTGGAAGGGACCTTGGAGGTCTTCTAGTCCAGCCCCCTGCTTGAGCAGGAGAACCTGTACCATCTCAGACAGGTGACTGTCCAGTCTCTTCTTAAAAACCTCCAGTGATGGAGCGCCCACGATTTCTGGAGGCAACTTCTGTTCCACTGGTTAATTGTCCTCACTGTCAGGAAGTTTCTCCATGTCTACGTCTCTAAATTTTACTCTGCAGGTACCCTGCAAGTCCGTTACTCCTGCTTTGATCAGTCAACAGGTGAGAAGGTGGATGACTTCTATTGCCTTAAGAGGCCAAAGCCTCCTTCAAGGCAGGAAAGATGCCTTGTGGAACTCTGCCAACCACAGTGAGTAAGAGCTGCTTTGGACCATTTCCGTTCTGAATCGTCAAGCCAGGATATTTGGGCCAGTATCCACCCAATCTGTTGCCCTCTCAACTTCTTGTAACCAGTTTCCGAATTGACCCGTTTTCTGTGGGGTCCTAGGTGCTCTCTGAGCTGGCTTGATTTCTTGGAGATGTTTCATGACCCAACTAGGTAACATCATCACTGTTAGTGGGTGTGATTTGCTCCCTGTTTATACACAGTAGCTTTGAACTTGGGTGTTTTCTTGAGGACGTTTCATGACCCAGCTAGGTAACGTCATCAGGGCTAGTGGCTTGCTCCCTGTTGATATACAGTAGCTCTGAGCTTGGTGATTTTCTTGCAGATATTTCAAGTAGGTGACAACTTCAGTGCTCCCTTTCTAAGGCGACCTGTAACGGCCTTTGCACCATGTCAGAATCAGGATAAAAATATTCCCTTAGCATCAGTGGGGAGTAAGGATGATTTAAACCCGTCTCCCTCATAAAATGGGAATGAGATGAATGCCACATTCTCCAGACCTGGTGGAATAAAGCAGTGGCCGAGGATTCGTGGCGCTATAGTTAGGTATAAGTAAGGAATTAGCTGTAAGGTAGCAGGACGGCCTCACAATTATGCACAGTCCAAACAGGGACTTAAACCCATGTATTTCTCATCGAAATACAAGCCTCCACTACAACACACTCCTTCTTGTATCTAGTCCCGCGCTTGTGCAGAGTTTTTTTTCCTGAAGATCCCCTTCAGACAGGGAAAAAAGACACCCAATTCTGGACTCCTTTTCTTCTCATCCAGTTGGAAGAAATCACAGCTGGGCAGATGTTCTGCCCTTTGTGGCTTGGGAGTGGCCATCTGGAACATGACCTGTGTCCAGGTTGTTGATGGGCTGGAATCCACCGTGGACGAGAGGCTGTGCGCAGCGGATGAGAAGCCCCCGGCCTTCCAGACGTGCTCCGTGAACGTCTGCCCGCTGGGATGGAACACGGTAGGTATCTCTGGCCTTATGAAGTAGGGATGGTCCTTGACTGGTAACCATTTACTTAGTGACTGTGTTGGCCTTGTTCAGCCACCATGCTAAAACAAGGATAGGTTGCTACAGTGCGCTGACTTTACGGACTTAAACTAGGATGAGTTTTAGCCTAGTCTAGTCTACTGAAAACAGATAACCTGGTTAATATTTGCATTGGGGATAATTTGGAAATGTCCAGGCTGAAAAATTGAAAAGACAAATTATTTGGAGGGGGGGGGGAAGGCATTTGTAGACCGCCGCTGTACTGGGGACAAGAAAACAGCCTAGTCCTCAAGTTACAACTGGTAAGCAACCCGGTGTAAGTTGAGGACTACCTTTAATCTCTTGGTTTCCTTTTGTCAATAAAATGTTTTTTCTTTCCACCAATCTCCTTGCGATGTGGTTGTGCTTTGTGCTGTCTCCTGAAGCAGGGATTGAAGTCCGATGCTCTGGAAGACCAAGAACGGATTGGAAATCAGTCTGTATATGTCTGGAGTCCTTTGGCTGGGAAGTGTCCAGTCTCCTGTGGGGGAGGTGAGGGTTTTTTTTCCTTGACCGTGGATCTGTTTTTTTGTATCTGGTTCAGCCCTGCTGCTTGTGTAATCATTTCTTCATTGGGATGAGGGGGTCTTTTGCATATTGATATGTCCTTCCTCCATTGGTTCCACCACAAGTGAGAAAGAAAGAAAGAAAGAAAGAAAGAAAGAAAGAAAGAAAGAAAGAAAGAAAGAAAGAAAGAAAGAAAGAAAGAAAGAGGGAGGGAGGGAAAGGAAGGAAGGAAGGAAGGGAAGGAAAAGAAGGAAAGAAAGAAAGAGGGAGGGAGAAAGAAAGAAAGGAAGGAAGGAAAGAGAGGGAGGGAGGAAGGAAGGAAGGGAAGGAAAGAAAGAAAGAAAAAAGGAAGGAAGGAAAGAAAGAAAGGAAGGAAGGAAGGAAAGGAAGGAAAGGAAAGAAAGAAAGAAAAAGAAAGGGAGGGAGGGAAAAAGAAAGGAAGGAAGGAAGGAAGGAAAGAGAGGGAGGGAGGAAGGAAGGAAGGGAAGGAAGGAAGGAAGGAAGGAAAGAAAGAAAGAAAAAAGGAAGGAAGGAAGGAAAGAAAGAAAGAAAGAAAGAAAGAAAGAAAGAAAGAAAGAAAGAAAGAAAGAAAAAAAGGAAGAAAAAAGGAAGGAAAGAAAGAACTAGTTTTAAACCAGTGTTTCTCAACCTTGGCAGCTTTAAGATGGCTGCACTTCAACTCCCAGAATCCCCCAGCCAAGATAAAGTCATGTTCCCTGGGTATAAGACAGCATTTGAAGAAATAATCCTACTGAGGACGAGGCAAGGAAAACAGAAGATGCTGATACGCCTCACAACATTCACCCCAGTTGCTCCTTTCCACAGGACGGAGGTGGCTGAGTTACGTCTGCTTGGTCTTCGACACGAAAGAGGAAACCGAGGAGAACCGCTGTAACCAGACCCAGAAACCAGCAAGCCGTCTAGAAATCTGCAACCCGGAGCCATGTCCCCCAAGGTGAGGGCGCTGCGGACTTTCCCCACTTACGCAGGCAGTCCTCCAGTTATGACCTGCTATGGTCGTAAGTTGTGACAGTTGCAAATCAGATCCCCCACATGACCAACTGGATTTGGCGACCTTTTTTTCTTTTTTAACGAGGGTCGTTCAGCCAGTGCCGTGGCCGTTAAGTGGAATAATAATTTTGACACACACACACACACACACACGCCGACGTTGCAAGTGTCACAATTACACTATAATTATTTTGTGTAATTGTAGTCGCATCGTCCGTTTGTATGTGTGTGTGTGTGTGTGAGATGTGTGATCGCCATTTATGACCTTCCGGGTTGGCTTCCAACAAGAACCTTCAAGAAGAAACAATAGATGTTCTTAACGAGGATGTGATTTACTTAACCACTGCAAAGGATTCACTTAACCACCGTGGGGAAAAAGTCCGTAAAATCAGGTGCCTTTTAAGGAACCACCTCCTCGTTTAGCAACGGGACGTCTGATCCCCGATTGCCCTAAGTCGGGGACCACCTGTGGTTCATTGTTCCTGGCCTGGACCTCAAGTCCTGGCCCCTGAACAGCAGCTGAAATGGGAATATGTAGGAGCGTGCGTCTCCTTCCCACAACCGGCTCCTGTCCTTCTCCTTTCCACTCAGGTGGTTTTACAAGCAAGGTTCGTGTAGCGTTACCTGCGGCGAAGGCGTTATGCGCAAGGCCTTGTACTGCGCGAGAGAGATCAGGGAGGAAGAGGAAGATATATTGCCCGACGCGGCCTGTGAGGACTCCCCGCGCCCCAAAGAACTGGAGGCATGCCACCTGCAGCCTTGCCCCCCCAGGTGACTGGCTTTCTGCTTGTACATTGGGAGGCTTGCAAGCCCATCTTCCATTCTCTTGGCCATCCGAGTGGTGAGAATGAGTTGGCCCAAAGAATGCGCTACCAGCACAAAACAAACAAATAAACAAACAAACATCCGGGCAATTTTGACCCAAGATGGTTTGAATTTTCTTGCAACTGTTTTTTTTTTGCAAGCCCAGCGGTACTTTTTCCTGGATGAAAACTTGCGCGGGGAGGGAGGGTGTTAGATAGAGGGTGAACCAAAGTTATCCGGATTCAAGAATCTGTCTGGTGTTTTGCCCACTTAGCTCTGGCATTGGGAAAATCAGATGTCCACCACAGTTTTAGATAGGGCAGCTTTCATCATGCCAAGGGAGGGAGGGAGGATTAAGAGAGAGAAAAATATGGAAGACTGCAAGAGGAAGAGAAAGATGAGAGTGAATCACAGATGGAGTGATGGAAGGACGGAAGGAAAGAGGGAAGGAAGGATTAAGAGGAAAAAAGGATAGAAGACTGAAAGAGGAAGAGAAAGATGAGGGTGAATTATAGAATGATGGAAGGAGGAAAGGAAGGATTAAGAGAAAAGAACTGAAAGAGAAAGAGAATAGAGAATGATAGAGTGATCGAAGGAGGAAAGGAAGGATGGAAGGAGGAAAGAAAGGAAGGATTAAGACAGAAAAAAGATAGAAGACTGAAAGAGAAAGATAATAGAGAATTATAGAATGAAGGAAGGGAACGAAGGAAGGATTAAGAGAGAGAATGGAAGGATAGATAACAGACAGACAAGAGCCACTGACTTGCCTGCCCCCTCATCACGGCTATCTTCTCTCCCTACCAAAAGCTGGAGAGTGACTGAACGTGGACCCTGCTCCTCTTCATGTGGGCTTGGAGTGGCCACCCAATCCGTGGCTTGCGTGTGGCTTTCCGGAGGCCGAGACGTGGACGTGCCCGAGGGCCAGTGTCCAGAAGCGGAAAAGCCCCCCTCTGTCGTGCCTTGCCTTCTCCGCGTCTGTCCGTACGAATGGGGCTTCACCAAATGGACGGAGGTAGTAGCCCTCTTTGCATAGCATAGAATTAGTCCTCAACTTACAACAGGTGAGTGACTGGCCGTAAGCTGAGGAATGACTGTGTTCTCTCCTTCCAGTGCTCTGTCTCGTGCGGAACCGGCATCCAGAAGCGACAGGATTTCTGCATCAACCCCCAAACCAAGACACGGGTGAATCCTCTCCTGTGCATGCATGTTCCTAAGCCCATGATGGTGAGAACATGCTCCGTCACGTCCTGCTTCCAAGTGACCACGGTGAAGGCAGACCTTCGGCCTGATGTCCCCACGGCCACCCAGCCTCCAGGGGCAGAGCTCCTGACCACCCCCGAGGTTCCTCTTCCTCTCAAAGGACCGCAGGACCAGAACCTGGGTCTCCCATGGTCCAAAGGAGAAGATCCTCAGAAGAAAGAAGCCAAGGCTAAACCCTGGGAAGATATCTCAGACGAACCCAGTTAGGTAGCATTGCTGGTCATTGAGAGGGCTTTAACCAGGGGCAGGATCGGTCCTGTCGAAACAGGACTGGGTTTGGTGGAAAGGCCAGCAAAATGCCTACACCTACCTCAGCACCACTGAGGTCAACCAGGAAGGTCTACAACCAGTAGATCTAAGTCAAGTCCGTCCTGATGAGGGATTGTGGTTTGATGATAGGATATTAGTGATAGGATAATTTCAGGAAATCCATGGAAAGCCACTGTCTTCTTCTTGCCAAGAAATCAAGGTCAACTCAACGGCGAAGTGATCCAAAGGCAAGCCTCAGCAGTTCCCTTATTTTTCAGACTTTTGAGGTCACCTAAATCCAAAATTTACAGGGTTTTTTTTTGAGGGGGAGAGGTTTGGCTCCTTTGCAGAAATTTAGCTGCAGATGAGTTGGTGGAGATAAATCAAGATCTCTGCATAAACGACTAGAATATAAGATGACGGCAAACGCCACTCCCTAGTAGCACTGATGACGTTACCTAGTTGGGCCACGAAACGTCTGCAAGAAAAACACCCAGCTCAGAGAACACCCAGGACCCCACCAGTTTGACCCTTAAGTTCTATCCCACCGTTCAGTTTCCAAGGTGTTGACTCACCTATTCCCAATCTCTGTGTCTCCTTCTCCTCCTCTGCCTTTTTTCATCCAGGTATCTGTGGAAGGCAATGGCTGAGCCCCAGTGGATTAATCAACATGACGGGGGTGCAAGCCAGCATCTGCACGGTCGCGATAGGCCGGCCTTTAGGGGAGACGATCACCATCCAGGTGTTGCAGAGTTCCTTGAACTGCAGCGCAGGTGAGCATTTGCAGGTTGGGGCTGATCCTCATCCAGGAAGCTTCAAATTCGCTTTATCCACCTCTTTTTCTTATTCGCCTCTCTTGCTGGAGAAATAACAGGATTCGCCCTCAGCTTCCAATTCTTCCGCTTACTGATTTACCTTTTATTTATTTATATATCAAATTTACGGCCTGCCCATCTCAGTCCCACCCAGAGCTCTAATCCGGGGTCAACCGATAGTGTGAGGAGGTTAGCTGCGTATGGGGGTGTGTGTGCAAATTTGCGGTGCTAATTTTTTTTTAACCTACTGTCAACACTGCTAACATTGGATGTCCTTGCTTTGACAATATAGGAAGATGCAGCCATTTTCTCTTTAATCACTTTTAGAGTTAGAATTAGATGATGCTGGGGGGGGAGGGGGAAGAATGTGTATGGGGATTAGTTAGACAGAACAACATCGCAGTAGAGTATTCTTCAAGGTTGTTTGAAATAAGAAATGATGAGAAATGGCGGGTTAGAGAACTGGAGGGAAGGTCTGCATTTCAAACTAATTGGAGAATGTGATTTATGACTATTAATTGGAGGAGGGAAGTGTGCTTTGATACTGTGTGTTTAGGGGAGGGGAATTCAGATTTTTGGCTTCGACCATGTACATGCCGATGCCATGCTACTTGAATAAAGATTCTTTAAGGTAAACAATGCCTCAAAGTTCTTTGAAGAGTATCATCTGTCGGACACCTACTTTAGTTCTCCAAGCAATAGGCTGGGGTTTTTAATTTGCTCAAATAGGACTCTAAAATGACACTAAATGGGAACCCCCCCCATTTGCCAAATCACACGCAATAAATAAATAAATAAATACAAGTTTTGCCAGGTTACATAACTACAGCTGTGGATTTCTTATTTGTGTTTGGGGCAACAAGCCAGCTGGGTTTGAAACACCACTTTCGGACTTGCGAGTCCAGGTGTAAGGGGTTGTGTGACCTCCACAGCTGTTCCCAGCCAGTACAGAGAGTCCTCAATTTACAACAGTTCATTTAGTGACTTAAGAACAGAAATGTTGAGCTCAATTGTGGGCGTAAGCCGAGGAGGTTACTTAGAAGATTGCAGAGGGACTCATTCACCATCTTTTTGTTGTTGTTGTTGTTTTGATCCAGGAGAAATATTACTGTTTTCAACCCGGACCATGTGGCGGATGGCTTGTAAGAAGCTGAAGCTGTTGATGGTCAACACCCAAACCAACACACTGATAGTGAGGCAACGTCGGCTGTTGTCGGGCAGTGGCGTTGTGCTGCGCTACACCAGCAGATTGGCGGAGAAGAAACACCACCAAGGTGTGTAAATCAGGGCAACGGAAATTGCCTCCAGAACTTGTGGGTGCTCCATCGCTGGAGGTTTTCCAGAAAAGACTGGACATCCATTGGTCTGGAACATTGTAGGGTTTCCTGCTTGAGCAAGGGGCTGGACTAGAAGACCTCCAGGGTCTCTTCCGACTTTCTCATTCTGTGCTCTGTATTTTTTTTCTTGCTCCGCAGCCTGCGATAGGCAGCTGTTTGGTCCCCGAGGGCTCATCCTGAATCCAGGACCGTCACTGGATGGGGAACGACAAATGGCCTGCAGGATATTTATCGACGTGGCGCCCCACCTGCGCATTGCCATCCATGCGGTGTATGTGGAATTCCAAACCACAGCCAACGAAACACACTCCAGCTATATCTCGGTAAGCGTGAACTGGGGTACGGACACGTTAGAACATAGAATCACAGGTCTGGGAGGGAACGTGGAGATCTTCTAGTCCAACCCCCTGCTCAAGGCCAGAGACTTTATATCATCTCAGATAAATAGTTGCCCAATCTTTTCTTGAAAGCCTACACATAGATGATAGAAAGATAATGGATGGAGGGATAGATAGGTAGATAGAAAGATGATAGAAATAGATGATAGATAAGATAGATAGATAGATAGATAGGTAGGTAGACAATATATAGATAATAGAAATATAGATAGATGATAGATAAGATAGATAAATAGAGAGAGATAGAAATAGAGATATATAAGATGTGTATGTGTTTGTGTGTGTGAGAGAAAGAGAGAGATAAAATAGGAGGAGGCAGACTGAGCAAGCATCCTTTCCTCTCCCAGATTCGAGATGTCGAATCCTTGAGGACTACTGTCTTCCATGGGAACCGTCTTTTCTACTGGGAATCCATCGGCAGCCGAGCTGAAATCGAATTCAGCCAAGCCCTGGCCAATGTCAGCTTCCGAGCAGAGTACTGGACCAACAAATAGTCCTTTTTGGGAAGGGCTGATGTGGAAAAACGTCACCAAGGAGGAAATAACAGAACTGTCGGAAGGGACCTTGGAGGTCTTCTAGTCCAACCCCCTGCTCAAGTCGGGCAGGAAAGCATCACGTTCCACCTTTCATTGGCCCCGAAGGTGCCTCCCCATTATACATGTTTTGTTTTTGCAAAAAGCAATTGTCTTCTCTGGGTGTTTCTATCAACCTACACAAAGCTGGACTGGGTCCTACCTGCAGGGTTGTCGTACAGGGACTCAGCACTTGAGCATAAAATTAATCCCCGTGGAGTAGCCGCTCGGTGCCTCTGAAAAAGTGAGTTGCAGCTCACCAAAACTTCTGTCTTTTAATAAAACGTCTTATGTAGTTGTGGGGGAAAAAAAACCCTGCTTCTAAATTCTGTCTAGCTATCCTTGGACCATTTGTTTAGGATTTGAGGGATCGTGGATACTCGGACAAGGGGGCAAATAATTGTGTGAATGCAGCTAGTAAGTACCAATATAAGGGAATATTTGTAGCCCAGAGTTGAACTGTGGGGTCCTTGCTGCTTTCTGAGCTTGATTTTCAGTGCTAGCACTGATGATGTTCCTTAGTTGGGTCATGAAAGCAAGAAAACAGCCCAGCTCAGAGAATACCAAAGGCTCTGCAGTCTTTCTCCTCCTCCTCCTCCTCCTCCTCCTCCTCCTCCTCCTCCTCCTCCTCCTCCTCCTCCTCCTCCTCCTCTTCTCCCCACACTCCACTCCCTTCTAGCACTGATGATGTTCCCTAGTTGGGTCATGAAAAGTCTACAAGAAAACCACCAAGCTCAGTTAATGGGGGTGTGAAAAAGTGCAGGCTGTGCCATCTCTGGGTTTTTTACACTCTTCTTATCTTGGGAGCAGGGAGAGTAAAAGAGCTTTTTGCACTTTTGCCCAAGAATTCTGGATTTCCTAGAGAGATGTGGAGGGCCTTTACTACTGCATCATAAATCAGCTTTCACTAAATCTGTAAGTCATGAGCCACCAAGGCAAGTCCTTTTTCCTTCCAGAGCTGACTTAATTTAATATTTTTTTAAAAAAAGTATATCTATTATTACGGGTCTGTGCAATCAGGTGCCGGGCCAACTAACGTCAAATGAAAAAGGTGTGGGGTGTGTGTAGAAAGTCACAAAACTAGCAAGGAAGGGTGAGCTTTATCGGAGCATCTGTGCATCTGTTGGTCCATTTCAGCTGAGATGGGGGGGGGGATTGAGGCGGGCAGCATCGTCCTCTCTGACCAGGTGACTCTTCACATCTGGGGCTGAGCCCAGCTTTCTCCCTGCCCTCCTTCTGCAGTGGGAGGGGACCCAGCATGCACTGCAACAGGGAGCAATGTGTGGGGAAGCCTCAGCTGCTGGAAAGGGGGCAGGGCTGCTTGCTGTCTTTCCATTGTCCGCCAGCCAGCCGGCCGGTGGGCAGCAGCCCTGGCTGGGCACCACGGATGCACTGAGGACTAGCAGCCAGGCCAGTCCATCTCGCAGGGGGAGGGAGGGGGAGGCAGGATGAATCCCCAGGAGGAGCAGCCCGAAGCCGACGGTGCACCGGCTGCCACCCAGGACGATGGGATGACCTGGTGGTATAAATGGCTGTGCAGGCTGGCAGGCATCTTAGGAGCCATCTGTGAGTATTCTCTCCTGGGACCCCCCCCCAAAAAAAAAACAAAAACCCAAACAAGTCCTGCTGGGACTTTTCTTTTGTGTGTGTTTGTGTAAAACGATCTGTTGTGTACAACCAAACAGTGTGCATTCCTTCTGTCTCCATCTCCTAAATATTGATTTACCTCTTTGATGGAAACGTCTAAATTGCTGGCTGTGCTTTTCCCAAAGGTGCGTAAACGGCTTGTGCTTGTGTCTACGCGCACAGGCGTGTGTGTATGTGTGTGTGTTTGTGTGTGTAATGATCTCTTTTGCTCAAGCGAAAGCACGCACCCCTTCCCTGTCCACCCCTGAATGTCAATTCCCGATTACCTAATGGGTGAAAACGCTTTGCGCCTTTTTGTCAAAGTTGTACGAAAGGATCGTGTGCTTGTGGGCATGTGGAAGGATCCGTTTTGCACAAATCCAGATCCATACATTCCTCCATTTCTCACCCCCCTAAATATGGATCACCTATCGGCAAAAATGGCAATATTGCTGGCTGTGTTTCAGCAAACGTTGTGTGAAGTGTCACGGGTCCCTGTTCCCATCAAAGCGTCTCTGGACATTTTCAAGCTTGAGTTGTGGGCAATGAAGCTTCTTTCACTTCAAGGCTGCTTCCTCTGCCACCCCTTCCCTCTTTCTCTCTAGTACAGGTAAGTCCTCCACTTAACAACAGTTCGTTTAGTGACGGTTTCAAAGTTACAACGGCACTTGAAAAACGTTGCTCATGGCTGTTTTTCAAAGTTACGACCTTTGCAGCATCCCCCTGAACATGTAATCCAAAGGCTTGGCCACTGACTCATATTTATAATGGTCGTAAGATGGGGCAACATACATTTTGGGCTCAATTGGGGCCGTAAGCCGAGGACTACCTGTATTTTGAGGTAGGCTGCCACTGGCTAAGGAGGTTCCATTGACCCTATCAAGACTGTTTTTAATTTGTCTTTCTAACTTGCCAATTCTGACTGTTCTCACAATCTCTCCAAGCCACTGAGTTGGAAAGGGCAAGGCCCATGGGTCATCTGATTGCGGATGATGGGAAGGGTCACCCAAAGCCCCTCGAAGGGGTCACAGGATGGGGAAAAGCCCCTGCCAGACTTTCTGTTGTAAAAAGTTCCTCCCTCTATTTTCTTCACCACATTCAGCCTATAGAAATGTCAGCGCAGCTAGTCGTCCTTTGCATTTTTGATATTCCCTGGGATATGCGGCTGGAATCACAATTTAGACCCACAACGTACACAGCTGGACTTTGGTCTCCTGCGTTCGAGATTGTCCCGTTGTGCAAACCGATTGGGGTCCTCCTTATCCAGGTCCAGAGTCCAGTTTGCTGCAAAGAGGAGCTCAAGACACGCCTTGCAAGGATTGCTGTTTAGGCAAACCATTCAATGTTTACATCCTCTAACCTGGGTGTTTCTCAACTTGGGAGATGTGTAGGTTTCCACACGTCTCCAAGTTGCTCAGGTTAAAAAAACACGGATCTGAACATTGCTGGAAGGTAAATAGGAAAATGCTAAGCCTTTTTTCTACCTGTCTTGAGAGACTGAGGGCAAATATATATATATATATATATATATATACAAATTTCATTTTTACCTGTCTCTGGAGACCCCATAAGGGCTTTAATTTAATTATTATTATTATTTTTGAAAAGGGAGACATGTTAAGTGTTAACTTAGCCACCGGCTCAGCCTGAGCAAGGTTCAGATGCCTTGAAAAATATCAGGATTAAGTTACTTGGCGAGCTGCGCTAAAATGGAACGAGTGCACTGTTCAACGGAGAAGATCGTGTTGCAAAGAGAATGTAATACAATCATCAACTGGGTAGCAGGTAACCTGCCTGGTCACTCTGTCTGTAGGGACAATAAAAAAGGGACATTTTTAGCAAATGGCAGCCTCTAGGCGAGTGGATCTCAGGGCCTAAGTCAGATGGGGTAAGTGCTTGGAGGGGACACCATCAGGAAATCCCAGCCTTTGTAGGCTAGGTAGGAAAGTTGGAGAAAAAAAAGCCCTCAATTAATTTCATGACATTGTGGGATCCTTGGTGCTCTCTTGAGCTTGGTGGTTTTCTTGCAGACGTTTCATGATCCAACTAGGTAACATCATCAAGGCTAGTGAGTTCCCTCTCTGTGTATACACAGCAGCTGTGGATTTGGTTGTTTTCTTGCAGATGTTTCATTACCCATCTATATAACATCATCAGTGCTAGAAGGGAGTGGGGTTTGCAGAGAGGGGGAGGAGGAGGAGGATGACGACTGTGGGGTCCTTGGTGCTCTCTGAGCTTGGTGGTTTTCTTGCAGAAGTTTCATGACCCAATTAGGTAACTACATCAGTGCTGGGTATTGATGATCATCAATGCACTGATGATGTTACTTAGTTGGATAATGAAATGTCTGCAAAACCCCCCCCCCCCCGTGTTAACCACGTTAACTAACTTAAGAACTGCAGTGATTCAACTTAAAAACTGCGGCAAGAAAGATTGAAAAATGGGGCAAAACTCACTGAATAAATTATCTTGCTTAGCAGTGGAAATTTTGAGTTCAACTGTGATTATAAGTTGAGGACTATCTGTAACTCCTGTGTGATTTTCCTTGTCCTCAACTCCTTCTTCATTTCTTTTCATTCAGCTTGTGCTTTTTCCGGTCTCTGGATGTGCCTGACTATCTACCCCCTCAACATAGTGGCCGGAATCTGGATGATGTAAGGATAAAGCGAATTTTCCAGGTCCAATTTGGGACTGGATTCACCCATTATTTGTTTGCAACCCTTACTATTTGAATATATTCCTATCAATAGCCTTAAAGCAATGGCTAGGAAAGTTAGAACTATTGCATAAAGATTTTTTGGGGGGGGGGGGATTCAGAATTTTGTTATTCTGTATGCTGTGACCACAGGGAGAATCTTAACGCGTGCAAACTGGAAAGACACCAATTTCTACAATGGAAGAACGGGTTGAAAAATTTTGGAATTGGCCAAGATAAAATTAGCTATTTTAATTAGGGGGAAGAAAAAAATGTTTTAACTACCTTACTTCTGCACTTCTGCTTGAAAAAAATACGAATGAAAGCTGGATTTGGCTTTTTCAGGATTAAATGCTTTGTTGTTACAGAAATGGCTAGCGGTTACTATTCTTACCTCCTAAGCAAAAAGTTGAGATTATAACTTGAAGTATGCCATTTGCAGCACCCCAAAGGGAAAAAAAAAAAAGCTGGAAGTCGCCCTGTTTTATATTTATTTTCCCCTTTTCCTCGACCGATTTTCCCCGCAGTCTTTATTTTCATTTGTATTTTTGATGAAGAAAAAAATATATATATGAATGAAAAATTATTTTAAAAACAACAACATGCTGGCTGGAACGGGAGAGGTTTTTTTTCCACCCAAGAGGGAAGATGCAGGAGGATAAATGAGAATTGCCCTCAACTGAATCCAGTTTCTTATTCCTAAGGTTGAACGCCTTCATTCTCATTTTATGTGAAGCTCCCTTCTGTTGTCAGTTCATCGAATTTGCAAACGTTGTCTCGGCCAGGGTAGACAAGCTTCGTCCGTGGCAGAAGGCAGTTTTCTATTGTGGGTGAGTGTTATCTTTGTGTTATCCTTGGCCTTAGAACAGAATCTCACTTTGGGAGGGTTCTGAAGATTTAAACTGCACAATGAGTGATTGAGGGAAGTAGGCATGTCTAGTCTAACGAAGAGAAGGACTAAGGGTGCCATGATAGCAGTCTTCCAATATTTGAGGGGCTGCCCCAAAGAAGAGGAGGGGGTCAACCCATTCTCCAAAGCACACGAAGGCAGGACAAGAAGCAACGGATGGAAACTAATCCAGGAGAGAAGCAACCTGGAATTAAGGAGGAATTTCCTAACAGGGAGAACAATTAACCAGAGGAACGACTTGCCTCCAGAAGTTGTGGCTGCTCCATCACTGGAGGTTTTTAAGAAGAGACTGGACAGCCCTTTGTCAGGAATGGGATAGGGTCTCCTACTTGAGCAGGGGGCTGGACTAGAAGACCTCCAAGGTCCCTTCCAGCTCTACACTATTCTAATCTTTCAGCCATCTATCTATGTGTAGGTTTTCAAGAAAAGATTGGACAACTATTTGTCTGAGATGATATAAAGTCTTTGGCCTTGAGCAGGGGATGGACTAGAAGACCTCCAAGGTCCCTTCTTGCCTGGTGATTGTATGTTTGTATGACTAGTCTCAGATGACTTGCAATGGCCAAGCATTTCAGCCTCTTTTGCCAAGAGAAACCTTGCACTGATTCCTGTTATTCCCAGAAAACCTTGGGAGAATGGTTTCTCCTAGCTAGAAGTACCCTTGCCAAGTAAAATAATTCCATTTGTTTAGCAAACATTCAGATTTTGGAATCTGCTGAACCGCGGCACGATTCACGCAGTCACTGCAAGCGATTTGCTTAACCACAATAACAAACGGGGTCATAGCTCCACTTTTTCAGAAAGGGGCCTCACCTTGGTCACTAAGCAACCCGTCGTAAGTCAAGGACTAGCTTTTTACCCCGTTGGGCTGATTTTGGGCTTCAGAATATCCGGCTGGCAGCCAGCTGAAGGTTTCCCAAGTCACAAAACCTAGTCTTCATTTCGCCAATTTCTTTCGTGTTTAATCTCTTTCCTGGCTAAATCGTGGGTTTCTCTCTCTCTCTCTCCTCCTTTCCAGGATGGCTGTATTCCCGGTTATTCTAAGCCTGACTTTGACCACCTTGTTCGGCAACGCCATCGCCTTTGCCACGGGCGTGCTTTATGGGCTGTCTGCGCTGGGTAAAAAGTAAGAGGTTTTGTTTTCCCACCTTGGGGACATTAAAATGATCAATGTTTTCAGTGCTGTTGTGACTTCGGTCACCAAATAAACAGTCCTTAAGTCAAGGATTACCGGCCCGTTAGAATAAAATAGACCTGGAAGGGACCTTGGAGGTCTTCTAGTCCAGCCCCCTGTTCAAGCAGGAGAACCTATACTTATGAGGGTTTGGCCCAATATTTTTTTCCCCCCTTCACTAGATCATTACCTATCCCAGATGGTTACAGGTGTGCCTTTACAGTCTAGAGGCTTCCCCGTTGCTGTGAGCATCTGATTGTGTTCTGCACGTACCAACAGTTGTACAGAAGGGTGTCTTGACACCTCTGTTGTGTTTCACAGGGGAGATGCCATTGCGTACGCCAGGATGCAACAAATTCAACAAAAGCCAGCCGGCAGCGATGGGACGACGGAAAACGTGCAGGCCCAGTTGGTGTGAATGCTTTCACAACCCTTTTTGAACCAGCCTCTTCCCGATTGGGGCACCGGACACTTCAGCTCCAAGTCCTTCTTGTGTACTTTGAAATGCTTCCAAAATTAATTCCAGGATGAAGGGACTTTTTTTAAAAACAAAAAACGACGCCCTGAATTTCTGCATCACCGTGAATCTTAATATGCTGCAGTTTTTAAGGATTTAAAAAAAGGGCTTTGCCTTCTCTTCTCCGACAGCTCCCAGCCCTGCTTAACATCTCAGGTCGAAGTGAAAGCAAGTCATCTGAAATCAAGAAAAATCTTCCCAGCATTCGGTTTTCCCAAGATTCGGTTTTCCGAAAAGATGGAAACCTTTGGGCTTGCGTCTCAAATTTTGGGCAGGAGAAATATCTTCGCTTCCACGGCTTTTAAAGAGCTCTGCCTCTTTCCCACTTCACAACTTGGACGATGAAACACAACAGAGGTGGGTACGTGCAGGGGAAGAATGAAATAAAGGATGTTTGAATCGGATGGCCAGGAACCATGTATCGCGGTGATGTCCAACCTTATAGGGGTGAGCATCGCAGCACGTCAAACGTCCGAAATTAAAAGTTGCGGTGAAAATACTCTGGAGATCAAAAAAAAAAATTAGCTGCTGGTGACCGCTTCCCTGCCATTTTGATTTCCAGCATAAATCCATCTTTGGAGAGTCGCAGAATCAGGAAAGAAAGGAAGCAAGTTTTGAAACCGGAGCAGGAGGGAAAATGAATTTTAGCTTCAATTGCTTTTTTTCCCCTTCTGATAAATGTGCACTGGGGATCTCTTTGCGCTCCAAATTTCGAAGTGAGTTGGGTGTCACTTTTTTACCGGTTCTTCAAACTTTTGCAAAGCATTTTTTTGTGTGACTGGAGAGCTGCGATTTCATATTGTTAGAAATTAGTCAGGTGTGTGCTTGGCTGTGACCGAAGATTTGTTTTCTTTGCAGTGTTTCTTATTTCCTTTTGGGATCTTCCTTATTTGAGGATTTTTTTAGCAACCGTTCCCGTATTTGGAATTTTCTATCAAAGGCTACTTCCTCTGAAGTGCCGAAAAAGAAAGGTTTTTTTTTGTAGCTGCGAGTCAGGCTGAGCCAACTCATTGCATTGTGAAAATGAACGGGAAATTCCCAGCCGCTGAAATTTTCTCAGTTTTTAGGGGGCACCAAAGAAAGACTGAATTTCTTACCTTCTTAGTAAAAGGGTAAATGGCTGTAAACCATTTCAAATTCTTTGTAATTGAAAAGCACAACACTTTGAAGGGAGGGTTTTTTTTGGGGAGGGAAAGGGCTTGGTACATTTTCCTATTGTTGGTTTTCCAATCTGGAAAAAAAAAGGGGGGGATTTATAGAGTTTTATCCGTTTTATTTATAGATACGTTGAGACTTTATTTGACCTTTTTTGTGATGTTCGTTTAGGCTTGTGATCTGTTGCTGCATGGAGATTCTGCTTCTTAAGCCACTGTTTTTTCTTCACCGGAAGAGAAAAAAATGGACTTATTTATTTGAGGAACAGAAAGGAAGTGTTAATTTAGACTGCAGTCTCTGCCTATTTTATTGACAAATTCAAATTTTCTTCCAAGTAGCATTACTCAGCTCCTGGATAGCATTATATGTAGCCCTCAGCAGCTGAGCCCCAAATTTACGTTGCTAAGTGATGCATTCGTTGATTGAGTTTTGCTCCGTTTTACGACTTTTCTTGCCAGGTGTTCAGCCAATCACTGCAGCTGTTAAGCTCGTCATGCGGCTGTTAAGTGAATCCAGCTCCCCCCCCCCCGCTTGACTTTGCTTGGCAGAAGGGATCACGTAACCTCGGGACTCTGCATAACCGTCATAAGTACGAGTCAGTTGCCAAGCGTCCGCATTTTGATCACGTGTCCACGGGGGGATCCTCCAGTGGTTGTAAGTGTGAAAAGTTGTAGATCAATTTTTTTTTCCAGTGCCATTGTTAACTCTGAATGGGCACTAAATGAAAAAGTGGAAAGTTACTACCTTTGCAAAAAAAAATGGCTCAGAAGCTGGTTTCGCACTTCAGGGTAATCTTGGTTTGATTCTGTTTTAAGCTGGGCACATCCAGCTGTTGGAACTCAGCCAAATGGTGCTTATTCCACTCACCAGAGTTTAACTCACTATGGCTTAGTAGCCCAATGGCGAGATTTTGGGTTCTGCGCCAGTTTTATCTCATTTAGACAAGTAGCTTCTTTCCTCTTATTTTATGAATTCTATCAGCAGCTCAAGTGGCTTTATGGTTTTTTTTTCCCTGTGCGGTCTAAAAAGATAAAATGCTGGTCTGTAGGAAATATATATATATATTGAAGAGAGTGCATTCTTCTTAGACAATCTCTCTTTAACTGCCGTTTTATAAAACTGAATCTTGATGGGATTTCTTTTGTGGATGCAGTGAATAAAGATGGCTCTACCTCTGGGAACGGGGTGTGTGGTTTTAATGCCTCTTTTATAGCAATTGTGTGCATGCAAAGAGGTCTCCGACGTGTTTTTACTGAAATCGGAGCAATTAAAGCCCAATTTTGGCTGTCCTTCAAAAAAGAAAGGACTAAAACCTTTGCTACTTTTAAAAAACAATGTTTTGTTAACCTTTGCTATAGAGTCCCCTTACGAGTGTTAACTTCATTTCTATTCCTCTAACAGCATTAAAAAAAATCGACTTCTAAGTTTCTAGCCCTCTTTGTTAAAGGGGAAAATTTGGGGGAGGGGGGAAGGATCTAGGCATGTATGAGGGGATGCTTGAAAGCACTTGAATAGATTCCTTCAAACGGCTCCGTAGAGTCTAACTCCCCAACTGGGAACCATTCCTTTCTTTTGGGACAGGTCTTAAGAATATGATCTTATTATTATTTTTTATTTTTTTTAAAACAAAAAACAACCAACCTGGTCTTCTCAAGGCGCATGCTTCATGTTTACGCAGCACTATCATTAAATCGCGATTATCAGCCGTTCTTAACCACGGTCGAAGCGTTTCCTCACGGCCGCTGGGGAAGGGATCGATGAGATTCGGATCCAGAACGTCCCCGTTTTGCTTTGGATCCCGACGAGATTGAACGTGTCAGTTCGTCGCTCCCGGCTTCGTTTCGGAGCCCTTCGAAGGATTCAAAGGAGGGAGAGAGAAGACGAGAACCGGCTTGGATAGCGACGGGCTGAGGTCCGCCGGACGGGGCTGCTTTCAGCATCCAGACTGGAGGTGGGCCGAGGGGGGCTCAGCTGTGGTGCCTGAAGGATTCCAGGAAGGATTTACGCCCCGTGCGGAAGTACGACTCGATCCGTTCCAAGGATTTTCCTTTGGTTTCTGGGAGGAGGTAGGTGAAAACGAGGTTGATGACGCAGATGGCACTGAAGAAAAAAAAGGGAACCTCCAGGCCATATTTTTCCTAGAAAATAGAACAAATTCGTTGTTAACGTGATCAGGTAGGAAAAGTAGAAAAGTACTGATGGGGGGGGGGGAACAACAAACATTAAACCAAAACGAGACAAACTCCATTATGGCTTAATTGCTCGGTGGTGCTCTCTGAGCTGTGTGGTTTTCTTGCAGACGTTTCATGACCCAACTAGGGAACATCATCAATGCTAGAAGGGAGTGGGATTTGTGGAGAGGAGGAGGACTGGGGGATCCTTGGTGCTCTCTGAGCTCGGTGGTTTTCCTGGAGATGTTTCATGACCCAACTAGGTAACATCATCAGTGTTAATAAGTGTAACTTGCTTCCTGTTTACATACAGTAGCTCTGAGCTTGGTGCTTTTCTTGCAGACATTTCATGACCCAAATAGGTAACATCATCAGTGCCAATGAGTGCTCCCTGTTTACATACAGTAGCTCTGAGCTGGGTAACAAGAAACCAACAAGCTCAGAGAGCACCAAATATTCTGCCGTTCAATTCTGAGCTACAAATATTGTCTTCGATCGCCTGTTTTCATTTCCCAGATTAGTCTACTCCCTGGGCATTTCACAGTGGTCTCTTTTCCAAGTATACTGTAAAGCAGACCCACTTATAACAGAGTTGTGCACCCCCCCCCCACAGAGGAAAGGAGTAGATGATTAAACCTACAGATAGATACACCTTCACCAGGTTCTTACCGTAACCAACAGAAAGGCTTTGGTCAAGGCGAAGGCAGTCAACCAACTCACAAGTACACAGAGCCCGGAGACCACTCCTCGTGCCTTCAGGGGAAGGACCTCTGCCATCAACAACCACGTAATGGGACCCCAACCCATGGCATAGCCTGGAAGAAGAACCATTGAATCATTAGAAGCAAAGGGAAAACTAAGGTGGTCCTTGACTTAAAATGATTTGTTTGAAGCTTTGGACCTCATCTCCTATCAGATCCACATAGCAAAAGCTATAAATTTGGGGACTGATTGTCCTAAAACCTTATCTAGGCCAAGACTGAGCATATTTTCCTGGGAAACGTCTCTCTAAAGTCTTCTGCAGCTGATTTGTCTCCTGGCCACCTCCCACAACCCTCCAGAGAAGTGCCAGAGATTTGATCTGGAGTCCAAAAGTTGGTCCTCAACACTTCTTGACCTACCTATGATGAAGAACATGGTGGCCACCAATGGGATCGCGGTGAGACCCACCATGGAGGGGTCGCCGAGGCCCCCGTGGGTCCCATTCGCTGCCATTGCTGACGAATTGTGGAGAAGTTGAGGGATGAGGCGGATGTAGACGCCCAACGTGAGAGTTGAGGCGAGCATCAGGCAAGCTACGGTCGTGGCAACAAAAGAGACGGAAACACATCTTGAAGCCGACGCGACAATCCCACTTGCGGCATGGTTATTCCTGAATTATCCACCCTCGCCTCGCTCACACAGGCAGTCCTCAACTTATAACCATTTGCTTAGGGACTCCTTCACGTTACGTTGAAAAAAACCGTGATTCGCAAACAATCCTCGCTGTTACAACGGCTGGAGGATTCCCCACAGTCACGTGATCAAAATTTGGGTGCATTGATGACGGTCGCAGCGTCGGGGATGGGTATGTGTGTGTATCACACGATCCCCCTTTGCCAGCTTCCAACAAAGCCAGATTTGCTTAACGACCATGTGATCTGCAGTGATTTGCTTAGTGACTGTGTCGTAAAATTGGGCCCTCAGCTCTGAACGTGCTTAGCAATGAAAATTGTGGTCGTTAAGTCAAGAGTTGCCTGTATATAGGCAGATGTGTGTCCACCTCTCTCTCTCTCTCTCTCTCTCTCTCTCTCTCTCTCTCTCTCTGTGTGTGTAAAAGGAAGGACTACAAAACCCATACCAGAGACATAGAGAAGAACCTTCCGCCCAGCTTTATCCATTGAGAAAGCCGCAACCAGCACCGAGGCTAAACGAACGCCGCCCACAATAACGGCATCATACTCCGGGGCCTGCGAAGTCAAAATAATTGCTGTGAGCTGTTGATCAAATTGGTGGATTCTTTCAGTCATTTGTGATATGATTTTTTTTTATTATTATTTATGAGTCTTTCTCCTTTCTTTGCATCTGACTTGAGGGATACAGAAAAACCCTCTAAAACCACCTGCTCATTTTAACGGCTGCCATTGTGTTTACAGGGGGAAAAAAATGACAATAAAGGTGATCTTATCTCTATTTGGGAAATATGAAGAAGACTTTATTTATGCAAGTTTTGATCTTTTTTTTTTTTTAAAGAAAGATATAGAGGTATCCTTCAGTTGGAAAGCGCGCCTCTGTAAATCTGAATAAAAAGAGGGGGAAAAATAAGAAAGGATGTGGCAGAGAGATCGAGATGAGGAAGAGACGGGATTTGAGGAAGCGGCGTTCAAATATTAAGGAAAAATGGAATTTTTTTTTGCGTTTTGGGGTCAATCTTGAATACGGAATGAGAAACGGCCACACCTTGTTTTAGATAGAAAAAGATAATGGATCATGGATGCTCCAATCTTGGCAACTTTTAACAACTATGGACTTTAATTCCCAGAATTCCTAGCCAATCATGCTGGCTAGGGAATTCTGGGAGCTGAGGTCCATAAGTCTTAAAATTGCCAAGGTCGTGGAGGCCTCCTGCTCTGCAGGTTGACTTACCAGGATCACCTCCGTGCTGTCAAATATCAGCTGCAGGTAAACCAGGATTGGGGTAACCCCTGAAAGCTGCTGTAGGAACCTCATCAGCAAAGTAATTACAATAGGCTTGAAGATGTGAGGTTTGCGGATTTCTGCCCAAGTAACGGCTTGGCTCTGGAGAAAAAAAAATGGAGGAGAATATTCGGAGCTCGGGGTTGGCATCTGGGCTATTTTATTATTATTAATTTTTTGGGCAGACGTTTCATTACCCAACTAGGTAGCATCATCAGTGCTAGAAGGGAAAGGAGGCTTGCAAAGGGGAGGAGGACTGTGGGGTCCTGGGTGCTCTCTGAGCTTGGTGGTTTTCTTGGGGACGTTTCCTGACCCAGCTAGGTAACAGCATCAGTGCTAGAAAAGAATCCACTGCAGCGCTACTACACAGTACACCTGACCTAATCAAATACACTAAAATTGAAATATCCAGAACCGTGGACCCCATCAGCCTCTGCCTTACCCCCTATGATCAATTTGATGGACAAAACCTAGCACTGATGATGTTACCTAGCTGGGTCACAAAACGTCTGCAAGGAAACCACCAAGCTCAGAGAGCACTGAGAACCCCACAGCTAATAGGGTCTGAATAAGTGCAGGTTGTACCATCTCTGGGGCTTTTACACTCTCCTTATCTTTGTGGTGTGGTGCACCTTGGTGTACCAGGGTTGCCAGACATATGAACACAGAAGGACAATCTTGGCACAAGAAAAGCGAGCACTCCGCAAAGCCAGAGCTGCAAATGCTGAAGTAACAGTGTCTACAGTATGTGGCAGAACATTCCGTGCTAACATCGGTCTTATTAGCCACCTACGGACACATCGTTGATGGCCCATAACCCACAAGATGTCAAGGTCTTCATCGAAATCGATGGACGAACAACACACAACACATCTTTGAGGTAGGGAGGACAAAGGGGCTTTGCACACTTTTATCTGCCAGCAAATAACCAACGAGGACCCCACAAAGACAAAATGGCCAGTCTGCACCACTTCCCACTCCACTGGGAAGTTCTAAAACCCACGGAGACACTTCTAGAAACCTTTTCGAGAGCAGGAGGAAACAAATCAAGGTCTCCACTTCCATATGTGTGTTAACCCCCTGCCCTCTTCTCTTGAACATGGACCTGCCTGTTCCTGAACGCTGGCTTTGATCTGCTCGTATTCCCACCAATAATCCACATCTTGGCCTCTCAGCCACCGGAGAGCACACAGCGCCTCGTCTTCCTTCCCCTTGGAAATCAGGAAACGGGGCGAGTCGGGCATGAAGATGAGGAGAGACATCATGAGAAGGACAGGGACTTCTCCAGCAACCGCCAGCCAACGCCAGGGCACCAGGAGACCTGTGGGGAGGAGGAGGAGAAGAAGACAAAACTAAGGGAGACCAGCGGCTTCCTCTGTTAGCTCCACCAGGGAGAGCAGTCCATGCATTCAACTTCACAGGAAACGGCCGGTGGAAACGGTGGCTTAATACCTGCCTAAAGCGTAAAGGAAGAGGGCGCCCAAAACAGCCATGATTTGAGGACAGGAGCCCAACGCCCCGCGGATTCCTGGGTGGGAGATCTCGGAAATGTAGACCTGGAGAAGGCGAAAAGATGAAAAAGGTAAGTGGGATCCAAGGCTGTGGGAACCAAGGCCTCTAGAAGCCAGAGCTTGTACTCACTGCCTTTCTGCAGTTGGGTAGGAAAAAGCCAATATTTACAGAAGGATAGAAAGGGGGAAATCCTGGGAAGGAAGGAAGGAAGGAAGGAAGGAAGGAAGGAAGGAAGGAAGGAAGGAAGGAAGGAAGGAAGGGAGGGAGGGAGGGAGGGAGGGAGGGAAGGAGGGAGGATGAAGAGAAGGGAAGGGAGGGGAGGGGAAAGAGGAGAGGAGAAGGATGGAGATGAGAACGAAGGAAGGAAGGAAGGAAGGAAGGAAGGAAGGAAGGAAGGAAGGAAGGAGGATGAAGAGAAGGGAAGGGAGGGGAAAGAGGAGAGAAGGATGGAGATGAGAAGGAAGGAAGGAAGGAAGGAAGGAAGGAAGGAAGGAAGGAAGGAAGGAAGGAAGGAAGGAAGGAAGGAAGGAAGGAAGATCAGAAGGCAGGCAGGAAGAAAGGATACAAGCAAGTCAGTTGCAAGCATGAACTGATACTATCCCCAAACTGACACACTTCTGCAGCTGCACCTGAAGGCCCCAAGAACAGCTCTTCGACCCATGGGATGAACTTAGGCAGCCCTCAGAGGAACCTTAGAGAGAACCCATCATGAGAACATCCACCTGCTTGGTCGCCAAAGGATGACCTATGGTCCATCAAGAGTAGCCCTCTGGAATAACCCCTAAGAAGTTCCTCAAAAGTCAGGAACCTCGATAACCTGACTCTCAAGATCTCCAGCAGAAGGACCCATGGGAGATCACACTCACCGGGATGGCCGCTGAGGTCACTCCTCCCGCAAAGCCTGTGAGAAGCCTTCCGACCAGGAGCATCCAGACCTCCTGGGCGCTGGCCATGAAGAAGTACCCAATGGCAGAAGGGATGGCGGAGAACATGATGCTCAGCTTGCGCCCCAGGCGGTCGTTGAAGTACATGGTGCACAGCCCGCCTGCGGCTACTCCTAAGGTGAAGATGGACTAGAAGACGAAAGAGAGGAGGCAGGTCAACAAAGAAGGCCACACAATCACAACCAGGCTGGCCCAGTGCTTAGAAGGCAGCACGGCAGGCAAACTCTGCCCGCTGCCAGCAGTTCGATCCTGATCAGCTCAAGGTTGACTCAGCCTTCCCTCCTTCCGTGGTGGGTAAAATGAGAACCCAGATTGTTGGGGGTCACGATACTGGCTCTGTAAACCGCTTAGAGAGGGCTGTGAAGCGTCGTAAAGCGGTATATAAGTCTGAGTGCTATCCCTATAACAACAGTTACAGGTAATCCTCAACTTATAATCGCACTGTTCAAATTTAGGACAGGCCTCGCCAGAGCGACTTACAACCCGTTTTTTGGAGTTGCGACAGCCACACAAACGCCCCACAGTCGTGTGAGCAAATTTGGGGCACTTGGTAACCCATTCACCATTGGCAGACTCCCAGGTCCACAATTTGCAGTGTCTTTTTTTTTTTTTTACAAATTAGTCATATGTACTTCCAGTTTCCAGCAAAGAACTTTTTTTTTGGGGGGGGGGGGAATGGATTTCCTTAACTACCACCACGAGCGCTTAACAACTGCTTAAGGTCTGTTGTTAAAAAAGGGGGGGAGGGGGTCACTACGAATCCAGTCGCTCGATTTACCCCGCTTACCCCAAACCAGGAAGCGGTAGCCCTGGTTAGTTGCAAGTTAGGAACCGGAGATTTCACCAAAGCTGGTATGACGGGTGACGTGTAGACTAACGCAAAGCCAAAACTGAAATTCCCCAACACAGCAGCGAAGCAGGCAAGGAGGAGACGCTGATTCCTGAGTGTCCTGGAGGAAAGAGAGAAGGAAGAAGAGGAACCAAAGTGAGATCCATCGCAACGGCTGAAGGGAAGCTGTGAACCGGAGAGAGAGAGAGAGAGAGAGATGGGTGTCTTTAAAGCTAGAATGTAGAATAACAGAACTAGAAGGGACCTTGGAGGTCTTCTAGTCCACCCCTTGCTTAAACAGGAGATCCTATACAATTTCAGACAAAGGGCTGTCCAGTCTCTTCTTAAAACCTTCCAGTGTTGGAGCACCCACAACTTGCTCCATTGATTAATTGTTCTCACTGTCGGGAAATTCCTCCTTAGTTCCAGGTTGCTTCTCTCCTTGATTGGTTTCCATCCATTTTTTTCTTGTCCTGCCTTCTGGTGCTTTGGACAATAGCTTGACTCCCTCTTCTTTGGGGCAGCCCCTAAGATACTGGAAGACTGCTATCCTGTCCCTCCTCGTCCTTCTCTTCATTAAACTAGTCATACCCAATTCCAGCAACCGTTCCTTGTATGTTTTAGCCTCCAGTCCCCTAATCATTTTTGTTGCTCTTCTCTGCGCTCTTTCTAGAGTCTCAGCATGATTTTATATCTCTCCTTGATAAGTTTCCATTTGTTACTTCTTCTCCTGCCCTCAGGTGCCTCGGAAGAATAAGCTGACTCCCTCTTCTCTGGGGCAGCCTCTCAAATATTCCAGGGCATGTGCAGATTTCTTTTCCTTCTGCAAAAGCCAGCTCAAGGCAGGCGACAGGCAAGCCGAGTGAAAGGATGTAAAAAAAAAGTGCCAGTAATTTTATGGGCTGGGGTAGAAAAAGAGAAGTGGAGAAAGACAGTGCTATAATCTGAGACAGAAGTGAGAAAATATGGATGACTTAAAAACGACTCAAGATCTGAGATCCACTTTTCCTGCCAAGGTACAGAAGGGGCTGGCCAATGCCTTGGTTGCCTCGTTTGCAACTTCCCACTCTATCTACATAATCCACTCCTGCTTTCCCCTATGTTTAATTGAATCAAATCCCAATGATTTCCATAACAGGTTGGAGAAAAACCACAAAAGAGTGAGAACAGCCAGTTCCAGATCAGTGGGTGTAGCTCCTATTCTATTGGCAATGAGGACTAGCACCTTGAGGGAAAGTGAAGATAGCATGTCAAAACAACGGTCCCCGCTGGCAGAATCCAGGCAGGCTCAGGAATATCAAGAAAAAAAATGGAGAGGGTTACCGGTAATATTCCTTTTCCACGCGCCGAGGGTCCTTCTCTCTCAGCGACCCGTAGTCTTCCAAGGGCTCCTTGCCCAGCAGCGTCGTCGTGTCGCTGGCCTCCAGGGTGGCTGAAGGTGTGGGTTGCCCCCTGTGAGAAGAGAAACGCAGGGAGAAGATGGGCACCCGGGGCTTGTCCTCCGACGGGCAGCCAAGAGAGCTCTGGAGCTGAAAAGTGAGAGGACGGAGAAAGGGAAGGAAAGGAGGAAAGACCGGAATGCACCAGCTGTGGGCAGGAAAATCACGGGCGAAAAGAGGAAGCCACAGAGAGTGAAGAAACCGGCTGTGGGGCAAGATAAAGGAGGGTGAAAGCGAAACAGAGGGGAAGGAGAGAGGGGGAGAGAGAGACAGAAAGAAAGAGAAAGAGAGAGAAGAGAGAAAGAGGCCAAGAAAGAGAGAGAAAAGAGAGAAAGAGGCCAAGAAAGAGGAGAGAGAGAGAGATGATAGAAACAGATGGAGATATTGATAGATGACAGATAGGGAGGGAGGGAGAGATTGGCTAGAAGATATGGATGGATAGATATAAATACGATAGATAGATAGATAGATAGATAGATAGATAGATAGATAGATAGATAGATATAGATAAGTAGGTAGGTAGGTAGATGATAGATAGATATATTGTAGATAGAGATATAGAGATAAGAGATAGATAGATAGATAGATAGATAGATAGATAGATAGATAGATAAGTAGGTAGGTAGGTAGGTAGGTAGGTAGGTAGGTAGATATACTGTAGATAGAGATATAGAGATAAGAGATAGGTAGGTAGGTAGACAGATAGACACATTGTGAGCGATAGGCTCTTGTATTTAACACCGTGCGCTCACTGCCAGTGGCAACCGATCCTGGTGGAAATGAGAACAACTATGCAGCTTTGATATCTGGACCTAGAGACAGGTCAGAAATTTAGGCTAGCTGAGAAAACACGCTGGAAAAAAAAAAAACACTTAGAAACCCAATTCTATGCCATCTAAATGGATGTATCTGTGACGTCACCAGGAAGTGATTGCATGACAAGCATTATTCAGCCCAAACCAGAAGATGTGAACGTTAAGGGATGATTTTTTAAAAATTTAATTGATATTCTGTTTTTTTTTAATTTTTATAAACAATTCAAGATGGCACAATGCTCCTTCCTCCCATTTTCCCTGCAAACACAACCCTGTGAGGTGGGTTGGGCTGAGGCCTAAGACACCCATGCCTAAGGCAGCTAAAACTTACCATCTCCTGGCGATTGGCGCAAAGTCACCCAGCCAGCTTTCATGGCTAAGATGGGACTCAAATTCATGGCCCCTTTGCTTGTAGCCCTGTACCTTAATTACTAAACCAAATTGGCTTTCATTGCAATATTTCCCCACAACGACAATCCCTTGGGCTGAGAGAGAGACGGACTGGTTCCAAGTCAACCAGCTGGCTTTCATGCCTAAGGCAGGCCTGGCCTGATGCCTTAACCTCCGCAACCTATGGTAGCTACTTCACTTGCAAGTACAGAAGGAGGAGAAAAGGTTTTGCTAGTTGCGCAACCACGAAAATATTTACCTAGATGCAGGCGAGAGGTCCATGGGAAAGCTTGCCAGAAAGAGGTCGAAGCAAGATTGAACTCTCAAACAAGTTTATAAAAGCAACCAGCTTGCAACAGAAAGATTTGCTACTTGGTAAGAAAAACTCAGGAGTTAACTTTCCTCCTTCATTGCCTCGGGAGAGTGGCTGCAAGGAAGGGTGAGGTAGTCCCACCCCTGGGGGATTGATGGAGGGAGCTGGGGCCAATGGATTTATTTTATTTGGTGCTAATGGTGTGTTTCCCCCCCCCCCTTCCTCCAGGGAGGATTCAGGGACAGGCTACCCAATAAGATCCCATTCTTAGAGGTTAAAAACCTAGCAAAAAATTAGGCAGCTTCAATGGTTTTTTAAAAGCTCCGTGCGGGGGGGGGGGGGCAGAGAGAGAGAGAGAGAGAGAGAGAGAGACCTGAGTGAAGACTTCACAATGCACAGTACTGTGGTTTATACCTATCTATTTAACCTATAAGTGAGGACCTGAGTGAAGACTTCAGGGTGCACAGTACCCTAGCTGCCTGTCTATCTATTCCACACCAGAGGACCTGACTGAAGACTTCGCCCAGCCCATATGAGGAGGTTGCTAGTTTACTGAAGCTAAGGGAGCCTGGATTGAGGGCTTTAGGAAGGGGGATCCAGCAGGATTTCTTCCTAGGGTGTATTGCATTTGGGGAGGGGGTGTGGTCCTAGTAAGCAATGTGGATGAAAAAAAAAAATCCACCTCATGCCTGCTCAGAAGTAAAGGCAGAGGAGTCTGTCGGATTTAAGCAGGGGTCAAAATGTTACAGACTCTCAAAGCACCTAGCCTGCCATAAAACTATGAATTTTAAAAGAAGGGAGAAGCAGGAAGTCAGCTGGAGCAAAGTTGAGCACCGGAGTAAATTTTCCAGTTCTCCTCCTTTGGGCTTAATTTAAGGCCATGTTATTGTTTTCACCCTTGGCCTCTAAAGAGGAACATTTGATGTTTTTTCAACAAAACAATCTTTACTCAGAAAGTATGGGTGGCTTTTAAAATAAAAATAAATAAACATCGCCAAATCATTTTTGGCTTTCCAACAGCTGAGAACAGCTGGACATGCCCGTGCCCAAACTTTGACTTTTCGTATAAAGTATGGAATTGCATCCTGCAAGCAGAAAGCTAGCTGATCAGGGAACGGTTCTAGACTAGCCCGTTCCTTGAAAGCTTAGTTACCTACGTGCAAGCAGCTTTCTGAAAGAGTTTGGCGGGGTGTAATCAGCAGTGAGAGACTGCGTCTCCATTCAGGATGCAACCATTTCAAGGATCTCACCCTGCTTTTGTTTTTAAACTGATGGTTGTTGCCTTGTTGTTGTTTCCCTTCCTCTGCGTTAAAAGATGGAGAGATGCAGGAGAGACGAAGGGATGATGAAAGTTATATGGACAACGAACGTTCCAGAACTTTGTTGTGGAGCTAGGAAGCACACTGAGGACCAGAGAGATGAGAAGTCTGGGCAGTCTGGATGTTCGGAAGCGCCAGCCTGGCAGCCTCAGGAATCTGATTGTCTCCCTTCCATCTTCCTGGCAACTTTCCTGGCCCTCGTCTTTGTCTCCGTGTCAGTGGTCCTGCTTTGTCATGAGAATGTCCACCTTCCTTTGAGGGACCTCAAGGACTTGAGTCCCCAGAGTGTTCATCTGCCCAAGGAAGTTGTCCAATCTCTTCATCTTTTCTTCCCAAACCAGCTGGAATCCACCTGGAGGACATTCCTGCGATATGTTGGCAACCCTCTGAGGAAGTCTCATTTAGAGGATCCTTGGATCCTGGTTGGAATTGGCCCTGGAGATGCAAGCCGGACCCTTCTCTGCTTCACGAAGATGACGCTGTCCTTACTGACTCAGCAAAAACCCCTAAGTGTCGAGTTTCTGGACTCACCCAGCCCTTGGCTTCCTCCGATGGGTTCTTCTGAAAACAGGACCTGGGTGATCACCAGCGTCAAGGTTCTTCGGGGAGAGAAGAGTCTCCTGAGTGGATTGGTGGTGTCCTTGCAAAGTCTCCGGAATGGAAAAGGGGAAGCCACCAAGAAGACATTTGCCCTCGTGGGGAAGGGCGTGGAGCAGATCTGGGAGAAGTTCCTGCTGCAAAGATCGATCCCTTCGCTGATCTCTGGAGTTTTGAGCTTGAATCCCGAAAGGAGACCAGATGAGATGATGGTTGACCAGGAGAACTTTCTTGTTCTCTTCATCACCTTTGAGCAGTATTTGGAAAGTGGGTTGGTTTGCTAAAGGAGGCTCATGTTCTATGTGCTGTCCTTTCCTTCCACAGAGAGCTTTCTTCTAATTAATTGGGGACAGGTAGAATGAAAGGCCTACCCTAACGGGGAACCAAGAAGGTAGAATGTCAGGCAAACCTGTCTGGGAAGTGGGAAAATTGCTATGATTTATGAAGGGACAGGGGTGAAGAACAGTGTTCAGGCTAGGGAAGTGAAGACCTGCAAGTAGGAACCCAGATTTTCTGTGGACCCGAGCATTTATTAGCACCCATGAAATAAAGATGGAAGAGTGGACCTTACAGGTTTCTTTGTCGTGAAGATCTGCCCAAGAGAATGACCCTAGAGCAGTGTTTCTTCCACTTTGGCCCCCTTACAATGGTATGGACTTCAACTCCCAGAATTCCCCGGCCATAAAGAACAAAAAGAATTGATTTGTCCAGCTTTTCCCAAGTGTTGCAATCCGGACCGCGAATAAAAGTCCTGCAATCTTGCTTGTAAACTGATGATTGGACACACGTTCTGCTACACCTGTACTTAAAAGCTACCTTATTAAAGCCTGAACTATCTGCCGAGCCAGGGTGTGGGAATTGTCCAGGGTGTATGTTTACATTTTAGCAAAGTCCCCAGACCTTCCAGTAAAGATATCTCGCATTTTAAAATGTTGAGTGTCTTCTTTGTTGCTCTCAACCCAGGCACTGCTGACACGGGTTAAGGTTGGGGAAAGGGTGTGGGATGGTATGTGAGAATGACCTTTAGCGAGGGGAGAAAGAACAGCAGACCAAGCCATGGTTAGATAAGAGGCAGCTGAGCCCAGAGAAGGGAAAGGCAGGTGGGTGGGAAACCTGTCACAAGACCTACTTTCAAATTTGCAAGGTTCTTTTAATGTCACCTTACCGTAACATTTAGAGCCAGTACTTCTGGTGGTCCCTCTCGTTTGGACTACCTTGCTAGGTTGACAGGTGAGGAATTCTAGCCCAGCTGCTCTCGTTTCCGGGGGAAATGAAATGGGGGAGAAACCCTACGTTCTGGGGATCAACGCCCCTTCCTTCAAAAAGGGCTCTCAGCTACACAAACCTTCGGCCAATGAAACCGCCGAAGGGACAAGAAACCTGGCAAACAGGAGATGGCCCAAATCAGCTCAAGTTTTGTTTGCTACCTGGGCCCAGAGCCCAGCGTTTCTGACACCTTAGTTCTGGCCGCAGGTTGGGGAGAGAGAAAGAGAGAGGGAGGGGGGGAGAGAGAGGGAGGGAGGGAGGGAGGGAGACAGACAGAGGAGAGAGAGAGAGAGAGAGAGAAAAGAAAGAAAGAAAGAAAGAAAGAAAGAAAGAAAGAAAGAAAGAAAGAAAGAAAGAAAGAAAGAAAGAAAGAAAAAGAGGCTGCCAGAAATATTTGGAGCACCATTTGTTCTCTGCCTGAAATGCAAATGGGGCTAAGCCAGAATTTATAAACCGACAGAACAGGTTGCCCTTCTCGCTGGCTCGGCCGAGTGGACGTCAGGTTGATCAGAAGGAAGGAGGCTTCTGCAGAGCAACGTTTTTTCCAAAGGGGGGGGGGGAAACCTCTGTTCATCCCTGTAGAGGACACCACCAGCAGCTCCAAGCTGTGACCAAGGTCTCCATCTCCATAGCAGCCTCCAAGAAGCCCTGCTGTCTTCGGTTGTCTCCTTGGCTTCTGGTGATAAACAACAGCTGCCTCCCCGTCTTCCAGTGCTGAAAAACCCAGCCTTGGGCAAGCCCTGGGGGAGCCGCCGGTAGACAAGGACCTTGGCGTGAAGGAGGTGGTGTGTGTGTGTGGGGGGGGGGGGGAAGGATCTTTTTCCTCTCCTCCACGGATGGAGGCCCTGCCTCTCTTTGTGCAACCTGGAGAAGTTCTCCCCGGGACCCCCCCCAAATCTAGACCGACGGAGATGCAAGAATGAAGAGGATGCAATTGGCAAGGTGGGCTGGATATTTGCGGGGGGGGGAAGGGGCTGGATTTGTGTGAAATGAGCTGGGAGGAAGGTGCCCTCCCCCCAGGATTAAAAACTGTGGTTAGAACGAGGCAGGGGTTCTGGAGATCAACTGCAGTTAGGCCGTTTTGAATCTTCAGCAAGAAATTGTTTTAGGAAGGCTGTTTACAGCAGAGATCTTGCTGACTCCATTACACTATTTGGTGATGGAAATCCAGTAAGGAGGTGGCTTGCGAGAGAAGGCAGGGAGTGTAACTCAGCGTGAATGCCTTTGCTGTGCTCAACAAAAGTTCTGGGTTCAAGCCTTAAAAAGATCTGGAATTCTGCTGGCCATGTATAAATGATGGCCAGCAGGTTTCTAAATTATATATAATTAGACAAGACTGGCCTGTTTTGAAAGCTGCTTCCAATGTTCTCTGATGTTTAATGGTGAAGAATTTAAGAGCGGCTTGGAGACTCGGAGCAACTAATCTTTGAAAATCAACAAGTCTTGTCTTGGGTGGATAATTATTCGTAGACACGGGGTCCTTTTTCGGATGCCTGCATGGTGTAAAGGGTGCTTGTGATGGGCTTGGGGTGGTAGAAGGAGGCTGTGCGTTCGGCACACTGGACTGCAACCGAGTGAAGAAGCAATTGAGTAGAAAAGGAGAAACTTACAGTCCCCCACAGTTAAGGACTGAAACTTCTGTTGTAAAGCAATGTGGTTGTTAAAATTGAGTTGCACCGGGTTTTGCAACGTTTTGGCCACGGTTGTGAAGGAACTCACCGCAGTCACTAAGCGAGTTGGGCGGTTCTTAAGCGAATCACGTGAAGTGATGCCATGACTGCTGCAACCGTCATGTGAGAACTATTTGTAAGTCACTTCAAGCCAAGGACCACTTGCCTAAGTTCCTGAGTAGACCAAGGACATCCATTTAATGCCTGTGTCATGAGGGCTAGAAACTTAAAAAAAAAACCCAAAGTGCACCTTTGCCACAAGCTCATTTCCACCTCCTCCCTCATTTCTGTGGTCATATCTTTGACTCTCCGTCCCCGGGGACAGCGGCTTGCCGTATCCTGTAACGCATTACGTCCTTATAGAGCACTGTATAAATAGCAGCTGGGTAATTCAAGCATCCCGTGAGATTTCACACATGCCTAGCCTTCTTATTCTAACTTCTCCCTTTATTTTTTTTTTTTTTTGGCTCCAGCGATGGATTTTGAGCGCTTTAAGAAAAGGGGGCTTCAGTCTGTCCAGCAATCCCACCGCATACTCCAGGATGCCATGAAAATGATCCACCGTGCTTCTGCTGGCTCTTTCGAGCCTCTGAGGGTAATTTTAAGAAACATCAGACTGTCAAAGAGAGACCAGCCAAACTAGAGGAGGCGTCAAGCCGGGAATTAGTCTGGAATCCTTACATGGGGACAAGAAGGCAAAGTCTGATCCCTCTCGGATGCTGTTGAGCCTTATCTAATCCGGTCCAGTTGCATACCTCCAGTCCAGGAAGCTTCCTGCGAATCGGGCGTGAGCAATAAAGTCCCGAATTGAACTCTCCACATGTGGAGCAGGTCTGTCGCGCTGGACACGGCCCCTTCTGACTTTTCATGCAAAATAGGCATGGCCAAAAATGTTGACCAGGAGCCAAGCTTGGTCTCCGAATGCGCAGTCTGCTGGAACGCTTACGATAACATTTTCCGGACCCCGAAACTCCTTCGATGCGGCCATTCCTTTTGCATTGAATGCCTGGCGCACCTCAGCCTGATCTCCACCACACGGAGCCAGCTGCCTTGCCCTCTCTGCCGCTGCCTGACCATGTTGCCGGCCAACCAGCAGGTGACCGAACTGCCCACCGACATCACCATCCTGCACAAGTTGGGCCTGGAGCCCAACCACATCATCCTGGAAGGACGGCAACTGTGTCTGAAGGAGCAGCGGAAGACCAGGTATTTTCTCCGGCAACCCAGGGTCTACACCCTAGACCTGGGCATGGACCCCGAAATCGGCACCCAGACTTACCCTGAGAGCCCCCAACCGGCGACTGTGGCCAGCACCCCCACTGCTCCTCGGCGTTCCCTTTTCCGAGAATGCATCCGGAACCCGCATCTTCGGATCTTCACGTACTTGATGGTCATTATCTTAAGCGTGACTTTGCTACTCATCTTCTCCGTCTTCTGGACAAAAAACTTTTTCCCAGGTTTGGGGTGAGGGAAAAGCAACAGCTTGAAACTTGCTTTTGGTTTCCTGGGGGGGGGGGGTTCCCGCAGGGCCTGGGAACGGAGGAAGCTGGGAAGTATTTTGGGAAGGTGGATCCAATCTTTTCCTAAAGTGAATTTGGGGATTAAGAAGGGAGGAGTATGACCACTGTGAGGGTTTTTTTGCCTACGTCCAATGCCTTCGCCATAAGCAGCAAGTTCTCCTCGACAGAGAACAGACTCCAGAATGTGTGAATGGCGCAGTTCCTACCATGCACCATCCAATCCAGAAATCTTAAAAGAGTTTGCCACTACCCTACCTTACCCTGGTTGGGGAAAAAACCGCCAATAAAACAGATTTTTAAGATCAAGAAGGGGGAGGAGACCACCTGCCTCCTGAAGCTGTAGGTGCTCCAACATCAGGGGTTTTCAAAAAGAGATTATCTGAAATGGTATTGGGTTTCCTGCCTGAGTAGGGGGTAGGACTAGAAGACCTCCAAGGTCCCTTCCAATTCTTATAATATTCTGTTAACGGTGCTTAATGGAAAGTCAAGTTAAGTTTGTCTTTGCACTCAAGATGCAGCGTTTGTAAATGCAAAAGTGTGCATATGTGTTGGTAGAGGACAGGAAGACCTGGATGAATGTTGTCCATGGGGTCGCGATGGGTCGGACACGACTTCGCAATTAACAACAACAATGTGCATATGTGTATGCGTGTGTGTGAGAGACAATCAGAGAATCAATCATATAAAGAAACATTTGTGTGTGTTTTCTCCCCCCCCCCTTCATCTGCTGGGCTGGTTCGTATCATTTATTTATCAAATGCCGCCTGTGTACCTAGCAGATGCATCCATCCATCTTTGTAAAATTGTTTTGAGCAGAGTTAAGAGGGTTTTTTGTTTTGTTTTTCGGATTTTGTATTTTGCAGTATAGCCTGTTCTGGAAACCTGGCCTGTTTGATGTCTGATTTGAGTGATGTGGGCTAATTCAGGTCAAAGCTGCCACTGAGTTAAAACCAATGGGGTGAAATTAATTTTACTGAGGAGGGTGAGTGTGGCAGGAAGAAATCCATCTTTGGCTCCCAACAGGGAGTTTTATCCTAAAGTTATTTTTTCTGAACTGAGACAGGGAAAAGAAGGATCTGACTGAAAATTATTTAATTAGGAGCTCCAACGTTCCCCCCCCCCAAGCTGTGTAGCCTAAATCCATTAAGTCCCTGCGTATGAGTGCACAAGGAAGCAGAGAGCAGCAAGCAGGGAAAAGTCACATAAACTACTCAAAAGTCATTTGAAGCCTTTTGATGCTTGGTTTCCGTTAGGCACAGAGCAAATAATACTTAAAAAAAATTAGATTGCCTAGGGCAAAGAGGTAGGCCAGGGTTGAAAAAGAGGCTGAATTCAGACAAAAGGATGTTGGCTTAATCTGTTCCTTTGTTATCCAGCTAGTATTTTCTGCAACAGGAGGAAAGTGCTGGAAGAAAAATCTCTATTTTTTTTTTTTTTTAAACAACAAAAGAGGTGTTTAAACAACACTGGTGTTTTCAAGGTCTATTTGATGGGCCAACGGATATTTGCTTCCAGGGTATATTTGCTATTTGGCTCCTGGTTGAAATTTTTGGCCAAGGCTCTGAGTAAACATTTATATTTGTATATTTGCTACCAAGAATAACACAACATTTGCAGTGGGGGATAGTAGAGGGGTAGTCTAATTTAGCAGAAAAACCACCTGGGGGGGGGGGGAAAGTCCCGCGCTGGTAAAATACATCAGGAACCAACGTTGTGGTCCACGTTTTGTTTGAGCAATAAAGAGTTTCAGCTGCTGGTTTGATTGCCAGGCTGTGGGCCCTTCAGAGGGTGGGTGTGTTACTTAAGAGGAGGCTGGACTGAGCCTAGGAAACGCCAGCTGCCGACCTGCCTACATCAGACCCTAAGCAACAGCAACAATAAATAGTAGTACATACAGGATAAGTGACGGCTGCGGTTTGGAATACAAAGAGTGTTTGGTTTGCTTATCGCCAAGGAGAGTCTTGCTGAGCTGTCAAGAGAGAGAGTCAAAGCAAATCAGGGACGGCAACAGCCTTTGCTCAAGAAATGGTGAAAAAGAGGAGTGGGCCAAATCCCCCTTCTTGGTTTGGATGTTGAGGGAGTGATTGTCCCTCAGCCCTGACGTCAGGAAGGGAAGCAGGTGATGGAAGTGCCAAAAAGGGAAGGAAAAAGAAAGAGAGGGGAGGGGAGGAGAGGAAGGCTAGGGAAGGGAAGGAGAAGGGAAGAGAAAGGAGAGGAGAAAGGAAAGGAGAAAGGAGAGGACAGGAAAGGGACAGAAGGAAGGAACTGCTGGTCCTTATGGTCATCAAACAAGTTAGCTGTAAGTTGAGGACTACCAGAACAAGTCATCCGGCACTAAGTTAAAAAGACAAACTGCAGACAAGGGAACCGGTGGAGGCTTTGAAACAGAAGCAGCCATTTTGCTTTAATTTACTGTTGTTGTTGTTTTTTAAAAAAGTCTCTGCCCAACAAAAGACCCTATTCCCAAACAGAGGTCCAAAGACCCCCTATTTGAGGGGACCTTCCAGAAGTGTGTGTGTGTGTGTGTGTGTCCAGGGATCAGCAAAAGCAGGGGAGCCAACCTTTAACAGCCAGGATGAAAAGTGTGTGGGGTTTTTTTCCCCCCACAATGGAGAGAATCTGGAGCCCACCGGAGAGGGAAGGAGGAGTATAAAAAAAATAGATTCTCAAACGGGCGTTTCCTTGAACGCCACTAGCACAGGAGGAGGAAGAGGATGGTCTGCGGACTCCGCACACCACTTGTGATTGGATCTCCCCGACATAAAACAATCCGGGTCACCCCGGGGAGGTGAGGAGGTAAATACCCGGCTTATTCTGCCATCCATAGCTTGAAGGTCCGGTCGTAGGAGCAAGTAGCGATCAGCTGCCCGTCCAAGGAAATGTCCAGACCCATGACTTTGCCCTCGTGTCCGGCCAACGTCTTCAAGGGGTTCCAGCCAGGGTGGGTCCACACCTTGGCCGTGTTGTCGTAGGCCCCGGTCAACAAGAAGTTGCCGTGATTCGCTGGAAGGACGGAAGCACAAAGAAAAGTGATCCGGAAGGGGTTGGGGAGAGCAACTGATCTTGGAAAACACATTGCAGGCAGCGAAAAACAGGAATGGGGAAGAAGGGGAGGGAAGGAGGGGGAGGGAGGGGAAACTTAACGGAGGGAAGGTGGTTCTTATTTTTTTTTAACTTGTATCCCATCTTTATATTATTTTTATAAATCTCCAGGTGGAGAACATATTCACAGCTTCCTCCCATTTTCCCCACCTCTTGTGAGGTGGGCTGGGCTGAGAGAGGGGACTGGCTCAAAGTCAGCCAGCTGGCTTTCATGCCTAAGACTGGACTAGAATTCTCTGTCTCCCACAGACTGGCCCAAAGTCACCTAGCTGGCTTTCATGGCTAAGGTGAGACTGGAACTCACTGCCTCCTGGTGATTGGTCCAAAGTCACCCAGCTGGCTTTTATGTCTGAGGCAGGACTAGGATTCCCATTTCCTTGTTTCTCGTCCGAAATGTTAAGCACGGCGTGGAAGTGGGTCTCCAGAAGGGATCTGCCCTTCTGCTGGGAGTTTTTTTTTTTTTTCCAACTTGAAGCTTAACCTATATTTCCAAGTGGTCCCCTCACCAACTCTTAACCAAGTCTGATGTGAGGCTGCTTAGTTTTCCTTCAGATCGGGCAAAATGAGCTGGGCCATGCCTCTAGGGACGAACTAAGTTGACTTAGAAGAACAAGGGAAGCTGCTCCATTGCCCTCAAATCTTAGTCCCATTTGCCGGGCCCTCAGCAGTTCCCAAAAGTTGATGCTTTGAGTTTTAGAGTCCAGATGTTAGACTCCTGCTGCAGGACCGTGGTGGGGAGACTTACGTTCATATTTCACCCCGGTGATCAAATTCTGATGGGCGGGGATGGTGTAAATGCACCTCCTCTGGCGAAGGTCCCAAACTTTGCAAGTGTTGTCTCCACTGCCGGTAGCGATGTGGTACCTACGAGTGGGGGAGGAGGAGGAGGAGAAAGAGTGAAACGGGGCCTTACACTTAGTAGCAAGGGCAACAGCCCACAGACTTATATACCGCTTCGCAGTGCTTTACAGCCCTCTCTAAGCGGTTTAGAGTCAGCCTCTTTGCCCCCAACAATCTGGGTCCTCATTTTACCGACCTCGGAAGGAGGGAAGGCTGACTCAACCTTGAGCCGGTCAGGATCGAACTCCTGACAGTGGGCAGAGTTTGCCTGCAGTACCGCCTTCTAACCACTGCGCCACCAGGGCTCTTCAAGCAGGCGGAGAGGAAGGAACATATAATCCATATAATCCATGCCAAGATGACAGCCTGGCTCTTACCCATTAGGGGAAAAGCTGACCCCGTAGATCTCTTTGAGATGTCCTTCCAGGAACATGATGCAGCGGCCGGTGCGCAGGTCCCAGACGCGGCCAAATGCATCGAGGCCGCTGGAACAAACCCAAAATACGTCAGATAAATACAGGGAGTGCGCGGCTTAACATCCGTTCTGGCCTTAGGAAGCCGCTCAGCTTAGCCTGGGAAGGTCATTGAGTACCCCATTCGGCCAACGAACGCACAGAGGCTGAAGGCTTACCCAGTGCCAGCTAGGGAGCCATCACCATGGAAGGCGATATCGTAGACCCCTTTGCTGTGCCCCTCCTGGTGGAGGATCTCCTCCTGAGCTTCCAGGTCCCACAAACGCCAAGAGTGGTCGTAGCTACACAGGAGAAATAAGGAAGATTAATTCGGCAGATCTTGCAGAGGTCCAGCAAATATTTCCTCCATGGTATATAAGTAAGTCAGGTCAGGTCAGGTCTGTCTTCTGTCTATCTCTAGCTGTTTGTCTGTTGTCTGTCTGTCTGTCTAGCTGTCTATCTATCTATCTATCTATCTATCTATCTATCTATCTATCTATCTATTATCTATCTATCTATCTATCTATCTATCTATCTATCTATCTATCTATCTATCTATCTATCTCTAGCTGTCTGCCTGCCTGCCTGGCTACCTATGTCTGTGTGTCTGTCTGTCTACCCACCCACCCACCCATTTAGATCTGAGCCACGGGGGCGCAGAGATTAGAACGCAGCCTTGCAGGCTAACCCTGCCCACAGCCAGGAGTTTGATCGTGACTGGCTCAAGTTTGTCTCAGTCTTCCATCCTTGCGAGGTGGGCAAAATAAGGATCCAAGTTGTTGGGGGCAATAGGCTGGCTCTATAAACCGCTTAGAGAAGGCTGCAAAGCACTATGAAGCTGTATATAAGTGCTAAGTCCTCTAGTACGATTTAAGGAAGAATTATAGATACCGGCTTTCCTCAACTGGTGCCCTGGGACCACCAATCCCAGAATCCTTGGCCAGCTAGGGAGTGCCCGACAATTTCAATCCTTCCCCCCCCCCACCGCCATTTAGCAGAGGTAGAGAGAGACCTTCTTACCACGTGGTGCCCAAAAACCTCCCAGAGGGATGCCAACTGACCCGAGCCACTCTGACCGTGTGCCCTTCTATGTCAGCCACTGGTTCGTCGCTGAAAGAAATCAAGATTGCCCCATTAAAGCTAAAATGACACCATGAAGGGGCAGAAGAAAACAGGGAAGGGGAGGGCAGCGCCACATGCTCAGAGGTCACCGTAAAGGTGGATTTTTACTATTTTCTTGCAGACATTTCATAACCCAAGTAGGTAACAGCATCAGTGTGTAGGGGGAGGGGGAGGAGGACTGTGGGGTCTTTGGTGCTCTCTGAGCTGGGTTGTTTTCTTGCAGACATTTCATGACTCAACTAGGTAACATCATCAGTGCTAGAAGGAAGTAGAGTGTCGGAGGACAATTAAAAAAAAATAAAAATAAATACGGAGGCTTTATTGGAAATAGCAAAGGAGAAAGGTCTGCACAAACCTTTCTAGACTCCAGAGCTTGACCGAGCCGTCAGCTGCGCAGGACGCCAGATTGACATCCTTCTTGTCCAATGAGATGGTTGCCTTGGGATGGAAGACGATGGCGCCAACATTGGTATTATGCCCTTAGGAGAGGCGAGAAAGCTGCCAGTTCAAATCACGGTACCCCAAGGTTTGTTTGCCCGGTCTGAACCGGGTTGTGTTTGCGGTTATGGTTTCAGGGGAGGGGAGAGACGCCGTACCTCTCAAAGTGAGGACAAGCTTGCAATCTGGCACTGACCATATCTTGCACAGGCCGCTCCTGGGAGGCAGAAGAAAAGGAGATCACAAGGAAAAGACTAGGACCCTTCACTGCTGTAAATTATTCATGCTCAATATATAATAAAAATGCAGATGATTAACGGGTTATATCACTTGCAGGCTTAGGCCGATGCTATAAACGTCAGGTTTTAAACTGGGTGCCCCCTTCAACCATTCTTCCCCCCCTTGCCTGAGGTGACCCCAGAAAGACAACGAACCCTTCTTACCAACAGGCCGTGGCCAAGAATTTGGAGTTGGAACTGAAGTGACAAAAGGAAATCGGACGGTCATCCCCAATTTGGCTGCAGAAGTTATTCAGAGACTGGAAACGAAACCATACCGTAAGAATTAAGCAGCCAGTTCTTTCAAAAGAATTATTAATATAGACTGCTAGTCTATAATATGCCGTATGCTAAATAATAAATAATAAATCTTTTCAAAGGATTTAAGAGGAGAGAGGCAGAGGGAGAGGGAGAGAGAGAGAGAGAGAGAGAGAGAGGGAGAGGGAGAGAGAGGATGTAAAAAGAAAAGGCAGAAAGAGTAGGAAAAAGAACATTCATTCCCAAATGCTTCACATTACATCCTCAAAACCATTTACCAAAGGACTTGGAAGGCATAAAGTTTTACTTTTTTTTTCTTGATTTACAATCACCATAGAGCCCGACATTTCTGTTGCTAAGTGAGGCGTTTCTGACGTGAGTTTTGCTTAATAGGGCTAGTAAATGTGTTTCTTTTCCCAGCCCAAAAAAGGCCACTGATTAAATATGCAACATTTAGCATGCAAAGCAGACCTAGTGAAGCAAAGCTTCTATCTTTTGGTAGGGAGGGGACTTATTTTAAGCTACCCACCCTCAAAGATTTGTGAAGCTCTTGTTTCTGGGATGTCCGTGTGGCTTCGGGCACCTCCTTAAACAAACGGGCTTCGTCCAGTCGCTTCACTGCTCTGCGCAAAGAGAAAGAGAAATGTGTTACATGTAAAAGAGAATATTTGTAGCTCAGGGCTGAATTTACTAGCACAACTTACTTTGTGCTCTCCGAGTTGTGTGTGTGGGGAGGAGGTGATGGTGGAGGAGGAGGAGGAGGAGGAGAACTGTGGGGTTGTTGCTCTCTGAGTTGAATTGTTTTCTTGCAGATGTTTCATTACCTAGCTAGGTAACACCATCAGTGTTAGAAGAGAGTGGAGTTTGCTCTCTCCCTTTCACTAATAGTCTTACCGTGGAAGAGAGTAGTTTGCAATCCAGAGTCTGGCTGTCTTCAAGGTGGTTGGCCCTTCGTGGTACCAAGTCTGCTGATACTAAGAAAGACAAATTACAAAAGAAGTGAAAGACAAATTACCCACACTTTTTTGCAGAAGTGGAGTGATGCACAATATATTTTCCAGAGAGGATTCTTAGGTATTTCCACCCTCAGTGGAAAATCATTTCCACGGTCAACTTTAATTTGGCCTCTAGCTCAGCTGATTTATGCACAGATCAAAACTCTCGTTTCAAAGGGATTGTTCTTGTATATAAGCATTTGGCATAATGGAAGGGCAGTACAAGAGGAGACAAAGAACACAAAAAGAGCAGCCATATAACATACTCACCTCCTCTTTGGACTTCTTCGATTTTTCATCATCCTTCTTGGTTTTTTTCAAGGCATCCGGACCAACCACCGAGAGAATGTTACGCAGTCTGACAAGAAGGAAAGGCCGAATGTGTAAAATGCTCTTTTATTTACGAAAGACAAGGAGGGTCAGTTCAATATAAATAAAATTAAATAAATAAATAAATAAATTTAAATATCGATTCTCACCGCTCCCTCCTTTCAGCTGGCCCTTCTCCAAAGAGCGTTATGGGTTCTCCGAGCGCCCGTAAGCAGGCCTTGACCTCGGAGTCATCGGTGGAAACGTTGATTTGCCTGGCCCGTTTCCGGCGCTCAAATTCGGCCAGAACCTCTGCTTGACGCTCGCTGATATGGTCTTCCAGGTCAAAAACTTCGCCTAGCCCATAGGATAAATGCAGTAAAGGTCAGATCTGCCAGGCACAGGAGAGAGGAAAAAAAAACCCCAAACTTTGTTGCTTTCCTGGGCACTGGGCATCTTCTTACCGGTGGAGATGTTGATATTGCCCGCCTCAATGGCTGTTTTGACGGCTTCTTTGCCCATCATTGCCGACTCGCCCTTCAGGATCCGCTCGCGCTCTTTCTCCTCCAGGCTCCCATAGAAAATAGGGCCCTTCTTAGCAGGAGGGGCGTCTCCATCGTCGGAAGCCTTCGTTTTTGTCCCCTGCAAAGAAAACCAAGGTGTTCATGATCCAGAATGGCCACAGAGCAAATCCAAAGAGGGTGATGGGAATTTTAGTCCAACATTCCAGCATCTTGATGGTAGACTCCATGTTCCCCCCTTGCTCTCTGCTCTCCACCCATCCAACTTTTTAAGTCTTTATTATCATATGTATCATTTATTCTTTTTAGTATTTATTCTTGGTGTGTGTGTGTGTGTGTGTGTGTGTGTGTGTGTGTGTGTGTGTTTTAAAAACACCTGGATTTGACCATCCCTATGCAATATGGACAACACTGCACCTAATTCACACTGGCCATTATAGATGCACAATCACCCTCTACAAACCATCGCAAAATACTACACACACAAACACACACACACACACACACGTACATATATATTTGTATATATAATAAAAACATTATTATTAAAAAAATTCTTAGCAGCCTCCTGCTTGTCATGATCCACGAGGGTGGCTGGGGATAAGAGTAGGGGGGGGGTGTATTCACCCCGCCATTGGAAACACGCCTTTATCCAGCCTGGGCCCGAATGGCCCTGGCTGTGGTCAATGGGCATTGTAGTCCAACGTTTGAAAAGCACCGGCTGGAGCGAAGGGGAGAGTATTTGTTTTATTTTTATTTTTTTATTATTTGTTCCCAGCGCAAAGCCAAACAGACCCAGCCCAGCCCAGCCGTCCCCGACTTTGACCCACCGCGGAGACCCGCAACGAAGCCATAGCGCCCCTGGCAGCCATTCTGGCCGGATGGGAAGCTTCCTACGAGCACTTCCGGAGCGATGACATTTGGCCCCGCCTCTCTCTTCCAACCGGCCAATGGGCTCTAGGCGACCGCGGGCCTCTGTGACTCGCTTCCGGCAGGCGGGGGCTGCGAAGGGAGCTTCGCGCATGCGCACTTGGGAAGAATACGGAGGATGCTGCGGAGGAAGCCGACCCGGCTGGAGCTGAAGCTGGACGACATCGAGGAGTTCGAGGGGGTCCGCAAGGAGCTGGAGGCAGGCTTGTGTGTGTGTGTGTTGTGTGTTTGTACCCTCTGGGGAGTCCCAATTGAAAACTGAGCCCGGGAGCACTCTGCCCATGCTCAGAGGTGCTCTCTCCCGTGGGAAACTAATGCTTTTAAGTGGTTCCAAGGAAGTGAGAAGAAAAAAAACAAAGTGGCTTTGTTTTATATAGGGGAATGCCCGCGCGGAGGGTCTAGAAATATTCTGCACATGCTCAGAGGCAAGCCGTTCCCCAAGCATCTACAGTTTTTACGATTCCAGATTAAAATCTTTTCTCGAGATATATACGGCCCTTAATTTAAATGAACTAAAAAGAAGCCAGCCTGATCCTAAGGATGCTAAATCTAAAGCCCTAAATCTGATTCTCAAGGATTAGGGGGGCTGTTTTTAGTTTATTTAAACTAAGGGCAATCTCTCTCTCTCTCTCTCTCATCCATCCATCTATCTATCTTCCTATCTATCAAGATAATAAAGCATGTTGTTACTAGTCTATGGAGCCACATTTTTACTACACCTTGAATCTATTTCTTGAATCAGAAATAAAATGATAAAACACGCCATTTTGTAATGATGAAGACAATACCACTTTATAGCAATGAACCAAAGGGATTTACGCTTCTAACTTCAGAATATTATACAAAATAGTCAACGTGTGTCCTTTGCATCCATAAGGATGCGTTGCACGTTAAATAATAGCCCATATTTTATATATTTACAGTTGTATTTTTGAATAAGCCATGCAGGAACTGAAATGAACCTAGCTGCTGGCCAGGATGACTGAATATACATTGGGCCTATTCTGATCCTATAAATATATATATTTCTGATTCCCCCCCTTTCTGGGGTGTTTCCAAAGCATTTGATTATTTAGTGAATTTAAATGTATTACATAAGGAGTTGGAGTTGTGTTTCCTGAAGTATCTGCACCTTGTTATTTGCAGATGCAGAAAAAGCAACGGGAAGAGGTCGACATGGTGGGAACCAATGACGGCGAAGGGGCCCTGGCCTTGAACCCCGATCACAAGAACTGGGAGCAGGTGATTCACGATCGGATCGGCTACAAGCCTCAGCCGAAACCCAGCAGCCGTTCATCACAGTTTGGAAACTTCGAATTCTAAAATGCTGGGATGGATCTTAACTTCAAGTGAATCATGCTTAGGAGAGATTGTGAGAAGCTGATTTACAATGAGGGCAGATGAAACCCATAAGGATTTTATCCTTCTGGAAGATAAAGACTTTTCTGTTCTCTAAAGAATGAGATTGGGTGCTTTTTTTCCACCCCACTTGAAGACTGCCTTCAGACAACCTGCTACCCTGGATATCTTTACCAACCTCCCATTTTGCAACCAGAGGCCTTCAATCTTTCAACAGCAACACTGACAGAACTGCTGTAGCATGACTTCTGTGTGCAGATATTTCTAGATGTCACTATTGGGGAAATGTTGCATGGTGTAGCCATCCTCAATACGAAGAAAGGGTTTATTTCTCGTGTTCAGGATGTGGGGGCAGACCCGCCTCCTCCCTCCAATCATTTTAACAAGGATGAACTCACAGGCTCACCTTTTCCTAGAAGTGGTTTTGTTGTCGAAGTTACCTTATTTTCCTCCTTGTGCATTTTACCCCTTGTAACACTGAACATATTAAATTTCGACTTATGGTTGAGATAACAGTATTGGGGCGTGTTATGTGTGGGGCTGTTCAAACCTGTTGCATACCTGGATACAGGTATGAGAGAAGGGTATTGTCGGGGGGGAAAAAAGTCAAAAACTAGCTGATGGGTTGAATCTCTTTATTCTACTGAACCACGTAGGGTAGACATGTAAACATATCCCACGTCCATCATTTTTGATTAAGACACTCTATACTTTAGAAGTTACAACAGCGTAAATCATTAGTATTCACGTAATGGTAGCCGATGCATACACTTCCATCAGCTATGGATTTAAAATAAGACATCCTACACAGTACACTACACGGCCCGATGAAGCAATATGGCTAAGGCACATTTTTTTCCATGAATACACTAAGAACGAGGAGGGAGACTAGAGCAACATAGCTATGGAAAAAACAATACTGTGAATCGTGGTCAGCTGTAAATGAGACAAGATTTTTCTGTCAACAAACATAAGGGAAAGACACCCACAGGTGATATGGAATTTTTGTTTTCCCACCTTCCCATTAACGTACACAGAAAATATCCAGTTGCTAAAGCTGGCACTCTGACATGGTTCATATAATATTAGCCAAGGAGCCACTCCCTTCTCTGAGTTTACACAGGATGGATAGAAGCAAGCAGACGGACGTGAGACGCTAAGTTATAGAGGAAGTTAGCCATGGTTGAAGCCCCACAAAATTAGCCAAAGATGTCATGGGACCCAACTCAACTTCATGGCTGAGATGAAATGGATTATAAATCGAGTCTTTGTGCCTTTTAAAGAGGCTAAAAACTTGATTGTACGGTTGTGGGAGAGGAGAAGGCTGATTCAGCTACCGCTTTACTATTCAGCACATGCTGTTTGGGTAAATGCCATCCTTTTGTTTTGTGCTCTGCGTGCAGAGATTGTAGCAGAGCCAACCAGCCTGGAGGAAGGCTTGTGCGATTTTGCTGTGTTGCAAAGCAAAATGCCAGCCTCCTGCCAATTGACAATCAGGTGACACCATGCTGCAGATTCCCTATGGTTGCAGTTCTCCAGCTTGTGTGTACTTTCCCCTCTCGGGCAGATGGTTAAAAAAAAAAACACAAAAAAGTTTGATATCTCAGCATGGATGTTAATCCAGCTTCCACTCTCTTCCTTCCATGGAAGGAATTAAAAGTCAAAGCGAGAATATCTGCTCCTTCAGGTAATGCAACCTCAGCCCTGCGTCTACTTCCTTGCAAGGGGAGAATGGTATCATCCCACAATATGAATTCTTACAGGACAAATTTTGCGGGCATTGTGGGTCTCCCGGTGGCCATCCAGTTGTGCCTAAGATACTCCCGGGCATGATTCAAAAGTAAACATTTTCCCCTCTGCTGCTGTTCGCCATTCAGGAGATAGAAAATGGCCATCAAGACCAGCAGCCCTTGAGCATCGTCCTCCGATGCATTTCAAACCAATTTTTTTTTTAAAAAAATAATACTAAAAGTATCTCTTCTTGAAGACCTGTGATATCTAATAGGACTCGCTGATTGTGTTCACATGATAAGATTGGACCACAAACTACCCAACTTCATTTTAGGCTAGTTTGCATGACAAGTACATGGCACCGCTTTGGGTGAACCTGGCAAGCTGAGTTAACTGAATAAACCATGGTTAAATTAATGTAAGACAGCATACTGAAACAACCAATTGGATAAAACATGGTGAAGCTACGGTAGTCTAAACTGGCATGCGGCTGAAACAACCAATTAATTAACAATGCTACATTAAATGATTGACAGGCGACTGGTGTATTGTTTCTACTTTTAAATTTGTGTCTGATGTCAGCGACAGGCTAAATTGAAGGTTGATTATCACGGTTGGTACAAGCAGACAACAAAGGTAATTTTCTGCGTGGACTGCTGAAAGGATGGTTGCTGGTTTTTCTGAGTTTCAACCTTGCCCAAAATTAGGGGCCCAAGAAACAATTGATTCTAACAACCACATCCACGGGTGTGTGTGTGAGAGAGAGAGACAGACAGACCAATAAACCAGCATTTATGCAGGATGAAAAAAGAATAGTAAAAGGAAATCCCCCACCTAAAGCAGGAGAGATAGGTCACACTCTGCCTAAAACCTGTATCCCAGAGTTGTCTGAAGCCACCAGGGTCTTAAGAAGGACATGACAATTAGGTTTAATGCTTAAGAGAGGAAAAAAAGATGTCGGCCTGAAAATCAGAAAAAAAAAACTTAAAACCCTTGAGTACTGCAGGTTTATTTAAAATGTATATATCTATATATATTAAAAAAATCATACTTGTTCCCCCATTATTTTTCCACCAGCACGTCACGGTTAGAAATGGGTACTGTAATGGGCAAAGGGTTCCTTTCCACCCCAGAGCAGCTACAGAAGAAGTAGAGTCCCTAAAAACCTTCCTGGGTGAAAGACAGTGGCTTCCTAGAACCAAATCCACACAACTGTTTGGCAGCTGTGAAACGCAGTTGGCAAAAGCGGAGCTGATGTCTCAAGGAAAGAGGGACGGGCAGCGCTAGACTGCCGATCACACATACTGGCCTCAGAGAGATGGTGGTGGTGGGTGCCTACTTCTCTTGAAGGAAGACCCGCTCTTGTGGTCCTTGCCCTCTTTTATTTGTCCTTAGAAGCACAAATAAAAGAACATGGAATGGGCTGGTTCAGCTCCTGCCAGCTCCTTTGAATCATGGCACAGACTAAAAGAAAACCTGATCAAGTACGCAATGTGTCATCCATCAACCATGCTGAGTAGGTTGCCTTAGCCGGCCGCTGACTCTTTTACCTGTGGCTCAGAAGTCTCCCCGCCCCAAAGGTTCTGGGGAAGAGGGGAAACGTGGGGAGAGAGGAGCAGGAGGGCGTCCCACGGCTGTTTTCCTTGGCATGTTTCTAGTAAACCTAGTCCTTCGGAAGGCTGAAGGGGTAGCAGAGGTCACTGTTAATGGCAATGCTCGGTGATGTCCACCACCACGGCCTTTTTCCAGCTGAAGAAGAAGTAGCCCGCCCCGGCGCCGCCCGCCACCGCGATGCAGAGGTAAGCATTGTAGGTCATGAAGATGAGCATCAGGAAGTAGCTGACCACAACCTGGATGATGTGGAGGATGGTCTGGAAGAGGTGAGGCACGCTCAGCATCTGCTGGCTAGCCGAACGGGAAAAAAAATGAAATGAAGATCAGGCGCTTTTATTTATTCCCCATCTTTATTGTTTTTTTTTAATAAATGACTCAAGGCAGTGGATGGACCTCGTGCTCCTTCCTTCTCCTATTTGCTTCACAACAACCCTGAGAGGGAGGAACTAGATCAAAGTCCCCCAGCCAGCTTTGATGGCTAAGGCGGGACTAGAACTCCCAGTCTCCTGGGGATTGGCCCAATCACTCAGCCAGCTTTGATGGCTAAGGCGGGACTAGGACTCCCAGTTTCCTGGGGATTGGCCCAAAGTCACCCAGTTGGCTTTGATGGCTAAGGCAGGACTAGGACTCCCAGTCTCCTGGGGATTGGCCCAAAGTCACCCAGCCAGCTTTGATGGCTAAGGCGGGACTAGGACTCCCAGTCTCCTGGTGATTGGCCCAAAATCACCCAGCCGTCTTCCATGCCTAGCACTCTCCATCTCTCAGTGATTGGCCCTAAGTCAGCCCTCTGGCTTTTATGCCTAAGGTGGGACTAGAATTCCCAGTCTCCTGGTTTTGAGCCTGCTACCAGCGGCATGCAAGAATAATACAACCACAGTTTTTTTGCTGAAACAGCAAAGGAGGGAGTTGGAAGCTTAAAAGGGATCCAAAGGAACCCTTTTACAAACGCCCAGTGTGGACACTTCAGACCCAGAACGGGTTCTCTGCAGCTCCCTAGAAAAGGCGACTCTTGCGTTCTCACGAGCATCTGGCTTAGCTAGGTCTCCAGCTCCCTCCTTTGTGTTTCGTCTCGCAGCCGAACAGCCATGTGTGTGCTCACCCAACTGTTTTGTGCGTCTCCATCAGGACAGTCCCGTTGGGCCCCGGGAGAGGCATGGAGTTGTAACGGATGCTGACTTGCGACTTCCGCAGGAGACTCTCCCGGCCGATCTTCAAGCCCTCGTAGAACATGGCCAGGAAGAAAATAGCCACGAATGCGCCGGCCATTTCTGCGGGCAAGAGATGAAATTTATTAGACGTTTATTATCTCTAGAGCAACTTGCATGGCACCATCCGGAGCTGTTGGGGATATACTTCACCAGACCTCCAGTGCATGGATATTAAGAGGGGCACTGTTGGAGATCCTAAGATTGCTGGAAAATTTAACAAGAGGTAGACTAGAACAGGGGTCCCCAACTCCCGGTCTGTGGACCGGTATCAGGCTGCGACATGCCAGCAACCGGTCCGCACAAACAAGCAAAGCCCCATTTGTGGGATGCAGACAGCACACAAAACCACACACCCTCCGGTCTGTGAAAAAACTTCTCTCCACGGAACCGGTCCCTGGTGCCCAAAAAGTTGGGGACCTCTGGACTAGACCATGCCATGTAGGTTAGGAATCTCAACAGGATAAGAGAGAGTTGAAAGAAGGTCTTCTAGTCCAACCCTCTGAATAAGCAAGAATTTCAGACCAGTTTTCAGTCTCTTCTTGAAAACCTCCAGTGTTAAGAGCATCCACAACTTCTGTTCCACCGATTAATTGTCAGGAAGTTTCTACTTAATTCCAGGTTGCAAATTCCCATTTTTCTGGGTTTTTTTTTTTTTCCTTCCAGGCCTGCTACCCCCCCCCCCCACAACTCACCTCCGGGCGTATTGATGACAAGCCCAGAAAACAGCAAGGGAACATTTTGATAGCTGAAGTGGAAAGTCATATCCTGTCCAGAGAGAAAAGGAATCCATGTAAAACAGCACTTTTGTCTACTATCGTTGTCATGATGATGATGATGATGATTCTGATTGAAGGACAGGGTGAGAAGGAGAATATCCAAAGTCTTCTTCCCTTGCTTCAGGCTTAGCCCTACAGCGTGAACTCCACTTACCATCATTCCTCCATGCGCGTGTCCAGGGCCACTTGTGGGGTGATGGTGGGCGTGAGGATCCATGGTGGGGCTGGCTGAGCCACTCATGTTGTGGCCCATGTGGTCCATATGGGCGTGATGCTCAGGATGGTCCATCTGGGATCTCGAGGGATGGGATAAAGCCTGGAAAATCCATTTGCTGGTGTTAGAAACCAGTCATGCACTGATGATGTTACCTGGTGTGGCAATGAAATGCCTGCAAGAAAGCAGCCCATCCCTTCCTCCTCCTCTCCTCCATTCCACATACCCCATTCCTTTCTAGTGCTGATGATGTTACCTAGTTTGGTAATGAAATGTCTGCAAGAAAGCAACCAAGCTCAAAGGTCACCAAAGACCCCACAATCCTCCTCCTCCTCCTCCACTCCACACACCTCACGCCCTTTTAGCACTGATGATGTTACCTGGTCTGGTAATGAAACATCTCTAAGACAGCCACAAAACTCAAAGACCTCACATTTCAATCCCAAGCTACAGTACAGATATTCTCCTCCAAAACAGTGAGCCGCTCCTGACCTAGCTTGGATCAAAACAGTTTGAAGACTCGAGGATCTGTTTTGAAAATCAATTTTCTACCGAGAAGCCGCCAATAGCCTCAGAGGAAGTTGATAAAATGAAAGCAGACTGCCGCGGGCCTCATCTGTGCTCCAGCTCCGTTTGAAATTGAATTAACTCGAAAGCCAAAGCCCATGAAAAGCCACTGTCGTCCTTGCTAGCTCCTAATTTTATTGGAAACTGATCACATTAGGACAAAATTGGTTGTGTAGAGCGAAAAGGTCTCCAGGCGCCCCCAGCAGTGGATGTCTGCCTTCTCAGAACAGTGCCATTCTCCTTGGCCTCTAAATGCATTAAGCTGGAGGTGATAAGAAGACAGAAGGACAGAAATCTAATAAATTTAATCCTGTCACTGGTGATCGCCAGCCTCAAACTGGAGAAAGAAAAAACACGAACAATTTGTAAGGCTGAGCTGATGGCAGGGGAGAGAGGGGGTAGGTAGCTGAGCAGAACTTGGACAATTTTGCTGCTTCAAGCTAGGGGGACATTCATCTATTCCTTTTTCTTTCTTTCTTTCTTTCTTTCTTTCTTTCTTTCTTTCTTTCTTTCTTTCTTTCTTTCTCTCTCTCTCTCTCTCTTTCCTTCCTTCCTTATCTCTAATGGTTAAGGTGGAGACTATCAGCAGATCCTTCATTTATAGCTCCTCGGACTTTGACGTTTGGAAAACTGGAAAGGATTCAAAAGACAGGGTAACCTGATGTTTTGTTGCTGATGACATATTGCAACTCCACCTTAATTGCAGACAGGTAGAGAGACCTCCAGCAGAACCAGCTCCATAAAGTTACAAAGATTGAGGAGAATCCTGTCCTTTCAATCACGTAGCATTCTTGCCTTCAAGATCTCTCGGTTTAACCACATAGCAAGTACGGGAATCTCTGCTATTTTGTCAGATTTTATTAATTGGTTCATGTCATGGAACCAATTTTTCTGGTTCTTAGCAATTACCATTTTGGCAGCTGATAACACGTTAGGTGTCATTAATGGATGTCTGCGGGGCTGAGAGGGAAACATTCTAAAATTGCTTTTGATTAAAATCAAATCTGAGCTGATCTTCTAGATAAATCTCTCTTCTGGGGATTTTGAGCCCTTAGACATGACGGTCTTATCTGCAACCTACTTCTTAAAACTTGCCTTTACTAAAAAAAAATTATATTGCTTTCAAAATGAAATGCCATCGGTGACTCGGTGATCCGTCCTCTACAGATAATCCTTGACTTACAATGATTTGTTTAGCAAACAAATTTGTTTAGCCTTTTTTGAAACAGCCTCTTTAAGATCAATATCCAATGCTGAAACCATAACTATTTATTAACAAGTCTCTCAAAATGATTTGTTGCCCCCCACCCCTCCAATTCAGGGAATCTGCTTCAATTTTTTGGGTATCTGTAGAAACCAGTCGCAATGGGAGTTAACCCAGCTGCGTTCTTTTAAAGTATTTTTTTTTTAAAAAAATCTTACTTTGTATGCATTCATAGAAAACGAAAAAGAACATATTTTGAGTCCTATCTCCGGTGATCAGGCTATGCTCTTTCTTCGTGGGAAAAGGAAGCAGAAAAACATATAATCATAGACATGGGAGGGGGGGTTTTTTGCTTATTTTATTCAGGATATGTACGTTGCTTTCTTTCCTGTACAGCCAAACTGTCTAGAAACTTAAAGGGAGCTTCAAACGCATGGCACACCAACAAAGCAAAAAAATCTGACTGGATATGCAGAAAGTTTTGGGGCAAGTTGAACAAGCTCCCTGGATCGCGGCCAATTTCGTGATAAAAAGGACAAGAAATGGAACACCTGGGCACAACTTCCCACGGCGAAGCTGGCCTTAGAAAACTTGTTAGTCCAAACCAGGCACGTAAGGAGATTATCACTTGAGAAAGCTTTTCCTCTGCCAAATGTGCCTGTTCAGATGATTTTATCCTCCTTGTTGTATCTGCAAATGCCAATACAATAGGAGGGTTTCGTCTTTCGGACGGGAATTTGGAACAAAGAACGGAATCGCAGCCAAACTTAATTATGACCGCTGACACTTTCTTCGCGAAGAATAAAGTGACTTTTCTTTTAAGGGCCTCTAGTATTTCCGTTGTTCTGTTTGAAAGAAAAGCAACATCTCCCAAAGGCCAGTCCTAAAAGGAGATAAAATGAGGGTCCTTCGGTGCTGCATCTTATGCTGTAATTCTGCGTGACGAAGACAAGATCAGTGAAATGCAGGAAACTCCTACAAGTATTGTGATTGTGGCTTTTGAGAAGCAAAGTCAATGGGGGAGGCTGGATTCATTGAAGGAGTGCAGTGATCGGCTTAACAATTGTGGCAAAATAAGAATAACCTCGGGCGGGCGCCCTTAACGCCTTGCTTAGCAATGGGCATCGCGATCCCAGTTTGCCATTGTATGTTGAGGAATTATGTGCGCTCGCTACTGGAAGAGGCTGCCCCAGTTTGTAACTTAACTAACACACACGCTGGGGGCTTTGATCTCTTTGTTCTTTTGGAGTTATCTTGCTTCTGCCCTGGGTTTTGCCTGACTGCGTGTCTGCTTAGTTTTTGCGTTATTTGGCCCCTTTTCTCTCCAAGATGTCTAGCCGCTCCCCAAAAATGGAACATACGCTTGACTTTTTATGCCTATATTTTGTTTGGGGAGTGTCTGCATTGCAAAGTTATCAGTGTGAGATAACAGCTGGGTGATGTAAAGAGGACAATAGAGAAATCTCGGTAACAAAGGGCAAGAGATACATCTTGATTACAAAATTAATTACGGCAATTATAGCCATGAGTGCTTTTGTGGACAGTGCACACCCCTGTGTCTATCGCATGGGGTTTTGCCATCCAGCCACATGAGTGTGAAAGAGTATTTTTTCAACCGGGGTGCACAACGGCATGTCTTTCCTAACAGTTTCTGACCTTCCTTTTTCAACACCTCTCCCTCCCCCAAATGGGACGACCTAGGAAAGAAATGAAAATATTCAGCACTCGTCCCATAGGTAATAGAGGTCCTCGAATTACAACCGTTCGTTTAGTGACCGTCCAAAGTTACGACGGCGCTGAAAACAGTGGCTTTTGTTGGTTTTTCACCCTTATGACCATCATAGCATGCCCAGGGCCATGTGATCCAAGTTCAGACGCTTGGCCACTGGCTCATAGTTGTGACAGTTGCCATGTCCCTGGGATCCTCTTTTGTGAGCTCAACGTGGACTGTGGCAAGAAAAGTTGTAAAACGGGGAAAAACTCACATAACTGTCTCACTTAGCAACAAAAGTTTTGGGCTCAACTGTGGTTGTAAGTCAAGCACTAACTATAACTTTTGGGAAGCTCTAGGTTGCACATAAGATAGGATAGATAGATAGATAGATAGATAGATAGATAGATAGATAGATAGATAAGATAGATTGATGGACAGTTAAGGATAGATAGATAGATAGATAGATAAGATAGATTGACGGACAGTTAAGGATAGATAGATAGATAGATAGATAGATAGATAGATAGATAGGATAGATTGACGGACAGTTAAGGATAGATAGATAGATAGATAGATAGATAGATAGATAGATAGATAGATCGACCAGCTGTTTGCAGAGGAAAAAATAAGGAGCCTCTCCCTTGTAGAAGAAAGGGGAAGACAAAGATTCTCGAGGTCAATGGTTCACTCAGATGCCTTGCTGGCTGGGGAGGATGGCCCTGTCACCCCAAACACCTGGAGGGCAACCCAGAGCCAGCCAGTTGCCTCACACACTTCCTCCCTGCTGTTCCAACCTGGCCTCCCCACGGTGTGTGTGTGTGTATGTGTGAAAATCCTCTCCCGCCCTTGCTGCAATGTTTTGCTAGATCAAAGCTTTGACTGTCAGGCTTCCAAGTCTACCAACCTCCGTTATGTACACCCAGAAGAAATTATTAACAGAGAAGCTGCACTGATTCTACAGTCTCTCTACTTCTCTGCCATCAGGGAGAAGTCAGGCTTTCGGGAATAACTTGGCAATGCTCCGCAGAGGAGCTGTGGAACATCCCCCAAACGGTCAAAACACGAGGACCTTCATCACCAGAATGACCTGTTTCTATCCTATCCCCAAATCCTGCTTGGGAAAAATTATTGCCCAGGATAAAAACAGACAGCTTTGCAGGCCCAACCAGGATTCTCTTCAGCATTATTTCAGTGGCTTGTTCAGTAAAGCCACTTGAGCTATCTGTCACAAGATGACCTTGATCACCAAGCTGAGGTCATGTGAAATGTGTCCTGGAGTTATCTGGGGACAGAAGGCTCATCTCTCTCTTCGTAATTGCCTTCTCTGCCAGCACTTTATGGCCTGTGATTCAAGGAGCCCATCCCGTCAATCTATTGAAGTTCCCCCCTACACACACAAACCCCCAATCTTATTGCCACGTTGCAAAACTACCCACCACATGACAGCTGAAAAAGCTTCCTTTTAATGCTACTTTAGAAAAGACCATCGAATGCTTAAATACAGTTTATTTCGGCTAATGCAGTAAAGTCAGGTCTTCTTCTGCCTTCAATAATACAGCCCTGGCTTTTAAAAAAACAAGCATATGAATCATCCAGGAGAATCTCACTTTTTTTGGGGGGGGGGGGAATGCCCTATGTTTAAACCCCAGCTTATTTCCTTGATAATCCTATGTTTAGGCTCCTTTTCCATCCTATTCCCTTAGAATTTTTTTGCTCTATAACCATTTATCCTAGAGACCCATTTATCCAGGGTCTCTCGACCCTGGATAAATGAGTCTCACGCCTTTATTAAGAGATGCGGAGTTCAATTCCCAGAATTCCTCAGCCAGCATGAGGTCTGCAGAATTCTGCTAAAACTTAGCAGAAAAGTCTTTCTTTCAGGAAGCTGACAGCATAGAGAGCAGTACATATTACATTTACCTTTAGATTGAGGAAGAAAAGCACGGAGCTTCCAGCAACCCAGCAGATCAGTTGCAAATAGATAAAAACTTTCTTCCTGCTTCCTGCTCGGGACAATTCCAGTAACACCTACTCAGCGTTTGTTCCAACTCCTCGTCACAAAATACTGGTGTTTGCTCACTGCCCATCAAGAAGGGAAGGGGGAGAGAAAAAAAAATAGATGATTTACTCAACAGAAATGCCACTTTGAAAGCTCTTCAAACAAGAGAGGGCTGCAATGGAAAAGGAGGGAGGGCGCTCTTGGATTTCAGCTTTGTGCTATTGTGTGTCTGGTAAACACACAGCCTAAGATCAGATAGATCTGGGTGGGTCAACAACCTGGGAATGCAAAAAAGAACAACAGAAGCATCTCACTGCCAGAGTTTTGACGCAGCAGCTAAAGCCATAGGCCAAACAGGTAGTCCTCGACTTACAACCCCAACTGAGCCCCCGTTTTCCATTGCTAAAGAAGACAGTTGTGAAGCGGGTTCTGCCCCCTTTTACGACTTGTCTTGCCACAGTTCTTTAACTGGCAAGCATCCTTTGAACCGTCTTGCTTCTTCATTTAAATCCACCTGCCCTTTGAACAAGGAGACAGGGGATTAGAATGGTTTTTTTAAACAGGCATTGGAAAGAGTGTTTTATTACACTTACGAACAATGAATTCACAGAGGAGAAAAGATGAAAGAAAGAAAGAAAGAAAGAAAGAAAGAAAGAAAGAAAGAAAGAGACGGAAAGAAGGAAGGAAAGAAAGAAAAAGAAGGAAGGAAGGAAGAAAAGAAAGAAAAGAAAGAAAAAGAAGGAAGGAAGAAAAGAAAGAAAAGAAAGAAAAAGAAGGAAGGAAAGAAGGAAAGAAAGAAAAAAGGAAGAAAAGAAAAAAAAGAAAGAAGGAAGGAAGGAAAGAAAAAAAAAGGAAGGAAGGAAAGAAAGAGAAAGACGGAAGAAGGAAAAAAGAAGGAAGGAAGGAAAGAAAAAGAAAAAAGGGAAGGAAGTAAAGAAAAAGAAAGAAAGAAAAAAAGAAAGAAAGAAAGAAAGAAAGAAAGAAAAGAAACTGCTTAACACCCATAGAACCGCCAAGCCAGTTTTGTGCCCAAAGGCCTCTTAAGGCTTAAGCTAAGTTAAAAATCTGGCTAAATGCCTAGAAAACACGCACACAAGGGGTGTGAGTCTCCAGCTACAGCCCAATTTCACAAACTGCAGCTAAATCAAGCCGACTGAAGCCTACAAAACCACAAAGGGCTGGAGAAACTCTCTCAGCAGCCAGCCGGACATTTTCACAATCACTCCAGAAGGGAGAAAGAGCCTTGCAGAGAGAGAGAAAAAAAGATGTGTGGAATGTTTATTTAACTTTGCTTGGCATCCTCTCCAGAAAACATCCAGCAGTTCTCAAAAACATTCCAGTGCCGCTCCTTCAAGAAAACAATCAGGACTCCACAGTCCTCCTCATTCTCTCCATAAACCCCATTTCCTTTTAGCCCTGATGCTACCTAACTGGAAGATGAAAGGTCTGCAAAACAACAACAACCAGGCTTAAAGAGCACCAAGGACCCCACAATAATAACAAACTGTCCCTACTTCTGACTCTTTTGTGCACATCCCTGACTTATCACACACCACCACACACATCCCTGTCAAGCTGTAGGGCAGATAGCAGAGAATTTCAGCAGAGGGGCTGTAAGGAGGTGGATCTATAGGATGCCGTTCAGGTTCAGTTTCCTCCTTCAACACCTGGTTCCTTTTCAATCTGGGATCCTCCTTGGCATCTTCATCCTTGTTTATTTATTCAGTATTTTTCAATATTTATTCTACAGCCGCCTGTGTCCTCCAATGACTCCGGGCTGCTTACAATTGCAATTCTTTTGTTCCTCTCCCTGCATTCAAGTCAGATGGGCAGCCTGCACATTTTATAAGTCAATCAATTAGAAGTTGGCGGTCTTGCTCCAATTGCAGGACCTGGGCTACGGTTGGCGGCTGCCGTTTAGTGGGGTGCAAAATGAGCCGCTCATGGGATGAACCCAGCCTGCTTGATCAGGCTGTGATCCCAGACTGGGGTCGATCCAGGGTTGGGATCCACCCCCACGCTTTGGTTTTGTGCACTTCAAGCCCCCCAAAAACCCCCTTGGGTGGATTCCAGCAGTGGCTCGAAGGCTGATCCCAATGGGCACTTCTTTCCCCTCCTCCCTTCCCCACTCTTTTGCTTTTCTCCTCCCTCCCCCCCCACCTACTTTCCTCCTGATGCTTTGGACTTCCACTCCCATCATCCCCAGCTCAGGGCAGTGGCAAAGACTTCAAAGCAAATGAAAAATAAATGAAAGCTGCGGGGTGCAGCTTTCCACCCTGGGGATTGCGGGGAGGTTTTTTTTTTGTTTTTTGGGGGGGGCACTTAACGCAAGGACTACACAACCCATGCTTCCAAAAGGCCCAGGGGGAGTGATGGGTTTTGTAGTCCTAAGTTATTGTTAAGGGGCGTTATTTTTTGGGGGGGGGAAGCTTCTTTCCCTGCACCCCATCTCCCAAAAACGCAAAAAAAAAAACCGAGCCCGGTGGGTCACTCACTCACTCGCCCGATTCGCCTCGTCCGCCTCGGCTTTGCAGCGTCTCTGCTTTGACCTCCTTCAGACGTGTCTCCCTTCTTCAGCCGGGGCCGCTCTCGCCGCGCGCGGATTGGCTGGCGGGCGCATCACGTGGGCGGACGCGCGGCGGCGGACGCGCCCCGATTGGCTCCAGCCGCTCCCTCTCTGGCAGCCCCGCCTCTTTCGTGCCCAGCCCGGCTTTCCGATCTTGCGGCGGCGGGAACGCGCGGAGCAAAAGAGGCCGGGAGAATGTTGGCCCTTCCCGGGAGCCGTAGTCCGGTCACGTGATCTCGGAGCCGCTTCCTGGAGTGGGCCGGTTCTTCGCTCCGCCGGGCGCTTTTACGACACTCCCCCCCCACACACGCCTCGCTTTGTGGCAGCGCGGGAGCCGGGCGCGGCGGAACGGCGGGGGCCCCAAAAAATGTTGGGGGGCGCCGAGGAGGAGGACGCCGACTTCCTGTCCCCGACGGGAGGGTGAGAGCGCGGGAGGGGTTCAACCTCTGCCGAAGGGGGGGGCTGTGGGCGGGACCGGAAGAGGAACTAGGTACTTCCGTTCGCTTGTCAAAGCTGAGGGGCCAATCTGGAGCTAATCCCTCAAATATATATATATATTTGAGGGATTATATATATAATAATATATATAATATATATATTATTTTAGGGGAGGGCCATTCATCCACCCCCGAATGCCTCTGAGCACGTTCAGAGTGCATTAAAATTTCTGGAGGGGAGGGATGAGTGTCTAAAATCAGAGCTGGCTTTTTCGGCCCCCCAGGTGCCTCTGAGCATGTGCAGAAGGCATTTCAAATTCTGGGGAGGGGTCTGCAATCACAGCTGGCTTTCTGGGGCTTCTGAGCATATGCAGAGGGAATTTGGAAAGAGCTTTTTTATAACATTGGATCAGCTCTCCCCCCCCCCTTGGGAGAAGCCTCCTGGGCTTCAAGAGTGCTCCTGAGCAGGTGCAGAGAGCTTGTCAAGGAAAACTGAGTTGTATTCAGGAGCCAAATGTCTTCTGCCCCCCCCTTCCAGTAGACATTTAATGTAGGTTGGAGGGTCGAAATGGGGGGGGGGAGGAGAAGGAAGATAATAAGAGGAAGAAGCAATCAGAGGAAGAAATATGTGTATGGATAGCTCTATACTTTCTTTTGAGAGCAGGCAACAACATTTAATTTTTAATGTGTGCCGGTGTTCGTAGTAAAAACAAATAACAGTAAAGGTTGTCTTATCTCTTAAGATCTTTTTTTAAAGGAATAATTGAATTCCAGTAAGAGAACAGAGTCATTTGAGTGGGGAAAAAAATCATAATTTTTCATTAGAGACACAAAAGCTGCGTTCTCCCTACATATTTACCCAGGACGGTTTAGCTTTGTTTGTGCAACGTGGTTGGACAGGGTTGTTTGAGTAAACGTCGAATCTTATATTCTTATTTCAAAAAATTGAAGCAGTTACTGACGTGAACAGGCATAATAGTGTCAGAGAGATTCTTCTTGGTAGTTATGTGGTCTGTCAGCATTAAAGAGGTTGGTGGAGAGAATAATTATCTTGTCTCTGAATGTCGCAAGAATGTGCTTAGTTAAGCAAGCCGGGTTGGGAGGTTGTGCAACCGAGAATGGTGAGGGCAAAGGGTTGGGTGGAAAGAAGCTTGCATTGATTAGATTAGTGTTTGTGTTTGTGAGGGGGTTGGGGGAGATTATTCCTGCCTTCATACCTACATTACTCCAGGTTAAGCAACATGCAGAGCACAGAAAAAATAAAATAAAATACTAAGCCAAAGAAATGAAAGGCATCAGAGAAAGAATGAAAACTTAGCTACAGCTAGCTTACGCAAGCCACCATCTCTGCACATCTGCATGCCATGCTTTCCATCACAAAATGGTTGCAGAGAACAGCTTGTTGGCTTGCAAGGTAGTTTGCATAAAGAGGCTTAAGATAAAACTAGGGTCTGGCTTTGTTTGTAGCCAAACGTGTCAGAACTGAGCAGCGTTGTCCTCAAGCTTGCCTGGAAATATGTGGCGTGCACATGGTTGAGGACCTCATCTCTACAGTAGCTTCTCTGTTTTACTGAAAAGCATCATGTGAAAACATTTCCATGCCCAATAAAAGTACATTTATATATCCTTATATCCTTCCTGGCTTTTAGGAAGTCAAAGTAGCAGAGCTCTACATAGTCTCATAGAGTAGAATTCTACAAAGATTCTCCGTTATCCAGGTCATGGTTGTCCCAAAGGTGCTTTTTCAAACGATAACTGGACTTTCTTGTTTTTTCTTTGAAGATGTTTCGCTTCTCATCCAAGAAGCTTCTTCAGCTCTGATTGGATGGTGGGGAATGGAAGGATTTATACTCCTTGCAGACAGCTGGTTGTTTGCCTTCTTTTAGAGAGTTGTTGAAGCCACTTGGAGGTTTATCTGTGCCTTCAGGGTCACCTGAATAGTGCAAAATGGGTGTGGAACCTTCTTGGGACTGCCAAAGGGACTGTGTTGTAAACAGGAGATAAGTGGTGTCCTATTCCCTCCTCCTCTGTTGAGAGAGGGCAGCCCAGAAAAAGTCTGCAGAACGCTAAGTGAAGAAAACGCTTGGCTGTGGTGCCAAGAATAGCTGGAGGCCATCCTGTTCCTTTTGATTCAGCCTGACTTCCTTTTTTTCTCCCCCTTTCCACCCAAATGGGAACCATGTGATGGGCCTGCTTTTCAGGCCTGCTATCCAATCCAGACCACGTCACGGGACATTGTCTCATTTCCCTTCATCTCCTGTTCCAGAAGGGGAAGGAGATCATAAGATGGTGTTTTATTGAGTTGGGAAGAACTACGAAAAGCTTCGACTTTAATTGAAAACTGCTATTCTGTTCTGGGACCGCTCTGGGACATCCTTATTGGGATGAAAGTGCTGTGTTTTTTATGGAGGAACAAAACACTCGCTATTATTATCATTATTATCATTATTATTATTATTACTTAAAATGTTTATTAGCACTGACAGCGTTACCTGCTTGGGTGATGAGCCAGCTGCAATAATAGCAAAGAGCACCAGGGATCCACAAAATGCCGATTTTCCCACCCCAGTGGCAGCACCGATGAAAAACAAAAACAACCCTATCAAATCAAAACATTCCCAATACTGAATAGGCTGTTTTTTGAATAATTGAAGGCCTAGGGGGGGGGGGGTGGAGCCTCTGTTGCTAAGTGAGATGGTGGTTAAGTGGGGCTTGTCCCATTTTACGACTGTTCTTGCTACAGCTGTTAAGCGAGTCACTGCAGTTCTTAAATTAGCAACGTGCTGTTAAATGAATCTGGTCGCAAAAGGGGATGGCGTGACCCCCTGGGGCACCGCAACCGTCATAAATGCGAGTCAGTGGCCAAGCGTCTGAATTTTGAGGCCGCAACGGTCCCAAGTGTGAAAAACAGCCGTAAGTCACTTTTTTCACGGCCTCTGTAACTGTCACTAAACAAACTTTTGTAAGCCAAGGGCTAGCTAGCTATTCTTCCTTCATAATACGGTGTGTTCTTTTTTCTTGTAAATTTTGCCTTTTTTTTTTTCTTTTTAAAGTGCAAAAGGGAACAGAGCCCTAATCAGGTCCTCCCTAAACGGCTTTGTAGGGAAGGTAAAATAATTTTTAAGTACCATAAGGCGGTCTCTCTCTCTTTTTTTTATTCCCTCTTCCTTCAGGCTGGTTTCATAAAACTCCGTTCTTCCTTGGTCTTTCTGAATTGGTTCCCACGGATCTGAACCTCTCTCAAAGCCTGAGGTGCAGACTTGGTCTCAGGAGTTAGGTGACCAGAGCAGATCTTGCAAGCGACGGGCGTGCTGACTCCTTACGTTTAGATCCTCGCTTCTTAGCTTTCCAAGGTCACTTGGCAATTCCAGAGACCTGATCTTGTGCAAATTCAGAATTGTTTGGGTTTTTTTTGGGGGGGGGGGAAATTCGAGTTTGCATTGTTAGCTTCCCAGCCCCCTTGGCTGCTGAGGCTCCAAGATGGGAGAAGAGGAGGTGGAGGTGGAGGAGGAGGAGGGGAAAATGTGATTATCCTTGAGGAAAACAGTCATGAAGGTTGTGAACAGAGAAATGTTGTCGCAAGCACAGCCAGCCGGAGCTGAAGGTGGCCATGGCAAATCCATGGTGGACTGAGTATTTTTGGCAAGCTGCGCACGGGTCAGTTGGTTTGGTTTTCTTTCTGGATATTGTTGTTGGTGTGAAGGTTGCATGGCTAAAATTGCAACCTTCGGTCCCAGGATATTGAGTGTCTGTTTAGCCCAAGGACTGAATATTTGGGCTTGGCAATTGGACTGAGGGAATTCTCAGCTTTGGTGATTGATTTGACTACACAGGTTTCTAGCTCTGAAGACTGTGAAAACAGAGCAGAGAGGGATTCTTTAATGCCTTGGCATAGGGTGACTCAGCACGGTGCTGGTCCTCATTGTTTTGCTTCACCTCCCAGTGGGCGTGGCCCAGGTTTGGCGGAAGATTCTGCAAATTTGCATGTTTAATTTGGACAGTGCCTGCTTGGCTTAGGGTTATGGCTGGTCATGGCTATCTTGTGGGGGTTACCCCCCTAAACTCCTAGCTTTAAAAACCTTGGTTTGAAGCAAATGAGAGATTCCACATTGGGTGTACCATGTATTTCTCCAGGTTGTGGAAAAAATATTTGAGGGTTTCAGTATTCAAACTAGGTAACACCATCAGCTTCCCTAGTACTAATCATCATCATCAGCTTCCTAGTAATGATGATGTTACCTAGTTTGGGTCATGAAATGTCTGCCACAAAAGAACCAAACTCAGAGCTATTGTATATAAACAGGGAGCAAGTCACACTCACTGGCACTGATGATGTTAGCTAGTTGGGTCATGAAAGGTCTGTAAGAAAACAGCCAAGCTCAGAGAGCACCAAGGACCCCTCACATTTCAATCCTGAGCCACAAATATTCTCTTTTACCAGTTCTCACTTTTATTTCTCTTTATTAACTGGGCATTTCCCCCCCCCCCACCTCTTTCTGCAGGGCCAGGCTGGCCTCTCTCTTCGGCATGGACCAGACAGCCCCTGGTACTGGGAATGAATTTTTCCAGTACACAGCCCCCAAACAGCCGAAGAAAAGTCTACCAGCCACAGGTAAAGTAATTGTTGGCCCAATTCCCGCATGCCTAAGGAAGGACGGCTCCCCCCCCCCCCCGTGGGGAATGAAATGGCGCCCCCTGATGGATCTGGATGGAGTAACAGTTTTGAAAAAAACACTCGGCCAGTGAACTTGGTGGGGCTGGGACCCCCCCCCCAAATCAGTTAACGTGGGATCCCTTTGTCGAACACAGGCAGCCTTCGACTTTCAGCCACGACAGGGTCCAAAATCTCTGTTGCTAAACGAGACAGATAGGGACCCTTCCTCGTTCCACTGTCGGTGGTCTTCCAGATGTTTTGACTCGCATCTCACTGCAAAATGTACAACGGAGTGTTGTCCTTGTGTTTCGCTTCAGGCACAGGCCCTCCGACTCAGAAGCCTCCTCCGCCTGCGGGAGTGCCCTCCGTCTTCGTAGCCACAGCCGTCCACGCCTATCGGTTGTAAGTACTATAGTTACTACTAGAAGTGCTCGTTGCTTGTAAGGATTAGTCGCCCTTATTGTAGCGGGTATTTTTTCCCTGTGGGGGAGGAGGGTTCAGAGAGCGACAAGGCCTCCATCCTTCAACCCTGAGCTATCAAGAGTCTAGAATACAAGCACAGGGATTGGAAGGGACCTTGGAGGTCTTCTAGTCCAACCCCCTTGCTCCAGGCAGGAGACTTATACCATCCCGGCCAAATGATGGTCTATTTTGGAAAACCTCCAGCGATGGAGCGCCCACAACTCCGAGAGTTGATTGCAGGTAGTCCGCAACCATTCTGTTGCTAAGTGAGACATTTAAGTACATTTTGCCCCATTTTAAGACCCTGCCTTGCCGTAGCTGCTGAGTGGATCAACTGCAGTTGTTAAGTTAGTCACCCTGAAAAAAAGGGGCCTAGGACCGTTTTTCATGCAGCATTCCCCAGGATCATGTGATCAAAATTCGGACTCATTTAACGACGGTCACAGTTTCCCCAGGGGTCACGTGGCCCCCTTCTGCGGCCTTCTGGCGAGCAAAGTCAACGGGGAAAACCGGATTCCCTTAAACAATTGTCTTACTAGCTTTACCACCTCAGTGATTCATCTTCACAACGGCGGCAAGAAAGGTTAAGCGGGACAAAATTCGCTGGACAAATGTTTCACTTAGCGATGGGAATTTGGGTGGTAAGCTGAGGAGCACCTGTATCTTAAGGTTAAAAGTACCAGAAGCTGATAAGTCTCTTCCTCTTCCAGTACAAACGGGACGTATGTGAAACAAGGCAAATACGGAGCAGCTGTAGTAGGATGCCACGCCACCCAGGAGGTAAGTGGTGGCACTCTGGGTGGCCTTGGTGTGTCCCTTTGCATCCTGGTTTCTAGGCCTCATTGTTTTGAAAAAACTCAGAGGCATAAAGCCAACCCTGAAAGAGGTTGGACTGGACGATAATCTGGCTTCGTGCGTTCAATCCTGACTTTCTATCGATGTATCTCCATTGGTTGAAAATGCCCTTTCATTACACTTTAAACCCGAATTCAAGAAAATCTGTTCCGTGTGAATTTGGTTGCTACGTCAGCTCAAGAGGGTCTCTGAACATCCTTGATTTACATTTACAACGTACGATGACAATAAAGTTTATTATTATTATTATTTTCTCCCCCCCCCCTTCTTCCTCTTATCCATGACGTATGGAATCCAGTACAGGATCTTGCTTTATATAAACCAGCAGCAGCAGATCACCAGTGCAAGAATCCATGCTGGCTTTGTGTTCACGGTAAGCCTATGTAGTCAAACGTTGGGAAAAACTTGACCTTGGTCTGAAAGCATGTAATGAAGGATTCTTGGATCGGTTCATGGAGAATGTGAAGTAATTATTATGCATCCAGGTAGTTTTCAACTTGCAACAGTTTGTTTAACAATTTAACCATGATTCGCCACTTGCGACCTTCTCAGTGGGCTTCTGACGAGCAGAATCAATGAGGGAAGCCTGCTTTACAGCTACACTGCTTGGCTTTACAGCCACGACAAAGACTCACATAACTGATTTGCTTAGCAGCAAAGATTCTAGTCCCACTTGAGAACTGCCTGTCTAGTAATTTAAATCCAGGTCCTCCAGTTCTTCCTTTTTTTAAAAAAAATATATAATAAAGCTAGTTTGGTTTTGATTTCAAGAGAAGCTTTCAGCTCCGTTTCCAGACATAGAAAAGTTAAATGCAGGTGATGGAAACAAAATGTTGTCTTTGTTTCTTTTATATATTTTTTATTTATATATATATTTGGACACAGTTAGGATTGTTTTGATTGCTGCTACGGTGTTTGGCACAATGTTGCCGTCATTTTTATTTTGTAAACATTTTCCTTAGCATTATTTTTTTTATATATACCCTGTGGTTTTTCCCGTTCCTAAAACTATGCTCTCTATAGTGGTTCATTTTACCATCCAGAACTGATGCTCGTTCTTTTTTATTGTTTATCTAGATCCAACCCAACAACTATGGGACATTTTACGATGATCAGAGGCAAAACTGGTCCATCATGTTTGAATCTGAGAAAGCAGGAGTGGATTTCAGCAAGCAGGTGCCCACATTGTGCTTAAAGCTTAGTCCTACCCTTGGGCGAAATGAAACAGCTGTTCTGAGTGGCCACACTGTCTTCCTTCATCCTTGTCTTCCTTCCCTCCCTCTCTCCCTCCCTCCTTCCTTCCATCCTTCCTACATTCTTTTCTTCCCTCCCTCCCTCCCGTTGATCAGATGACCCCTGGATGCTGCAATCCTGTAAGTCTGAAGTGGCTGAAGTTACTCAGAGCTCATTCTTTTTGCTTACAGCTCTGCATTGCCAAGTATAACAGCAGCCCTTCCCCTGATTCGGTGGTGTGCCAGGATCTGATCCTCGGAGACGGTCCAGCTGTGGAAGCCGGCGACGCGCTCGAAGTTGCCTTTACAGGCTGGCTCTTCCAGAACTCCGCGCTGGGGCAGGTAAAACCCTAGGAGAAGAAGGATGTTCTCAACCCTCAAAGACCTGGGATGGTCTTTTTTAAAGCTTGCAGGATTGCTGTCCGCGTGACGAAGCGCTGGATCCCCTTTCCACAGCCTGTTTGCGTTTTATCCTGGCAGGTGTTCGACTCCAACGTGAACAAGGAGAAACTCCTGCGTCTGAAGCTGGGCGCTGGCAAAGTCATCAAGGTGAGGGGAGGCGGTCCTGTTTCAAAGGGCTCCTGGGGAGGGGGGATTTCAGTTTTTAAACTTTCTGCTTTCCCTTTTGAACTAGGGAAGTGACTCTGAAGAAGGGAGGGGGGGAACCCTCCTTCCGTGTAATTTAAAGCTCTGTTTTTAGGCTTAAGAGAGTGAGTTAAATCTCATTTATTTATGGCATGGCTTTCTGTTTTCTCCCCAAAGGGCTGGGAAGAAGGGATGCTTGGTTTGAAGAAAGGGAGCAAGCGCTTCCTCGTGGTCCCTCCAGCTCTGGCTTACGGGTCTCAGGGAGTAGCGAATCACGTGCCTCCAGACTCAACACTGGCTTTCGAAGTGGACGTCAAGAGGGTAAGCTGTTCTTCGGAGCCAGCTGTCGCTTGTGTAGGTCTGTCTTGAAAGAGTGCAGATGAAGAGCAACAAAGGTGATTAGGGGACTGGAGGTTAAAACAGACGAAGAACGGCTGCAGGAATCGGGTAGGTCTAGTTTGATGAAGAGAAGGACGAGGGGGGGACATGATAGCAGTCTTCCAATATCTAAGGAGATGCCACAGAGAAGAGGGGGGGTCAGCCTCTTCTCCAAAGCCCCTGAAGGCAGGGCAAGAAATAATGGGTGGAAACTAACCAAGGAGAGAAGCAACCTAGAACGAACACAGTGAGAACAAGTAACCAGTGGAACAGCTTGCCTTCAGAAGTTGTGGGTGCTTCAAGGATTTCAAGGAGAGACTGGGCAGCCGTTTGTCCAGAGTTGTATAGGGTCTCCTGCTTGAGCAGGGAGTTGGACTAGAAGACCTCCAAGGTCCCTTCCAGCTCTGTTATTCTGTCTCACGCCTCCATCTTTCTTAGGTGAGGTTGGCCAAGGAAAGTGCTTCCAATGGGCAGAATGTGGCCCCCAGGGACTCCCTCACGCCCTCCCCAGGACCAAACACCGAACATCTCAGCACCGACCTTGCAGGAGGTCCTCCCAGTACTCTACCACCAAAGCCTGGGTGAGTTAGTAATTTGATTTGAATTTTTCAATCCTTTCCTGCATGTTCTGTTTTTGCTGGGCAGGGCCTGCTGCTTGAGAAAAAATCGGGAATGGTAGCCACTGTTCATATCTCATTCAAATGCTGCAGGCCAGTGTTTCCTGACTTTGGCAACATTAAGACAGGTGGACTTCAACTCCATCCTGACTGAGGAATTCTGGGAGTTGAAGCCCACAGACCTTAAAGTAGCTGAGGTTGAGAAACAGGGCGACAAGCCTTGAAATGCGTAAAACAGACCTTCTACCCTGCTCAGCTGTTCTAAGCCTCTACTTCAGGGGTCTTCAGACTTGGCCCTTTTACGACTTGTGGACTTCAACTCGCAGAATTCCTCCGCCAGGCACGCTGGCTGAGGAATTCTGGGAGTTGAAGTCCACAAGTCGTAAAAGGGCCAAGTTTGAAGATTCCTGGTCTACTTTTTATGCCACAGGGAGCCAGCTGTGCGGGCCAAATCCAACTCTCTCAGTGAACAACTAGCGGTAAGTCTTGGGTTCACCCCGGCTGGCGTCCTTTCTCCAGTTTTTAGTTTCAGGGTTGCCTCTCAACTCTTTTCACCTAAATCTTGTTGACTACAACTTTCTGTCCGCGGGAACGAATTCTGAGTCAACTGGAGTGAATTCATTCCCAGCTAACCGAGGGACTCCATGATGCCTGGTTTTTGAAAGTTGAAAGGCGGGGGTCCCCGTGGGCTGAGTTTTACAGGCTGAGCTCAGGAAATTAGGGCATTTTATCTGATCCCTTCCTTTCTTTCCCTGTTTTTGTCGCATCGGTTGTGTCAGAACCCCAACGTGGCAAAAGCGAACCTGATTTCACGGATGGCCAAGATGGGTCAGCCCATGCTGCCTTTCCTTCCTGGTTCGGCTCCGGCCCAGCTGGACTCAAGTGACTCGGAGATAGAGGTGGGTGGGCTTCAGAATCTGGAGGCTACTGCAAGTGGGGGGGGGGAATCCTTACTGCTCACAAACTGGTGTGAGTTCTGAGAAACCATTCAATGGATTCTTCTTCCCAGTTCTTTCCTTAGATGGCTAAGATGAGCTGTAATTTTTTTTTTATACTCTGTAATTTACCATTTTATTGTAAAATGCCTGGAGAGTCACATATGTGAGATGGGTAGCTATATAAATTGATTGATCAATTAAATGAATGAATAAATGGGAGAGACAGTTAGGGAAGGCATGAAAAGATACAGATAGTTCTCAATTTACGGCGGTATTTGAGCCTGCACTTATGATCACAAGTCAAGGAACTCGTGTGACTGTGCCCGATTTTACACCATTTATTTTGTGCTGCCTTCAGAGTGGCATTTTCAAGGAGAAAAGTGGTTTGGGATGGCAAGGGAAAACTAAGACAAACTAATACGTCCCCTGGTGGGTGTGTATTTCAGGACCCCCACACTTTGCGAGAAGCTGCACATCCCGTCACATCTTCTCCGCTGAAACCATCCTCCCCAGCTGGTCTTCCTCAGATAACAGCCCAAGGCACGTAAATCTATCTACTCTCAACCTGCACTTCATCTTCAACCTGTATTTCTTAATAAAGTAGTGGAAAAAATCAAAATGAACCCCAGTGGTTTAGACATTTATGTTAGCGTATTGTCCATTGGCTTCTCAAAATTCAAGTGAGACCAGAGGGGCTAGAAACCTGGTTGAAAAACATAAAAATTCTTGCCCTTGTCTGTGTATTCTGTGCTGCTGTAGAATTGTTCTGCACTGCACTCCAGGACCCCAGGTTACTCCTCCTGGCTACCTTGGGTTCTAGAACCCACCCAAAAATCACCTTCACAAGAATGACTTCTAGCTTCTTCTGATTTCTGCATGGGCTTATGTTCTGGATGCCACTAAGATCAGACTTGGGTTCTAGAATCAGCCCAGAAAAAAAAATCACCTTCAGAAGAATGATTTCTAGTTTCTTCTGGTTTCTGCAGACGTGGGTTTATCTAGCTCCTGCGTTGACTCCACCTTTCTCAACTCCAGGACTATTCACGGTCTCCCTTTTCTTTTCATAGGGCCCCAGGCACCTGCTCCTGGACTCCAGGTGTCCTCAGCTGCTGTGATGCCCACAGCCTTGCATCCACACCCTGCTCTCCCTGGGTCTGCTCAGAGTCTTCAGGTAGGGATGTTGATGAGCGTTGGGTCCTGACCCTGGTGGGGTATGTGGCTGGGGGAACTCTGGAACCAGTTTGAACAGTTGCTAAATGGCCAGTCATAAGTTGAGGACTTCCTGTAGATTCCTCTTCCTTGGGCTAACGGTTTCCAGTCTGGAACGGAAAGCCTTGGGGCTAAAAGATATTTCTCTCTAACTTCGCCCTTTTAGGCATACACAGGGATGAACTATGGGTACCCACAAGGCCCTGTGGCGGCTTCCCAGCTCCAACCGGTTGGGGCCATCTTTCCTGCTCCTTTCCAAGGTAGGCGAGGACCTGCACTGCACTGCTCTACATGGTTGCATCAACAAAGCATGCTAAACCAGGATTAGGCAGAGCAGCTTATCCCAAGAGCAGCTCTTAGCCTTTAGAGCAGCTCTTTCTGTTTACTGCTCTGTTCCTGGTGCTCTCATTTTCAAAAATGGTGTTTCCTGTTTCCTTCCAAAGCAGCCGGTGATATCGGATCTTTCTTAATGACGGAAGCAAGGCAACAGAACACCGAGGTCCGCCTGTCTGTGGGCAAAGTGGCTGACAAAATAGACCAGCTTACTGCTAAGGTAACATCAAAGTGATGAGGTGAAAGCTGGCGTAAGGATTTGCTTGTCTACAAGCCATACTGATTAGTCTAGGAACTTTCTTCCCAGTTCAGCTGGCCAGATGTTTGGGAAACCCACAAACCCACCAGTTAGTGGACATATTTAGGTAATTGGCTATCTCAAGTTGAATTGTGGAGTCCTTGGTGCTCTCTGAGCTTGGCTGCTCGCTTGTCAACCTTTCATTACCCAACTTGGCAACATGAGATGTTGCACCTAGAATGCTACCGATGGTGTCTTCTGTTGGAATTGGATATCTTTTTCTGGGCAACACTTCAGTTGCCGCAAATTGGGGCAGCTTCAGTTTTTTTTCTCCTTACATCTCCTTTAGAGTGAATTCTGGGTGGATAAATGGCTAGGATCATGCATTACATTCAACTATAACATCATGTGTGAATCCCATCATGGTTTAAACCACTAAGGCTCTCTTGAATGCATCGTAGCTCTCGTGGATCGAACAAGATACCTTAGCCAAGGTGTGATCTGAGACCTTCTCTTTATCTCACAGGTGGAGGAGCTCCAGAAACAGAATTCTACCCAAAGCTTGTTACCAAGTATCTCCTCTGTCACCATGGAGACGACCATGATTATGACCAACATCCAGCGCATTGTCCAGGTAAAGTGAAGAGAGAGAGTGAAGTGTTGATCTTAAGTTTCTCCAGGATTCTTTGGAATGTATGTGTGTGTACATGCAGCTTGGCCTCTGTAATGGGTTCTTAGTTCTCCATTCACAAAAAAACCCAAACGTCTTCCCTTTAACATGATTACCAATTCTCTGGAACGATCCATTCCAGGATGGAGGCATTTTGTCCATCCTTAGTTGATAATAGAACCTTTGTCCCCTCACTGAAGGAGATGGAGAAGCCCTTCCTACTTAAAGAGAAGACATAGGCAGTGATGTCCATCTGTGAGTTTTTAGGTATTAGATACAGCTTCCACCCTCTTTTGCTGATGGGACTTGTCCTACAGAACCATCTGGAGATGCTATCACAGGAGCCCAAAGATGCTTTTGTCACGAGGCAACTAGACTTTCCTGTTTTCCTTTGAAGACGTTTCTCTTCTCATCCAAGAAGCTTCTTCAGCTCTGACTGGAGGGTGGGGAATGGAAGGATTTATACTCCTTGCAGACTCAGGTGACCTTGAAGACAGAGACAAACCTCCAAGAGGCCTCAATGACTCTCTAAAAGAAGGCAAATGACCAGCTGTCTGCAAGGAATATAGATCCTTCCGTTCCCCACCCTCCAGTCAGAGCTTCTTGGACGAGAAGCAAAACATCTTCCAAGAAAAACAAAAAAAAAGTCCAGCGACCTTTTGAAAAAGCATCTTTGGGACAACCACAACCTGGAGGACTGAGGATCTCCATTAGACGTTTATCACGGGAACCCCTAACTGCTATTCCCAAGGAGAAGGACGCTTTCCAATCTTTTTTGGGGGGTCCTCTCTGCAGGAAAATGAGAGGCTGAAGCAGGAGGTTTTTGAGAAGAGTCGTCGCATCGAGGAACAGAACGAGAAGATCAGTGAGCTGATTCAGCGGAATCAGAGGTGAGGACTCTCCCAATTAATTAGATTGATTGATAATTGATTATTTCCACCTGACGCTCGCTGTATCTCCATAACCCTTTGTGAAGGCCGCCTTTGATTTGTGGCGCTCTCTCTCTCTCTTCCTTCCAGACACGTGGAACAAAGCAATCTGTTGATGGAGCAAAGGAACAATTCTCTGCAAATGAACACCGAACATTCTCAAGCCAGGGTCTTGCATGCTGAGCAAGAAAAGGTAAGGACGCCAAGAGGAAAAGGGGATATTTGAGACGCAGGCCAAGATAGCTTAGAGAGGAAGAGAGCAGCTCCCCCCCCCTAAAAAAAAACCTTGGGCTTCCACCCACCATTGAAGGTTAATTCCCTTAGATGCTGTGCTTACCACCGTCAGAATCCCACACGAGGAAAATTGGAAAGCAGAGAAAAAGGAATAACTCACCCTGCTCTCTTTCTCTCCCTTAAAAAAAATATAATAACTGGCTCCGAGCTCCTTTTTTCCCTATTTGGGAGCTGGGGAGAATGCTTAACGTCAAGAGTTAGAACCGGTGGTAGATCTATTGTGGTCGAACAATGACACGGAAAGCTGCTAGGCCTGAGTTGAAAGAGAAGCAAGGTGGTTTTGGAGAACTGGTCGTAAACCACCCAGAGTCGTGTGGCAGCGAGGCGGGTGGCGAATCAATTTAATGAGTAAATAAAAGTAAAACGTAGGCCCAGGAGGGCTCTTTGAAGGCTCCAGATGGCTTTCGGGGTTTATGGCGTTGAAGGGCATCAGGCTGGGAAGAAGCTGGTTGTATTGGAACAGCCATCGTTTCTTCAAGAGTACCAGGATGTGTGTGACTCAACAATCTTTGTTTTTATTTTGGCTAACACTCTCTCTTGTCGTCTCCTCTCCGGCTCTCGATTCTGGTGGCATTGTCCTCCTGTCACTGCTTCCCCCCCCCCATCTAGTACCTACTACCACCGGATCGGGGGTGGGATCAGGTGAGGCTCTATTCTCGGTTGTCTGGAATCATCTGGAATTTGCCCCGCCCCCAGATGTTCCCATTTTCAACCTGAGCAAAAAAGCCAGTCCCCTCTGCAACTGTTTTTACCCCTTCAATTTTTCTGTCTGAATATATCCTGCGCTCACCAATATGGGTTTCCCAGAAGTTTTGGCGCTCTGCGTTAGTGATCTAGCAGGTTTTAAATATGTTTCGTATATAAATAATTCACGAGACGGGGGAAAAAAACAACAACCCTAGAGTTCTTTTGATAAGTTTACTCACTCCCGTGTCGCAGGTGAAAGTTGCCGAGGAACTGGCAGCAGCTACGGCCCAGATCTCCCGGCTTCAGCTGGAGCTGACCAGCCATCAGAAGAAAGAGATGGACCTGCGCTCCCAACTGAATGCGGCCCTGAAGGAAGCCGAAAGACAGGCTGCCCAGTTTAACCAGTTGCAGGCCCAGCTGGCAGGTAAGGGAAGGTGAGAAAGAGGCTGAAGTAGAAGTACAGGAGAGCACCTGTCTCAGACAGGTGAAGACCTCCTTGGACGGGCGCGCCAGTGTCCTCCACCTTCTGCAGAAGATAGAATCAACCCAGCCTTTAGATCAACCCAACCTTTCTTCCTTGCAGCCCCCCGAACATCCTTTAGACCTCACTTAGGGGTGCCTCAGAGCTGTGTTTGCTGCCACCTGTGTGCTTTGTTCCTCTCTCCTCAACTCTCGTAGAGCTTCGGGAGTCATCCGAAGAGGCCAAGAACAAATTCCAGGCGGAGAAGCAGAGCCGGAAGCAGCTGGATGGGAAGGTGGCTGCTTTGGAGGAAGAGCTGGCTGACCTCCGGGTGGAGAAGGAGAATCTAGAGAAAGTGAGGACCCCTGAAAGATCTAGAATCCTCATTGGAATTCTTGATGGTGCCCATGAGACACATTCCGGTTGATAGGGACGTGTTTGCAGGGGGGGGAATTTGAAGGAACAGTCCGTCCCCTGGTCCCTCCCGTCTTGCCCAGCCCGTGCCCCTCAACCTACATCAGTGTCTGGCGTCTTCTTCAGAATCTTTCCGAAAGAAAGAAAAAATCGCTCCTTGAGAGAAAACAAGCCGAAGACGAGGCAGATGAGATCCGCAGATCTTACCAGGAAGAGCTGGACCAACTCCGGCAGCTTCTGAAAAAGTCACGGGCATCCACCAATAACGTTGCTTCAGAGCAGGTGAGAGGCAGAAGTGAATTTGCCCCCACGTTCAGCTGGGCGACAGATCTTGGAAATATAGCTTTCAGCTTTAAGGAAATGCTACAGTATTCTTCCTCTTAGGATCTGTAGCCTTTTCGCTTCCGAGAAATTCTGGTTTCTGTGGAATCCTCGGTGGTCCCTGAACTTTGCTTGCAGACGTTTTATGACCCAACCAGGTAGCACCATCAGTACGGGGGAGTGTGGCGTCTGTTCCCTGTTTATATACAATAGCTTGCTCTTCCAGTGTGGCTTGTTTCCTTGAATAGGGTATCATTTTCTCCTTGACTGATTGCTTAGTAGTTCCTTGACTAGGATACTGCTTTCAGCTTGTGATTTGTCTGGTGTCAATCCCGGCTTATCCGGGTGTTGGCTGCTAAAGATTTCCAGTTCTTGTTAATTTTTTCAAAAAGCTGCTCTTTGCAGCTAAGTGGGCCAATGTCGCCCTTCGCCCCCAATCTCATCCACAGGGCTGGGGAAAGCCCCCTAACCCTAACCACTCAGCCTCCTTTGTCGAGGCGTCCTATTGCAAGGCGCCAAGTCACTGCCTTGAATGGCATTTCGGGGGCAGGAAGGCCAGGAAATCAATGTGCTAGCATGGAAGTCAATCCATCTGTTATCCCCGGGAAGCTTTCCCTTCTGCAGACCGAGCTGGAGTCCCAGTGGGAAGCCAAATGCGAGCGTCTGCTGAGCTCAGCCAAGGAGCAGCACGCCCGCCAGCTCCAGGAAGTGTGCGAGCAACGGGATGCCCAGCAGCAGAAGGTCTCCCAGCTGGAGGAGAAGGTAGGTGGTCATAAGGGAAGGAGAAGGCAGAGCCCGCTGGGGGGGTGGAGTCAAGAAAGGAACCAGCCTGGAATCCTGTTAACCTGGTTCCCTGCTTTCTAGATTTCTCTGCTCGAGGCCAGCAGGAGCTCAGAGGACCCAAAATCCACGGAGTTGCAGGAACAAGTGAAAGAACTAGAGGCCGTTAAAAGCAAGGTGAGATTCACCCCTTTCCTAGGCACAGACATATTAAGCGTTATTCAAGACCTTTTTCTGTTGCGTTTTAACTGTGGAAAGAAAAGTTTAAAAATGTATTTAAAAAAAGAAGAAGAAGAAGAAAATCTGTGATGGAAGCAGGTCTCCATCACACCGACATTTTTTTGTTTGTCTAAACCCCATGCCAGTGTGCAGACTTGCAGTCCCAACTGGCAGACCTCACTGCCCATTATGAAGACCGGCTCCAAGGGCTGAAGAAGGTCATCAGTAGGACCCCACCGACGGCTTCAGCTGAAGAGGTACATCTGCCCTCCAGGGAGACTTCTTATTAAATAGGGTCTTTTTTTTTTTTTTTTTTTTAAAAAGGTCTACATTATGGAAGGGAGCGGAGAATCTGTACATCGGTAGGAATTCCAGCCTCCTGTTTAGTCAGCAAGTGGTTCCATAGGAGGAAAACCTGCTGCCAAATCAGCAAAAAAATGTAAATTAAAATCTCAGACAAACCCCTCCATAGTTCACAGGCTAAGTGGGGAAGGGAAAACCCATTCAGATCTGCAAGGTTCTGTTAATACAGCTTTAAAAATTTTTTTTTTTTTTAAAAAAAGGTCGTATCGGCCTTGAAGGACAGACCACAGGGCCTTGCAGAATTATTTCCATTTCACCTGATTTCCAGAAAGGGGCTGAATGGAAATTATAGCGCTGAAATTCCCTGGTCCTGTGGGTGCGCCGCCTCCCTTTTGGAAGTGTGCTTGGCGGCTGGCGCTGCCACAGAACAGCCTTCTCAGTGGAGAATGTCAGAGCTGAGCAATCTTAGCCTTGTGCAAGATAAGCCCTTTGGATGAACGAGTGGCAGGAGAAAATGATCTACAATAGGAATTAGCGGTGATTGGTTCCAGGATCTTGCCATGGCACCGGTGATGCTTCTTTTCTTTTTGGTTGATCAGAATGGTTAGAGTTGACTTTGCCCATGTTCTTTTTCTTGAATAAACAACTGGTTTGCCCCAAAAGGGGCCAGGAACTAGCTCAGTTGGCTGGTATGTGTTTGTGTTTGTGTGTGTCTTTCCTGGAGACTTTCTTCAGTACACCTCTGGATCCTCTTCCATTTCCAGGTGAAAATGATCATGAACGGTGTCTTCCAGTCCCTCCGCGGCCAATTTGAGTTAGACGAGTCCTACAGCGGAAGAACCGTCCTGGGCGTGGTCATGACCACTATCAAGGTACCTCCTCCGGCCAAGGGGACCTTGACCTCCTTGGTTTCATAATCATTCAGCTGATCGTCTCCTTTTTCTTCTCCTATGTCAACGCTGCAAATATTGTATATTCTTGCTTTTGACAATGTGCAGAATTGTCTGGTAATTATGGGGTTAATACAGAGCAGAAGGGGGGTTGGGGGTAAAGCCCAGGGAAAGAAAGAGGAAGAAAACCTTTGACCTTCACACTAATTGGATAATGTGAGATATGAGGGCTAATTTAGGGAGGGAACATGCTGATAATTTAACTGCTCAGAGGAAGAGAACTTAGCTCCTACCATCCCTCCCTTGTGCCTGTGCCGACATTTTGTAACAAGAAAAGACTTTTAGGCAAATAAATGCCTGGAAGTTCTTTGAAATGTTTCATTAGCCGGAACCATAACATCCTACCTGTCTCATTCTGCAGTTTTCTAATTAAGGAGAGGTTGAGGTTAACCGTCTCCTTCCTTTCTTCTCCATTGCCAGACCATCACTCTGCAGCTGCTCGAAAGGTCTGAAGGGCGCAGCCGGGAACAGCAGGGACCACCGCAGAGAGGGGGTCCCGTGGCCGTGGCCCGAGATCAGCCAAGCGGTCCTAATGAGGTACCAGCCATGGCCTCTCCCGTTCCTTCAGACCACCTAGAAGAAGACCCAAACAGCTCTGCTCCCGCTTCAGAGGGAAGTCAAAGCGAGCAGGAAGAGGAGACACAGCATTCGGGCACAGCTGAAGAGTTGGCCCTTGCATCCTTGGATCCAGTCACAGACTCTCCAGAGGTGGAGCCTAAGGAGGTGGTTGTGTCTGGACCGACAGAAGCCCAAGCTGGTGGTGCTTTAGAGAAGACCCCTGCAGATCTTGCTCCCTTGAAGCCAACTGTTGAGGAGGCTGTGCCTACACTGGACCCGGGAAGAGAAGAGGACTCTTGCCCAGACGTTCCTAACCAAGAGCCGACCTCCTTGAGCCTTGCATCTGGTGCAAGAGATGGGAAAGTCCAAGCTGGGGAGATGCCACCAGCAGCCTCCCTCCCTCCCAAAGTGGATTCCAGGTCAGTGCTACAGGAGTCAGGAGCTCCAGGTCTCAGCTAGGCTCTCATATCATCCCAACTCAGCTGGTCTGTAGGAGGCACCCTGAGATCTTCAAAATGGAGGCTGGAGGAGGCAACATTGGGTGACTCTGAAAAGCGAGAGCGTCTTGATCCCTTGTAGGAATTTGGCACCATCAGCGCTGGACCTCTTCAGCTAGGGAAGCTGAGCGGCCTTAACTCTTCTAATGAAGGCCTCTCGTGCGCAGCTGTCGCATATTTTGCTCCTCCAGGGCTTAGCATATATTGCATGCGTTTGTTTGAGCAAACGTAGCACAGTATGGACAGCAGTGGGATAGACTTACCATTTTGGGGGGTGTTTGCAACACGTAGATGCTGCGATGGGGAAAGCAAGGCAGAGCAGGACCTCCTGGCTTATATTTTTTTTTCCTATGGGAAGAGAGTTAGGGCTTTGCTTTGCTCTTCAAACTAACTAAGCCTCTTTTAAGGGTTTTTCTACAAGGGATGCTGGGACGCCAGCAGTGTTCAGTCCTAATTACAGACAGCTCAAATCCGTCCTTTTACTCGTTTCTTGCAGCACCCCCAAGGATAAAGCCAGTTTGTCGAAAGCGACCAACTGTAAGCTGCCTTCATCAGGAGGTCCGTTGGAAGAGGAAGAGGACGATGAAGAACTGGTGAGGCCTGGGGTGGGGTGGGGACCCTGCATGATTGTATATTCCCTCCTCCCTCCCCCCCAAAAAACCCCTATTGGGACTCTTGATCCTGCCATTTGGGGCGCCAGTTAGGATTTCGTCTCTAGTTGGTTTGAAGGAACTCAATCATGTTTTTTCCCCAGAAGGTAGACTGTGCTGATCTTAAGAAAAATCATACCAGATAGGGAAAAAAATGGTTCAGGCAGGCTTGCGGGGTGCTTTTCCAAGTCTGTCTGAGTGTGAAAAAGAAACGGGGGGGGGGAGCAAAGGTTAGTGACAGCCAGCAGAGGAAGGCAGAGAACCAAGGAAGACCCTTTTTATCTCCTGCTAAGCTCCCCAACCCTCTGTTGAAAAAGTTGAAAAGAGGTTTTTAAATGCAAAAAAAAAAGGAGGAAGCTGGGAGCCTCGTTTCCTCGTGTCCTAAGAAATCTGTTTCTTACCGGGCACTAATAAAGATCATCCTCAACTTACGACCACCGTTGATCCCAAAAATTTCTGTCGCTCAGTGAGACAGTTGTGAAGCAAGTTTGGCTCCATTTTTACAGCCTTCCTTGCAGTTAAGCTAAGCGAATCGCGGCAGCAACAAAGTTGTAAAATGAATCTGGCTTCCCCACTGACTTGCTGACAGGATCCTACAACCGTCACAAGTACTTGTCAGTTGCCTAGCGTCCAGATTTTGATCAGGCGACCGTGGAGATGCTGCAATGACCGTTGAGGTGAAAAACGGTCACGAGTTTAGTTTTTTTTTTCAGTGCCGTTGTAACTTTGAACTGTCACCGGATGGTTTGAAGCCAAGGACTATCCGTGCCCCGGTCCTTTTGGGTTGTGGTTCAGTCTGGAAAGGGTTCCAATCTCACCCTTGTCTTCCTTGGTCCTCCAGAGCTTTAAGGGACGGCCTCCCCCCACCCCGCTCTTCGGAGACGACGAAGACGACAGTGACCTGGATTGGCTGGGATGAGCAAGCAGGTGAAAAAAGCTGGAAGATGACTTGCGATGGGGATATATATATATTTTTTGCTTTCTTGTTTTGCACAGAGGGGGCCTGGAGAACTGGCTGGCACTCAGGTAGCCCCCTGCAAGATTCTGGGATTGTCACTTGGGGGGTTGGTGGTGGTGGAAGGGCTTGACTACCAGCAGTTTCTCTCCTTGCACTGAAGCAAAGAGCAAACCCCGACCTCTGAAATTCAGGCTCCTGCTTTTTGCGAGCGAGATCTTGACCGAGGTGGAGAAGAGGTGGAGCTGAAGTGGTCTCCCTGCCGTCCCAGATTCCTTCTGTGATGCCAATGTGATTTTTGTACCCCCAGATTTTTCCTCCTGTCCACCCCACCTCCCCACCAGGTGCTTTCGAGGGTTCCCTGCCTCCTGATCTATCCTTCCTCCGTGCATCGAGCAGAACAACTGGAGGGTTTTAAATGGCTAGGAAAGAATCTCTTTTCCACAAGACCAGGCAGAAGAGGATCAGTTGTTGGGCGTTTCCAGCATTCCTGGGTCACTTTCAAACTTTTCTTTTTTCGTGAGGCTCCACCCGGCATTGCACTGCAGCACGGAGAGCCTTGAAAATGGCTCAAGGACCGAGAGGCAGTTTTAGCCATGGAGGAATGAATACATCCAGGCTTTTACTCAACTTTGGGGTGATAGCTCATCGTGTTCTTCTCCTGCCTTATCGGTGAGATGCTTTTTCGGGCCTCTCCAGCTCAGACAGCAACTGTAGAAGTGGTCTCTTCACCTCTATGCAATGTCTCCCCACTTCACAAAGCCTTTTGGGCTGGAGTTATTTCTTGAAGTCTTTTCTTGGGGGGGGGGTGTTTCAGTTTTGTCCCCCTTTTTAGAGCAAAGGGCAGCCGGGGAGAGAAACATTGTCATATTCACAACGAAAGGGGTATTCATCCTTTCTAACTCTGTTGGGGGGTGTCAATCGCCCCCTAGAAGCAGAGAAAATATTCTGCATTTAAGGGGTGTCTGCTCCTTTCCTAATAAGGCTCATTATGTGTGGAATCTGTGTGGATTAACTGAGCTTTCAGTCTAAGCAATAGCCGAGTCTCGTTTTAGAAGAAGCGATGGGAAATTTCTCTAAAAGTTCACCGTTTCTAATAAACACAACCGGTACCAGGAAACACCAATGGAGCTAGTTTGGGGGGATGAATCCCCCCCCAAAAAACCTCCATTTCTTTGCCCCTCCATCCTCCTCCCCCAAGATCGTCATCTTTGTGCATTGTCTTCTTGTCATCTTTACAACTTTGCCAACGTCGGTTCGGGATTTTTCTCTTTGGATGCAGAACGTAGCACTAAGTCGGCTGGGCCTTCTGTTGGACAAAATTTGCCTATCTTGTGTCTTTCTCTTTTTGGGGGGAGGGGGTGGAGAGGGGAAGAACCACAAATAAAAGTGCAATTAAAGGAAATGAAATTGCCGCTCATCCTGACTCTTTCTTTTAAGAGAGGATGGGTGGATATGGTTGCGCCTCCATAATCACACTTAATGCTTTGTGTGGAGTTTCCAAAGTCCAGTGTCTGCAAGGATTCACAATAGGGGTTGTGGCTGTGTTTAGCCTGGGGGTGGAGGTGGCTGGGGGCATCTGGGCAGAGAATTTTAAAACGGGGGTATATATGTGTGTTTTGTTTTAATTCTGCTATGATTCTTCTCAGTTTTGGTAGGTTTACTATTTCAGAAAAGGGGAAACTTTGCTCCTGATCTTAAAGATGATCAAGTGATGAAGGCATCATGCTAAAAACTGGGAAACTGCGTGAGTTCTAGTCCCTCTTTAGATATGAAAGCCGGCTGGGTGACTTTGGGCCAATCACCAGGAGACGGTGAGTTCTAGTTCTTCCTGAGATGTGAAAAGCCAGCTGGGTGACTTTGGGCCAGTCAGGGGGAGACAGGGAATTCTAGTCTGCTTTAAAGCTGGCTGGGTGACTTTGGGCCAATTGCCAGGAGATTGAGAGTTCTAGTCCTGTCTTGGGCATGAAAGTTGCTGGGTGACTTTGGGCCAGTCACTGTCTCTTAGCCCAATTGTTGTGGGGAAAATAGGAGGGGCATTAGGTATGTTTGCTGCCTTGTTTGTAAACAAAATGATAATAAAAGCAGGAGAAAAATCAAAGGCATAAAAACGGCCTTCTGGAGGGCTACATATAGCCTTGGAGCTGTAATTCCCCCCCCCTCTTCTACCCACACATCCCACTTCGCATTTCTCTGCCACAGAAATGGCAGTGAATAAACAAGAGGTCGATAAAGCTCTAGCTGTTTGAGGTTCTTCAAAGAGCTAGACCCTCTACTTAAAAAAAAAAGAACTTTTAATTGCAACTTTCAACAGTTTTCTATAACATAATGGGATAGGAATCAGCAGAAATGATTACAGAATCCTTCAGCCCTAGCCCAAGAAATGTGGCATTAGTGGTCCTCACTGGCTGTGATGGCTGAAGATGAAAGTAGTCATCTATCTATCTATCTATCTATCTATCTATCTATCTATCTATCTATCTATCTATCTATCTATCTATCATCTACCCATCCACCCACCCACCCACCCACCCCATCCATCCATCCATCCATCCATCCATCGTGTAGCCTATTGAAACAAGAGCCTTCTAGCTGATGCTAACCCACATCCTCCAGCATCCTTCATCCCTGGTCATGCTTGGCAGGGACTCCTGAGAATTGTAGACCACCGTCATTTGAAGCAGCTGTCCCTTATGCCTGCCATGGAGAAAACTGTGCAAATTCCCAACAGCGGCCAGAAAGAGGACAGTAGGGGCAACCTCATCACTGCTGGATCAGAAAGTCCTGATGGCCAAGCAGGAAGAGAAGTTAAATCTAGGAGCAAGCTATGGGTCCTTGATTTGTGGCAGCAGCTACGTCTGGCCCATAGAACCTTCAGACTGAGATGCCTCTGCTCCTGGTGGTCCTGTTTCTCGTAGGAGAACTTCATCGTTCCTCAAGGCCTTCTTGAGGTTCGATGGCGCCTCTAGTATTCCCTGCTCAAGAAAAGACTAGCGTGAAGACGATGGAGACGACAAGAAGGATCAGAGTCACCGCAAAGCAAATGCGTAGGTTCTCCACAGAGACAGGGGCTGAGGCTGTCCTTGGAGGCATCTCTACCACCACGGCGTTTTGCCTCTCCTGCAGACGGAGCCCGTTCCACATCCCGGCATGGAAGCCTGTGGAAAACACCGGAACGATGCCGCTGATGGTGAAGATGGGTGAAGGAGGACTATAGGTGTACTCCAGAGACAGGGCCAAGTTGCCAAAGGACCAGTTGGAAACCCTGGTGGACTCTTTGTCTTCTTCCAAACCATCTTCAGAGGTGGCTTGGGGCACCTGTGTTCCCGGTAGTCCTATCTCCCGTAGGAGAGTTTCATTGTTCTTCAAGGCCTGGAGGCCGCCTTGGGGCACGAGGGTCACCATCCGGCAGAAAGGGCAGACCACGAAGGAGACCATTCTGCTCCGGCAAGCCAGTTTCCTGAGACAGGCCAGGCAGACGGTGTGGGAACACCAGAGAAGCTTTGGCACCCGCCTGGTGGCAACTTCTTGGTAGAACTCGTAGCAGATGTTGCATTCCTTTCCACAGCCATCCTCAGAAGACAGGAGGGCCATGCCTTCTTTGGGACTTGAGATCAAACTCTAGGAAACTTGGGTTTCTCCTAGAGCCCCCAACTCAAGACAGTTTCTTTCTGAAGATCCTTGCTGGCCACCTCCGTAGCTTGTTTTGGCTATCTGGCTTCTTCTGAGTGTTCAGAACCCAGAACAACATCCGCCGGGAGAGAAAGACATTGCTGCAAGCTACTCTTTGAAGCACTCATTCAACCTGCCTTGACCGCTCCCAACTCCGAGATGACAGGACACAGTAACTCTTCCAGATAATCAACTGAAAGTGGGTTGAGATTTCCAGTCAACAAAGCGGTTGGGCACAACCACCCAGCAAATAAAAGCCGGCCTCTCTCCACATCCACGCCTCCTCTGAACTTTAATCCTTAATCAATGACTTGTTAACTCAACGTTTGGGGCAGTTTACTGGCGGCGACTGCATCAGAGGCTGAAAATAGCTTTCTCCCCTCACCCAAATAAAAAGCTATTCCTAGAGTGGGCGCAATTTCCAGTATTGCAGTTAATTAATGATACAAGTGGATTTCCTCATTCATAGTTCTTCGTCCTGCAGACCCGACATCCCTGCCTTCTTTTGAGCAGTCTCCAAAGTACAGTAGTCCTTGACCTAACAACGGTTGGTTTAGGGACCGAAATTACACCACTGAGGAAAGTGACCGAGGACCGTTTTTCGTACCTACTCCCTTCGCCGGCGTCCCCCATGGCCACGGGATCAAAATACGGATGCTTGGTCTCCCCCATTTCAGAAGCTAGACATTTGGGCACCCTTAAGGGAGGGGCTCAGAAATCTCCATTCCTATCTTCTCCTTCCTCCCCGTCAAGAATGTAAACACGCTTGTAGGTCAACACAAGCTCTCGTTCAGCTATGGTTGAGGATGCTGAACAAGGTCCTTCCTATTCCCCAGGACATCACAAGACTGAAATCCCATAAGCCAGCATGGAAAACAGCCATCTATTTAACTTCTAGCCAGTTTAACCTCCAGAATGCCTGGACGGAGGAAGAGTCCAAGGTTCCTGACCATTAGTGATCCTTCTACCAAACCACCTAGTTTTGACCTGCCTCGCTCCATCTGGTCGAAACCAAACAGAATTAGCTGTGATACCGGAAGAAATGACCCTGCCCTTTATCGGTGGGGGTGGAAAGATTCCCCTTGTTGTGATTGTGGTGCCGACACACCAACTATTATGCAAGGTGGCCCCATGATGGACGTTCTCTGGTTCCTCAGAAGATCCGCACGAAGCAAGACCACAGGCGATGATGGCCTGGAGAGTTGAACTGGACATCCAGTTATGAGGCCACTGCTGTATCCCGGCAGAAGTTTTTGTATGTAATTATGTGGACTGTGTCCATATGTCCTCTTCTATCATGTTCTCGCCATATGTCCAAATGATAATAATAAAAGGTCAACACCGCATCAATTTTTGTCCTAGCTGGCCGGGCTCAAGTTGTTTAGATGCTGCCAAATCATCAGATGCATCTTTAACCTAGTGTTAAAAGGGATTTGTCGCCTTCCTGGTCTTCCCAACAACACAATCATTGGTTGGGCCAGAGGGAGTATGCTTTGGGCTGTCAAATCTCCAGTCTTATTTGGGTTCAGCCAGATGTCACTTTCCAGTGGGCTGAAAGTCCACAGCGTAGGACAATTGTTCTCACCGTGTGCCCTGCTCCATGTTTCCAGGAAAAGGGCCATTTTAGAAAGCACAAAGCTTTTTTAAAAAATTTATTTATTTCTGTGCCCTCAAAAGAATCTTTCACCTGCCCTTGGAAGATCTACCAAGGATAATGGAACAGATTTTTGGCAGTCCTGCTCTGAATTTAAAAGAGGGTTTGAGAAGCAACCCTTCTGATAGAGTGAAGGACATCACAAGTCGAAGCTCTTGGAAGTTTATTTTCTCGGCTGAGTACATAGAAGACATTACATGGCAAACAGATCAATGTACACACCAGACAGACATGCAGGAGGTACGGCGGGCAGTTCTTGAGGCTCTTTTGAAAGAATCACAGCTGTGTGATGGGTTCTGATGTTCCTTTTCCCCCCACTTCACGGCTTTCCACACAGAAACCCGGGGTGGGTGGGAAGGCAGCTTAGAGCAGGCTCCCCTGGAGTTCTCAGCTTCTGTCTGGAATGAGGGCTGGAGAATCTCCATGGGTTGTGATAAGTGGGACATATGGATCATCAGAACCTCAACATAGCAGGCTTGCAGCCAAGAACACCCGTGGTCTTGACTTGGAGGGAGAACCCAACCCCCTTACCGACACAGAAGCCAGGAGAAGACCCAACCTTGGCTATTTTTCAGACCTGTGGACTTCAGCTCCCAGAATTCCAGGAGTTGGAAGTCCACGGATCTTAAATTTGCCAAGGTTGGACATCCTTGCTCCACAAGCATTTTTTCCCCCCTTCCCACATCCCAAGTCCATCATCCTAAAGATTCGAAACTGCAGGCCCAGCCACCAGTTGTGCCTAGGCTCTCCCAGCTGGGTGCAGCCCCAGAGAGATGGGGAGGGGTTGGGCAGAGAACACTCCCCTCACACACACACACCAAAGGCGTTGAATCCCTGCTTTTCCAAGCATCCCAGAAGGAAGGCAAGTGGTTCAGTCCAAAGAAAAGTGCAGATTTTTCAGGAGGCGGCAGGTAGAGAATGAAGCTTCCAGTCCTCAAGGGATCCTGAACTTGGGAGTTGTTCCTGCCCACTCCTCTGCCCACTTTCTGGGGAAGAACTTGCTCAGGCAGTTCAAGTCCACTGACTGACTAATTAACCAAGTTATTAACTACATGCTGTCAAGCAGAACAGCTGCCACCCAACCGGGCACCTTCCATTAACCCAGCCGACATTCATACCCTGAGTTCAACTTTTGCCTCTAAAGGGGTGGTCACGCCAGGCTGCCCTCTTCGGCGAGTGAGATTCTTTCCCTTCCCTTCCCCTCCAATATTTTGGTGACAGGTCTCCCTTTTAATTCCCAAATGTGAAAAATGAAAAGCCCTGCAGGGAGATTTGAAGCATTTCAATGAGGACTAGTAGAGCTTGAGGGCGATCGACACGGAGATTCCCTGTAATAAAGGCAGCTTTTTGTTCTCCTCTGACATTTTTGCCCCACCGATAGTGGTCGGGATGATCCCGTCACCATCCCTGCGTTAAATTCCTTCCAGGGGCTAAAATGCAAGTCTCTCCCAGTTATCCATCCATCATCCAGGCCACGGTTGTCCCAAAAGCGCTTTTCCAAAAGGCAATTGGACTTCCCTGTGTTTTTTTATATAGTCTTTCCTTGAAAACATTTTGCTTCTCACTCAACAATCTGAAGAAGCTTCTTAGAGGAGAAGCGAAAGGTTTTCAAGGAAAGGAACCAAGAAAGAAAGTCCAGCTGCCTTTTGAAAAAAACACTTTTGAGCGTCCCTTCATTTATTTCCCAGTTGCCTGGAGGTTTCGAACGCATAACACTCTGCCCAGTGGACAACCGTGAGCAAAAGACGACCTTATTTAGTGCAAAGGCGTGGTGCACACCTCCTTCCTGTCCATCGCCCGGCGTGCGCGGAGGCGAGTGCTGCAAACCCAGAACATGCTTTCCGAGCGTGCAGCGATGACAAAACCGACGTGCAAAAAAAAAAGCAAATGACGAAGGCTGACATTCCAGGTTTTTCTACATTTCTCCTCCAGGAGAAAAGCCTGCCCCTTTGGCATCCTCCGGGGGGCTATAGCCGCTGTGGAAGAGCCGGATCCGTTGCACTATCGCTTGTCTGCAGAGTGGGCAGGTGTGCAAGGCTTCGGAGCACTTTTGGCAGCAGCAGACGTGACCGCAGTACAGGAACACCACTTGGGCCTGGGAAGGAGAAGCCGCAGAAGGCGAGGTCAGGCCGGGTGCCTTCCCCTCTCAAAAAGAGAATGGGGGGGGGGGAGAGGGGGGCTTCCATGCATGCAAAAGGGGCAGCGAGGGAAAAAAAATAAATAAATACCCAAGCTTTGTTTCAAGGAAAATGAACTCGAAAGCAAGAGTTTTGGTGGCCGGCTGGAGAACTAGTTACCGTGGCTTAGTGTTGAAGAAAACCACAGCACAGCTAAGTCCTCAACCTGCGACCGCAATCGAGCCCAGGATTTATGTTGCTAAGTGAAACATTTGTTAAGTGGCGCAGTGGTTAGAATGCGGTATTGCAGGCTAACTCACTGGCCGTTGCCAGTAGTTCGATCCTGACCGGCTCAAGGTTGACTCAGCCTTCCATCCTTGTGAGGACCCAGATTGTTGGGTCTGTCTGTCTGTCTGTCTGTCTGTCTGTCTGTCTGTCTGTCTGTCTGTCTGTCTGTCTGTCTGTCTATCTATCTATCTATCTATCTATCTATCTATCTATCTATCTATCTATCTATCTATCTATCTATCTGTCGTGGTGGCACAGTAGTTAGAATGAAGTATTGCAGGTTAATTCTGCTAACTGCCAGCAGTTCGATCCTGACCGGCTCAAGGCTGACTCAGCCTTCCATCCTTGCGAGGCCGATAAAGTGAGGAGCCAGATTGTTGGGGGGCAAGATGTTGGCTCTGTAAACCGCTTAAGAGAGGGCTGTAAAGCACTGTGAAGCAGTCTATAAGTCTAAGGGCTATTGCTATTGCTCCAGGAGGAGTCCCATCATGCCTTAGAATTCCTGGATTAGAACCACACAGGGTCAGGATGGTTCCATGCATAAGTTGCCGGGATAAAACGAGGAGAGCTAAGGTGGGTCAGAAAGAAGAACAACGCAGTTGTCTATCACTCCCCACACACTCACACAAGGCCGCCCGTCGGCTTACCTCTAACTCCATACACACTACACACTCGCAGTGGTGTTCTTCTGGCGGTGGAGCTGATGGGGCTTCAGGCTGGGCGGACTCTTCTCCAAACTCGGGTGCAGAAGGCCCCACTTCTTCTGCTGGCTTCAACAGTTCTGCAACCAGGTGGAAGGAAGGCAGAGAGTGAGGAGGAGCTCAAGGAAGAACATGGGCCACCCGATGGGACTGGGAGAAGATGGAGAAGATCCTCAAGGCCGCAGTGATCATGGCTGCCAGTTCTTATTGGTTGAATGTTCCAAACAAAGTTGACTCTCTTTTGTTGAACTCAAACCTTGGTGCCCTCACGTGTCCTTCACAACAACGCAAGACGTTCCTTGGGAATTTTGTTCATCCTCCATCTAGGCTCCCATCCTAAAATGACTGGGTGGTCTCCTCTCCATGTCCTAACCAAGTTCTCCCTGTCATTCAGTGCAGGCTACCCTGAGATGGCTTGAGTTCAACACATGGTTCAAAGGCCCAACATGTCCAGACATAGCAAAGAAACCCCCTGGAATCTGAAGACTTCCCCAAAGGTGCCCCCAACCCCAGCTGGGGACAGAGGTGACCTGTGAAGAAGCTTTACCTGGTATGGTTTCTGCAACAGCTTGTATCTCCCGAGCTTTCTGGATGATGGCGCGTTGCAAGCCAGATTCAGTTATTCCGATCTGCAAGAGGCAAGAGTAGTTGAAACAAAACCACCAGACTGGAAGGCAACCCACCTGGAAACAGTTGCTCAACGGGTTTTGCCCCGTTTTACGGCCTTTCCAGCCGCAACGGTCAGTGAATCCAGCTTCCCCATTGACTCAAAACGTGATCACGGGACCCCAGGACACTGCAACCATCATAAATGCGAGACAGATTGCCCAGCGCCTGAATTTTGATCACGATTGTAAGGATGCTGGAACAGTCGTATGTGTGAAGGGTTGTTAAGTCCCTTTTTTTCATTTTTTCAAATGAAATGTTGTAAGTTGGGGACAATCTGTAACCAGGGTGTGAGGAAGGAGGGAGACTGCAGTATCAGAACGGCCCGTGTTTCTTGACCTTGGCTAGGTCCCCAGGGACCATGTGGCTGAGCATTTCGAGAGAGATCCGATGGTGGGCAAAAATGGGTAGGTACTGTTCGGCCGAGAGGCCCGTCAACAGCTTCACCAGCTGCCTCTCCAGACCTTCTTCCTGTCAGGAGAAAGAGAGAAGGAAGGAATTCAAGCGACCAGCCTCCTTCGTTTAGGGGAATCCAGGCACCAGCAACCCGAACACCAAGGAGATTGTACAAGAATGGAATGATGGATGAACGAAAGAGAGAGAAAAAAATAAATGAGATTTTCTCTGCCCGTTGGCCGCCAGTCACCTGCAACCGGAGAGAGAGAGGCTTCTGATTTAAGAGTCGTTGGTACTGGATCAGCCAGTAGTTCTCCTGCTTCGTCTCACTCTTGGCCTCCAGTTCTTTCTGGGAAAAGGAGAGAGAAAGAAAGAACATTACGAGCTGGTTGAGCCTTGGTTGACCTGCCTGAGAACCACACAGGGGGAAACTGCTAGAGGCTATCCCACCAGGTCAAACGTGCCCTAAACCAGAGGTCCCCAACCTTTTGGGCACCAGGGACCGATTCCGCGAGAGAGGTTTTTCCACAGACCGGAGAGTGCATGGTTTTGTGTGCTGCCTGCATCCCACAGATGCGGCTCTGCTGGTTTGTGCGGACCGGTTGCTGGCACGCTGCAGACCGGTACGGGTCCACGAACTAGGAATTGGGGACCCCTGCCCTAAACAGAGGCCAGTCTTTGGTTCATCCATCCTGGTAAGGTTGACCCCAAGCAGGTGAAGTTCTCCACAGATGACCTCATTCTTGTTTATTGTAAAGCTACAAGTACAGAGGGGTGTATGTGTGATGGCTCAGTGGTTAAAGACGCTAAGTTGTCAGCTGGAAAACTGATCACCCAGGTTTGAGATCCAAGAGCTGCTCAACGGAGCGAGCCCCCGTCCCTTGCTCCAGCTCCTAGCAGTTGGAAAACACGCACGCGCAAGTAGATAAATAGGTACTGCAGGCAAGCTGCCTTCCCCCCACACCAGGCCCTTTACCAGAATGGCTTGCAGCTCCTCTTCTCGCTCTTTTTTCTCTTTCAGCAGCTGCTGCAGCAGATAACTCAAGGTGCGCCGTTGCTCCCCAATTGCTTCCTGCAACACAACATGGTTGTGGGGGTGTTTTAGAAGAAGACTGAACTTCCTTCCTTCCTTCCTTCCTTCCTTCCTTCCTTCCTTCCTTCCTTCCTTCCTTCCTTCGCTGGAACGCAGCCCCTGTCTTCTTTCTCCCCGATTTCTAAAAACTTGGCACTTTCCGTTGGAAGTTAAAATTCGGCAAGACTGAAAATGTTTGCCGGCTCCGAGAAAGGCCTGCAATTCTGTGCTTATCAATCAGCCCGAGACTCCATCATCTAGCAGAGCCTTCTTGTTTATTCACTCGACTTTTCACACAATCCCTCTGGACCACAGCATGCCAGGACCCCCCTGTCCTCAGCTGCCTCCCAGAATTTGCCCAAATTTAGCCTCGCTGCTGAAATTCCAGCCAGCAGGGTACAGAAACAACAACAACAATAATAAATCTTTGAATCTTCACGGCGCTGATTTGTTAGCTTCTTAAAGGCTCCTTTCCTGTTTCTGTTTTAAAGAGAACTTCATGTGATGCGTTCCATATCCATGAGGACTAGAAACGAAGGATCCTTTTTGTAAAAAAAAAAAAAAAACCCAGAAAAGTTCTTTCCCAAAAGACATGCAACCTTGGCTTCAGCGCCCGTACGGGATTCATGCATCTGGAGAGATGGAATGAGCCAGCTGGAATGGTGTCCGTTTGGTAAAAAGGGGTGGGTGGAATAAGCACACACTGAAGCAAAAATAGCCAGAAAGAAACCATAGGGGGAAAAATATGAAATGCTCAGCCAGCTTGCACAGGTAGTCCTCGACTTAACGACCATCCCTTTAGTGACCATTTCAAATTACTGAAAAAAGTGACTGGTGACCATATTCACACTCACAACGGCGGCAGCATCCCCCAGGGTTGTGTTGTTCAAAATTTGGATGCTTCCCGATGGTTGCGACTTTCCGACGAGCCAAGTCAACCGGGAAGCCAGATTTGCTTAACAACCAGGCAACTTGCTTAACGACAAAAGCGATCCACTTAACAACAGTGACCAGAGAGGTCGTCAAACGGGACAAAATTCCCCTAACAGTTGTCTTGCCTGGCAATCTGGGGTTCCGTTGCGGTCGGTGAGTCAAGGACGACATCTATTCCCTTCCACCCACTTCCTGCTACCCACTAGTGTCAGATTTCCTCTTGTGATTTCTGATTTGACGTCACAGTCTGGCTACTTAACAGGGTCCTCCTGCCCAACCCTCCCAAATCTCTAGACCAACCGGTCTCCAGAATCCTGGCAGCGTTTGCAGGAGGCCGTCGGGCGAAAGGAGGAGACGGGGGGGGGACTGGGAAAACTGGAGGACTCCTGCATCGAGCCTTCCTCTCCAAGTTGCTAAAGCAAAGGGAGGAGGAGGAGGAGGAGGAGGAGGAGGAGGGAGCCAAGCAGGAGGGGGTGATGGTCTGAAAAGGGGGGTGGGTGACATACCTGCAGAGCCTCCGTGTCCAGCTGCTGCCTCTTTAACTCCAACTGGGTGAGTTGCAGTAACTCTCTCTCTATTAACTTAATCTACGGAGAAGATGAAATAAGGGAAGCGGGTGGTTTGTGTGTGTGTGTGTGTGTGTGTGTGTGTGTGTGTGTGTGTGTTTCCTAATCGCACCGGCCTTTTTGGAGGCTACGCCTCTCAAAGTACTAGAGGGTGATGGCGGGGGAGGAACTCCACTTCCTTCGGCCAAACAGATTTGGGTAACTGCTCAGAGTTCCTTGCAAAACTGGACAGGGAATTCTCCTCTGAGAAGCTTCTTCAGCTCCAACTGGGTGGTGGAGGAATGGAAGGATTTATACTCCTTGCAGACCGCTGGTCGTCTGCCTTCTTTCAGAGAGTCGCTGAGGCCACCTGGAGGTTTACCTGTGTCCCCAGGGTCACTGAGTGGTGCAAATGGGTGCCCCACCACCCAGTCAGAGTTGAAGAAGCTTCTTGGAGGAGAAGCCAAAGGTCTTCAGAGAAAAACAAGGAAGTCCTTGTGGCCTCTTGAGAAAGCGCCTTTGGGACAGCCATGACCTGGAGGACTGAGGACCGGCACAGACACGTTCCTTCTTCGTATGTCACCCTAGACGTGAGGACAGCCAGGGAAGCACCCCGTACAACCCTCAAGCATCTGGAATACTTCGTGGAGTCAAGTGAATGGAAGCTACAAGCCCTGGACATCCAGCTTCTTTTTGGGAAGACGTGACGTTCAAAAGGAGGCGCTCTGAAGCTTCCGTGGCCTTTCTGGAAGGCTCGGGATGTGGTTCGAGATGAGCCAGAGCTTGTAGCGCCACAGCGAAGCCACCAGAGAAGAGGAGAGTCCACCAATACCCTTGTCCACCACCTGTTAGAACACTAAAGGCCTGAGGAACCCACTAGACAAGGAGAAAAGGTGCAGTCAGGGGAACGGGGTGGGAGAAATTGCAAACTCTACCATCTGAGGGCCTCTGGCAAACCGTTCCCTCTGGCAGTGATCCTGCGTTCATAAGCGGTGGGGGCGTCAGTGTTGGTCAAAATGGTCTCGGACAAGCAACAGAAACAAATGACGACAAACACATGGAAACAGAACCATGGAGATGAGGTTTTTATGGACCGTCGGAAGGGTGGGAGCGCAGCAAAGCCGTCCCCAGAGGGGAGGCATAGTAGACTGGCCCAGAAAAACACGACTTTGTCCCGGTACCAAGTTCTCCTCACCAGGATGGGTACCCAGGCCAGGTTTGAAAAAGAAGTCTTCTGATTCAGGAAGGGATGAGTGATGCGGCCTCCCCCCTCCCCTGGATCTCCTCCCAAGTCTTAAATTTGGCACTCACCTGGTTTCTGATCTGGCAATGCATGACGTCTCGCTTCACCTGGAGCGCTTCGAAGGCTGCCTTCTGCATCTCGCTCTAAAAGATGGAGACCCGAGTTTTTGTGAGGAGCGGAAGCTGCCTTAAACTACCTGAGACCATCTCTCTTCCCTCACTCCTAATTCTCTTTCTCCAACCCTGAACTCAAAAACATTCCAACAAGCTTTCCAGGATGGAAGCAAGCCAGGATGACCTACCCACTGAGCTACGAGGTCCTTCCTCCCTAGTGTGAAAATTCTACATCATTAGACAAGTCTATTTAATCTAGGACTGTATTTACAGGGTGGCTGCAGCTCTTTAGAATTCACAGACAAAGATGGGTCTTTTTTCACCTGTGTTACCTGGCACCTTTTTTTTACAGAAAAGTGAGTGATTGAGTTTGGGATCTCTATTCCACCCACTTGCCAAATACACACTTGACTTTAAGCAAGGGATGATCCTCATCAACACTGCAGAGTGAGATATAGATCAAAACACTGATTTAGGTACTCTAGAGATTTCTGGAAGCCTGATGATAGGTAGGTAGGTAGGTAGACAGACAGACAGAGACAGATGATAGAGATAGATACAGAGATAGATAGATAGATAGATAGATAGATAGATAGATAGATAGATAGATAGATTTGGAAAAGCTACATTTTTGTTACCAAATTTAAAGAATTGCAATTGCACAGATAAATAATGCAAGGCCCCACTATCAGAATAGTCCCAAAGCAAAGATCTTTGCAGAAAGAACACAAGTGTGTTAAGTCCACCTGAATTCCCCAGAAAGGTCAGTTAATGTGACAACATCCTCCAAAAGCCTGGAGTGTTGTTGTCAAACCACAAGAGCGGAACAATTGCTTTGTGGAACGAGACCAAGGTCCAGGATCGGGTTTCCAAGAAAGGCCAAACCAGGTGGGAAGCCTTAAAACAAGGCACGGGGAGGCAAAATGTGACCTTTTGCCCTCTTTGGCCGGAAATAATTGGGGGGGTTTTTAAAGCTTTTTAAAGAGACAAACAACAGGGCAAGGACCCCCATCTCTAGAGTTCGCCTTGCGAACCTGTGCAAAGATATTTGTTTCGAAGACATACAGATCCATTTTTACGTGGATCTAACAGAATCTCATCGGATTTCTCTCTATTTGAGGCTTGATTCAAAGCTATGTTTGCATGACAACACAACCTCAAGCCTAATTTGCTTAGTTCTGGCTTTAGCGGTCCAAAGAAATTCCCATTAAGATCACTTCAAGGATGAAGGGAGCTTCTACACATGGCTGGGAAAGCCTGAAGCCTGAAGAGCATCTAATGTTGTGCTCACGATGGATGCTGCTGACCACTGGAGGAATCTTGTAGCTTTCTAGACTTTGACTACAGGGCCTATCGTCTTTGTCCATTGGCTGTACTGATAGGAATTGTAGCCCAATGCATCTCAAGCACATCCATTTGCCTGCCTCTTCGGCAGGTGAACCAGATCCAGAGGAATCAACGCTTGGTCAATGATTAAGGTGGCTTCCAAGATTTGTTCGTTCTCCTAGTCAAGGTCCTGCTTAATTCCTTCTACCATGAGTGAATACCCTTCCACCCCCCACCCCCCCCATAATACCTCCTGCAGGATCTGGCTGATGGCTTTGTTCTGATCCAGCTGCTGCCAAGCCAGGATCTGCTGGAACTTCTCATCCATCTTGGCAAGGCTGAAAGAGAAGAATTCTTGGGGAAAAGGGCCCATGAGGTGTGACATTAGAGACGCTGATCTGTAGAGTGAGGAGACCCATTTCACTAAGGTATGGCATGGCTTTCTTGCTTTGAGCCTCAAGTTGTAGGAGAACCCAGCAAGTATGGTCCATGAACTTGGATTTATGGGTTAATGTAGGCCAACGTTACGTCTCCTTCAAATTGTTTAAGTATTTTGGATTTTTCAGAGAGGTCCGAGTGGGCCAGGGGATGATATCCAGGGACACCAGCAAACCAGGTAGGCAGTGTTCTCTTCCTGGTCTGGCATCAGAACCTGATCAAGTTGGGTTCTCCCACAAGGAGTAGGACCTATATTGCTGAGATGCTTCACCACAGGTGACAGTAGACTTCTAGGAAGAGCTTTCATCTCTTTTTCTGGAGGTTCCCAATCCCTTCATCTAGCAGGTCTCACAAAGTTCTGGAGAACTTCTACAAAGTTCTGGAGAACTTCTACAAAGTTCTGGAGAACTTCTACAAAGTTCTGGAGAAGCAGCTAAGGTTTGATTGAATGAGGGATATTTCCCTAGTCTTGAGACTGAGAATTAAATTAAAATCAGAGGGAATCAGGTTCAAATTGACGCTAAGTAACGTTGGACCAGCGTTCCTCTTCTGCTAGCCTGACTTGCAATGTTCTTGCAAAGAAATGGGTGCTTATAGTTGTCCCAGGCTCTTTACTGGTCTGGCACAGCCTCCCAACCCATGTCTTCTTCAGTACCTGGAGCACGTCTGGTTGACCAGGTCCTGTCGGCGAGATTCACAGGCTCCCTGAAGTAATCTGTTCCTGTAGGTCTCGGACAACATCTGCTTCATGGCCGCTGGGAGAGGGAAATTGGGGAAAAAAGAAGAGTTAATAGCCTTAACCTTAACCCTTAAACACAAGGCATAATTTCAGTTGCCAGGTAAGTATAATTCATACCTGCAGTGCCACAACAACTTTAAAAAAGAGCTTTTTTGAATGGCGATTTTAGCATGGTGGCTGTTTCTATTTAGATTTGCTCTGGTTTTTCATGGTGGTGAGCCGCAGAGAGGCGACACAGATTAAACCATGGAAAAAATGAAAACAGATCGCCCATCTCCAGCAGGGATTCTCTGGCAAGGGCTGAGCTCCTCAACCCTCCAAGATGATGACACGGCAAGACGGAGAAGACAGGGCAAGCGTTTGAGCCCCATCAACAGCCACACAGGGGTACCTCCGCACTCATCGTTAATTGTTTCCAGGGAGGAGTGACGAGTACCAAAAACAATGAGCAGCAAACAAATTTCTCCCGTTAAGGAATAATGTAGTGAGTCACAAGGCAGCCGACAGCGACAAGTTCTAGCTTGTGCGTTGAGTACCAAACAAACGAGGAGTACCCAGGCAAAATGTTCACGTCAAAATGTGCCGAGTCCCAATTTCAATGATCTCAAAGCAGTTGAGTACCAAGGTACCCCTGTACTTACCAGCTACTTCTTTCTTCCTCAGCTGTTCCGTTTCTTCCTGAGTGATGGCCATCAGCTGCTCCATCCGGATCCTGCAAGAGAAGCCAGATGCCCATCGGTTCCCCTCAACTTTTCTCAAGAGTTCCATCTCCACCATCTTTCTCCCTTCACCCCATTTGCGAGGTTCAAGCTGGGCTACACATTCTCAGAAAGCCCAATTTTCAGATTTCTTCCCCCTCCCCCCTCTCCCACTGATGTTGGTGTCACCCTGTCTCCGTGGAAAACTTTGGAGTATCTTTTTCCGGAGATCTTTGGGCTGAGCACTGACCCACCAAAGGGTTGTAAGGTTTGCTGTTCAGTCACAAGATTTTAGGGAAAGATTGTCTTGGTTGCTAGCTTGCGGTCCGAGTCACGTTTCATCCACCCCCAGCTTGCTTCATTTGGAACCAGCTACGATGGTTTGTGAATCATCATGTTTGGGAGCATTTGAGAAGGCAACGAACCGTGGCCAAGAAAAGCAGGAAACTCACCGGTCGTTCTCGAGGGATTTCAAAATCTCAGAACTTTGTTTCTGCCTAAAAAGATTTAATAAATAAAGAGTCATCATCCAGCCATTATACTGATCAGCTCTACTAAGGACTACTAAGTCTGGATCTTGGATCTTCATTTAACAACCAATCAAAGTTACAACAGAACCGGAAAAAAAAACTTACAACCAGTCCTTGACCACTGCAGCATCCTGTGATCCCTTGATCAAAATTTGGGCATTTTGAACTGGCACGTATTTACAACCGGTGCAATGTCACGTGATCAACATTGATAAACCTTCTTAGGCGGCCCCCACAAGCAAATCGATGGGTGAAGCTGGATTCACTTCACGTCCACGCCACAAAGGTTGTAAAATTGGGCATGGCTCACTTAATGATAGTTTAGCAACAGACGTTTCGGTCCCAATTGTAAATTGTTAAGTCGTAAGAGCCGTGGTGGCGCAATGGTTAGAATTGCGGTATTGCAGGCTGACTCTGCCCACTGCCAGCAGTTCGATCCTGATCAGCTCAAGATTGACTCAGCCTTCCATTCTTCTGAGGTCGGTAAAATGAGGACCCAGATTGTTGGGGAGCGGTATGCTTATAAACCACTTAGAGCAGGGTACAAAGCACTACAAAGCGGTATATAAGTCTAAGTGTTGTTGCTCCTGCTGGTGAGTCGAGGACTACTTGAACCCACCCCTCCGATCTACAAGGGTGCAGAATTGATTCTATGGCTTCCAGACACCAGCTGATTTCCCCTCTTCGGCTCAGCGGATCTCTTACCTTTGGTTATCTTCCAGCAGTTTCTGGATCCTGCTGGCCACCCCTTGCTCCATCTGCTTCAGCTGATCCAGCAGCTTCAGGCGCTCAGTCCCCAGGCGCTGCTGATGGCGGGTCAACCCTTCCTCCAGTTTCATCTGCTCCTGAAATTTGAGAGGGAAAGTCATTCCCGATGCTGAAGCCACATGGCAAGGAAAAAGAAGCGAGCCAGATTCACCCTGATTCATGTCAAATCTAATGCCAGATCCCCTTCCAACAAGCCAAGTCAAAGCCAGATTCCTTAGCAACTATATTACTAACTTATCAGCAGAGTGATTCACTTAAAACAAATCTGGCAAGAGAAGTCGTAGAATGGGGCAAAACTCACTTAACCTCTGTCTTACTTAGCAACGGAAATGTTGGCTCAACTGTTAGTTGAGGACTAGTTGCAAATTGCTGTCTTCTCTCATCTGTGAATTATTTCTGCCCGGAATTTCCCCCCGTTCCTGTCCCACTTCCTCACAATCAAGTCTACAACAATACGTCCTGAATTCAATTGCTAGGCTTCAACGATCTGGCGTGAAGGTATCTGTGGTAGGAATGGGGAAAAACGTGAGGTGCAGAAGCCTTGCCTCTTTCATGCTTTGGAGAAATTCTCCTTTCTGGACGTGACTTTGATGCATCAAGTGGACTTGTTCTCTCTGCTCCAGATCCAGCCAACGCTCAAATTCCAGCTTCTCCTGCATCTTCTGCTCCTATCAGGTAAACAGAGACCTCTGCTGATTTATAACCCTGATCTCACCGTATTCTACTCAAGGCCTCACGCTCTCTCTCAAACACAGTTGGAAGAGAAGATAGATTGTGCTTGTCCTTTGACCCACAGAGCTTTTTGAACCAGGAAGTGATCCTAAGCAAAATATCTGATTTTCTACAGTGGATTATTCTTTAATCCAGGGGTCCCCAACCTCTGGTCTGGGGACCGGTACTGGGCCGTGACATACCAGCAACCGGTCTGCACAAACAAGCAAAGTCCCATCCGTGGGATGCAGGCAGCACACAAAACCACGCACTCTCTGGTCTGTGGAAAAACCACTCTCCATGGAACCGGTCCCTGGTGCCCAAAAGGTTGGGGACCTCTGATTTAATCCTTATGTCACCTCCCATCAGCAGATGAATGGAACAGGTTGGCTAATCCCACAACGAGGAGTAGGGAGGGAAATCACAGGCATCTTACCTTTCGCTTCTCATAGTCTAGAAACTTGTTCTGCAACGAAAATAAATGGAGAAGTAAGCAAGATTGATTTTAACCAGCAGCTGAATGCAAACATGGTACGGTTTTGTTTTTCTTCAGAAGACTTGGGAAGTCCTGGCTATTCATCTCCGCCTTTAGCCTTTGATAGTAATTTCTTTGATTGTTGTGAGTCACCAAAAGTCATTGGGAGACTAGCGGCGTGCAAGTTGCATACATAATAATTTTGCAATTGACTATCGGCATTGACAAACATCCTATTAGTCAATTGCCAGAGGCAGCTTGGCTTGGAACAGCTTACATCCTGGGACAATCCCTTTAATGCCATCAGACAACAACATCTGCCTATCCCAGATCCTTGGAAAGGAGTCAGCAGGTAGACAAAAATGCCAAACCCAGTCTAAACATCTGGCTGACTGTGCAACAAACCGTAACAACACTGTCACACTGTGGCATTGACAAAAAAAAAAAATTCCCATTGGTTCATTACAAAAGGCAGCTTGACTTGAAACAGCTTACATCTGGCAGTCAGTCCTTGAACACCATCAAAGAAGAACATCTGCCTATCCCAGGTTCTTGGGAAGGGCTCAATGGGTAGACAAAAAGGCCAAATCCAGTCTAAACCTCTGACTGACTGTGCAAATAACCACAATGACTTTATTGCTTCCTCCCACTGTTCTCTTGGGAACAGAGTTCAGAGAAAAATGGTCACTTTCCTTTGTGTCTCTGTCTAGCAACTGTTTTTTGGGGTAGACTTTGCCAGAAAGTAGATGTTCTACACAAACTCTACGGGGAAACACCCTGGCGGGAGGCCAGTCCATAAAACTGGTTCCTGTGAGTTTAGGAAAAAATCTCCTAAAAAGGCATCCTTGTATATTTTGGGAAGCGTTAACACTCACTTGCCACTCGGCTTCATCTTCCATATATTTGTCAGCTGTTCTCCGGATGCCATCCACTGATGTCTCCTCGCCTTCCCTTTCCAACACAGGGAGTAAATACTGAGAGGGAGGGTTGTATTCTGTGCCCAGTTCTGGAAGGAAACCCACACATCACAATGTCACATGGATCTGTGCGATACAGGTAGCCCTCAACTTAGGCCAACAACTGAGCCCAAACTTTTTGTTGCTAAGCAACGAGAGTCTCCCTTTTGCTTACCGTCACAGAGGAACTGCTGGATGGCCACGGTGCCAGTGCTGCAAATCTCACCCGGTGGGTAAACCATTCCTGAAGCATCCAGGGACAGCGTCTGCCAGAGAGGAACACACACACACACACACACACACACAAAACCAGAGCTGCCTTCAATCTGGATTAAGCCAGGACCCGAAAGCTTGCTGATGTAACTTACAGGCGGTCCTCGATATATACGAGAACACAAGGCAGCCCCAAGTTTATGTGGCTGGAACATCTGTTAAGTGAGTTTTGCCCCCATTTTACGACCATTCGTGCTATAGCTGTTAAGTTAGTAAGACAGTTGTTAAATGGACCTGTCTTCCTCACTGGCTTTGCTCGTAATAAGGTCACAAAAGGGGATCGCGTAATCCCGGAACACTGCAACCGCCGCAAATATGAGTCAGTTGCCAAGAGTCTGAATTTTGATGCTGTAACGGTTATTAAGTGTGAGAAACGGCCCTGGCTCCCTTTTTTCAGCGCCGTTGTAACTTCGATCAGTCCCTAAAGGAACTGTTGTAAGTTGAGGACTTCCCATAAGAGTGGTTCAAACTTGCAAAGGAACAGAGCCATCCTAGATGGCTTAGCCAATTCCTGGTTGATTCTCCCACTTTTCCTCCTGATTGCTGCCAGATTTGAGGGAGAGTAAGAACGACGGCCTAAGAGATAGGCCGACTTCGAGCCAAACTTGTAACGCTACCTCCAAGGTTCGGATGTGAGCCAGTGTCTGCGGCAACTCCCGGACCAAATTTTCACTGATGTCCAACGTTCGGAGACTCCGCAGGCCCTCTAGGGTGGAAGGCAATTGCTTGAGCTTGTTGCCTGCAAGAAAAAAAACAGAAAGCAGAAAGTAAAAACATTTGGCAGGCACGAAAAATCTGTTCCAATTCGACTCTTGCAACTTCCAATGGTTGTTAGACAAATAATCAAAGATTGCCTGCATTTTGATTTTATTTTCTCATCATCAGCAGGGCTCTTAAGGCTTCTGGTACCCCTGCACTCAAGACGCAGGAGTTTGGTTATACCAGGGGTCTTCAAACTTGGTAACTTTTAAGACTCGTGGACTTCAACACTCAGAATTCCTCAGCCAGCTGAGGAATTCTGGGAGTTGAAGTCCACGAGTCTTAAAGTTGCCAAGTTGGAAGACCCCTGGGTTATCCTATACTAAGCTGCCCTCTGGAGGCTTTTAGTTTAACTGTAGTTTGTACTGGTTGATCCCTAATGTGCACTTTGAACTTCCCCATGGCTAACGGAAACAGTCATCAAATGTACAGCTTTGAAATTATCTTATTTTTTTTATCAGCTGTAGCACAGAGGATCAACTCTGATTGGGTCTGGCTTCAAGCAACAAGCAAAAATCAAAACAAGAATCCTGTGACCGACCTAGATTGGATCCTGCAACGTTATCCTGGGACGTGTATGTTTGCCTTCATTTGGGAAACCAAAAGCAATTTTGGAACTCTTTCTTAGGCTTCCAAAGCAAAATTTATTCCTGCTAGGCTAAATTATGGTGGAAGTCCGATGATTATATCCCTTGGGTGCAAAACTCAAGGTTGCCATGTCCTTTTCTAACATTTTTAAACTGGAAAAAACGAGCCATTATCAGCAAACTGCTTTCAACTGAACCCACTGTTTCTTGCATCTTTTTCTCCCCGCCTCAAAAGCGTAAGTTAAAAACCAGAACGATTGTTCTTTCCAGATACACACGGAGAAATGTTTTGCCATACCTTTCAAATTCAGCGTCTGAAGCTGAACAAGGTCCCCAATCGAGTCCGGAAGAGCTTTTAAAACATTCTTTTCTACATTCAAAACCTACAAAGAACAGAAACGGCATCAAGGGACAACATGCCCGTCTTAAAGCTGTCAACCCCGAGAGATCTATAAATCTCAGTCTGTGAGTTTGTGCCAGTGTGGCACCACCTCGAAAGGGATAGAAAGGGCCACATTGGTTCGTGAAAGTGCCCAAACTTCCCGAGCATCCGCAACTTCTTTACCTGGAGAGAAATCAACTGGCCGATATCGGCAGGAAGAGAGGTCAGCTGGTTATCATGGAGATCTAAAACCTGGAACAGGAGATAAAAAGAAATCCGTAACAATCCCATAATCTTCTGCCCAGCCTCCACGGTGAACCACAAAGGGTGATGGGATTGTCATCCAGAAACTGGGAATGCAAGAATACCACCACACCTTCGGACTGCCCCCCTGAAAAGTGGTTAAAATACAGGCAGTTCTAAACTAGGTTTAACGTCTTGTTCTTTCGATTCTGGATCTTTACAAGCTTCCACAATAGTTGATGAGAAGGGCTGCGAATCACCTTTATTGTTACAAGATTAGAGAGGCTGCAGGATTTGGGGACGAGGGACATCAAAAAATTGGTGTGAGCAATCAGCACCTGAAAGAAAAACATCACAGAAGGTATTACAACAGGACAATATTATGATCTGGATCACACACTGGATTAAACCATCATATTGGGGCTAGAGGATTGAATGCATCCTCCTGACCCCTGTAAAGTTCGTTTTAGGAGTTTAGGAAGCATATGAAGCTAATTATGGTGATTTATGCATCACAAAATATGGCTTAAGAATCAAGGCTAGCTCAGAGTCACATAAACACACAAGAGGAAGGTAGACCAAAGCAAGAATTCAGTGGCATATTGGTCACTGCAAGCCTAAATCTTGCATGTCTAAATGTGCATCAAACTCCTTCAATTTCAAGAAGAGGCTGGGCAGCATTTGTCCGAAATGGTATAGGATCTCCTGCTCGAGCAGGGGGGTTGGACTAGATGACCTCCAAGGTCCCTTCCATCTCCATTATTATATATTCTATGTTCTTGTGAATTAGGAAGGGGCTTGTCTGTTTTCTCCAATTACTATTGGACTATGCTCTGCGCTGTTTGCTGACCTGGAAATGTGAGACCAGTTAAACTGGGTTATCTGAAAGTACAAATAGAAGAACTTGATAGAAGAGTTTGAGATACGCAGTCTAAGAGAAGCCTGAATCTAAATGCAAGAAACAGCCGGGGTGGATGAAATATTGAACAAAACCGATTTCTCGTCATTTTGAGAACTTGAGGACCCCTTTCTGGTCCTGGAGAGAACTTTCTGTTCCCCCCCCCCCCGCTAGAAGCGGTTTAATGAAATTCAAGGTATTTGGTGAAATTCCTCATATTAACTCTGAACTGTCCTTTTTTAAAATGGAAACTGCGCTTCTTTCTTACCTTCTTCTGCAATACTTTGCAGGTCGAAAAGGCACCGTAGGGAAGCTAAAAAAAAGAAAGAAAAAGACAACTCGACGTAGGGCCACAACGGAGCCCAAACTTTCTGTCGCTAAGCGAGACAGTTCTTACGTGAATTGTGCCCCGTTTTACGACCTTCCTTGCCAGTTCTTAAGCGCATCACAGCCGTTGTTAAGTTAGTAACAGGGCTGTTAAACAAATCTAGCTTCCCGCTTTGGCTTTGCTTGTCGGAATGTCACAAAAGGGGATCACGTGATCCTGGGATACTGCAACTGTCATAAGTACGAGTCAGTTGCCAAGCGTCTGAATTTCGATCACGTGATCTTGAGGAGGCTGCAACGGTCTTAAGGGTGAAGAACAGTCGCAAATCCCTTTTACTAAGCGAACTGTTGTAAGTTGAGAGCTACCTGTAGGACTCCAAAGTTCCCATCCTAACAGTTGCCATCATTCGGGCGAGTAACCCACCAGGAACCGGAAATGGAGAAACCCTACCTCAGAAAGTTCACACCTGGAAATGTCAAGAACATCATCTGCTCCAGCTTCCTTTGCCTGTTGAAAATAATAGGTAGATTATTGGCGGCAAAAATCGGGAGGGGGGGATCATTTCAGTTGACCTCAAATTGGTGTTCCGTTCAGCTTCTACCGTCACGATAAAAGCCGGCTAGAAAAAAGGTGGAACTGAACAATACGGTGAATTTCCCAGGTGTGAAGAACTGAACGTGTTCTTCGGTTGTTTCCTTGGGATCGTCTAGTAAACAAACCCTACTCAGTTCACAGGTCCTCAGGGTCTTTGAGGTCACGGCCTGTTGACTTCTACATAGCCGTGAGGGAGATGAAGAAGTCACAAGGTTGGGGAGATGTTGTGACTTAAGAGAGCAGTGGTCAACTGTGGTTGCCAAGAGTTTTATCCCACCTCAAAGGAGGAGGACGAGAGAAGACTTCTTCTACTGTGGTCCCTCAGGAAGCTTCTGAGAAACACCTTCTACCCATCTTACAACCCAAGCAGTTTTCTGATAGAGTGGTGGGGCCAGCTATTCAGGACCTGGTTGTCTTCCCATGACTTACGAGACACATTTGATATTCCAGGCGTTTCCGGGCTTCGTTGCTCGCCTTCCTTTTCCGAAAGAAGAGCGGCATCTTGACTCCTGTCTCCATTTATCCCAGTTCAGCAGGATGGCGATTGGAATCTGAATAGCAGGAAGATCAAGAATCCATCCCAGGTAAAGTCATTGGCAGCTTAGCCTGCCCGGCTGGTTCTGCCTACCCCACCCTCGGATATGAACACCGTCTTAACAACCTGTCATCTTGACAACCTATCTTTGACACATGCTGTCTTTGATTGCAGTTGCTGCTGGGCACAAATCCCCATCAGCCCCAGCCTCCAAGCAGAATGATCAGGGAAGGTGAGGTGTAGGACAAAAACTCTGGAAGGTAAGCGGAGGAGAAGACTGGCTGATTGCCAACGGAAATGAAGATGAGTCATTAAGACAGGGATATCCTCTGGAAGATGCCAAGTACGAGTTCTCTCGTCGGAGCCCTGATGAAGTTACTCCGCTGGGTAATGAAAAGTCTTCAAGAAAACCAGAATGGACCCAGAGTCCTTCTCCTCTTCCTTCTCCCCTCCCCTCTAGCACTGATGATGCTACTTAGTTGGGTAATGAAATGTCTGTAAGAAAACCACCAAGGATCCCACCACCCTCCTCCTTCATTTAGGAAGCTTCACTCCTTCTAGGTAGCACTGATGATTCGACCTAGTTTGGGTCATAAAACACGTGCAAGAAAACCAAGCTTGGAGACCACCAAAGACCCCACCATTCTCTCATTAAATTATCCTCGTGCTTAAGACCTTCTTCGTACCATTAGTAGCACATGATTTAGAGACAGTCATGGTTCATCAACAAAGTAATATGGGTGGCCAGGCCCAATCCAGAAAAATAAATAAAAAATCCTTAAGCGTCCTCATTGGGTAGTTATTAACCCCTAAAGTGCAATTAGGGACAGATCGTCACAGACAAGATCTATTTGTGAGATGGCTAAGAGACAATAGTGAGTTTATGGCACATAATCAATCTTTTTTTTGCCTCAAGTCACCATGATCTGGCTTTAAGTCAGATCCTTTTCCCCTGCATTGTTTAATCTCTATTGCGTTCCCAGTGAACAGACTGGACTTCACGCTGTGCATTTTGACAGCCAGAAAAAAATCAAAGGAGGCAGTTTAGGTGGAACGATTACTGTAAAAAACTGCCTTAAGGCACAAAATCGTATCTCTTTGTAAACTTCCTTCACTCTGAGTATTGTTAGAGATGTCTCAATCTCACAACATATACAATGGAGGAAGTCCAAATTTGTTAAAGACTACAATACCTGTGGGTGTTTTTTTTTTTGGAGAGGAGAATTTCCTGGCTCCCTCACATATAATACCTTCCAGAAAGGAGAAAAACAGCCCGAAACCTTTGCCCTTGCAAAAAGATTTATTTGTGGGATTTTAATTTAAGATGGGATGGAGAATTATTGTCAGACCTGTGAAAATTAATAGCTTCCTTCAAGAATATATCCCCAATTCTGTATCTTCCTTTGCATTATTGTTACTATACAAATAAATTGCTGAAAAAAATATGTATACGTGTTTAATAAAAAGCTACAGCTTCCGAAGAGATTAATAGCCAATTTGAAATGGCCAATTATTTTAATAGATCAATGTTAACAGTGTTGTTTCTGTTTGTATTGATAAATTTTAAAAATAATAAAGAGGCAAAACTTCCCAACTACTGGATTTCTTGAAAGGGAAGGTAATTCCATTTGACATTCATATGGTTTTCTCTCCTCAAAGAGTGGATAGGGAAAAAAGAAGCTTTTTTTCATCTAGGTGTTTTTGGTGAATCTGAAATCCTTCGGTGTTCAAGGGAAATTATTTTGGGGAAAATAAAAGTATCTTCCTTTCACACAGTATAAAGTGCAGGATTGTGGCAACACACAAACCAATCTTTGAATAGCTTGCAAACAGATCTCTAAAAGGATGACCGAATCGATCACGTGTTACACAGAAGTAACAAATAACCGTGGCTTTAAGGGAGACACGCAAACACTATAATCAATTAGAGCAATGACATTGGCTGGACCTTGGCAATTAAAGATCTGCCTGGCATTTGTAAACAAGCTTCTGCCTTTAAGAAGATGATTTATACCGTTGAGAATTACTGGAAATTGGGCAACACAGATTTTTTTTTTTAAATTATTATTAATTGGAAAAGCCACTGGTGGAAGAAATCCCGATTTTTTTTTCTATCATAAATTAATGTGGCTCTCTTCCTGCCATGCCAGGCATTACCAACGGCATTTCCTTTCCTTTTATTTTATTTCCAGCCACCCAGCTCATTTTGATGAGAGTTTAGGCAGCTCTTCTGACAAAGAGACCCACGTTTTCTCCCACCTACCCCTCCTAAATTAAATTTCAGCCTTCCCTCCCCCTTTCTTACCTGCCAGGAAGTCCCATGGCATCCGGCTGGATGTATTTTCAAGGAAACGCCTTGCAAACAAGTCACTCTCAGAGCAGGGATGCAGGCAGACCCTCAACAGGTGAAGCTGTCATGCCAGCAGGAAGAGGCAGGGGTCGGGGCAGAAAGGAGGGCCCGGGGGGGGTTAATCAGAAGCCAAAGCAACTGGACTGATTGTGGGAAGAGGGAGAAATAAAACCTCAATGGCTAAATAATAATATAAAAATGCAGGAACTGCAGGACCAGCTGGCTTAGCCCCGCCCAGGAGGGGGCACAGCTGAGGAGCGGCCACGCCCCCTTCCTTGACTCCACGCCCAGGGCTGGAGAGCAACGGAGGAGCCAAGCCCCACCCACTCGCCAATATTGTCCCTCCCCGCGCCCCGTACTAACCGCCTCCGCTCATCCGTGACAACCTTCCCCCCCCACCGCCCACTTCGATTTTCTTTTCCCCGCTCCCTCCGTGCCGGTTGTCCCGGGAAGTCGCCGCCGCCGCGGCCTCGCCCCCGGCTCCCCGCCTCCCGTGCCCGCGAGCAAAATGGGCGCTTCAAATGGTTTCGCTTCCTCCCTCGGCGGCGGTGCCCTTAGCAGCCATGGCGGCGGAAAGCCGCAGGTCTCGCGAGAATAGGGGGGTGGACGTCGCGTTGCAAAGAGGCGTGGTCGAGGCGGCCATTGGCGCGATCTCGCGAGATCTTGGCAGCTATATGCCGCGCCATTGCTCTTCCGAGGCCTTTTGAGTTTTCGTTGTGGATCCGGGCTCTCGATTTGTGAATCCGCCGCCATCTGACTCGGACGTTGGCCGGACGTGACTGTAGCCATCATGCCGCCCAAGTTCGACCCCAACGAGATCAAAGTCGGTGGGTATGGAGTCCGGCTGCTGCTTCTCTTTAGGCGGCATTGAGCATTAATCCGGCTGAATGGTTCTCTCTGTTAGAGCGTTCTGCAGGACCAGCACGTGTGAACGCTTCTTGGCGTGTCCGCCTTGTGTTTCTGTTATTTTTCTTGAGTCACTATTTTGATCCCTGTTGCCTTGTTCCCTTTCCTATCGAAGCCAATCTCCCTCGCTTAATCGGGGGATTAGTTCATCATTTCATCCACTTTTCAGACGATTGAAGATGAAATAATAACGAAATGAGAGGGGCGCTATATAAATTTAATCAAAGGGATTACAGGATCGCAAAAAGGGAGTTTTAATAAGATCATTAATTCTGCCATACAAGAGACTGGACAGCCATTTGTCTGAAATGGTACAGGGTTTCCTGTCTGAGCAGAGGGTTGGGCTAGATGACCTCTTAAGGTCCCGACTTTATGATTATTTATTCACCCATTTTTCTAGCTTTGCACAAACCTCGGTGCTGTGTTGCCATTTGTGTTTCCCTCTGAATTGCAAAATAATTAAATTGATCACGTGTGAAGGCAGCATTCTTTTGCCAAGAAAACCAGCCTGGAGATCTCCATGCAGCTGCTAGGAATCTCGGGAGCGTTTAGGATTAATTGTTATTAAATTATTTATTATATTGTGTTTATTTTTTTTCTTTTCTGGCAGTGTTCCTGAGATGCACCGGAGGTGAAGTCGGGGCCACTTCTGCCCTGGCTCCCAAAATTGGACCTTTAGGTTTGGTACGTCTTTTTTACATTTTCTGAATCAGTGTTGTTTTTTTGTTTTGGGGAATTTAATTTGAGTAGAGAATCTCTTTTTGGCCCACCATAATCTCTTCTAAAGCAAGCAAAAAGTGGCCTGTTTTGGCTCGATTTGGAAGACAACCTAAAAGGCTTGTGAATTATGTGAGAGCTGTTGAGCAACTGCTTCAGACAATCTGTTTCCTACATTGATCAACCTATGGTGGGTGAATTTATTCCCCATCCTCACCCCCAAAAAATAAAATAGTGGGCTGGAAGACTTGTAAGCAGCCTGAGTCTTAAGTCTACAAAATGGTCTCCCTTCTTAGCCATTAGAATCACGTCATCTGGGCTAACATTTGGCATTGATTGACTTGCAGAAACGTTTAGTCAAACACGTGTCCTATTTCAGGGCCAGAATCTCTGGCCATTACCGAAACAAAATGTTGGCGTATATCAGCTAGTCGTTAAAAACTATACTTAAAAATTCTGCTTCTGACTTTCCAGTCTCCAAAGAAGGTGGGAGATGACATTGCCAAGGCCACTGGCGACTGGAAGGGGCTGAGGATCACCGTGAAGTTGACCATTCAGAACAGGCAAGCACAGGTACACACAACGCCACAAGGGATGACTCTCTGGTCGACGTGCCAAGTCTCAACAGACTGGCTGAGCTGTAATCCCGGCAGGGTTGACTCAGCCTTTCATCCTTCCGAGGTCGATAAAATGAGTACCACTCAAGTTTATTGGGTGGGAGGTCTCCAAGACTGGACCTTGACTGTAATCCAAGCCCTTTGGGAATCCTGGACCCTGATGGATTAATAACGTGGTCCTGATGATCATTAGGATGTGAAAGTTGGACTGCATTTTGCCGCTTGGGAAAAGCAACTGGCGGCTTGCATTTCGGATCCATGTTTTCAGAACCCTGCGTCTTGTTACAGCATCCTTGTGTAAAGGCCAGTCATCCTAACGTGTCGCCTTGTAAATGGTTCAGGCATTTCACAAGTGCTGTGCCAATCCAGAGGCTCGACACACAAATGTCAAATGGGGCTCATGCACATTTTGTTTAAATATAGTTTGTTGAGTAAATCACACTGGGTTGAATTCGGCCACCCCAGATTGCATTGTGGTTCAGTTAAAGGCACCGAGACTAAGATGTAGGTTAGTTGTGAGGCTATAATGAGCTGGATTGGATCGCTTAGAGCAGAAAGCTGATCTGATCTCACAATCTGGCTGTTTGCACCCTGTAGATTGAGGTGGTCCCATCAGCCTCTGCCCTGATTATCAAAGCTCTGAAGGAGCCGCCTCGTGATCGCAAGAAGCAGAAGAACAGTGAGTGTCTGCTTGCTTTATTTATTTAAGGGGTGAGGGTGAAAGTGGCCTTGAACCCCACAGCAGGGATGTCTTTCGCACCAGCCACCCGCCACTGTGCCTGCCTGCTTTCAGCCGTGGCTTGCGCATTCCAGTGGTGAGCTGAGAGGAAACCCCTTTCAAGGAAACAGAGCTATTCTCCCTGTGGGTAACTCTGTGCCGAAGACTGGGAACAGAGGCAGGACAAGCATGCAAAGTTTTCTAATAGATGTGATCGGCTCCCTTTGCAAAAAAAACCCAACTGGGCTCCTGTTTTGTTCTTTTTGTTTCCTAACAGTTAAACACAGTGGCAGTGTCAGCTTCGATGAGATCGTCAACATTGCCCGGCAGATGAGACATCGGTCCTTGGCCCGGGAGCTGTCGGGTAAGATGGGACCACTTCTTAAAAAATCAGGGGTCTTCAAACTTGGCCCTCGTATGACTTGTGGACTGCAACGCGTGCCTGGCTGAGGAATTCTGGGAGTTGAAGTCTGCAAGTCCTAAAAGGGCCAGGTTTGAAGACCCTTCCCTTAAATGAATCTGAAGCCGAATTATGACAAGTGTGGCTGGTTCTCAACGAAATTTAAATGGATTGTGAGCTAGAGTTTGCCTTTTCTTTGAAGTTTGCACCTTGTATTCAAACTCACCTGGCTATTGGGGTGACTTGAAACAAGTACAGTCCTCAGAGGAGAAGCAGTTGGTTTCCAAACAAGGTGTAATAAACCGTTGATGGATGATTGGGAGAGCACCTCGTGTGTTAAGAAAACACAAGGAATTAAATTCACCTGATCAGGGAAGGGGTGGGGGACTCTTTATGCAGTTAGGCCTACTTGCCTTTTGGGGTAGGGAAGTAAGTTTGCATGCTGCGGCAGGTGAACACCGGTGTGAATTCAGACAACCTTGGCCCTTTTGCAGGCACTATTAAGGAGATCCTGGGAACTGCTCAGTCGGTTGGCTGCAGTATTGATGGGAGACACCCTCACGATGTTATTGACGACATCAATAGCGGGGCAGTTGAATGCCCAGCGGTGAGTATTTTGCCTTCCCAAAAGTAAATCGATTGGAAGCAAATTTAAGCTGCAGCCTTTGGGGGCTGTGGTTAACGCGCTGGCCTAGAAACCAGGAGGCAGTAAGGTCTAATCTCACTTTAGCCACGGAAGCTGGCTGGGTGAATTTGGGCCAATCACCAGGAGGCATTGAGTTCTAGTCCTGCCTTAGGCATGAAAGCCAGTTAGATGATGGGCCAGTCGCTCAATAACAAACTGAATCAGCCTTTTATTTATTTTTTTCCCCTTCTCCAACAGAACTAGGTCTGCCACCTGAACAGACTGCCTGCAACTTGGTTTTTCTATCCTTCTGTAAAAAAAAATGTAGTTTGTTTGGCTGCTGCCATGAAAGATGTTCATCACCTCTCCAACTTTGGACTCTTTAAGGTGTGATTCCCTTAGGGTGCTGAAAGAGTTGTTGTACACTTTTCAAAAAATAAAAAGTACGCCAGGTTAACTCCAGTTCTTGACTATATTTTTAAGACTTGAACCAATTACACCAGATTTGCCTTGTGGGTAATTCAAGTGTAAAATTGGCAAACTCTGTACTCTTTTTTTAATGATGGTTTTCTATTCCACAAATATTTCCAATGGACTAATGGTTTTATCCTCACAGCTTTCATAGATGGATATTCTTTATTTCTCTTCTCCCTTTGCTAATATAACTCAGCCTGATGCCCAGAAGGGTTATAAACAGGAGATTGTGCCCTTTTAAGGGTTTTTTTTTTTTTGCAAGCATGTATTAACCGCAAGCAGACCACAGATGTTACAAGGAGCAGAAACGGAGTGGGAAGGAGCCCAGACTAGTTTCGTTGTTGGTAGCTTCACAGTGTTGAAAATGGGCCTGTTTCATGCTTCTTTGGTCGTCTCACACCTTGGATGTAGAAGCCCGGACACCTGGGCAAACGAGCGTTGTACCCTTTGTCTACATTGTAAGCTCCTGGACCTGGGGTCCCCTCTGTTAAAAAAAAAACAGGTTGTCATTTGATGTCTGCATATCTGGATTTTGCTCTGAAGCTAAGAGGAATGAAATTTGACCCCTCTTTCAAAGCGGCGGTCCTATCCTTCCGGGATAGGATGTGTGACATCTTATTTCTCCTCGAAACCCCCGTCCAATTGCCTTTTCAAAATTAAAACCACTTTTGATGCAACTATGACCTGGGTGGCTGAGAGTGTTCCGTAGACTTTCTGATTCTTCCTTCCTCACCTTTTTCAACCCATCTGAACAGAGTGACTGGGACAGGGTTGATGATGATGGATGGTGACCGGTGAAGCATAAGCGTGTAGGCACGTTCGATGTTATATTGATTGGGGCCTGGTTCATCTAGGGTGACTGCAAGTTGGATACAGAAGACATAAATTACCTTTGGGGTGTTCTACAGCCTGGGATTCCTGATTCTCTCCCACATCTCAAACAAGCCGGGCCCTACTTGGCTCCAAGGCCAGCCAAAAGGCTGTTGACCTGCTTGCCCAAGTTCTCCAGATGTTCCTCAACCTTCTGGAGTTTCCCCTGGTGGCTTACTGTGACCAGGAATTCCTTCCTGTGCCCAGAGAATGTTTCTTGGGGACCATCTCACCTTTGTTGGCCAAAGACAACTCGCCCCTCTGGCCGAAGCTGAAATTGGGGGTGTTTGGCCGGTTGGCAGATTTAGTTCCTAAGAGTTGACCGTACTGTGAAGGAGAAGGCCACTGGGGGAGTGGGAAAAAAAAAAGTGAGGTACAGCACATCCTCTAAGGCAGAGGTCCCCAACCTTTTAGGCACCAGGGACCAGTTCCTGGGAAAAAGGTTTTTCCACCGACCAGAGTGTGGTTTTCGTGTGCTGCCTCCATCCCGCGGATGGGGCTTTGTTGTTTGCGGACCGGTTGCTGGTATGCCGCAGCCCAGTACCGGGGTTGGGGACCCCTGCACTAAGGCGTATTGATGTCCGCCCTTGGACTTACAGACATTACATCTGAAGGAGCCTCCTGTGAGTCTGCGTTTTAAGTGACACACGTACGTTGGTTTCGGTGTTAAAGTCCACTTTCCTCCAGAAGGGATTCTTGCTCATGAACCAAGACTTTTGCCATGCGCGGCGCCCTCCGCCTTCTATTAAAAATAAAAAGTCATCTTTGCAGCACAAGGAGAGAACACTTTAAATCTTGAGACCTTCCTCATAATTTAACCTCACGCTTGGGTTGACCAATTTGACTCAACAAATTTCTCAGAAGGAGCTGCCTCGCCTTCATTTTAAAGGCAGGTGTTTACCTGCCAGATGGACCTAGCAATGGCTCCGGGCCAAGGTGACAATTCCGTGGTCCCTGCACCCCTTCCCCAGTACCTCGAGGGGGGGTCTTCCACCCAAACGTGTAGGATGGGGCGATAGTCTCTCTGCAGGCCATCGTGGGAGGTGAGTATGCTGCTGGGCCAGGACTGTCCGTGTTCAGTTGGAAGTGCATCCGGCCTTGGGCTTTTGTTTCTTCTAAACAAAGAAAGAAAGAACTTAGAAGCAGCCTTAATTAAGAGGGGTGGTTTTCAAAAAAGCAGAATTTTAGAGGGAGAATGGGGCCAGGGCACTTGGAAGCCAGTTTTGCAATCGGAGAAAGAGGGAGAGAGAAGAAGAGGAAGAGAGAGTCAATTTTCCTGAAGTTGCCACACTGATGTTCTCTATACTGCAGTGCAATTAGGCATGTGCAGCACAAGGAGAACACAAGGAATCTTAAAAGGAACCTGCAGCATTGTCCTGAAGGATTGATTGCACTTACTGCTTATCTTTCCACCATGAATGTCCGGGAATAAAGGGGTCCCACTAGTTAATCTGCCTCGATGACCCCTGGAAACAAAACACCAGACTTCACCCCATGCAGTCCTTTCAAGAAATATACTTTTAAGGTCCTTCTGCCTTGGGTAGCCTTGTAAATTCTAAGCACATCAGCTAAGAATTTGAGCCCAGGCTAGGCAAAATAATAAGATGGGTCTTGAAGCCCCATAAGATTAACCTTTATAACTCCAAACATCAGTTTCAGGACTATCCTGGCTAACACGAGCCAATAGACTGTTCTTGTTGGGGAGGTAGTACGCCAACAAAAACCCCAGTTCAAAATCCCTACATCAGGAGAACATACGTAGATCTGACTGTCAGCATATGCCGAACTATAAAATGGGTCTGGCTGATTGACAACGTTTGCAACGCCAACTATTATGGATCGGTCCAAGTTGCCTTAGCAACAAGCCACAGATTGGGGGAACCAATCTGTAATATTGCTCCTACCCTCTTATTTGGCCTAGATTATTTTAACCCCAGGCAAGACGTAGGGCTATCGATAGATCTTCCCGTTCGGTGAGAACGATTGTACCTGCCTTTTACAAATGGATGATGTTTGAGGGGTCTTTTTCTGGCTGCAGTCCAAGTATTTCTGAGCCATAAACTTGATGTGTTTCTTCCGAGAGTCCATTTCTAAGGTCCAGGGATGTGGACTGTACCATACTCGGTCACCTGGAATGGCAGATATGTGACATCAGTGGATTCTCACGTCCGAGGTTCCATTTGGCTGGAGTGTGGCCATTGGTCACCTGTCAGCTGGCCTTAGCAAGCTGGCTTTATTCCAGAGGAGGCTGGATCACGAAGGACAGCAAGCCCTGGTTGGCTTAGCCATAGCTTGGGGAAGCCACCATGCTTCTCTTATTCATATACAAGCCGTGGTCTACGGTATATTGCGTCTCTATTAAACTTACACCTTGGGCTAGTCACAAGCCTAGGAAAGAGCGAAGGGCAAAGAAAATTGCAGGCATTGGTCCAATCAGTCTCCCAGAATCTGATCCAACTAAATGGAAGAAAAAAAAATATATTACGTTATAAAATAGATTTTAGTGCCTCTATTATATATATAGCGTCTCCATTAAATCTGGGGAAGGAAAGCAGGCTAAAATGAGATGGCTTGTTTTTTGTTTTGTTTTTTTGTGGCTCCAGCAAACCACAGTTTATGGCTTGAACAAGCGTGGCTTTGTCCTGTTGACTTCCATGGGGGAATCTAAGAAAAGTCTGTAGGATGCACGAACCACCTTCCAAAGCTGAACACGGTACTGGCAGTCCTCGAGTTACAGGCACCAGTCCGAAGTTACGATGGCACTGGGGGAAAAAAGTGAGTTATGACCGTTTTTCACACTTACGACCGTTGCAGCATCAAAATTCGGGCACTTGGCCATTGAGGTGTATTTAGGAGGGTTGCAGCATCCTGGGGTGTGTGTGTCATGTGATCACCATTTGCAACCTTCCCTGGCTTCTGACAAGCAAAGTCAATGGGGGGGGGGAAGCTGGATTCGCTTAACAAATGCATGATTCACTTAACAACTGTAGTGATTCATTTAACAACTGGGTCAAAAAAAGCCATAAAATTGGTCAGCACTCACTGAGCCACCTCCTGGCTTAGCCATTTTGAAAGACTATTATGGAGATGCCAGCAAATAAATTTGAAGTTGGTTTTATTACACCTTTGTGTGTGTGTGTGTGTGTGTGTGTGTGTGTGTGTACAGTATATAAAGCATTTATAGTAGACATATTTAATAGAAACTTCTATAATACCTACATGTGTATGCCCGCACATACTTACGCCTGCTTCTTCATTCTCTCTCTCTCACACTCACACACACACACACACACACAACTACTTAAGGCTACACACCCGAGAGGGGACGTTTCCTTTAAAAGGCGGGGCAGAACGCTGCGCGCATGCGCCGGCCGGGCCGCCGCGGGAAGTCTAATAACCCGGCGAAGCAGGAGGAGGAGGTGGAGGAAGAGGCCACCTGGGTGGGGCGGGAGGCGGGGCCGAGGGAGAGAAAGAGAGAGACAGCTATGAGGTCATCAGCCGCGGCCGGGTCACGTGGCGGCCGTCGCGCCGTCGCGCGGGAGGCCGGGCGGGCCCCTCCCCTCCGGGCGGCGCGGAGGCGATGACGCACTGGCGCGGCTCGCGCGCTGATTGGGCAGCGGCCGGCCGAAGGAGGCCGGCGGCGCGGCGGGGCGTGCGGCCCCGCCCCCTCGCCCGCCCCCCCTCCTCCTCCTTCTCTCGCTCCGGGTGTGCGCGAGGCGGCGGCGGCGGCGGCGCGTGGCCTCGGCGGCGTCTCCGTCCAGCGCGGCCTCCCCTCCTCCTCCTCCTCCTCCTCCTCTCCTCTTTCTTCTCCCCTCTTCCCCCCTTCCTCCTCTCCTCGCCCAGGCCGGGGCCATGACCGACTTCAAGCTGGGCATCGTGAGGCTCGGCCGTGTGGCGGGCAAGGTGCGGGCCGCCCGTCCCCTCCCTCCCTCCTTCCCTCACGGGCCTCAGGGGCCCTGCCTCTCTCCTCCTGGGGGGGGGGCTCCGCGCGCGTGACGCGGCCCTGACGTCACACCGGGCACTCTGTGACGTCACCGCCCACCTTGGGGGGGTGTTCCTCGCCCCCTTCCCTCTCGGGGGGCGGTTGGACCCCCCACCGGCTCCCTGGGGGAGGGGAGGGGAGGGAGGGTCTCCCCAAAGTCAGGCACCTTGTAAGTGTGGGTGGGACTCCAACTCCCATCACTCCCTCCAGGGGCCTGGGAGGATGGGGAGTCAGGGTATTGGGGGGGGCATAGAGACCTGCCCGAAAGGAGCCTTCTTCCAGCCTGGATTTCTCTCTAGAGACAGGTGCCTTTTGATGGTTTTATATGCACCCCCCAAAAAAAAGATGGGGTGTCTTTTTGGTTCCTTGGGAAAAGGTGACATTCTGGGGCCAGGGTGGGTCTCTGGCAGGTTTCTTGGGGAGGATTGCATGACTAGTAAATGGGGAGGGGTCTGGGGCTTAATTGGGTGTCTGCTCTTTAGGGTCCCCAGATGGTTGGCTGCTGGGTGATGGGCATCTCCAGTTGGGGACCTCGGAGAAGGCTTTTCATAAGATAGGAGGCTTCATGTGTTCCTTTAAGAGAAAATAAGTTCTGTGTTGGGAGAGTCTTTAGGAACTGTGGATAGTTCCCCCGCAAGCATGATGTTGTTTATTTTATTCTGCTGCTTTCCTTTTGCTTTGTTTAAACTGCCTTTCTGTTTCTTCATTTTTTTTATGATTGCGAACCTCCTAGAGATAGGCAGATCTATGTTGAGATAGGCAGTAAATATAATCATAATCATATATACATCTCCTATCCCAGGTCTTTAGAAAGGACTTGATAGATAGACAAAAATGCCAAATCTATTTTGAACATCTGGCTGACTGTGTGATGAACAACAATCATCACTTAAGTTTTTACCAGTCCCAGACTACGAATGGAATTGAAGATCTTAAATAATAAATCTCACAAAAGCAGTCTTTGAAAAGACTTTTTCTTGACAGCCTGTAACTGCTAGCTGAAAAAGAAAGAAAACACTTGATAGTCTTTGTTCCTTACGCTTTCTTCTTTGCTTTATGAAGACCAATAGGGAGGTTCCTCCATATCCTCAGAATGTATGGCTGGAAATGCTGCTGCAAGGAATAGATCTTGCTGCATCTAGCAGATTTAAATTTGTGGGGGATCTAATTGGGCAGAGACTCCAAAACAAAAGCTTTATTTTTGAAATATATTTCTGGTGATTGACCACTGAAATGTTAAACACTTTATTTATTAGATTCGCGTGTGTTACGTTTTCCTTTTGTCTACCCCAGAATGTGTTGCCTCAAATTGTTTAGTGTGTGGCTGCTGTGAAATGCAAAAGGCCCCCTGGTAAATTACAGCAACTTATTCTTGCAGAATATTTCATTTTGATTTATTTATTTTAATTGCAGACAAAATACACGCTGATAGATGAGCAAGACATTCCTCTCGTAGAGAGCTACTCTTTTGAGGTAAGAATACGGGTCTTTGTCTCCTGTGTTAATTTTCCAGTTTTTTCTTAGCCACTCTGACAAGCTAGATGACCCTCTCCCTCCCTTTTCCCCAGCCTCATTTCTGAAGCACTTCAGTTCCAATATTCCAAGCTTTTGTGCGCAAGCCATTGTTGACGTTTAGTGGTTTGACACTACAATGAGAACTGGATGGTTTCTGGGCCCACCTGTGTTTTTACAGAAAATGTGGATTGTATTGTGATGTGGCCTTGAGTTAGAGCCACCAACCTCCCTTGGTGCTTTCAAAGAATAATCAACATTGATTGGTCTCTAGGCTCTTTATCTATTTATTTATTTTTCTAAGACTTCTATTAACTGTTATTTTTAATTTCAATGAAAAACCTTATTCACTGAGTTGGCATCATGTTTTGTAATATTCATATTGTTAGTGATCTTGGAAAGTGGACGGGTGTTCAGATGCTTCAAAAACACAGAATGAATTCTTCTTTTCTGTCCAGGCTCGAATGGAAGTTGACGCCGACGGGAATGGTGCTAGAATCTTTGCTTTTGCGTTCGACAAGAACCGAGGGAGGGGATTCGGGCGTCTGCTGCACGAGCTGCTGTGGTAAGTGAGGTTGTGGAAAGGAAACACAGCTACAGGTTTCCAAAGAGAAGTGTGTGTAAGGTGTGTTTAGAAGTGTTACAAGTTAAGAGAGGTAACTGCTTAATGAGGCTCGTGTGGGCTATACATTCAGAGGGATAGAATCCAGGTGACGTGAAGTATTAATACTGCTCCATAAAGCCTTAGTAAGACCACACTTAGAATATTGCTTGGGAGAATTCTTGCTGTGGTATTATCAAGTGAAGAGGCAGGTAATCTTAAAACTTGTTTAAAACTCTTGAAAAATAAACTCGGCCTCCTCAAAACAAAACAAAAAAGGGGATGAATAAAACTAATCTAATTTACCCTGTGTCCCTTAATCTAACATGGTTGAACCCAATTTGCATCGTCTCGGCACCAGCAACTGCAGCCCTGGGGCCTGCTAAAAATGTTAGAGGGTGCTGGGAAGTCCCTATTTCAACGGGACTTGGATCTGAATTTACAAAAGAGCTTTATGAACTTAGTGGAACCAGGAACTTGTGAAGGCCTTACAAAACCAGTCAGCTGTACAGGTTGCCCATGAGTTTATTTAGCGACCGTTTGAAGTTACAAGGGCCCGGGAAAAAAGTGACATGTGAGCGTTTTTCACACCACGGTGAATGTGATCAAAATTCGGACGTTTGGCAACTGACTCATACTTACGACGGTCGCAGTGTCCCTTTTGCCAACCTGACGAGCAAAATCAATGGAGAAGCCTGACTCACTTAATGGTAGTCATTAACTTAAACAACTGCAGTGATTGACTTAACAAGTGTGGCAAGAAAAGCCATAAGATGGGGCAAAAATCACTTAACAAGCGTCTTGCTTAGCAATGGAATTGTCGGGCTCCCTTGTCGTAAGCCGAGGACTATTTGCACTCCTTTCTGCTGCAGGTCCCTGGGTGTTTTCATGCCAGCCTAGCTTTGCAAGAGTTCCCCAAACCCAGGGTGTGAGCATCACCATCCAGCTGACCCCTGAACTGTAGACTTTGCTATTTCTTTTCAGGGAAAGACACCGGGGAGGCATCGCCCCAGGGTTCCAGGTGGTGCATTTGAATGCAGTGACTGTTGACAATCGCTTGGACAACTTGCGATTGGTGCCGTGGGGCTGGAGGCCCAAAGTTGAAGAAATCTCTAGCAAACAAAGGTAAATTCTCTCTAAAGAGATGCAGAGAGAGCAGGAGGAAACAGAAGGCAAAGTTTAAAAGCGCCCTTAAGAATGGCCAGGATTTATCTTCCCCCTCTTTACCTCTTTTCTGTTTTAAGTCACTTGTATCTGGGAGAAAGTAAGCCTGTCCTGAGAATCCCATTCTTCAGTGGGAAGGAAATTCTTCCTTGTGTCCGTAGCTCCTGTCAGTGTTTGTGTTTTAAAAGTGCAGGGATGCAATTATAGAGACAGTGGGGTGTAAAAAATTGCCCTTTGAAGTGAGTCACATCAAGAAATGGACACAGTGACACAAATGAGGATTTGGACTAGTTTGTTATGGTAGGATAGAATAACAGGATCTTGAAAGCCTGCCACAGTGTCTCTTTGGCTTGTTTTATACCAAACTGAATCAAGACATTCCAAGCTGCTTATGCAGTTGCTTCTCTTCCATTGTTGGCTCTTTCAATCCTTCATCAAGGTTATTTCCACACTGCATAAGTGTAAAGAATCCGATTCTGTGCCTATAAGCCTCGTTGCCCTGATTCCACAATGTGGAATCAAAATCTTTTTGTCTTTCTTCGGAGCAGCGAGCTCATCAAGAGCGCCGCGAGATAAAAACCTTCCTTGGGCATTCAAGCCTATTTTTAATTCTGGGTTGCTTTGCATATTTCATGGGTAAGAAAGCTGGTATCAGCTTTAAATAAACTCAGTGGACGGAGTGACAAATACAAGGGAATGAAATCCGAAGCATTTTCAGAAGAAAACTTCAGGATTTTTTTAGAATCCTAGAGACACGTGCTTCAATAATAGTTCAAAAGAACCAGAGAAGTGTTAAGATACGCTCAAGTTGTCTGGCGGTTTTGAATGAAATGTTTTCGCTCCTTAGAATGTTTGTAACTCGGGGTTGAAATGGGGAGGGGAGTCCTTGATGCGTGCCTGGCTGAGGAATTCTGGGACTTGAAGTCCACAAGTCATAAAAGGGCCAAGTTTTGAAGGCCCCTGGTCTAAATCCTTAGCCTTTCTTAACTGTGTGAAAGGACGCGTTTCGTTATCTCACCTTGGTGGAAGAAATGCTTAATTGCTGCTCCTGCTGTTGTTGTTGTTGAAGGGAACAAAGCTTATACTGGCTGGCGATACAACAGCTTCCGACGGATCCCATTGAGGAGCAGTTCCCCGTATTGAATGTCACACGCTACTACAACGCTAACGGAGATGTGGTGGAAGAAGAGGAGAGTTCCTGCACATACTATGAATGTCACTACCCTCCCTGCACAATGATTGAGAAACAGGTACGTGCCCAGCCTGTCACGGGGTCTCCTGGGGATTGGCCCAGAGTCACCCAGGTGGTTTTAATGCCTAAGCTGGGACTAGAATTCACAGTCTCCTGGTGATTGGCCCAAAGTCACCCAGCTGGCTTTCACGTCTAAGGCAGGACTAGAACTCACCATCTCCTGGTGATTGGCCCAGAGTCACCCAGCCGGCTTTCATAGCTAAGGTGGGACTAGAACTCACGGTCTCCCACTTTTTCGCCTGCAACTGTAGACCACACTAACAAACTAGACCAAACCTGTTGCGTCTTGTAAGCCAACCTATGTTGTGGAACTCTCTGGCAACTCTCGACAGAAACCAAGGTGGCCCTTATCAAATGGCCAAGCCGGTTCATATCCAGATGCCCACCACCTCTTGGCTCCCTTTCTGTCTCCAGTCCACGCTCCCAACTTCTTGGGCTCGGCTCCATTGGGGGTCTTTTCCAGGGAGGGTCCCAGAAGTGTTGATTGATTGATTTCTCTCTCTTTTTTTTCTCTTTCTTTCTTTCCCTTGCTCCTCGCTCCAGTTACGCGAATTTAACATCTGTGGCCGTTGCCAGGTTGCGCGGTACTGCGGTTCCCAGTGCCAGCAGAAAGACTGGCCTGCTCACAAGAAGCACTGTCGGGAGAAGAAACGGCCCGTCCAGCAGGAACTGGGACCAGAGCGATGACAAGGCTGGCCAAAAACTTCGCCGCAAGGGCCCCCTCCCCTCCCGGAGGGCGAGGGCATTGGGGGGGGGGCTCCGACTTTGCACAGACTGCTGACTTGAAGCCAGAGGCACTGACAACAAGGAGAAAAAGAAAGAGAAGACAAAAGTCCAAGGGATCATCTATTTACCAACCCCGTGTGATGCTTGAGCCAGAGGGAACTGGCCTTTTTTTTCCCCTCCTAGTGTTAAAAAAATGACAAAATCACAAATCTCAAGCGGGGAAGAACAAAAGAGACTACTATGGAAGCTTTCCTAGTTGGAAGCTTCTTGTTATTTATATGTTAATATGTTTGTAAAGCTGTGTACAGGTTTCTGTTTTGTTTCAAAAGGGGGGTGTGGGTTGTTTGGGGTTTTTTTTGTTTGTTTTGTTTTGTTTGTTTTTTTTTTGTGGAGGAAGAGGAGGAGGAGGGGTTAGCAGTGCTCTTTATCTAGGACTCATTTACTGTAAACGTTCGGGTGAGAACACATTGTTGGTTGGAAAAAAAAATAATAACTGTCCTGTAGCGCAAGATTTTTTTCGCTCCCGGGGAGGGGGAAAGAGGTTTTTTAAAAGCTCCCCCTCTGGGTGGGGGAGATTTAGCACAGACATCAGCAGTTATAATCTGAACAACTCTGCATGGAAGTTGTGTTTTCAAGTAAAAGGATTGGAATGGATTGCTGGCTTTTTTTTTCTCCTCCCCCCCCCCCCAATATTTTGTGGACTTGCTTTCTGCTGGCGTGACCTGTTCTTTGCTGTTACCTCTTTTCACCTCCCCCCCCGTGTATTTCCCCACGGAATGGAATTGTGCGGCTTGTCAGCTGCTAATGTTAACGGCCACAATTGAGGGCCCACGTTTCTGTTGCTAGGGGAGGTAGTTGTGGTCCCGTTTTGTACCCTCCCCTGCCATACTTTTATGCGAACCACTGCGGTTGTTAAATTTAGGAACGGTGGTTGTTGACTTTGCCTCAAAAGGTAGCAGATGGGGATCACGTGACACTAAAACCGACATATATACGAGGCAGTTGCAAGCCTCCCAATTTGAATTTTGATCACGTGGCCAAGGGGATGCTGCTAGAGTCGTAAATATTAAAAAACGGTCCTAAGTCATTTTTTTCCCTCAGCGCTGGTGTAACTTTGGTCACTAAATGAACGGTTATAAGTTGGGGGACTGTACTTCCCCAGCTGCAAAGTGTATGATAACATCTTTATATGAAGCAGCTCTTAAATAATTCGCAATTTGAGTGTCTGAAGGTCAGGAGAGATGAGTTGTGCTTATTGGGGGTTCCCCCACTTGTTTTCTGGTTTGGGAATGGGTGTCCCAGGAAATGGGGGATGCTTTCAATACATCTAAGCAGCTGGGCTGCAGGGAGGACCCCCCTTTTTCAATCCAGTATCCCCATCATTCTGCTGCTGTCTTGTGTTGAGAACCTCAAACCAGTCCTGTCTCCCTTTGGCTTAGCTCAGTGTGGAAACTTGGCATGTGTGTAGCCCGTCTGGGATTTTGCGTGTCGCGCAAACCCAGAAGGTGAGCTAGTTGTGCCCACTGCAATTCAGCATAGGGACGTTTATGATCTAATTGTTCTCATTATTATGGCTTAATATATTGTGTGAATTGTAACAGCTTAAAAGTTTACTGTAATGTGTGAACACAAGTCTATTCCTGTCACCAGGATTGACGGGAAACGGGTATGGGTGTGTTTTCCCGGATAGTGTTATTCCCACCGACTGGATAGTGACCATTAGAATAGGACTGCCAGGAATTCCTGGGGGGGGGGGAATATCCACTGTTTTTTTTAATCTCCCCTCCCCTTTTAAGTGGTAGAACCAACTGCTGAGTTATCCCTAAAATTAGCATTTTAAAAGAATTAAAGTGAATTCAACCTCCCAGGGGTGTGGAATAAATGTAGCATTTTGCACCTCTGTTTTGTGCACATCAAAACCACCATTTCTCCAGGCGCAACTCAAGGAACGTGAGGATAAATCCAGAGATGCTTATTCTGAGCCGGTTATCCTGCAGTTAAGGTCTCCTGGCATTTATCTGTTCAGGGGAAAAAAAAAAAACCTCTGCCCCCATCCCATCATCCCCTCTTCCCTCCCTGCAGGACAATGCAGCTGCCTCCAGATGTGCAGGGGATCAATACCTTCCCCCGCCGCCTTCTTCCCCCCCCCCCGAAGCTTGCACGGACCCCAAATTCTGCGGGTTGCAGCCTGGAAAACAGCTGGAGACTGCCAGCTGCCCGGCAGAGCCCCGGGGACGACGCGATCTCCCCTGTTTATTTGGCATTTTTCGAAAAGGCTATTAAGAGACTGTAGCTGCAGGGCGAGGGAAGAAGAACTACAACTCCCGGCAAGCTCTGGGAGGTGGGGGGTGCCCGCTGGGACTTGTAGTCCACCCAAACCAGTCGGTTACCCCCCCCCCCTAGCCTGGGGGAGGCAGGCCGCGCACCTGGCGGCGGGACACCTGCCCTGGCCGGGAAGCGCAGCGCAGCGCAGCGGGGCTTCCGGGCGAAGAAGGCGGGGAGAGGAAGAGGCGCGCCCGGTGGCTCCGCCTCCCAACCTCGCCTCGCCTCGTGGCGTCTTTCTTTTTCCAGCCCGCGCCGAGGACAGGAAGGGCGGCCTGGTGGGTGGGCTCGCTGCGCTTGGGGAGGGTCCCTTTGGAGAGGGGCGCACGGGAGGCGCTCTATGGAGAGGGTCCCTTTGGGGAGGGGGCGCTTTGGAGAGGGCCCCTTTGGGGAGGGTCGTTATTGCTGTTCTTTACGGTTGCTATTATTTCCTATGCGAAAAAAATAAGGGAAAGCGGGACCTGTAATGAGAGATTGGATCAAGGCTATTCCTGTTCCTATAGTTTATTATTATTATTATTATTATTATAAATTTTTGCAATTTTACAGTAAAAACCCCTTTCCCAATCCCTCCCCAAAACCCTCCCCCATTCTTCCCAGAGCTGAATACAGGGTTAACTAGAACTTAAAAGAAAAAAACATTTAAACTTAAATACACCTCAAGCGAGTATAGTTACATTCAAAAAACAAATGATTAAATACCCTAACGCCAATGTATATGAAAAACAAAGAGAAAAGGAAGGAAAAAAAAGAATAAAAAAGAGAAAAACAAAAGTAATCTACACTTCGAAACAGTATCTTAAACTTTAAATATAAATTATTCAAAAGCTAAATAGTATTTTCTAATATCCTACTTGTGCTGTATAAAATTTATCCATCTTTTCCACACCAAGAGATACTTCTCTTGCGATTGATCTTTCAAAAAAGCTGAAATTTTTGCCATTTCAGATAAATAAGAGACTTTAAAAAACCATTCCTGCAGAGTAGGCAAAAATTCCTTCTTCCAATATTGTCCTATCAACAACCTTGCCGCTGTAATTAAATTTAACATTAAGATAATTTCTTTGTCATCACAATCAGAAACAATACCCAACGAAAACAAGTGTGGAGTAAATTTTATCCTTCTGTTAAAACTTTTTTGAATATTCCACCATATCTTAATCCAAAAAGCTTTTATGCTTTTGCATGACCGCCAAATGTGATAATACGTTGCATCCAAACAACCACATCTCCAACATTTAGGTTGCAAATTTGAATACATACGAGACATCTTTTGTGGATCAAGATGCCATCTATAAAACATTTTATAAAAATTTTCCCGTAAATTTTGCGCTCGTGTGAATTTAACATTCCTCACCCAAATTATCTCCCATGTATCCTATAGTTATTACTATTATTAGATATTCCCTCCCTTAAAAATGCAGGGCAGGGCTTTGTGTGGGAACTTGCTAATATTGGATCCAGGACCTCATCGTTAGGGCCGTCGTCATTTGCTATTTTTTTTTCTTCGATAACGTGGCAATCTGTTTGATCACAGAATACATTCCATACAACGGCAAGAATCGGAATAATAATAATCATCTCTCCTCCCCCCCCCTTCTTTCTCCAGCGCAGATTGAAGGCACATTGACATGGCTTTCAAATGCAAGGTGCAAACTTTGCAGGTGGTGGATACCGAATATCATGCAGATACAGTAGAATGGTGCCCGGTGGAAGGCTGGCACAACATCCTGGCGTGTGGCACCTACCAGTTTAAAGAAAGGGAGAGTGAGGTGAGAGCTGTAGATCTTTTCAAGAAGCTGGAGAAAACTTCTGAAATTGCTTTGCAGTTACAGTCTTAAGAAAGGAGAATATTGGTAGGGTTGAAAGGAGAGGTCCTTGCTGCTCTATGGGCTTTGTGGTCATCTTGCAGACATTTCATGACCCAACTAGGTAATCTCATCAGTGCTTGTGTGGTGTTTGGTCCCTGTTTATATACAATGGCTTCTTCGGGTGTGGTTTTCTCCTTGGTAGGGCCTTGGTTAGGATATTATTTTCTCCTTGTTTGTCTGGTGTTAATCCCTGCTTATCTGGATAACGGGTGCTGGTTTTAGGGCAACCTGCTGACTGTAAACAGGGAGCAAATACTACAAATTAGGTGACATCGTTAGTGTTAGAAGGGAGTGGGATGTGCGGAGGAGGAGGAGGAGATTGATGATTTTCTAGCAGACATTTCATTACCCAGCTAGGTAATGTCATCAGTGCTACATAGGAGCACTCTTCCCTTCTAGCACTGATGATGTTATCTAGTTGGGTCATGAAACGTTTGCAAGAAAAACACCAACTCAGAGAGCACCCAGGACCCCACAATCTCCTCCTCCTCTCCTGCACTCTGCAAGCACCACTCCCTCTTAGCACTGATGATGTTACCCAGTTTGGTCATGCAACATCTGCAAGAAAACCACCAAGCTCAGAGAGCACCAAGAACCCCACAGTTCAACCCTGTGCTACAAATATTCTCTTTTGACTGGTATGGGCTAGTTTGGCAGATCCTTCCAGGAGTGGCTCTGATTTTCACCAGGATGACTAGTTGGCTTATTACGATGGGTTGGTTGAGTGTTGGCTTGTCTTTCTGCTTCCTAAACAGCCTGACCAGGACAGCGAAGCCCCCGTGCGTCTAGGACGTCTCTACCTCTATTCCTTTGAAGATCAAATTTTCACACCTCTGACGGAGATCCAGAGGACGGAAACAGGGGCTATATTGGACCTTAAATGGTTGGCTGCATGCTTCTCTGTTTCGTTTGCAAGTCTTTAACTTCTTTGAGAAATTAGAATAGCCGGGGAAGGGTTATTTCCTGTGCAAGGAAGATTTACCCATAGTGGAGAGAGAAAGTTGGGGCTTTCAAGATGGAGGAGGTGTCAGATCTGAGGTGAAGGCTCACCTCTTCCTTCTGTAAAATGGGTAGCATGCTTTTTTTAATCCTTTTCAGTCGGTGTCATAGTTTCTGGACCCAAGGCTTGGGTTGAGTCAAGCTGGAAAGGAGGGAGGGAAGGAGGATAATTGTTCTTTCTGTTGGATCTCTCCTGATACCTTTGCTCTCTCCTCTGCTTCAAGGTGCCCTGTTCCCATCTCAGGGCATCCTGTGTTAAGCATGGCAGATGCCAGTGGAGCAGTGAAGCTTTTCCGCATGACGGGAAGCAAGGTAGGTGCCTGGAGATCCATAACCACCAAAGCCCATTTTGTGGCTCCCTGCGATGATTTTATCCATTATGTCTTTGGACCATGAAAGATGAAATTCTTACAATGTGGAGCCGCTGAAATAGCACCGAAATGCAAAATAATCCAAGAGGAGGGCAGAGGGTGGCAGAGGCAAAGAGAGACGGGTGCCTAAGAATATTCACAAAAAGACTTGTAAAGATTGGGAGGAAGCTTACACTGCAAAAATTCAAACAAGTATCAGTGGGAATGTCTACGGAGATCCTCAGTCATCCAGGCCATGTGTTGTTGTTTTTTTTCCCCTAAAAAGGCAACTGGATGTTCTTGGTTATTTTTTTTTTTGTTGTTGTTGTTTTGTTTTCTTTGAAAATGTTTTCGCGTCTCATCGAAGAACTGAATAAACTTCTTGGATGAGTAGCGAAACGTTTTCGAAGAAAAAAAAAAAGGCAAGACAGTCCAGTTGCCTTTTGGGACAATTAGTGTGGGTATAGTTGGATAATTGTGCGGGTCTTCTCACAAACGCTGTGTGTTTGATAGAGCTTATTTTCTAATAAGTTTGTCTAGTTGTCTAAGACAGAGGTCCCCAACCTTTTTGGCACCAGGGACCGGTTCCGTGGAGAGAGGTTTTTCCGCAGACTAGACAGTGTGTGGTTTTGTGTGCTGCGTGCATTCCATGGATGGGGCTTTGCTTGTTTGTGCGGACCGGTTGCTGGCATGCTGAGGCCCGGTAGCAGTCCACGGACCCCTGGTCTAAGACAATATCCCCCTTTTGGCCACTGTTACCGAAACTGAGTATCCACCCTTCCTTGACCAAAGAAACAGCATCTCCACTAAGATCGTGCTAGGTTTCTTAACTGGTGCTGGAGACACGTCCACGTAGAATGATCTGAGCACTCTCCTTTTTTTTCCAATAGAAGACCTGCAGGCTTCAACCTCTGTGCAGTGTTGACCTGGGAGATGATTGCCTTCCTCTGTCACTGGACTGGTCCACGGGACGAGAGCCGTGGTAAGTGGTTTTAAAGCCCAGCTCGGTGTGTCTCAGCCTTGCCAGTTTTAAGATGAGTTGACCGAACAATTAATCGGTGGGACGGCTTGTCTCCCAAAGTTGTGGGCGCTCCATTGCTGGAGGTTTTCAGGAAGAGATTGGGCAACCATCTGTCCAGAATAGAAATGCTCTTTCTTAGGCAGGGAGGCTGGACTAGAAGAACCCCCACGGTGCCGTTGTAACTTCAAATGGTCACTCACTGGTTGAAGTTGAGGGCGACCTGTATTGAAGATGGATTCCGGCACTAATTCCTGTCCAGCACGGACTTTCTGAAGCTCTCCTGTCCCCTACAAGCATCGCAGCACAAACCCATGCTGAGCTTTAAGCATTGCATCCTGGCTTCTGATACATCCTAGATAAGTAGTAGAGTCAGCCAGTTGTTTAGCATTCATTCCTGCTTCTTCGGCAAACAGATTGTCTTTTTATTTTCTTCTCTTTTTTGCTTTTAAAAACCATCTTGCATCACTTCTGCAGCAGCCAGCCCTTGCAGCTGGTCAGCAGCGATTCCAAAGGGAGGGTGAGTTTGCTGTCGATGGGTGAATCCAGTTCCTCGCTGCATGTCTTGGACCAGTGGGAGGGACATGCTTTTGAAGCCTGGATCGCTGCCTTTGACCGCTGGAACACACATGTTGTGTACTCAGGTGGGTGTTTGATCAGGTTGTGATTGTTAGAGTCTCTGGAGGGCCATAAACAGGTTGAATGTGGACCGCTATTTAGCAACTCCTGTGGCAACGTGTGAATCCAACGAGCGTCAAGGAATTTGATTAACATAAATTATGCTGCATACAGGAAAACCTTCCTACAGGCTAGCAGGGAAATCTGCAGCTGCTAATTATGTCCTGCTGTTTAGAAATAAATAAATAATCTCCAGCTTTTGTCTCCGTAGAGACAACGGAAACGTGTTAGCAACCCATTTTCTTGGTCTTCTCTTCCTGGATCTAGGTGGAGATGATGCCAAACTGCGCGGCTGGGATACTCGGAGCAGCTCAAGAATCCCTCTCTTCACCAGTGAGCGGTAAGTAGTAGAATCTCTGAGAAGAATCCAAGAAAGTGTTGTGTTTGTGTGACTGTGTGTGTGTGTGTGTGTGAGAGAGAGAGAGAACAGCCTTCTTTTGATGTGGGTTTCATTTCAGGCATCTTTTGGGGGTCTGCAGTATTCAGAGTCACCCACTGCGGGAAAATCTGCTAGCCACGGGAAGGTGAGTCTGTGAAATCTATTAGGACCCTTTTAGAACCCAGTACAAATTTCATACGATTGTACAGGTAATCCTTGACTTACCACAGTTCATTTAGTGGCACTGACAGAAGAGACTTAACGACCATTTTTCATGCGTCACAGCGCTTCCCCAAGGTCAGCTGTGGACCTACAAAGGCTCTGTGGCCTTGGGAAAGGAGGAGATAAGATTTCCAAATTGTGTTTCTGCAGCTATGATGAACACGTGCTCCTGTGGGACACCAGGAAGATGCAGCAGCCCCTGGCCGACACCAGTGTTCACGGTGGCGTCTGGCGCTTAAAGTGGCACCCCTCCCAGGCCCACTGGCTGCTGGCCGCCTGCGTGGACAACGGCTTTGTAATCCTCAATTGTCGGAGCGGTTTAGGTGAGTGTTTTGATCGGAGGAAGCCAACTGCATCGCTGCTAATTGCAGCTAGAGTCATTTCCAAACATGGGATTTCGACCGGTCGATTTCTCCAGCCAACATGACCGTGGTGATGGATTATGGGAGTTTTGGGGTACTAAAAGTAAGATAGTGGCTGGGTTTCCCTAACATTCTCAGCCATTTTTAATCATTTCTTTATAGAACTGATAGGCAGCCCATCTGTTGCTACGACAAACTCTATTAACCAATGCTTGTTGGATGAAAAGACTGACTTGATTGAGGCTCAGCCCTAAGACATGGTTTATAGACCACGATGGTTCAGTTCTCACATCGCCAATCTGGGGAAGAATTGGTGCTAAACCAGACAATAAACTGTAGATAAAATAGAGAGCCAATTTGGTGTAGTGATTAAGGCACTAGCCCAGAAAGTAGGAGACTGTGAGTTCAAGTCCTGCCCTAGCCGTGAAAGTCAGCTGGGTGACTTTGGACCAATCAGTGGGAGATTGTGAATTCTAGTCCCACTTTAGCCATGCAAAGCCAGCCGGATGACTTGTGGCCAGTTTTTTTTAGCCTAACCTACCTCACAGGGCTGTTGTAGGGAAAATAGGAGGAAGCTGTGTTTACGGCCTTGAGCTATTTGTAAAAAAATAATAAAGGCCAAATCCCCCCCAAAAAAAGTCCTAAAAAATAATAGCCCCTAACCCCACTAAGGAATATCGCTATGTCCAGGTGCAACAGCCCTGTTCTTTTCTCCCCGTATTAGAAGAGAACCAAGACGAATGCACAATCCTTTCATCTTATGGCTTGCACAATTCCTTGGCTTATGGCGCCGATTGGTCCCGATTTCTCCCGAGCAGTTCTTTGGAGACGTCGGCAACAGTCCCGGCAGTTCAGGCGGACCAAGGAGCCAGCGGAGGAGACCTGAAAGTGCAGAATCTCAAGATGGTTTACGAATCCCCCACGGCCACCTTTTACGTGGTGTTAGAGGAGGAGGACCACCCTTCCGCCTCTCCATCCCCAGCAGAGGGTCTTGCGGACCTGCAGGGGTCTTCCGGTGACGGAAAAGCTCCAGATGCCAAAGCGAAGGGTGACATTGAAGCAGCCAAAGCCCAAAGGGAAACTAGCCTCTTAGCGACGTGCTCCTTTTTTGACAACGTTCTACACGTCTGGAAGTGGGAGGTCAGTCAGAGTTCCCCTCTGGACTAAACCCAGAGTGTGTGTGGATGGTGTAATATATTTTGCTGTAATATATTTTGCCCTCCCCCCCCCTTCTACCAGCAGGGGGAGCAACACATTGAAGGGATGACTTTGGATAGAATATTTATAGCTCTGGGTTGAACTGTGGGGTCCTTCGTGCTCTCTGAACTTTGTTGTTTTCTTGCACACGTTTCATTACCAAACTAGGTAACATTATCAGCGAGTGCAGTCTGCAGCGTGAAGGACTGTAGGGTACTATGAGCTGGATTGCCTTCTTGCAGACATTTTATGACTGAACTAGGTAACATCAGTGCTAGTGAGTGTAGTGTTTGCTCTGTTTATATACAGGAGCTTCTCCTTTCAGTCTTAGTGGAGTTGTGGTTTTCTCCTTGGAAGTTCTTGAGTAGGGCATTGTTTTCTCCTTGATTATCGATCTGGTGCTTCTTTGGATATTGGATGCCGGGTGCAAGACAAGCTACTGAATATAAACAAGAAGCTCATTTGGTTCCTCAGTTATCTAGTTTGGTAATGAAACATCTGCAAAAAAACTCATCAAGCGCAGTGAGCACCAAGGACCCACAGTTCAATCTTGAGCTACCAATATTCTCTTCTATGGGTATGATGTTTTATGTTACTGCTGTTAGCTGTGAGTTTTGAAGACTCTGCTATGTTGCTTGTTTGGTTCTTTCCAACAGCTTTTTTTTTTGTGCTGCAAAAATAAGATTGTTTGGGTTCCCTAATATCCTGTTAATTCCACTTTCCCCCTAAGATTTGATTGTTGCAACGTTCTCAAACACCAGCTTCAACATGGGAATGCCATTTAGCTCAAGGTTGATTCCAAATAAATAGGGAAACTGAAGTCCTATTGAAGCTTGGGAAAGAGTTGAAATTAAAAATGGCAACCAATGATAATAACAAAAATGCTTTCTTGAAGTCCAAGCACAAGTTTTGTTGTGCTAGACTGCCCTCGTCAAAGGGCATGTTTATGATACAAATAATGACATTTTCATACAAACATGTTCATTGGCATTGCAAAGAGCACCTTTCAACTGAAATATATTTTTGATCTTTTTTACAATAAAATGTTGTCTTGTAAGATCCACAGTCCTTTTTATTTAAGCTATTTTGGTGGAATCATTTCATTTTTCATAGAAACCTATGAATGGCACAAATACCAAGGAAAAACAGAAGCATCACCACCACCAAATTCAGCATCCAAGCCCTTTAAAACTCCACAGCACAACCTCCTTTTTAGGAACCCACATTTCCCCTCCCTTCCCAGTTTTTTTTTTTTCTTCCAACAGAGACCAACAACAACTCCATAGAGAAACATGTATATATTGAAAGCTTTTCCAGACAGTTTCAAAGCAGAAACATTTTCCAGACAGGGCGATATAAGATCTGCATGCTCTTTATTCTACCCTCACCCCATCAATGATCTATTCCAAAAGTTGCTGTTGGAGAGATGGTGTCTTTTTTTATCCCTCTTTGTTCAATGCACGCTTTTCCATCTTCTTTGGGGGAATTTTGTCTTAAATTGTGCCTCCCCCCCCCTTCTTTCAAGGAATTGTCTTTCCCTCCCTCTTCTTTCGATCCAGCATTGGAAAGGCTGCAAGGAAGTTGCAATCCTGGGGGGGGGGGATGATTGCTCTCCAATTGGGGTGTGTACGTGTCTCCCTTCCTTCCGCCGGCTAGCGCACGAAGTTCTTGGGGAAGAGGCGGAAAAGTTTCCCTTCCTGGCTGGGCTCGAAGCCGTACTTCTGCAGGGCGTCGGGGTCGAAGGTGCCCCGCTGGAAGTCCTTCTCGATCAGCGGCGCGGCCGTCCACTGGAAGAGCGCGCGGGCACTCAGGGGCGGCTCGCTGCCCGCGGGCGCCCGGTAGGAGACGTAGGGCTTCAGCTTGAAGCCGGTCAGGTCCGGCACCATCAGCACCGGCACGCGGTCCTTGACCAGCACGAACTTGCGGCTCGAAGTGATGCTGCCCAAGACCTTGCAGCCGCGGCTCTTGAAGAAGGTCCGCGGGCCACGCTTGCTCGTCCAGGCCGACATGCGGTCGGCTCCGCGGACCAGACCCCGCGTCACCTCGCCCAGCAGCCCCATGGCGGCGAACGGCGGCGGTGGCGGACGCGGTTGACGCCGTCGCCGCAACATCGCCGCTTGTGATTGGGTGGTGGAAACTACTCCGCCAATCCGCCTGCCCCGTACTCAAATCCTGTTTGGATAGGGCGGGGTTTTAACCAATCGGCTCCAAGAGGCCGGGTTTGGGCCGGGAGGGCACGCCCACCGCGGGGCGTCGTCTCCTGATTGGCTTTTCGTGAGAAAGCGAGAGAGAGAAGCCTATGTTGCATAGAGCTACGAAAAAGTGAAGAGCGATGCCGAAGCGAGAGATATCTTTCTTTTTTGTTAATTCATTTCCCGCCTTTTATTATGATTCATTATATTCCGCCTTTATTATTTGTATGGCCCCTTTATAGTCCTCAGCTACCTTCCCGAGGGACTTCAACAACCAGCCAGCTGCTGGGTAGGGGTGATGTACTCAAACATAGGCCACGTTGGCAAGAACAGCACAACAGCCTTGCGAGGTCGACCAGTTCGAGAAACTTCCAGATTTGGTGTGTGTGTGTGTGTGTGTGTGTGTAGACGGGCTGGGGGATTCTGGGAGTCGCCTCCCCGCCTGCAGGCGGAGGAAACGCAGCTTCCACCCAAATCCGAGGAAGAGTCTGGTTCTTCTCCCTGTGTTATTATTACGCTTGTTATCTTCCGTCTCCAGCAGCTGCTCCTGCCCCTCCGGGCTTGGACTACCACTCCCATCCTGGCCGGGGAGGATGGGAGGGCCCCACCTGGCAGAAGACAGCGCCCCAGGGCAGCCCCTGACGGGCGGAAGTGACGCAAAGGGGCGGAAGTCGCGGCCCTGCTCGCCCTTCCCTCAGAGTGACCCCTGACCTCCGGCAGCGCCTTCCGCGGGGCAGCCGTTAGCAGCGCCCCTTCCCTTCCCTCCCTCCCTCCCTCCGTCCCGGCCATGGAGGGCGAGGAGGTCTCGCCGCCCTCCGACCGCCAGGTAGGTCCCCTCTCACAGCCAGGACTACAGGTCCCAGCATCCCCAACCGGGGGTAGAGGGGGCTTTGTGGATTCCTCTCAGGCGGGAAGGCTTGTGAGGAGAGGGGAGGGGGGAAGCTCTGCCCAAGGGCAGGGATTACAACACCCAGCGTCCCCAGCTTTGGGTTGGGGTGTAGGAGTGAATTTAGCCAGCATGGGATAGGGTGTCCTCCTTGAGGGGGGTGGGGGAGGGAGGGTTGGACTAGAAGACCTCCAGGGTCCCATCCCGCTCTGCCCTTCTGTCATCTCAAGTCTTGTCGGACAGGGTGCTTGCAAAGGGGAGAATTGGGGTTAAATCAATCCCAGTTCCAGCTAAACGTGGTTTAATGCCAGAGTCCCTCTTCACGGACTGACCCCCCCCCCAAACCTAGTTATATCTTCTTCTGATTACGAATTGTTTTCAGATTTGGGGGGAGCTTTCTCCTCCTCACCTCTATTTTGAACATTTGTCTTTTATCTTTGCCTTCACTTTTACTGATCTTTTTTCCTACTGTCGGGGCTTGCTCTCTTTACGTTTGGAAGTTGTGTGGGAACGGTTTGGGACCGTACACAAAATGTGAAAAAAACAACGAGACCACAACTCCCAGCATCCCCAGCTGGGAGTAGAGTGGGTACAGTGGATTCCTCCCAGCCAGGGAGGCTTGTTTGGGGAGGGGGAACTCTGCCAGAGGGCTGGGACTACATACAACTCCCAGCGTTCCCAGCCCTGGGTTGGGGTGGACGAGTGAATTTGCCCAGAATGGGATAGATAGAGTGTCCTTCTTGACCACAGAGGGGTGGGGTGGACTAGAAGACCTCCAATATCCCTTCCAGCTCTGTTCTTCTATAATTTCAGTCTTGCTGGACGTGGTGGGCAAGGCGACATTTGGGGTTAACCATTCCCAGTTCCAGCAAACGTGGTTCAACGCAAGAGTTCCCATCTCCCTGATTATGAATTATTTCAGATTTGGGAGTTTTTCCCCACCTGTATTTTAATGTTTGTATTGGTCTTTTAATAGTGACCGATTCTTTTTAAGTTCTGGAGTTGTGTTCTAATGGTCCAAAACTGTAAATAACAATGGGAAAAACAATGGAACTACAACGCCTAAGCTTCCCAGCCGGAGGGGTGTCCGGTCAATTTAAGTCTTGTTGGTTATGCCAGGCACAATGAGCAAGGGGGCAGTTGGTGTTAAATCATTCAATCCTGGTTCCAGCAAATGGTGTTTGGGTTTCTGCGTGTATTTTAACATTTGCATTGGTCTTTTATTAGCGGTACGTTCTTTTAATTGTTGAAGTTGTGTTGCGGTGAGCGTGGGACTATAAATAAAAATGGGAGGAGGAACAGCCCTCCAGAAATCTGCAAGGCTGTGTACTAATGATTGTGTCTGTTTATTGGACTGATTATTGTCTAACTGTTGTGTCTAAGCATTGTTGCTAGCTAGCTTGTTTGCCAAAATGCTAACTTGTATACTGGAAAAAAAGGCATTTTTCGTTACAATTTTCTATGATGGATACTTCCTTGCTATTCTTTATCCCTGGCTGAACTTCCAGGGTCACTTGTTTCCTTTTTGCTTTATTTGCATTAATTCAAAGCCCATTTTCCCTGTGAATTCTTTGGCGTGCCGGGTAACTTCTATAAGCGCTCGACAAATAAGCCTAAATAGAATTTCATTGCTGTTATTGTATTTCTCTCCCCTGTTTTACCCTGATTCTGTTTAGCCTGGCTAAACAGATTCTACAACACGCCTAGTGGACACAACTGGTTGCCTAAAGTACAGATAATCCTCGACTTATAATCCTCGTTTAGTGACTGTTCAGTTACAACCTTGGTGAGAAAGGTCGTAAAATGAGGCAAAACTCACTTAACAGATATCTCATTTAACAACAGAAACTTTGTGGCCAACTGTTGTAAGCTGAGGTCTACCTGTATTTTATTTTCTCCTATTATCTGTCTTCTGATTGCTTGATTAGACAGGAAGCTCTTTCTGGGCAGTGCCCTTTTCTGAATTGTAAAATTCTTGGTCAACCATGAAATAACAGTTTAGAATGAATCACGCCTCAGCACCGTGATTGTGTGCGAATCAGCAAACCTAAATATGTGTCGGTGTGTGATTTCTGAGTTTCTCTTTGGAGAGAATAATGCTCTTGATTTGTAAACAGAAATAAAGATAAAGTTTTACTTGGCCAATCTGGCCATTGTTTAACCACTTAAAAACAGAACTTTAATTACCTTGTGGGTTTTTTTTTCTTTTGTTCTGCACTATTCAGTGGCATTGCTTGTCCAGTCAGCTCTTAGTACTACACAACCCTTGACAGTTAAGGGTGTGTATTTGTTTTACTAAATGCTGCCAAACCCTTGGGTGGTTCTGAAATTGGTTTTGGGCCTTTCGAAACAAAGGAGCAGAATTTTTTCAGGATGTCAAGCTGTGTGTTTAAAGTGATTCCTCTTCTGCTTCTTGGTGCAGATCCTTCGTAACACAGGTACAATTTATTTGAAATGGTCCACTTGTGTGTGTGTGTGGGGGGGGGAAACCTGATGATTTATAAAGAGAAACAGCTCTTTAGGAGGTTTAGGATTTTTTCTTTTTTTCTTATTTTGATGTAAAGAGGAAACCATCGGCAAAGAGTTTGAATCGGACGTTAAAAGCACTGGTTGGAAAATGGTTCTCAGGGATGCACTTTATGAGAACAATTTGTTTTCATTTCTGAGTTTAAGTCAGTTTTCAAAAGTGCTAAGCCTTCTCTAAATCTCTGGGAAGAAAATTTAGGTTCTCTCCAATATATATATTATACCTTTGGTGTTTTTTATCCCTCAGGTCAGCCTCATAACAAGTTCTGACCTACGAACGCGAGTTCTCCAATTTGTAGAAGACAGGATTCAGACAACCATGGTAACTCTTTTACATACCTCTTCCAAGCAGGAACATGGCTGTCTTTATATCACGCCCCATTCCCTTGTCCTTGTTTCCCTTCTAACCAAAATTAGAAGATTGGGGCTGTAATAAATGTTAAAGTGATGCTGTTGTTTGATTACTCACGTCCTAATCAGACCTGAACATTGCAGTTTATTAATTCGGCACAGGAATCTGCTCATTCTGGTTAGTGTTGGGCAGTCAACCAAAATTGGGAGTCACCAAGACTTGGGCCCTGTCTGTAAAGAGAACATTTGGCCTCCAGGGCACCATAAGATCCCATAAATGTGTGAATGTATGCATGCATGAATGTAAAGCGTTATTAGTCATAGTGAAGACTTCAATTTAAAGCTGTTGACTCAATATATGTAAATAGAATATTGTGGCCTCCAAAACCGCATAAGAAGAGAGAAGAAAAAAAAAAAAGATTTTTTTTTTTTCTGATTGGAAGCGATCAAGACCCTTTGTTTTTCCTGTTCAGGTTTGCAGCATTAATTTTCAGTTGCTCCAGAACAGGAGATTATTAAACTAGCCAAATAGTATTTGGGCATATTTTGGTTTGATAGAAGAGAATATTGATAGCTCAGGTTGAATTGTGGGGTCCTTCGTGCTCTCTGAGCTTGGTTGTTTTCTTGCAGACGTTTCATGACCCAACTAGGTAATATTATCAGTGCTAGAAGGGAGTGGAGTATGGAGACGACGGGAGGGGAAGAAAGGAGGAGGATGACTGGGGTCCTTGGTGCTGTCCAAGCTTCGTTGTTTTCTCCCAGACATTTCATGACACCACTCGGTCATATATAAGTAGAGCAAACCCCATTCTCTTCCAGCACTGATGATGTGAGCTAGTTGGGTCATGAAACGTCCGGGAGAAAACAACCAAGCTCGGAGAGTTGCCAAAGACTTCCATATTTACATGTGATTGAAGATGAACTTTTTCTGTCTCCCTTCTGTCCTCAGTTAACTGGGATAGCCATTGGAGCTGCGGTGGCCTTGGCGCTGATTGGGATCGTTGTGTATTTTGTTTACAAGAAGGTGAAGGAATCGAGTAAGTTTGATCGCTTAGCGCGAACCCGCCATGCCTGTGTAACGTAGGCGAACGGAAGGTGATCCTCTCTGCACGGTGGAGCAGTTGGGAGGGTTAACGGGATGATTAAAGCAAATTTCTCCGCCTCTTGGAAATAATAAAAGGGTCGTAATAACGCATGATAAATGGGTCACCAAGAATCATGGTTAAGACACCAGGGTAGAAAGTAGGAGACCATGAATTCTAGTCCTGCCTTAGGCATGAAAGCCGGTTGGGTGACTTTGGGCCAATCACCAGGAGACTGGTGAGTTCTAGTCCTGCCTTAGGCATGAAAGCTGGCTGGGTGACATTGGGCCTCTCTCTGCCCAGCCCACCTCACAGAGTTGTTGTGGGGAAAATAGGAGGAGGACAGTGTGTAGTATCTGCTCGCTGCCTTGAGTTGTCCTTGCAGGATGCAAACAAATACAGTCGACCCAAAGGAGACGCCTAGGGACAGTAAATTAACCTATGCTTTTCTTTCTGTATCTTTGACATCGCTTCAGATTAGGCTGTCTGTAGGCTTCGGAAAAGGGGGCATCAAGGTGATAGATCTTCTTTTGCTTTTCAGAACAATCTCAGGCCCACGTGCCCCAGTACAGGTTTCGCAAGAGGGACAAAGTGATGTTCTACGGCCGTAAGATCATGCGGAAGGTAAGGGTCTGACCAGGGATTGAACCCACGCTTGCTCTAAACTCTCCTGGGGTTCATGTCAAAGAGAAGATTTGCAGTTCAGACTTAAATTGTGAGTCTTTGAGACAGACATCTCATTGTCAAACTAGGTAACATTGTCAGAGCAAGCAGGGAGCGGGGTTTTGCCAGCTGTTGTTAAATGAACACCGTGGTCATAAGTTGAGAATTATTTGAATCGTAGCTCAGGGTCTGCTCCCTTGGCAGCCAAACCTGAAAGCTCAGTAAGACATTTGCAAATTACGTCCATGCTTCTCAAAAACCACTGGCCTTTGGGATTTCAGCTTTTACCTAATGCTTTGTTGCCTGCAGTTGTACGACATCTTTATTAGCGCAGCCGGAGCATTGTGTTCCTTGGGTTGGGTTGCACGGTTGCCACACGGCGAACCCAGGGCCTGCTGCATTTTTTTTCCCCGAATGCTTTTTCTTCCTGATCAAAGCTGAGGGATTTTCCTTCCAGGTTACAACTCTGCCGAACTCTCTAGTCGGCAACACGGTGCCTCGTCAGCGGATGCGGAAAAGGGCCAAGGTGTTGTCCTTGGCAAAGAGGTAAGGGTCGCAGGACAATTTGGGCATTTTTTGGATCAACCGTCCATGATTTCCTCTGTAAATTACAAACTTACAGGAGGACGGAAGTTGCAAGGAGTAGATGAGGGCCGAGTGGAGAAGGATAGAAGGAGCTGGATCCTTCGCAGAGCCGACGAAGGAGCACTAACGGTCCTTTTTGGTCTTCCTCGCAGGATTCTGCGCTTCAAGAAGGAGTCCCCCACCCTGCAGCCCAAGGACCCCCCGCCCTCCTTGCTGGAGGCCGACCTGACGGAATTCGACGTCAAGAGCTCCCACCTGCCTTCCGAAGTCCTTTACATGCTCAAGAACGTCAGGTAGGCTCGCCCGCCTGGTTTCACCGGCTAAGGTGGGATCGGAGCCACGGCTCAGCCTCCTGTGTCGGGCTCTCGGGACCCTCCCCGCCTGTTTTAGCAAATCCTTCCCCTCCCCCTCCCTCCTTTCCTCCGTTTCCTCCAGGGTCCTTGGCCACTTCGAGAAGCCCCTTTTCCTGGAGCTCTGCAAGCACATGGTCTTCGTCCAGCTGCATGAAGGGGAATACATCTTCCGGCCCGGACAGCTGGACAACAGCATTTATGTCGTGCAGGACGGGAAGCTGGAAGTCTGCATTCAAGACAGCGTAAGGGATCGTTCCGTAGGGCGATAGGAAGGACGGGAGGGAATATTTCAGGGTTCAAATGAGGGGGCCCTTGGCGCTCTCTGAGCTTGGCTGTGTTCTTGCTGATGTTTCATTACCAAGCTAGGGAACATGTTCAGTGCTACAGGGGATTGGAGTGTCTGGAGAGGAGGAGGAGGAGGAGGAGGAAGGCTGTGCGGTCCTTGGTGCTCTCTGAACCTGGGTGTTACCATGCAGACGTTTCATTACCCAACTAGTGCACATCCTCACTGCTAGAAGGGAGTGGGGTGTGTGGACATGAAGAGAAGGATGGGGGCAGAAAAGCAGAGGAGGAGGGGGACTGTGGGGTCCTTGATGCTCTCTGAACCCGGTAATTTCCTTGCAGACCTTACATGACCCAACTAGGTAACATCATCCCACCAACAACACTGATGATATTACCTAGCTAGGTCATGAAACGTCTGCGAGAAAACAACCCACGTCAGAGCTACTTTATATAAACAGGGGACAAGTCATACTCGCTAGCACTGATGACGTTCCCTAGTTGAGTCATGAAATGTCTGTGCATGAAAATAACCAAGCTCAGAGAGCACCAAGGACCCCACGGACAAATGTTTGTCATCACAAGCCTCAGAAGAGGCCACAAGTTAGACAAGGTCTACTTGAGGATCCAAGCATCTTGGAAAGAAGACTCTTTGGATGAAGATCACAGAGACCCTTCCATCAGTCTATTTGCAGGCTCTCTCTCCATTCTGATCCCATCCCAACCATTTCAATCCGAGCGAAGGAGTGTGAATTCACGCTTTAATCCAGCCCTAACCTAGTTTGGGTTTGGCTTGTGGATTGCAAACAACCCGGCCATTGTCCTTTATAAACCTGGTTTGTGGAACCAACATGGTCTTTGCCACAGGCTTTAAGCATGCATCTTTCTTCGTTCAACTTTTCCCAGGATGGCACAGAGATGGTGGTAAAAGAAGTCCTGGCCGGAGATAGCGTGCACAGCCTTCTCAGCATTTTAGATGTCATCACGGTGAGTCCCGCAACCCCACTTGGATCCTTCTTGGCTTTCCAAGTGGTCCTCTATCCCTTTCTTTTGATTTTGAATAAGTGGGCAGGGCTTCCTGGAAGGATGGATGTGGAAGAGTCCAATCAGAGAGCTGGCTTATTTGGTTCCTGACTTTGCCTTGGCAAAGTTCAAAGTTACAACGGCCTTGGAAAAAAGTGACCTTCGACAGTTCTTCGTCCTTAAACCGTTGCCAGTTGCCAAGGGATGTCGCAAGTGTGAGGACCAGTTATAAGTAGAGCACCATTGCAACTTAAAACAGTCACCAAACAAATGTGTGGTGGAGATCCTCATTCATCCACGTCCTAGTTGTCTCAAAAGTGCTTTTTCCAAAGGCGACTGGAAAAAGTTGTTGTTGTTGTTGTTTTCCCCTCGGCTGTGATCATCGCAACCGAGGAAACTTCACGGATGAGAAACAAAATGGTTGTAAGTAAGTCTGAAAACATGTCGGCTTTCTCTTCCCCCCCAGGGCCATCCTGCTCCTTACAAAACCGTTTCTGCCCGAGCGGCGACACAGTCAACTATTCTGCGTCTCCCAGCCAACGCGTTTCAGGACGTCTTTCAGAAATACCCCGAGACCCTGGTCAGAGTTGTGCAGGTGAGGCTGGCCTTATTCCCCTCTGGAGCAAGTTTGGACCCCAGGTTTCTTCGTTTTCATAAACTTGTAGAAAAGTCTTCTTAGTTTTAATTGAAATTTGATTGCTAGGTCACCAGGTCAGACCAGAAACGAAAGTGGGGAGAAGAGGCTCACTTAAATAAACCTAAATAAATAGGTTTATTTGATCAATCATCCGAAATAAATCTCTTTTACGGAAAGTTTCACGGTCAAGCTCTTCTGTCTTTGGTGTGTCTCTGATTCCGTGGGAAAAGGAAAGGAAGGTGACCTTGATGAAAAGAGGCTAGAACCCAAAGGGCTTAAAGTCCAGAGCGAGGAGGTAACATTGGGGCAGATCACCCCCCCTAATCCATTGGAGCATAAGGGGGGGGAGAGGTGTCATCTACCTTGATGGCATCAGAGTAGCTAAGCTATTGGGAAGCCGGAAGGTGGGCTACAGGTGATCCTTCAACTAACAGCCATAGTTGAGCCCAAAATGTACGTTGCTAGGTGAGAAATTGGCTAAGTGAGTTTTGCTCCCTTCGCCACGTTTTGTTAAGCGGTTCTTAAATTGGTAATACGGTGGGGTTTTTTTTTTAATAATATTTTATTCATTTTTCCAATTTTCCATTTGAGTATTTAAAAAGCAACGTGGTGGGCTGGGTTAATCAATAGTTCAATAACAAAATCTTTAGTGCGAACCTCAGGTTACAACCTCAGATATTTCTTCTTTTTTCCCCTTAACGTTTACTGTCTCGTATTCAAGGTAGTACATTTCTAAATTATATCAGCTCCCCTAATCCTTTCTGCTTTCACTCCCTAGATCATCATGGTGAGGCTGCAGAGGGTCACTTTCCTAGCTTTGCACAACTACCTGGGACTGACCACCGAACTCTTCAGCTCTGTAAGTGAAACCTGGTGGTGGTGGACGTGGATAAATGTTGGGAACGTGCCGGTCGAAGAGACCTCAAAGGTCTTCTAGTCCAGCCCCCTCTGCCCAAGGGGATGCTTGCCTAAAATGGCTGTGGAAATGGATGGCTCCAGTTTGGTGGCCTCTAAAAGCCCTTCCACATGCAGGTGGTTAATAAATTTAATGATAGATAGACAGACAGATACACTGATAAGATGATTGATAGATAGATAGATAGATAGATAGATAGATAGATAGATAGATAGACAGACAGACAGACAGATGATGGATGGACTATGAATGGATAGATATTGAGTGGATAGATAGATAAGGTGGGTAGATAACACTAGATATAGATAGATGGGGAGGGAGGGAGGGAGGGAGGGAGGGAGGGAAGGAAGGAAGGAAAGAAAGAAAGAAAGAAAGAAAGAAAGAAAGAAAGAAAGAAAGAAAGAAAGAAAGAAAGAAAGAAAGAAGCCTGCTTCTTGTCTTAGTGTTTGCTGGGTCATGTCTGCTCTTATGACCCCACCATGGCATGCTTAGATTAGAAGCTTTTGTTAGTTGTGGGGAGTTGGAGAACCGGGGTGCAGCTTTGGGCTCCCTGTGGCTACCCACCCAGCCCCAGGGCTCCCTGACCCACCTTTGCCTCTTCCCCCCCCCAGGAGAGCCAGGCCATCCCTCTGGTCTCCGTTGCCAGCGTCACCTCTGGGGGCAACACCAGCCGGGTGGTCAAAAGGCAGCTGTCCAACCTGTCCGAGGAGGAACGGGCCGAGAGGCTGGAGAAATACGCAGCCTTGGAGACCACAGGTGAAGCTTTGACCTTGCCCAGGGCAGTTCTTGAGAAGGATTTTGTGCCTTTCAGAGGAGCAGCCCCCTTAGTCAGGCTTCCGCTTGGCCTGAGGGGGCGCCAGGACGATGAGGGTTTTTTTTTTGGACTAGGTGAAGTTAAGGGCTGAGATGAATTGATCTGGGGCTGCTTGCCATGAGGGCTGTTTCTTAGCTCCTCTCTTCTTTCTTTCTTTCTTTCTTTCTTTCTTTCTTTCTTTCTTTCTTTCTTTCTTTTCTTTCTTTCTTTCTTTCTCCTTTCCTTCCTCCCTCCCTTCCTCCCTCTTTCTTTCTTTCTTTCTTTCTTTCTTTCTTTCTTTCTTTCTCTCTCTCTCTCTCTCTCTCTCTCTCTTTTTTTCTTTCTCTCTTTCTCTCTTTCATTCTGTGGCTTGGGTTAGCTCAAAAGAGGACAGCAGAGTTCCCCCCAGCTAGTGAGCCCTCAGTCCTGGCTTAGAAATCGCAAGGGCCGGGTTCCTTCAGCCCCCTCCACCTCCAACCAAGCCCACCACAATCTGGTTTGGCCCTCTGGGCAAATTCTTCCAAGACGGATTATTTCCATTTGCCAGCAAATTCCTGTGCTGTGAGGAAGTCAGCTGAGATGTTCTCCATTGTAGATTCTGGGAAACTTCCCGGCTCCGAGCCCCCGCTCCGAAGAAGCTTGTCTTTGACCATCCCCACTGGATATACCGAGGCTACAGGTGAGCGAGAGAGATCTGGAAAATACCTGGACCCGTACAGCTAGTCCTCGTCTTGACGATCACAATTGAGTCCAAAAATTTCTGTCGCTAAGCGAGACATTGGTTAAGGGAGTCTTGCCCCATTTTTACGACCTGTCTTGCCACAGTTGTCAAGTGAAGTCACTGCCGTTGTTAAGTTAGTAACACGATTAAGTGAATCATTAACTTTGCTTATCAGAAGGTCACCAAAGGGATCAAAAATGGTCGTAAATTGAAGACTGCCTGTACGTGGTCTTCTGGGTCACTTGCTTAATATTTTTTTTTTAAGAGGGTAGATGGAAAGGCTGCAGGTTGGCTGGCAGGGCGGAGTCTGACGTAGCTCCTCCTCTGTCCTTTATGTGTAGGTAGTTCAGCTGGAGCTAAATCAGACTTGGACGTGGCCTGCGACAGAGCCCGGATTGAGGTTGACACCTCTGCCTCCGACACAACTGCGTACAAGGTATCTCCTTGCTTCCTTCTGACTTAAACTACCAACAGAAGGGAATATTCATAGCTCAGGGTGCCACTTCGGGGGCCTTGCACTGATGATGCTACCTAGTTGGGTCATGAGATGTCTGCAAGAAAAAAAAAAGCTCAGAGACCAGCAAGGATGCCAGGGCCATCCTCCTCCTCCTCCTCCTCCTCTTCCACTCTGCAAATCCTTTTAGCATGGATGACGTTACCTAGCTGGGTCATGAAGCGTCTGAATTTCATTTTTATTGTGTGCCATTATGCACACAGGAAAAAAGGACAATAAAGGTTATCTAATCTAATCTGATGAAATGTCTGCTAGAATTTGCTTAAGGACTCTGATTGTTCACTTCGTGTCCATTGTAAACACGGTGGTCAAATCAGCACGGACTCCACAAACACAGTGATTTACGACACGCGTTCCGGTCTCAAGGGTGCTTTATAAGTCCAGGACCACCTCTAGTCCTGTTGTTAATCGCAGCGTGAAAAGTGACCCCTGGGCTTTTCTATCTCCCCCCACCCCCTCCCATCCCCACCCTACCCCCAGCCCATCTTGAAGAAAACCGTGACGATGACCGAAATGCCCTCAGCTGTCTTCCACTACATCCAGAATAACGTGCCCTGTGCCACCAAGCAGGTCAACACCATCTTAGAAGCCGCCAAAAAAGATCTTCTGACGCTGATGAAGCTGGACGTGAGTGATCTTAGCCACTGGGGGAGGGTGTGTGGAATTGGCAAACGGTCAGCTTTCTAGCTTAGGCCCCTTGCAGGCTTTAAAATCCTTTTTTTTTTTCTTTTAAAAAAGTTTAAAGCAATCTCGCTTCTCTTGGGCTGCAGATCCCCTTGTCACCCCTCGTCCTTTTCTTCATTAAAGTTTCCAAATGGCAAGTCTGCAGCGGCTCTGTTTCTAAAACCCAATTCCTTAGGGGTTGTTTCCCCCCCCCCTCCTGATTGAAAGTTTGGCCACCTCTGTGTAGTTACTCCCCTCCAGATCCACCTGCCCCCCCCCCCGGTGAGAGAGAACGTGGGGTCTTCTGCACCGAGGTCATGAAACCTACTTTTCGTTTGCAGCGCTAACAAAAGAGATGAGTGTTCTTTATTTTTTTATTTTTTTCATTTTGGCATCGCCGTTTGCTTGTTTAGGATCTCTCTCTCTTGAACGGGAAAGTCACGCTCCATCAGGTGGCCGCGGGGACGGTGGTATCCCGGCAAGGCGACCAGGTGAGTGTTGAACCCACAGGCAGGTGTGTGTGTGTGTGCACGAGAGAGAGAGGTTTGGGCCAAATGGCAGGGACGTTTCACACGATTGGTGTTCTGGACTCGCTCTCTGATAGGACGTCAGCATCCGTTTTGTGATCTCGGGGGTCTTGCACGTCTATCAGCGAAAGATCGACTCGGAGGAAGAGACCTGCCTGTTCATCACCCACCCGGGAGAGCTGGTGGGGCAGCTGGCTGTCCTTACGGGAGAGCCCCTGATTTTCACCATCAAGGCCAACCGCGATTGCACTTTCTTGGCGATCTCCAAGTCCCACTTCTATGAGTGAGCCCCGTCTTTCTTTTTTATATATATATGTATAGATTTTATTAGTTTTTATGGGGTTAGGAATAAGGTGGGGTCGGGGTTGGGGTTGGGATTAAGGTTAAGGTTGGGCTTTTCCGAAATAACATTCTCAATATTTAGCCAACAGCATAATGTCTGCGTTCATGTATTTAACAAACAATAAGCAGGTAATAGTTAATTATCATAAACAGCATGTTAATCACTCAATAGCCTTCTTCTTGCCAATATATGTTCAAAGTTCCATATCACATTCTTTTCTCTCTAACTCGTCTTTCTAGCCATTGATAGAAATTATCCCATGTTCTAAAGTTCTTTCTCTTTTATCTTTAAAGTCAAATCTGTCCATTTCTGCACAATCTGTAATTTTCTTAATTAGCACTTCTTCAGCTGGCAAGTTTTCATTTTTCCAATGTTGGGCAAATGCAATTCTTGCTGCCATTAGTACGTGAAGTACTACACCGTAATACTACAGTGACTCTCGTCTTTCTTCTTCCTGGCCCGGGCAGTCCTTGACTTACGACGGTTTCCTTTAGTCCCAACGGCATTGAAAAAAATGACACGACAGTTTTTCGCCTTCACGACCCTTGCGGCGTCCCCCGTGGTCCCCTGGTCAAAATTCAGACACTTGGCGACCGACTCATATTTATGATGGTTGCAGTGTCCCCCGGGGGTCACGGGATCCCCTTTTGCGACCTTCTGACAGCCAAAGTCAATGGGAGAAGCAGGATTCACTTAACAACCGGGTTACTAACTGAGTCACTCGAACAAGTGTGGCAAAAAAAAGGTCATAAAAGGGGGCAAAATTCACTGAAGAACTGTCTCGTTTAGTGACAGAAATTTTGGGCTCAACGGTAGTCGTAAACCGAAGACTGTCTGCGTTCTTGATTCTAATAAGAGTGATTTCACCCAGGACTCTCGTTGACTCCTTAACATCGAGTAGGCTGAGCTGATGCTAGAATTCCCTGTTGCCTAGCTTAAAGCGTTCACATCGTCCTACTTCTCTCCAGCCCTCGAAAAATGCCCTGGCTTGTTCTGCAAAGATTTTATTTTTTTTCTTGCTGGTCCATACCCAAAGGTTCACAGAAGGGTGGGGAAGAAGACTCCTGAGTGAGGACAATAATGGTCTCCTGCCCAGGGTGGTGTCAACAGAACCAGCTGAGCAGGGATGCCCCAGCCTTTGCTGGTGGCATGCCTCTGCCACAGGATTAAGTCAGGAGCAGCTGCCAGCTAATTACACCCTTAGACTTGACACCCAGCTGTGATGTGCTAAATACAGGGTGCCTGTCTTCTAGCTAAGGGCAGGGTAGGAGGGCTCCTTCGATCCAGCTTTAATTAAACTATCACCGGGATGCCTGGAGAAGAAAGGCAGGCAGCAGGAAGAAGTTGAGAGGTTCAGATTAGGACGTTGATAGACCCTTGCTTAACAGGAGAGAGAGAGAGAGAGAGAGAGCTTCGAACAGTTACTAAACAAATCGTCATAAGCTGAGGACTAGCTCCATTGCGGGGGCCTTGCAGGCAACCGCATTCTCAACCGCTTAGTGCCAAGATGCTTTGAATTGGCCCCTCTGGGGATCCATTGCCCTGTGGCAAACCTCTCTTATGGGTCTGTCCTCCCAGGATCATGCGCGAGCAGCCCACGGTGGTCCTGGGTGTGGCTCACATGGTGGTGAAACGCATGTCGTCCTTTGTGAGGCAAGTTGACTTCGCCCTGGATTGGATGGAGGTCGAAGCCGGACGCGCCGTTTACAGGTAAGGAGCTGGGGAATCGCCCAGGGGGTGACGGAAGGGGTGGTCTTCCTCTTTTCTCAGGACTAGGTGGCCTCTTTTGAGCCTCCTCTCCTCGCGGCTCAATCCTTCTTTCCCCGTTTCCCAAGACCAGGCCTGCCTTCTTTCCCACCACCGTCTTCCTCCTCCTCTCTTTTAATCCCTTTCTCTTTCCCAGGCAAGGGGATCATTCAGACTGCACCTACATTGTCCTGAACGGGCGGCTCCGCTCGGTCATCAAGTTGGACGATGGGAAGAAACATCTGACCGGCGAATATGGCCGGGGGGACCTGATTGGCGTGGTAAGGAGAGGAGAGGTGTGGGGAGGGGGAGGCTGGCTGACCTGCTTGCCTTGGGTTTAGAAGCCATTCCATGACCGTCGCATGGAAGGTGAGACAGGCCAGGGATGGTTGGAAGGACCACGTTATCCAAGGTGTCAAAGGAGATAAACCAGGAAGATCCAGCTTCCGACCAGTTCAGCCCATAACCTGCATCAGGAGCTATTTAAGCGAAGGAGCTGAATCCCAGTGCATTATTCTTAATGGAAGTGTGTGTGTGGGTGGGTGTGTTTGTCTCTTTACACACAGCTTATGACCCCAGCTGAGCCCCAAATTTAGTAGTAACAAATAGCTGTGGATCTCTTGAAGTGCTTCTCAATATTGCTTCTTTTTTGAGTGGCTGCAGTATCGCTTTTTGCCACCTGCAGTGGTGGCGCTGTGGCACAGCAGAAGCCACATCAGCCGTGTCTCTTGCTGGCCACGGAGGGACCCGAGTCCACTGGCCGCTGTTTCGAAAGATGTGATCCTTTCAATTCCCGGCGTCCGTCAAAAAGAGGAGCCAAAAAGAGGACAGTGGAGGAATGGACCTCCCACTCTTTCCCCACTGAGGGGCTCCTTTGCACCACACAGGTGACCCTTAAGGACACAGATAAACCTCCACAACTCTTGAAAAGGAGGCAAATGACCAGCGGTTTGCAAGGAGTAGAAATCCTTCCATTCCCCACCGTCCAGTCAGAGCCGAAGAAGCCTCTTGGAGGAGAAGCAAAATGTCTTCAGAGGGAAAAGTCCAGTGTCCTCCTGGAAAAAAAAACAACAACAACAAAAAACATCTTTGGGATGGCTGAGAATCTCCCTAGGCAAACAGCCCTGATTCTCTTAAGGACTCTGGCAAGGAATGGGGGCAAAACCCACTTAGTAATTCTCTCGCTTGGGCTCCATCGTGCTCATAAGTTGAGGACCACCTCTGTTGTCTGTGAAATGCAGTTCCCAAGTACGGTACGTGTTTCGTGCTGGGCAACTTCTCTTTAAGTAAACTCTGCAGCAAAACGGAGCAACTTCCCTAGCAGCAGGCCGCCTCATCCCTGGGTGATATATCACCGCGAATCTGAAATTAAATTAGCCAGAGCTGCTGGGAGCCAGCTGGTGAGGCTGCAGATTCCATTATACGCTCCAGGAGAGGGGGATAAAAGAGCCTGTCCTAAACGTCCTAGCTAATTCAGCTCATAAATACTAGCCGGGTGGGGCGAGGAGCAAAAAAGCACTTGATTTCTTTTAGCGGCGATCTCAAAGGGCTCCGTGGAGCTGCTGCCTTTCCTCCTGCGGAGAGGAAAAGATCAGGGCTCGCGTTTAACGACGGCAAGACAAGTCGTAAAAAAGGGGGGCAAGACTCGCTTTGCCAGTTTCCCCCTTTGCAACCTGAATGTTGGGCTCGTAAGCCGAGGACTGCCTGAAGAAAGTAGAACTGCAAATAGAAGTAGAATGGGAGTGGCAAAAGTCACCGTCTCCTGGGGATCGGCCCAAAGTCACCCAGCCGACTTTCGTATCCAAGGGGGGACTAGAACTCACTGTCTCCTGGTGATGGGTCCAAAGTCACCCAGCTGGCTTTCATGCCTAAGGGCAGACTAGAACTCACCGTCTCCTGGTGATTGGCCCAAGGTCACCCAGCTGACTTTCATGGCTAAGGCAGGACGTGAACTCGTGGTCTCCTGCTTTGTAGCTTGGTGCCTAACCACTAGCCCAAATGTTTCTAAACCTCTCTGAACAGCAGTCTCTTTTGAAGATTTGCAGAAGGTTATTTTTACGATTATTATTGGAAAAAACAGTGCTTTAGTGTAGAGCCTTAGCTATCCTAAAGGCTTTGAGAGATGGATGGTAATTGATCCAGCCTGTTGCACCGGAAGGACTCTGGAGAATATAATCTTGAATAAGTGCCAAAACTTTTTCAGCTTAGAAAGGATTTACTTTTCATTTGCTTTGAATAGTAGCCAACTCCTCTCCCAAAAAAAATGGGCGTCAATAGTATTGATCTTGGCTAATTAAAATATGCTTCCCTCAACTGATTTCCCAGCTTTTTTTGCAAAGCACCAACGCATGTGTAAATGGTTTTAAGTGCCCTGCCTCTTGAGGATAACAAGGATTCTTATCTCGACCTGGAAAAATTAAATGACGTGATTAATCCCTCCGTTTGTCCAAGATGCAAGTGGCAATTTTCCAATGCCGTGCTTGATTAAACGCTGGGTTGAAATCCGAATAGAGAGCCAATTAATTTGCCCTTAAAGGGAGCTTACTTTGATGTCATCCATCTTCTTGGACTCTCCCCTTGTTCAGCTCTTTTCGGATATTTTTTTCTGCTAAAGTACCTGCTCCAGAACCCTGAACTCTTCCAAAATAGAGGCGCTTTTGGAGATTTCGTAGGACCCAGCATTGTAGGGCTGGGAGGTGGGACCTTAGATCTTAGATCTTCTAGTCTAGTCCAACCCCTAACCAAGGCAGAAGAATTTACACCATCCCAGTCAAATGGTTTCCCAGTCTACCAGTGGTCCCTTGGTACTCAGCTGCTTTGAAACCCATCAGCGTTGATACTCAAAGCGTTTTAGGCGAAGCTAGAATTTGCCTTGTGATTCACTACGTTATTCCTGATGAGGAAAAATATTGTTTGCTGCTCTTTGTTTTTGGTACTCATCGGGCCTCCCGGAACCAATTAACAATGACAAAGGGATGAGGAACAAACAAAGCCCAGTTATCTTTTGAAAAACACACCATGAATGGCTGTTATCTTCTCTCGGTGCCAATGGACCTCCTCGGAATATCTGATTGGCTGAAACGGGACTCCTCTGGTAGACCTGCTCTTAAGTTGTGAGCCCCATAAGAACTGAAGGACAGAAGAGGACCACAGAGCAATAAAGATGGAGGTCACCATTAGTTAATGGGAGAAGGAGGCTTATCTCCCCAGATCCAGAATACTAGCGAAGAGAAACGTCCCTATATAAAGGGAGTCTCCCGTGAGGACTTCTTTGTAGACCAGAGAACCACCATGAATGGCTGGTAACTTTTCTCCATGGTGATGGACCTCCACAAAATATCTGATTGGCTGAAATGGACTCATCTGACAGATCTGTTGTGAACCCCATCAGAACTGAAGGACAGAAGAAGGCAAATCCATTCCTTTAGTCCTGTTGAGAAGTTCACCCCTTCTACCTGCACGTTGAGGTTCTCCTCTTTCCTTTGCAATTGCCCAGAGGAGACGAGCTCTTTTGGAGACATGTTTCAATGCCGGACGTCCGTCTCCTCTTTCTGGCATGGTGTAGAGACTCTACTTGTCTACTCAATCAAGAGAAAGCACTCCCGTTTCTTTCCTCAACTTGAAGTGTCTTGGCGGCCTGAACGTTGCAGCAGAAATGTTGGCTTTCCTTCAGCAGGACTGAGATCGTTGGCAACTAGGAGTGGCCCCTAAGAGTTTTTGAAAGAGACACTCTGTTCTTGCAGGATCTCTAGTGCCATGTTCTTCTTGGCTGTTCTTCTTTCTCCTTCTCCCTCTCCAATTCCCATCCTTAAGCATGCCTCCACCCGTTTCCACAGGCTTTGGATGAAGGCACCTCTTTGGCTACTGCTGCGGTGCTCTCCAAGCGAAAAGCAATCAGCTAAAAACAGATGCCGTTCTCCTTCACGTAACTCGCAAAAAAATAACATCCAGTTTTGGCTGCCCCGCTATTAAAAAAAAAAAAAGACGTTGAGACTCTAGAAAGAGTACAGAGAAGAGCAATAAAGGGGACTGGAGGCTAAAACATATACAAAGAACCATTGCAGGAATTGGGTATGTCTAGTCTAGTGAAAAGAAGGATTAGGGGAGACATGATAGCAGCCTTTCAATATTTGAGGGGCTACCACAAGGAAAAACAGAGTCAGCCTATTCTCCAAGGCACCACAAGGCAGGAGAAGAAGCAACGGGTGGAAACTAACCAAGGAGAGAAGCAACTTGGAACTAAGGAGAAATTTCCTGACAGGGAAAACAATTAACCAGTGGAACCACCTGCCTCCAGAAGTTATGGGAGCTCCATCAGTGGAGGTTTTTAAGAAGAGATTGGACAGCCCTTGGTCTGAAACGGCATAGGGTTTCCTGCCTGAGCAGGGGGTTGGGCTAGATGGCCTCCAAGGTCCCTTCCAGTCCTGTGATTCCATGGGTTGCTAAGCCTCAGCTGACTTGGGTCTCTCTTGCCCTGCTCAGCTGAGGTTTATTGTGGAGCAAAGCAGCAGGAAAGCAGGCTGAGTTTGAAGCATGAAATGTCAGCAGCCCCCGCTGGGCAGAAAGTGACAACTCACTGCTCATCTCCTGCTTTTGTGCTCTTCTGCATTTTGGGGAGGGGGTGTCCTTGGTGCTCTCTGAGCGCAGCTGCTTTCAACAGAAGCAACCAAAGACCCCCCCCCCCAGCAGGTCAAGCCCGGGCTACAACTATTCTTTCTCTCTTATTTGTTCTGCCTTTGCCAGAAACGCTCGAAGCAGACTCCTGCCAGCTCTTCAGAAAAGTGGCTTTCTCAGCTCCCAGAATTCTCCGTGGTAGATGGGGAATTCTGGGAGCTGAAATCCACGTTATCTGGAGACTGTTCAGAGAGGGCCGCTTTCAAGGGACGGTTCTAAGATTCTACAGTGTCCTTTAGGGATGGCTGGGCATCATAATTAGGGTTTGGGGGGGAAAGGCTGCAAAGAAGAAGCAGAATATCTGGATTTAATAGGAACTTTGGTTGTGAAGGATGACCAGGGCCTTCTCGGCAACGGGTCAGCGGTTTCTGACGCCATTTTAATAACAACTTTGTCTCCTGCTTCCAGGTTGAAGCACTCACTCACCAACCCAGGGCGACGACGGTCCATGCTGTTCGGGATTCTGAGCTGGCCAAACTTCCTGAGGGAGCTCTCAGCTCGATCAAACGCAAGTTCCCCCAGGTAGGAAGGGTGCTCTGCCTGTCGTCTGAATTCAAGTCAAGAATTATCCCTGCAGAGAGGGATCCCACAGCTCACCTAGTAGACAAAACTCCTTGCCTAGAGCACAGGTAATCCTCAACTTACAACAGGTCATTTAGCGACCGTTCGAGCAGGAGAGCCTACACCATTTCAGACAAGTAGCTTTCCAGTCTCTTAAAAGCCTCCAGTGATGGAGCACCCACAGCTTCTGGAGGCAGGCCGTTCCACTGGTGAATCCTTCTCACTGTCAGAAAATTTCTCCTTAGTTCCAGGTTGCTTCTCTCCTTGATTAATTTCCATCTGTTGCTTCTTGTCTTGCCTTTTGGGGATTTGGAGAATAAAATCTTCCTTCCCCATGGCGTAAGGAAGACGAGGAGAGAGCAAAACCCCAGGTTTCCATTGTGTGTTGTCTAAATGTGGATCTGGCCCACTCAATAATTTTTATTTTTTATTTTGCCCCCACAGCCCTTGCCAGCGTGTCCTCCTGACAACTTGTGTGCATTTGAAAGCTACTTTATTTTTAGAAGAGCGCTCCATCTGTCTATTATTCCTAGCAAAGCAGCAGTTGCGGTTTTCGTAGAGAAACTGGGCCACGCAGCTACATTTGACTTATTTTTTTCCCCTGCCCTACTTAGTAAGCAGCGCTTTAAAAGCCACACTTTGATTGTGACACGGAAGCCAAGACAATCGGGGTGTTTGTTACGGCTGTGTTGAGGGTGTCTGGTATATTCTGAGTAGCATCAGAAAAAAAAAAACATCAATTTTTTTTTTTAAAATAATAACGTTACGGTTTTAGACACGATGGAGAGAATTTGGTCCTTGAGTTACAAACAATCGTCCAGCGAATATTTGAAGTCAAAAACTCTGCTGGAAAGAGTGATTTATATTCAGTCCTCGCACTTACGACCACTGCAGCCTCCCCACGGTCATGTGAACAGTATGTGGGCGCTTGGCAACCGGCTTGTAATTGACAGCGGTTGCAGCGTCCTGGGGTCACATGATCCATCCGTTGTGACCCTCCGACATGGCAATTAATGGGGCTGAATGACCACGTGATCCACTTAACCACCCTGGCAAAAATGATCCTAAAATTGGGCCTGACTCGTTTTAAAACCAGCTTGCTTAGCATTGGGAATCCGGGTCCCCCCCTTTGCCGTCGTAAGTCGAGGACTAGGGGCGAATGCCAGAGCAAGCCCATTGTTGCTTTTCTGCTCTGCTTATAAGAGTCAGATGAGAGACCCGTTCTTGACGTCCCTTTTATTGATGTTCTCCCGGAGCAGATTTGACGCACAATTCCTTCCAGCTGTTCACGTGTTGGCTCCCAATAGACTACCACACACATTATCCTCTGCACGGGCAAGACTGGGCAGCGGGCTGGGCTAGAAGACCTCCACGGTCCCACCCAACTCCGTTTTTCTGCTGTTATTAAGGCAGATTCGCTCCTGATGGCAACGACAAGGGGCCAGGACTCCTTCCTTTTTCTCTGCTGGCTGTAAAGATTGGAAGAAGTGCAAAATTGCTGGAGGAAACAGCTTGGCTGTCTTGATTGCAACTTTTTTTTTCCCCCTTTCTTTTTTTGAAAAAAAAAAAAGAAGTGTTTACTGACATGGTAGGGGTTTATAGAGAGGGAGGTTTTTTTTCCCCCCTCGCTTTCCACCGAAGAGGGGTGGGGAGGACAGCGTGTCTTCTTTCCCCCAGCAGAGCAGCTTTTAAACTCCCAAGGAGTGTGCGTGCCAGACGCATTGTTCCCACCCCAAATTGATGTTCCTGTTAGGTTGCCATAGCAGCCGTGGAGTGACTCAACCAGTGGCAGAAGGCAGCTTGCTGTGCTGGGGCTGCACACTTGTTTTTGAGCCCATGGCTTCACGTCACGTGAAAGCGGGCTGCAGAGCCCCCCCTCTTTCCCCTCTCTCCTCGGGCTTCAGAAGTTCACGCCCGGGGTCCTGAACCTCGTCCACACAAGTGGCCTGCCTCTTGCCCATCCAAACATCTGACGTCAAGAGACCCTGGCACATGGACTTACTTCTTTCCAATAATATCTGTTGCCTTTGACGAAGCCCGCCCGTAAAAGAAACCCACATAAGCCAAGAATCCAAAGAAGCAATCCAGAGGACGAAAAGAGGGTGGAAAAATATAAAGAAAACAAAAGCACGGCGAAGAGGCCCTTGATACTCTGTGAGTTTGGCTGCTTCCCGGCTGACGTTTCGTTTACCCAAAATCCTCAGGGCTAGAAGGGTGGGAGCAGACCCCCACACCCTTCTAGACCCCCATACCCCAAACTAGCTAACACCATCAGGGCTAGAAGGGGGGGGTCCACTCCCTCCCTTCTAGCCCTGATGATGTTAGCTAGTTTGGGTCGTGCAACGTCTGCAAGAAAACAGCCCAGCTCAGAGAGCACTCATTTCAGCCCTGAGCCACAAATAAGTATCGAAAAACCCAAATATGTACGAAGAATGACTTCTGGCTTTTTCCCAAGTACATGGAGCAAGCTTAATGTTGGTTCTTAGTTTAAGGATATAGTAAAAATGTCCATTTCCCCCAGAACATATGGAGCTACTTCTGAGTCGTTTCTTTATCGTCATTCACCCACAGACAGAAACTTGCCAGAATAAAACAACGATCTGCCTAAATGTAGATGTACTCTGAATTGCTTGCTCTCTTCCCGCCCACCCAGACAGTCCATCACTGGAGGTTTTTAAAAAGAGACTGGATCACCATTTGGGGGGTTGGATTAGAAGATCTCCACGATCCCTTCCAGCTCTGTTGTAAGCGCCACTCACAACCTAGGTTAAGCACCTGGGGTGAATGCCACGTTGTGAGTACACCACCAGGAATGGAAGGGGGCCTCCAAGCTTTGCTCTGAAGCTGACCCCTTCCTTGGCTGAGCAAACCTGGAAGACATTTTTTTCCTTCCTTCCATGCCTTTGTCCGTCCTCTGGGTTTGCCCGTCCCCTCCTTCCTGGTCTCGTAGCCAAACAAAGTCCTACTCATATTCTCCACATGCACACCGCAGTGAGATGAATTAAGTCCAACCAGGATGGACGCTGACCTTTCACGCAGAGCGCTGGCCTAGGTTTTCAGGAAGATCCCTTTAGAAAAGTCGCCCGGCTCCCCTTGGAACAGAATCGGAAAGATTTAAGGTTAATCCCTCTCTTTAGCCGACAATAGAAGTGGTGGTAGGTTTTTTGTTGTTGTTGTTGTTTTTTGTTTTTTTGATAAAAGGTCCTCAGCGTTTTGGCAGCCCTCCAGCTGAAAGTTTTTTTCTGCTTTCTGTTAAATGGTTTGGATCCATGGTGGTGATTATATCTCTGGTTTCCCCCCCCCCCCCATTCTCTCTTTGCTCTCCAGGTCGTGACGCGGCTTATACATCTGCTGGGTGAGAAGATCCTTGGGAATCTCCAGCAAGGGGGTAAGATGCGGAATGCTTTGGCTCTTTCTCCTGCTTCTTGGGGGCTGGAGGGGGCAGTTGTGTGTGGAATTACAGGAGGAAGACTGGGACAATCCGCCTGTATACACTTAACGACCAAAACTGAGCCCAGAATTGTTAGGTGGGAAATTCCTTAAGCGGGTTTTGCCTCGTTTTACTCCCTTCCTTATCCACAGTTGCTAAGTGGATATCTTCAGTTGTTAAATTAGTCACAGGGTGTTTAATCTGGCTTCCCCCCCCCCCCATTGTCAGAAGGTGGTGAAAAGGGGATCATGGGACCCTGGGACGTTGCCACCGTCATAAATACGAATCAGTTGCCCGGTGTCCCGAATTTTAATCCCTTGACCTCTGGGATGCTCCAACAGTTTTGAGTCAATTTTCAATGCCGTCGTAACTTCAGACAGTCACTAAACGAACTGGAGTTCCATCAAGAAATACCTGCACGTATTTGAACTGCCCGAATCTCCTGATTTGACAAACCTACTTCTATCACGCCTCTGAGATTTGGGCCCGTCTTCTCAAGTTTCACATTAATGCCAGTTTTGGGCTGGGAAGTTCTGGATGCTTCTTCCCTCGGCCTACGGTCTTCTCCAGTGGGATTTTTTTTCCCTCCAGGGCACCAGTTGGGCTTGCACACTGCCAGCAGCAAGTGGGACGCCAGCAACCCAGCCAGCAACCTCGCCACGGTGGCCATCATGCCTGTCTCTGAAGATGTGCCTCTTTCTACCTTCACCCTGGAACTCAAGCATGCCCTCTGCGCCATTGGTAAGACCTCCTGGCTTCCTGGTGGCTTCAGACCATCCGTGGGTGGTCTGAGAGGGACGTCCAGGAGATACGTTCTCAAACTTTGGTGGCCCGTCTGAAAAAAGCTGGAATGGCCCCGTAGAGTGGGATGTTCAAGTAGGGTTTCTCTCCTGTGAGTTTCTGCTTTGCCCTTTTTATCCAGTGTGAAGAGAGCAGATTTAATCACGTCTTGAGTGACTCATAAGAGCTCAGAGGAGATTGTTCTTCTTTCCTTAGCTGACAGGTCATCCGAGATCTCCTCAAAAGCAGCCAAGCTGCTTTCAAATTGCCATCTGACACTTAACTGGTGTCATAATTCTGTTAATTTTAATAACCGAGATCTATTTTCAACGCTCACTTCAAGCGTCTCATCTTTAGCTAAGGATAACATCGGGTGGAGGGCTCGTTTGGTCTTGAGGTGAGGCACCAGGCTGGAAACCAGGAGGCTGTGAGTTCTAATGACGCAGCTAGCTGAGTGATCTTGGGCCAGTCACTCTCTCTCTCAGCCCTAGGAAGCAAGCAACGGCAAGCCGCTTTGGAAAATCTTTGCTAAGAAAACTGCGGTAGCTTTGGGGAAGGGCTTGATCCAATGCCCCTAAGCTACTTTGAACATCTGGCTGGCTGTGCGACAAACCATAATACATTAGAAGGGACCTTGGAGGTCTTCTAGTCCAACCCCCTGCTCAAGCAGGAGAGCCTAACCCTTTCCAGAAAAGTGCCTGTCCAATCTCTTCTTGCAAACCTCCATTGATGGAGCACCCACCACTTCTGGAGGCAACCTTTTCCGCTGATTAATTGTTCTCACATTCAGGCAATTTCTCCTTAGTTCTAGCTTGGATCTCTCTTTCATGATCTTCACCCGTTACCTCTTGCCCTGCCCTCAGCATCGGAGAATGGGCTGACCCTCTGCTGTCTGTGATAGCCCCTCAAGTCATGGAAGACATCTACCAGGTCTCCACTAGTCCATCTCTTCCTTAGAATAGCCACACCTGGTTTTCTCAGTTGTTCCTCATAGGGTTTAGCCTCCAGACCCCAAATCATCTTTGTTGCTCTTCTCTGCACTCTTTCTAGAATCTCAACCTCTTTTGTGTGTGTGTGTGTGTGTGTGTGTGTGTGTATCGGGGTGAATACTGCATCTAATTCCGGTCATAGGACCCTTATCAACAAAGACGATAAGGGATCTGCAGGCTAAACTCTACCATGAATGGTTGAGGGAGCTAGATATATCTAACCTAATAAAGAGAAGAGTGATAGTTGTCTTCCCTTAGTTGAAGGGCTGTCACAAAGAAGGGGGGGGGGTCACCTTGTCCCAAAGGTGCTCTTTCAAAAGGCAACTGGTCTTTCTTTGTTCTTCCTTCCAAAGTCCAGTTGCCTTTTGAAAAAAGCACCTTTGAGCTGCAGGACTGAAGAATCTCCACAGACAGAGGGTCCACTTATTCTCCAAAGCACCAGAGGGCAGGACAAGAAGCAATGGAGGGAAGCTTATCAAAGGGAAAAGCAAACTAGAAGTAAGGAGACATTCCTGACCGGGAGAACAATTCACCAGAGGAACCACTTGTCGTCTTCTTGACCTCTTTCCAACTAGCTACACTCAATCAACCACCCCGTCCGGAACTTACTGTACTTAGCCTGCTGATCTCAGCCGGGGACCCTGTGCTCGCCTTTTGTCACTGTCCCTCCCAGATGTAATTATGTGGCACAAAGGGACATAATTGACCCCCTTTTTTCCCCTCCAAGTGTCTCCCGGAGCGTGGGAAAAAAGCTCTGACGTCTCTCAAAATATGAGCTACAAAGCCTCCGAGCGGTAAAGCTGAAGCTTTGCATTCGGCAAAATAAAATAAAATAAAAAATCTATTTCCAACAGAGCTCGTTCTGCTCTTTTAAACATGACTTTTCCTCTTGAAAATCAAGGCCTGGCTTTGCCCTGCCTCTTCGCGGAAAGCCTTCCCTTCCTCGTACAGATAGCCCTGGACTTACAGCCACTTGTTTAGCGACCGTTCAAAGTCACAATGGCACTGCAATAAGTGGCTTTACGACTGTTTTCCCGCGCCTGCGACCGTTGCAGTCATGGGATCCAAATTTCGGAGGCTTGGCGACTGACTCGTATTTAGGACGGTCGCAGCATCCCCGGGGGTCACGCGGTCCTCCTTTTGCAAAGTCAGTGGGGAAGCCACGTTCACTTAACGACCGTGCAGTGATTTACTTAACGGCTGTGGCGAGAAAGGTCGTAAAGGGGGTCGAAATTCACTTCCGACAGTTTTCTCGCTCGCACACACAAATTTAGGGGCTGGGTTGTGGCTGTCAGCCTAGGACTGTTTATAATGTGGGTCTCTTTCCAAGCCAGGTTAGACTGAGAGCTAGCTTCCCACCCAGATCTAAGAACGATGCTCCAGCAAACAGACGTGTGATGTGAGCTGCACATGCAGCTTTCCTTTATGTGCTGGAATGATGAGTCATCCAGAAATGATGTGGTGGTGGGGGAAGAGAGGTGAGAGGAAGGGAAAGAAAAGGTGGCCGGCTGTGTGGATGCTTTTTCCGTCAGACAAAAACACCTGCTGTGTTGCAGAAGCTGGCGGGGGCCCTGTGGCTTTTTTTCTTGCACAGCCCCTAACCAATAGCACTGCGGAGTGGGGAAAACGCCCCGGGCCAGCCAAACCATCTAACAAATCTAAATAAATAACCCGTCTCCATAAATCTGGCATAACTGTGCAGAGTTTATGACACAACCTCGTCCTGCCATCAATGCATTTAAACAATTGGTAATGGAATTAAAAGCCGGGTGCCATAAAACTTTTTCCGAACGCCAGTTGGGCGTCGTAAATCTTGTTGCGAGCCGCTGCTCAAAGTTGCAATGGCAGGAAATGATTTTCGGGGGGGGGGTAAAGAGTTATAGACCGAAATAGTTGGACATTGTGAGAACAAGCAAATCAGGGTTTATCTCTCTCTTCCCTCTTTCTTTCTCGCTCTCTCTTCTTTTTCTCTGCTTATCTCTCTCTCTTCTCTCTCTCTTTCACACTCTCTCTCTTTTCTTACAATGTGGAGCCACCGTTGGTGAATTTGTACAAAATGAACAAGTTGAGCAATGTTTGAATAAGGCTGAATACAGCTAGTGAAGCAAAGCCAATGGGAGAAAGTGGAGTCATTTAACGACTGCATGTCATTCAATCAACAACTGAAGTGATTTGTTTAACAACCCATGGCCCCAAAAGTCGTAGAATCAGTCCCTTGTTTAGCGATGGAATTTCAGGTCTCAATTATAGTGATAAGTCTGTATCTGTACTTCCTTTCCAGATTGTGAAAACACCTCAGTGCATGAAAGCATCCAGGCCGATAAAAAAGCCTAGCAATTCAAAAACACAGCACGCTCTCAGATTCCGTATCTGCTCCCATTTTAAAACTTGGCCAAGCGTTTATCTCTTTGGCTCTCACGAGCGGCCTTGGAATTCTTTGGCCCGCTGTGTATTAGTCTAGCCAGAAGGGCATGATCTGCGTAGGAAAATAACAAAAAAAAGAGGGAAGAAACAGATGTTAAGGAGAGAGGGAGAGAAAAAAGTTGAACATAAACAGAACAAAGACATTATGCAGATCGTGATGGAATAAGACAACTAATTGAAACTCCTGCCGGGGAGAAACGCAAAGGAGTTTTTGAACAATAGTGCTGTGTTCTCCCACCTGGAGCTTGTCTTTCTTTGAGGAAGCCTGCTAGCCATCATAGAGAGGGAGAGAGAGAGAGAATGAGAGAGAGAGAGAGAGAGAGAGAGAGAGAGAGAGAGAGAGAGAGAGAGAGATGGGGAAAAAGAGAGAAGGATTTGGGGGGACATAATAACTGCCCTCCAGTTCTTGAGGGGCTGTCGTGGAGAAGAGGGGATTGACTTATTCTCCAAAGAGAGCAAGACAAGAAATAATGGGTGGAAGTTGACGAAGGAGGAATCCAACCTCGAATTAAGGGGGAAAAAATTCCGACAGAACAATTAATCAGTTTGCCTTCCGAAGTTGTGGGTGCTCCATCGCTGGAGGTTTTCCAAAATTCGACTGGATAACCAGTTGACTGGGATGGTATAAGGCTCCTGCCTTGAGCAAGACGGGTTGGACTAGATGACCTCTGAAGTCCCTTGCAAGCCTATGATTCTTACGTGTGTCCGTCTGTCTGCCCAACCTTTCCTCTTGGATTCAGGCCTGCTCTTTCCTGCAGTCTGAGGGAGACTCTGTTGCCCCATTACCTCCCCCAGTCAAGTCGCTTTACATTTCAGCCCTGAGCAATTTTGTCTTTTTTTTTTCCCCCTTTGATGGCGCTCCATTCTGCTAACAGGAAAATGAGTTATTTATGCAGCGCGGGCTATATTTCTGGCTGGGTTCCTATTCCATGTTTCCCCAGCACCGTCTGTCTGCATAGCTCCTGACCTTTCTCTCCGGCACGACATTGATCTCTTTTTATTTAATTCCCCCTCTCTTCCTTCCCACCCCCACCCCCCTCAATTTAACACGCTGCCAAGCTGCAGTTATTCTACAGAGCGAACCCCGGTGCTTTGCTCTCCTTTAGATCTAGCAATCCAAAACTGCCCATTCAGCCGTGGTTTTTTTTTTTAGAAGCTAGAGCTGTAACTTACAGGGTGATTATTAAAGGGATTTGGGGTGATCCTAAAACGGGAGGGAAAAGGTGCACGGAAGTTAAGAGCTGCGATCCAAACAGGCAAACTAAAGATTGGTGAACAGCGAGGGCCGTCGTGGAACTTGGCTTGCAAGTTAGGACAAGCAGACTCTGTCACCAAGCAACGCACCAAAGACGTGTGGATAGATTAAAAAGCATGCTGGTTCTTTTGTACAGGATTTGTCTCATCCGTGGGCCCCAGCCATTTGGTGAATATTGTTTAGGAAGAAAAGCGGAATTTTTATGGGTTTTTCTCTACCTCTCATTCAGGCAAATCCAGTTTGGTCCTTTGCTGCCTCCTCGATCTTTTTTTTTTTTCCCTGAGGTTATGTTTGTGGCGTTGTGGGCTGGTATCATGGTTCTTGTGAAAAAGAAAAGCTGACCCATCCCTAGGAAATAGCTGCAACAATCCAGCTGTCCTGAGTGCTCTTTGTTTAGAAAAAATGGGATATAAATCCCAATTATGGATAGATTGATCATGTGCCATCAAGTCGGAATCAATTTCCTTCACCAGGAGAGAGAAAGAGAGGGATGGAGAGAGAGAGAGAGAGAGAGAGATTGGTACTTTCAAATCAGGGCTGACTTCTGGTGACTCCTTGGACTAGCTGTTTTTTGAAAGCGGTTCGCCATTGCTTCCTTCCCAGGGCTAAGCAAAAGGGACTGGCCTCGTGCCTAAGGCTGGATTAGAACTCAAAGGCTCCCAGTTTCTAACCTGACACTTTAACCACTACACCACACTGGCTCTTATCTCCAGAGAATTAGGCCTTTGCATAACGTTTCTGAGTAGGATCATTTAAGCTTGGTTATTCATGCCTTAAAGGAGAGCTCTGGGTTGATGTGTTTGATGATCCATTGGTTTGTTTTCGTGGTGGTCCACAAATTCTCAGGATTCTTCTCCAGTGCCGAGTTTTAAGAACATCCGTGCTCTTCTTCTCCTGCTTCATCGAAGTTCAACTTTTCTTTCCATAGAGGGTCACGGGGAGCAAACACTGTGGCCTGCTTTGGACTACCACAATGAAGAGGGGGGTCAGCCCATTCTCTAAAGCTTCTGAAGGCAGGACAAGAAGCAACGGGCGGGAACTAATCAAGGAGAGAGGCAACCTAGAACAAAGGAGAAATTTCCCGGCAGTGAGAACAACTAATGAGTGAAACAGCTTCTCTCCAGAAGTTGTGCGTGTTCCATCCCTGGAGGTTTTCGAGAAGAGACTGGACAGCCACTGGTCTGGAACAATCTGGGGTCCCCTGCTTGAGCAGGAGGTTGGACTAGAAGACCCCCCCCCCCAAGGTCCCTTCCAACTCTTGTGATTCTGTAATTCCTCACAATACTAATCTTTCAATCACGTTCCCACCCAGGATCTCCTCACATCTGGTTCTGCTGCTTAAGATGCTTTGATTGATGCTCCTTTCAGCCCCAAGCTTTTTATTTGGCTTAGCTGCACCCTGGAGGGAGGTCGAGTTGCCAGGGAAATGACAAGCATTGGAGTTAAAATCTTGAGGGCAAATCAGTGGCCCTGCTGGTAAGTAACTCCTTGACCTCTTCCCAGGTCCCACCCTGCTGCTCACCAGCGACAACATCAAGCAACAGCTGGGCTCCGCCGCTCTTGACAGGTAAGGACTTTCATTGTCCCCCGGACAATGTAAGCAAGCCCTTAAAAACTCGAAACTCATCCGAGAAGCTTCTTCAGAGGAGAAGCTGAAAAGCTGAAGAAGCTCCAGAGCTGAAGAAGCTTCTTGGGTGAGAAGCGAAAAGTCTTCAAAGAGGAAAAAAAGAGAGTCCAGTCGCCTCGTGAAAAAGCACCTTTGGGCCAACCATGGACCTGGAGGATCTCCATAGATATGGAGATGTAGAACGATGGTGCAAAACATCCTTCTTCGGAGGACCAAGAAAGACCGGCTTAGGGCCTCACCAGGTAGAAGCTCGGCAGACACCAAGGCAGAGCTGAGTGAGCATCCTTAAACTTGAATCCCTTGCAAATCCCTTAAATGGCAGAAGCCCAGAATGCTAGGAAGATTCTTCTAGGCTCCTCGCTGGTTGACCCGCCCGGTAGATTGTAGATGATGCCGCGTGACCAGCCTCCAAGAAATTCACCGCTCTCTTCTGCCCCTCTTCTCCCTTAGCATCCACGAGTACCGGTTGTCCAGCTGGTTGGGCCAGCAGGAGGACATGCACCGCATTGTGCTGTATCAGTCAGACGACACCCTCACGCCCTGGACTCAGCGCTGTATCCGGCAGGCCGACTGTATTTTGATTGTGGGCCTGGGTGAGCAGGAGCCGACCGTCGGGGAGGTGAGTCACGCTGGAACTGCTCAAAAAGAATGCAAATTTGATTCTGGCTTTGTTAGACGTCAGATGCAGTTTGTAAACTTGGAGGGTGGGGAATAAAATGGTACAGATAATATTTGACTTAACAATCACAACCCAGCCCAAAGTTTCTGTCGCTCAATGAGATAGTTGTTGAGTAAGTTTTGCAGCAGCCTTTCTTGCCACAGCTGTTAAATGAATCACTGCAGTTGTGAAGTTAGTAAACCCGGTTGTTGAGCGGCTTCCCCGTTGGCTTTGCGTGTCACAGGGAGACCGCGTGACACTGGCATACTGCAACCGTCCTAAATAGGAGTCAGTTGGCAAGGATCTGAGTTTTGATGCCGCAACAGTTGTAACTGTGAAAGCCGGTCATAAATCCCTTTTTTTTTTTCAGTGCCGTTGTAACTTTAGATGAGCTGTTGTAAGTCAAAAACCGTAGTTCAGTGTTTCCCAAACTTGACAATTTTAAGGCATGTGGACTTCAACTCCCAGAATTCCACAGCCAGCGTTGCTGGCTGTGGAATTCTGGGAGTTGAAGTCCTCATGCCTTAAAATTGTCAAGTTTGGGAAACACTGCCGTAGTTCATGGTTGTTTGCCTACAGACGGAATCTTGTCCGACTAAAGCTACGATTTGCATAACTATGGTAACAACTAGGAAGGCTTCATCCTTGCTGTCTTCCTGCCCACCAGACTTTCTAAGCTCTATGGTCTCTTTGCATTCTGGGAAGGAGCCCCCTCCCTCTTCCTACCTTCCACCATAACAATCACCTAACCCCCCCCACCCCCACCCCATTTTCCGTACCAGTTGGAACGGATGCTGGAGAACACGGCCGTCCGAGCTCAGAAACAACTGATTTTGCTGTATCGAGAAGACGGCCCTCTTCCTTCCCGGACCGTGGAGTGGCTCAACATGCGCAGCTGGTGCTCGGCCCACCTTCACCTCCGCTGCCCTCGCCGAGTCTTCTCACGGCGGAGCCTGCCCAAACTGGTAAGGGGCTGCGTCGTGGGTGCCCCGGTCCATGGCTGAGTTGTACGCGGGGTCAACCCTTAGCTGTGATGTCCCACCCGAATCTGTGGGTGTCCGTGGCCCAGATGCTGGCTGCGTTTCTACACTGCGCTGTGTTATCCCGTGCTTTGGTTGGTTTCCTTCCTTCCTTCCTTCCTGCCTTCCTTCCTTCCTCTTTCAGAATATTTCTCTTCCACATTTTTTTCTCTCTTAATCCTTCCTTCCTTTCTCCCTCTTTCCCTTTACTTTTTCTTTCCTCTCTCCTTCCCTCTTTCTTATATTTTCCTTCTCTCTCCCCTTCCTTCCTTCCTTCCTTCCTTCCTTCCTTCCTTCCTTCCTCTCTACCCTTCCTTCCTTCCTTCCTTCCTTCCTTCCTTCCTTCCTTCCTTCCTTCCTTCCTTCCTTCCTTCCTTCCTTCCTTCCTTCCTTCCTTCCCAAAAGGCTGCCTAGATCCATGGAAAATTTGAACTTATTAGACCTGAATTTCCTGACTTTGCAAACAAAAAAACAAACAACACACACACACACACACACACCACCCTTATTCTTATTAATGGGCCATATTCCTGCTTTCCTTCCTACGGCGTGATGGATGGTATTGGCCAACGCTGAAAGGCTTGTATTGCTCTCTGCTCTTCCACGTGCAGAAAGAAATGTATGAACGCGTCTTCCAGAAACCTGCAGACAGACACTCCGACTTCTCCCGGCTCGCTCGCGTCTTGACAGGAAATGCCGTGGCTTTGGTCCTCGGAGGAGGTGGCGCACGGTAAGAGTGCTTTGAAAGACGAGGGACTTTCTGCATCTGATGTTCCCTGGGAATGCAGAATCCTTCAGGCTTCTTTCTTGCATCGTGACAGCAACAGATGGCTGGATCTCTCTTCTCCTTCTCCATCTTCTCTATCTTCTGCTTCTCCTTGACTATCTTCTCTTTCTTGTTCTTCTTGTCTGTCTTCTCCCTCTCTTTCTCCTCTTTCTCTTTCTCCTTCTCCTTCTACTCCTCCTTCTCTATCTTTTCCTTCTCCTTGACTGTCTTCTTCTTCTTCTTCTTCTTCTTCTTCTTCTTCTTCTTCTTCTCCTTTATCTTTCCCTCTCCTTCTGTTTCTCTTCCCCCCCTCCTTCAGCCCTTTTTCAAATGGTTAGCATCCTCCACTTTTCATCTGCGCCCTCCCCAGCTCCAAATATGGATTTGGAAAGCAGAGTGGTTATTAGGAAAAGCTTCCAGAGAGGTCAAAAGGTTTGACCACACGGTTAGGGATCTGCACTGTGGTCCTGTGCCAGATGAGCTTTAATTGGATTCCTGAACCAAGCGGGGGGTGGGTGGGTTAGAGGGCCCGACAGCTGGCTTGTACAAAACAGCTGGCACACACATGTTCTGTGCACCAGTTACAATGCCTTTGCCATTTCTCCTCGGGGTTAGAACTCAGCCCTTTGCACACAGCGAGCTGGCAATTCTAAAACCTCGCTCGAGGTTCACAGCAGAACGCTGGCCTCAAAATACAGATTATTTCAGCCTCGCTTTCTCTAGAGGCAGGATCCCCACCAAGGGTGGCTTCCGGATCCCCGTATTTTCCATCCCTGCCTCCCTTCTCTTTCTTGTCCCTGTTCAAGTAACCCTGCAGCCTTGGAAAAGCAGCTGCCCCTCCCTTCCCGCTTGCCTCCTCAGTGAAACTATTCAGGCTTGAGATAATTTAAGAGTTTGGGCTTTGCAACCGGCTCTTGAAAATGTCACCTTTTGTCTGTCGGAGCAGTTGGCTGCTCCCCGGCGTAGTCGGGGTAGGGCAATGTGGGCTGGCTTGATGCCTGCTGTGCACCACGAAGTGAACCTTGGAATTTTCTTGTCTCCTGTACATTCACAGGGGTAATTAGTTCCTGGCTGCAATTCCCCTCGTTTGATTGTTCTAGTATTTTGGGAGAGCTGCCATAAGTAAAATCGCCCACACGTTGTTCCAGCATCCAGAGCTGTTTCTGTTCCTCTCTCTTCCTTTTGTTAGCATCCCGGATTTCGCTCCCTTCCTCCCTTGCCTTTGCTCGATCCCAGTGGAGGAGCAGAAACACAAAACTCTGTCAACAGATCAAGGGGAGCCTTTTGTTCTGCCAGCCCTTCCTTCTTTCGGCTGCTCGTTTGCTTGCAAGAAATTTTTTATTTACTTACTTATTTTTATCGGCAGTTGTTAACAGTTGTTCAGTCGAGGGCCTGAGCTGACAGCCATTTTTATTAGCCGCCGTTAAGCCAGTCTGTATGTCTGGATGAAGTTCGGCCAAAGGGCCATCTTTGCAAAACGTATTTTGCAAATTGTGTTCTTTTCCTTCTTGTTCTCTCTCCTTCCTTCCTTCCTTCCTTCCTTCCTTCCTCTCTCAGAACATTTCTCTTTGTATTTTCTCTCTCTTAATCCTTCTTTCCTTTCTCTCCCTCTTTCCCCTTGCTTCTTCCTCCTTCCCCTTTTCTTATCTTTTCCCTTCTCTCTCTCTCTTTCTCTCCTTCCTTCCTTCCTAGAAAATTTTCCAGCTTCTTTTGACTGCTTCTTTTCCTGCTTCTCGTGCTAGCAACCCTTATTAAAAAGTACACTGCAAGGAGTTTAATTTTTTAAATTTTTTTTTTTAAAAAAGCACCTTTCTTCTTTCCAACCCTGCTGCTCCTGCCTCTTTAGAGGATGTTCCCAAGTCGGGGTAATCAGAGCGCTGAACGAAGCTGGAATTCCCGTTGACATGATTGGCGGCACGTCCATTGGCTCCTTCATGGGCGCCCTGTACGCGGAAGAACGAAGCTACACCCAGATGCGGATCAAAGCCCGGCAGTGGGCCATGGTAAGAGATAGCTCATCGCCGGTCAAGCCAGTCGGACGTAAAAATAGGAGCAACCCCCCCCCCTGCCTTCTAGCACTGATGATGTTACCTAGTTGGGTCCTGAAACGTCTGCAAGAAAACCACCAAGATCAGAGAGCCCCAAGGACCCCACTGTTCTCTCGCGCACACCCTTGGTAGCTGAGTGGATCCTTTCTGACCATTTGGCCCCTCCTTAAAACTGGACTTTAGGGAGTATGGAAACTATGGGTTTTTATTTTCATTTATTTAGATTTTTTTTTAACCCTGCCTTTATTGCTTTAAAAATAACTCAAGGTGGTGAACGTACATAAAAACCCTTCCTCTTCCTATTTCCCCCCCCCCCAGCAACAATCCTGTGAGGTAGACTGGGCTGAGAGGGAGGGACTGGCCCAAAGTCACCCAGCTGGCTTTCATGCCTAAGGTGGGACTGGAACTCCCAGTCTCCTAGTGGTTGACCCAGAATCACCCAGTCAGTTTTCATGTATAAGGCAGGACTAGATCTCCCAGTCGCCTGGGGATTGACCCAAAGTCACCCACTCAGCTTTCATGTGTAAGGCAGGACTAGAATTCCCAGTCTCCTGGTGATTGGCCCAAAGCCACCCAGCCGGCTTTGGTGTGTTAGGCGGGACTAGAACTTCCTAACGCCTTTGCTCTGGGTTTAATCCATCTCTCCTCCAACTCGTCTTCCTCTTCATTTACTTTTCTCTTTCTCTCCTTCCACATGCTGCCCTGCTTAGAAGCAATGGAGGTAATGGTTGGCCTGGAGCAATTTGTTTGTGTTTGCTGTGAAGCAGAAGTGATCTTGTAAAAGGAAAGCCCTGCGCGTTCACTAAGACCCCCGCAGGGGGTGACCGGTCACTTCTAAGAGACCGTCTCTTGGCCCCATCAACTTGAGAACTTTATTTTGGAGGGAGGGAGGGAATAACTTCCTGGACGGTCTCTAAAACCCAGTGAATTGTACATGAATGGCTCACCTCCTGCTTACAGCGGCGGTGGGCCTTTCCCACCCAGTCTGTCTTCTGGCCACTTCAAAATGGCGTGCTTTGATTTATGGAGTGGGGAAAGCACAGAGTCCGTGAGAATTTCTGAGCCCGGCGCTTGTCAAGTCTTGCTTAATGGAGAAAAAAGACCCAGGAAAAGAGAAACTACAGTAGGGTGGGTTTTTTTTTTCCCCCAGCCATTTTAGCATCTCTCAGTATAGGGATAGTAATCAACATAACGACCATCATTAAGCCCCAAATTGTCGTCGCTAAAGGAGACGTCTGTTAAGTGAGTTTTGTCCCTGTTTCACCACCTTTCTTGCCGCAGTTGTTAAGTCAGCAACCTGGCTGTTAAGTGGCTTTCCAGAGGTCACAAAAGGGGGAACCACGTGACCCCGGGACCCTGCGGCCGTCGTAAAAATTTTGATCACGTGACCCCGGGGGAGGCTGCAGCGCACGTGTGAAAAACGGTCAACCGTGCCGTTGTAGCTTCAGATAGTCACTCAACGAACGGTTGTAAGTTGAGAACCTTTCTCCCCCTCATTTTTATGGGGGGAGGGAGGGGCCACAGCCTGGCTGTCTCTTCTTCCATCTTGTGATCCAGCAGAGTTCAGCTCGGGAGGCGGCCAGCCAGAGTGGAAACAGGTGTATTGCTTAGTGCCAAACATCCTTGGCGTGGCAAAAATGTTTGTGAGCACAAAGGACGTGAGAGGTCCCTGGTTCCAAAGACAGCCAGTCCCTGACTTTATTGAGGAGGGGAGGGGAGGAGAGGAGAGAGTGGAGCCAAGAGAGAAGAGAAGAAAAAGAGAAAAGGGGAGAGAAAGAGAGGAGGGGAAAGGGGAAGAGTGGAGAAGAGAGGAGGAAGAACAAAGAAAGGGACGAGGGGAGGAGAGGAGCAGAGAGGAAGAGGAGAAGAAAGGCATAAAGTGAAGAGAACAGAAGAGAAGAGTGAAGATAAGGGAGGAGAGGAAGAAGAAAAAAATGGAGCAGCGGGAGGAGAATAAAGGAGAAGCATGAAGGAAGGGGAGGAGAAGATTTGAGAATCGGTCCTGCCCCCATTGACTGGGCAAAATGGGGGCGAGGGGGGGTGCTTCCACCCACACACACCCCAGACCATTCAGTTTGGACCTTGCATTACCTCTTGCTTGTGTCTACCAGCTGTCATCTCTTGCTAAAACGAAGCCAGAGATGGCTCTGGGGGCGGGGAAAAGGGGTTTGATATTTTTAGAAGGTGCACACACGCACACAAACACACACACACACACACAGAGAGAGAGAGAGAGAGAGAGAGAGAGAGACCTTGTCCTTTGGCATCAGGGCAATGAATCAACAGCAACCAGATCGCGAAAAAAAGAGCGAAAAAAAGAAAGCTTAAGAATAGAGTCCAGAAAACTGAAATACTGTACATAATTTTTAATGTTTTTTTTGGCACTTTCTTCTTCTTCTTCTTCTTCTTCTTCTTCTTCTTCTTCTTCTTCTTCTTCTTCTTCTTCTTCTTCTTCTTCTTCCTCTTCCTCTTCCTCTTCCTCTTCCTCTTCCTCCTCCTCTTCTCCTTCTCCTTCTTCTGCTTCTCCTTCTGCTGCTGCTGCTGCTGCTGCTGCTTCTGCTTGTATCATCCTTAGTTTGCATTGCTGTTCATCTTTTTCATGGTGTTGTATAATGTATGTTTTGCCCTGAGTGATTTGCCCGGTTGGTCACCATGAAATATCTATCCCCAAATCTTCAGCAGATTAGTGGCTGTACCAGAAGGACCCTTTAAGCCTCCCCTTTCGCCTCTTTGGCTGTCCACATTTAACCCACCTAGTTTTCATGAGCGCTTCAGCTTCTCGTCCCCCTCCCCGTCTTTATGGATCAACAGCTTGGCTCTCTTGGCAGAATATGAACTCGGTGCTGAAAACGGTTCTCGATTTGACCTACCCCATCACCTCCATGTTCTCCGGAGCCTCCTTCAACAACGGGGTCTGCGACATCTTCAGAGATAAGCAGATCGAGGTAGGTGTGCGGGTCCGTCCCCAGCGCGACACAGGAAGGCGGCGGGGCTGAAAGGTCGGAGAGTTTTTGACAGTTGTGTCTTTAAGATGGGTTGTGCGTGCATGTCTGTGGAGGTTCTCCGTCATCCAGGTCCATGGTTGTCCCAAAGATGCCTTTTCAGGAGGCAACTGGACTTTCTTGCTTTTTCCTTTGAAGACGCTTCGCTTCTCATCCCAGAAGCTTCTTCAGGTTCTGACTGGATGGTGGGGGAGGGAAGGATTTATACTCCTTGTAGACAGCTGGTCGTTTGCCTTCTTTCAGAGAGTCGCTGAGGCCACTTGGAGGTTTATCTGTGACACATTAGGCCACGTTAGGCAGCTAGGCACCCCTGGGTGTTTAGATCCGGTGTTGAATTATCTCGCCCGCCTTGATTCCTCTCTCTAATGAGCTCTTTCTGTGCGGCAGGACCTCTGGATTCCTTTCTTCATCATCACCACAGACATCACAGCCTCGGCTATGAGGGTCCACACCGACGGTAGGGAGCCTGCGAGAATTGGGGGTGATTTGGGCAAGGATCATCTTGTGTGAAGAAAGAAAAAGAAAGAAAGAAAGAAAGAAAGAAAGAAAGAAAGAAAGAAAGAAAGAAAGAAAGAAAGAAAGAGAGGGAGGAGGGAGGGAGGGAGGGAGGGACAAAGAAAGAAAGAAAGGGAGGAAGGAAGGAAGGGACAAAGAAAGAAAGAAAGGGAGAAAGGAAGGAAGGAAGAGACAAAGAAAAAGAGGAAGGGAGGGACAAAAAGAAAGAAAGAAAGAGGGAGGAAGGAAGGAAGGGACAAAGAGAAATAAAGAGGGAGGGAGGGAGGGAGAAAGGAAGGGACAAAGAGAAAAAGGGAGGGAGGGAGGAAGGGACAAAAAGAAAAAGAAAGAAAGAAAGAAAGAAAGAAAGAAAGAAAGAAAGAAAGAAAGAGAAAGAAAGAAAGATTCAAAATATCAAGTAGATCTAACATTAACATTAAAAAAAATCCCATCCCAGCTGAAGGCGGGGAGATACCTGAAAGAATAATACGTTCTCCTCCCCTTAGGGAACGGGCCTCCCAACAATTATAAACTTCCTTTTTCTTATTTCTCTAATTGACTCTTGGAAGGAGCCAAGCTGAAGTCAAGGGAAAGAAGTCACCTGGGCCTGAGGCTGCCCTCCCAAAGCTAAAAAGCCTAGAATTGTAATTAACTGATTAAAGGGCTTTTCGGTGACTTTATCCCCATCAGCCAAGAAAGCACCGGCTTGACAGCGGATTGGCTGGGCAGCCTGTTTTCGAATCCTCCCCAACTGCCTTGAAATCACGCCGGGCGTCCCCCGTGTCCGTGGGTAGCTTCTCTGCCCCTCGCTTGCTTCTTTCTTCGGGGCTCAAAAAAACCGAACCCCAGAAATACGTGGACTTCCCACCCTGCTGATTCAGGAGAGCCGTGACTTAGGAAGGTGAGGCTGGAATTTTCCCGGCTAGGGAGCGAATCCAACCCTCTTTTTTTTCTGCTGATTAAAACAACTCGGCTTGTAATGGAGACAAATCTCCTCGTGACGGTGCAGAAGAGAACGGAGCGAACCGCTTTAAGAGAGCCGCAGAGTCTCCTCCGTGCCCCCGTGGTTGGGTAGGAAGATCAAGTGGGCTTCTGCAGAATCCTGCCCAGATTGGCCTTCTTCTCAGACTCCTAGTCTGTTCCCCAACCTGCCTTGAGGAGAAGCCCAACCAAGCCCGTTTATTTGTTCTACCCTCGCCCAAAGTTGGCCAAAGTCGTCGGCCAGCGCGGTGAGATGATCTACAGTAAAATACAGGTCGTCCTCAATTTGAGAACAGTTCATTTAGTGGCTGTTGGAAGTTACAATGGCACTGGAAAAAGGGACTTACAACCATCTCTTTCACACTTAACGACCGTCACGGCATCCCCAGGATCATGTCATCAAAACTCAAAGACGCTTGCCAACTGACTCGTGTTTATGACGGTCCCGTGAAGTCAAATGCGGGAAGCCAGCTTCACTTCGCCCTAAGACATTGCTTAGCGAATGTCTCACTTTATGAATTATGACAGGTGGAGATGCTGGGCCATTCGTCTGAAATGGTATAGGGTTTCCTGCCTTCCAACTATTATTATTATTATTATTATTATGGATCATCGCACAGTCAGCCAGATGTTCAGACTGGATTTCGCATTTTGTCTACCTATCGAGTCCTTACCCAGGACCTGGGATAGGCAGATGTGGATGTTTGATGGTATTACAGATACCGTCGCAGGATGGAAGCAGTTCCTAGTAAGGCTGCCTTTTGCAATTGACTAATAGCAAATTTGTCAATGCCAATGGTGTTCAAGTGGTGCTCCAGTTGTTTTGGGATTGCACCCAAGGAGCCTATTACTATTGGTACCACCCTTGCTTGCTTTTGCCACAGTCTTTCTATTTCTATTTGTAGGTCTTTGTATTTTGTGATATTATGATTATGATGATGATGATGATGATGATGATGATGTCTGTCTTTCCATGCCTTCTCCATGTTGGGGACGAGGGTAGCTGGGAAGTGACCATAGATCTCCTTCCTCTCCCCTAAAGGTTGCCTGTGGCGCTACATCAGGGCCAGTATGTCTCTGTCTGGTTACTTGCCCCCTCTCTGTGATCCCAAGGACGGTCATCTCCTAATGGATGGTGGTTACATCAACAACCTCCCAGGTAATCACATCTGCACAGACAAGCCCCATCCTCTCTCCACGGTGCCCCAAAGGTTGGGGACCTCTGGGACAGTGTCTCCTGCTTGAGCAGGGGTTGGACTATAGGACCTTCAAGGTCCCTTCCAACTCTCTTCTCCCGTGTTCTGCCCCAACTTTCTGCGGTGTTTGTGAAGCTCTCCTTGTGGGTTTTCTTGTGCATTCTCCTCCCCCCCCCACTCTGCAAAATAGACAAGGCCAATGAAGGAGAGTCCTTAATCCAAGAACATCCAGTCCTTCACGCGGCTGGAAAGGGGTTTGAATCCAGCTTTGTCCGTTGGGTCTCCTGGCACTCCTTGATGCCCACTGTGTCCATCCTTTCTCTATTGAAAGGAGAAAGAACAAGCGAGAAGTCTCAGCTGGCGCCTGCCGAGCGCGATTGGGCCTCCTTTGAGACGGCGTTGCTTTGTGTGGAGAGCGGATTTGAAAGCCGAGCGGCTCAAATCTCTCTTCCTCCGTCAAATGGGCACTTTGTTGTAGCTGTTTTCTCTGGGTCTCTTTCCAATTTCTTTTGCTTCCCCTGTCTTCTCACCCTCGCCTCCCTGAGGGACACTGAGTCACTTCTTCCCTACAAAGGGCCTTTTTCTGCCTCGAGAGAAAATGGTGGCTGGATTCAAGGGGGGACCGCCGGAACATGGAGGCCTCACAAATTACCTCAGTTGTCCTCCAAGGGCTGAAAGCTGAGAGAATTTGGGGAAGGGGCTTTTCTCTGGAGCAACACTGGCTGGCCCGGAGCCTTGTCTGAAACATCTGGGTCTAGAAGAACTTAATTTTAGGCCAGTTTGGTTTAATGATTAAGACATCGGGCGGAAAAATGGGAGACGGTGAGTTCTAGTCCTGCCTTAGGCATGAAAGCCACCTGGGTGACTTTGGGCCAATCACCAGGAGACGGTGAATTCTAGTCCTATATTAGGCATGAAAGCCAGCTGGTTCATCTTGGGTCAACCTCTTCTCCAAAGGACCAGAAGGCAGGGCAAAAAGCAACGGATGGAAACTCATCCAGGAGAGAAGCAACCTGGAACTAGGGAGAAATTTTCTGACAGGGAGGACAATTAACCAATGGAACAGCTTGCCTCCAGAAGTTGTGGGTGCTCCATCACTGGAGGTTTTTAAGAAGAGACTGGACAGCCACCTGTCTGTGATGTTACAGGGTCTCCTGCTGGAGCAGGGGGCTGGACTAGAAGACCTCCGAGGTCCCTCTTCCCATTCCGTTCTTCTGCTTTCTCCCGACAGCGGATGTTGCACGATCCATGGGAGCCAAGATCGTCATTGCCATCGACGTGGGCAGCCGAGACGAGACGGACCTCACCAATTACGGCGACGCTCTTTCCGGCTGGTGGCTGCTGTGGAAGCGGTGGAACCCGTTAGTGGAGAAAGTGAAGGTAGGGTGGGGAGGCTGTTAAACGAATCATCGTACTGGCTGCAGTGGCTTTTGAAGGGAGGTGGTGCAAATGCCTCTCTCCCTCTTTCTCATTCTCTCTCTCATTCTCTCTCTCTCTCTCTCTCTCTCATTCTCTCTCAGGTGCTGAACATGGCCGAGATCCAGACTCGGCTGGCCTACGTCTGTTGCGTCCGGCAGTTGGAGATGGTCAAGAACAGCGACTATTGTGAATATATCCGTCCGCCTATCGATCGCTACGGGACACTGGACTTTGGGAAATTCGATGAAATCTGTGTGCGTTGTGGGATGGGGAGGGACAGCCGGAGGAACGAAGCTGCAAAGAGAGGGAGGTGGAATTCAGAATTCAGCGGCCCCGGGTTCAAAGCTGCCGTGTTTTGACACAAGCCGAGCCTCAGAAACACCGATTGTGGCTGCCATATTTTTTTCTTCCCTCCTTCAGGAAGTCGGCTACCAGCACGGGAAGACGGTTTTTAACGTTTGGTGCCGGAGTGGAGTCCTGGAGAAGATGCTGAAGGACCGGCAGGAAGGCTGCCAATCTAAACCCTCTTGTGTGAGTGTGTGCCCTGGTGTGTGTGTGTGGCAGGGGGGGAGAGCAGCCAGCTCACGCAAGAGCTGAGTGGGCAGTGCTGCAGAGCTGCACCCTTTCCAGATGTTCCAGTTTGGGAGACAGAGGGGGCAACAACTCCTTTTTAATTCTAAGCTGATGTGGTGGACAGAGGCGTTCTCGGTCCGGAGAAAAAATGCAGCCACTAAGTTTTGGACAAAGATGCTCTCCAACCAGGGCTCCCCCCAACAAAATGTGGGGCATTTTGGAAAAGAATTCTAGACAGAGAATTGCAAATTTTCTCTTTGCAAATCTTCCTCTTTCTCTCTCTCTCTGTCTGTCTCTCTGTCTCTCTCTCTCTTTTACTTTCTTTTTTGTCTCTCTGTGTCTCCTCTTTCTCTGTCTCACTTTTTCTCTCTTTCTGTCTTTTACTATCTGTCTGTCTGTCGATATCTCCTATCTATCTATCTATCTATCTATCTATCTATCTATCTATCTATCTATCTATCTTCTCTCTCTCTCTCTCTCTCTCTCTCTCTCTCTCTCTCTCTCTCTCTCTCTCTCTCTCTCTCTCTCTCTCTCTCTCTGAGTAGCCACAAGCTTAGCCTTGTTTAGGGAGGAATTTTCCTTCCGTTCTGCAATTTTCTGCTGAACGCTTCAAGCTTTTCAGAATGCTTAACCCAGCTAGCCACCCAACGCAGTCTGAAACCCGGGGGGTGGGGGAAATTCCACACCCTTTTCTGCCTGGAAGTGTGTGCTTCCCCCACCCCCCACTTCTCAATATTTTTTTTAAAAAAAGAGGACAGGATGATCTGTCCAAGAAAGGGAAGATTGATAAGTCAGATTTTGAACATAGGAGAAGAAACAAACCAGCTGGAAATGCTTTCAGTGGGGAATTGCAGCATCAAACTCTAACAAGCCCCTCCCCCACTGCCTCCCCAATTTTCTTTCTGGACAGCTTTGCAATTGCAAACCTGAGTCATCGCATTTTTGGACGTTGGCTTTAATGTTGAGAAAACGCATCCAATTAAAGTAAGGGACGGGGGGGGCTGGCTGTGGTACTGTGGCACATTGATCCAAGCCCCTCGTGGCTCCGGTCGATAGCGCTGAGTAGCCGAGCTGAATTGTCTCTCCTTCCCCCTATCCTACAGTTTAAGCATTCTTCCCTCCTTTTATGAAGGATGGTCACCGTGGTGGACTGTAGTCTGGATTCCCGGGAGCGAGGGAGGGAGGGGCTGTTTCCCAGAGGGCGGGAAAAGATGAAAGGATATCCGTAGTTATGCAGATGGTTGCTTTAGTCCAGCAAGATTCTGCCTGTGGGCAAAGGACAGCAAAGAAAGTGCTCCAGTGCAACTCCCCAGGTTTTTACTTGGTTCTTGGGCCTGACCGTGACTGAGACACGCAGCGTTTGCTCATCCTTTCTTTCTTTCCTCTCCTCCCCTTTCAGTACGTGACCTGCCCCACCACCTCTTTCACGGATTTGGCTGAAATCGTCTCCCGAATCGAACCGGTGAAGGCCATCCTTGTGGACGGTGAGCAAACGGAGGGAGGGAAGACAGACCATTCTCAAGAAAGGAGAATATTCGTAACTCATGGTTTGAAAGGAGGGGGTCTGGGGATCTTTTGGAGTGGCTCCAGGTGATCCACTCACCTGAGGATGTCGGCTTAAGCGTTCTCCTTCCCGCCTTGACCCTGGCTTCCAACGAGCCCTCTCCCGCTTCTCTCCCGTTCAGATGAATCCGACTACCAGACCGAATATGAAGAGGAGATTTTTGACAGCCAGAAGGACGACTACGTCAGTTTCCTGACCAGCGAGACGGAAATATATACGGATCCCGTAAGGGTAGCCCTGGACCTTTTGGGCTTCCACTGTCACCTCCTCCAGCCCCCCCCCCAGGCCATGGGAGTCTGTGGCTTGATTTGAGATGGGTTTGAAGGTAGATTGAGCAGGCCAAACCGCCGTGGTAGTCCTCCATTCCTCTTATTATTCCTCTTCCTTCCTTTCTCCTGTCACTCCCTTCCGAGGTCTCTGAGGGAAGAAAGCCCAGCTAGTCCTCCACTTACAACCTCAGCCGAGCCCAAAATTTCTGCCGGCGAAGCGAGACGTTTCTTAAGGGCGTTTTGTCCCGTTTTACGACCTTCCTTGCCCCCGTGGTGGTTGGGTTGTTAAACGAATCCTGCTTCTTTCCCCTCCCCTCCCCCCGGGCTTTGCTTGTCCGAAGGGGATCACGTCATCCCGGAGACATTGCGACCGTCATAAATATGAGTCAGTTGCCAAGCGGTTGAATTTTGATCACCACACCCGTGGGGATGCTGCAGAGGTGTGAAAAACAGTCCTAACTCCCTTTTCCCAGTGCTGGCGTAATTTTAAACGATCACTAAATGAACTGTGGTTAAGTCAAGGACGACCTCTACTCTGGACGCTTCAAAGCCCAATCAAATAAAGTTCCCCGTTTCCTCTTATCTCCAGCAGGATCAAGAAATCCGGCTAAGGCGGCCTATCCGTGGCGACTCGGAAGACAGCCAACTGGCAGCCTAACAAGACCCATCTTGGCCCCCCTGACTTTTCTCCTCCCCACTCCTTGCCAGTTTCCTCCAGCAGTGCCCCTCTCCCCATTTCTCGGTCTAAAAACCAAGGTTCCCCCCCAAAGCGATTAGCATCCGCCGATGGACAAACGGGCCCCCTACAAAGCCATTGCCGATCGATCGGAGTGTGCAGCAACTTTGGGCGGCACTTTCAGGGTTTGGGGCTCGTGTGAACCGAGAGGGAGACGGGAGAAAGGAACCCTTTGTACGAATCTGGGTTGGAAGGAGGAGGAGGAGAGGAGGGAAGTGGAGGATGGGCTTCTGGCATTCTTCACCCCACTGGATCCCACTGAGTTTGGCTTGAGCAACTGGCACCTCCAAGAGGAGCCGAAGTCTCCCCCGGGAATTTGCAGCTAGCGTAGGGGATGCTCCTTGCTCACAAGCAAAGCCGAAGATGGAACCATCTGCCGGGGAGGGACGACGAGAGAGTCGTGATGACAACAGCAGTGACTTTCACACAGACACCCGTTCGAACGACGCTGAGGCTGCTGCAGCAGAACAGCCTTCTTGAGTTCCCGGAAGAGGCTGTTTTTAAACCTTCCTAAAAACTTTGGCGGAAAACCCTCCGCTTATTTATACCGGCCTGCCTTTCAGCTCGTGCTTTCGTGGGCCTTCTCTGTGCCCAACAGCGGATCTGCCGTTCCTGTATTATATTATACGGCCAAATCTCTTTTTCTCTCTCTCTCTTCTCTCTCTCTCCTCAGGGGTTCTTAAAAAGAGAATAATAAAAAGCTGAAAACCCGTATCCTGGCCTTGCACCCTGGCTCAAAGGCACCCCGTGGGGCGTTCGGCGTTTTGCAGATAAACCCAGACGAAGGTGTATTTGAGGGTGGGGGTGCCAATTGCAGCACGGGGAGTCCTCGACTTAATGACCTGCAACTGAGCCCAAAATTGCTGTGGCTAAGTGAGACAGCCATTAAGTGTGGTTCCGCCTCCCCGTTTTACGACCTCTCTTGCCAACGTTGTGAAGCCAGTTGCTGCAGTTGTTAAGTGAGCAACTTAAAGGAATCTGGCTTTCCCTCCCCTCCTCGTTGACTTTGCTCAGTGGACGGTCTACAAAAAGAGGATCGCGTGAGTTTCCATCCGTTGCTTCTTGTCCTGCCTTCATGTGCTTTGGAGAATAGCTTGACTCCCTCTTCTTTGTGGCAGTCCCTGAGAGATTGGAACCCTGGTATCATGTCCCTCCTTGTCCTTCTCTTCGTTAAGCTAGACATACCCAATTCCATCAACCATTCCTTATATGTTTTAGCCCACAGACCTCTAATCATCTTTGTTGCTCTTTGCTCTAATGCAGTGTTTCCCAAACTTGACAATTTTAAGGCATGTGGACTTCAACTCCCAGAATTCCACAGCCAGCATTGCTGGCTGTGGAATTCTGGAAGTTGAAGTCCACATGCCTTAAAATTGTCAAGTTTGGGAAACACTGCTCTAATGCAAAGTAGAACTGAGGGTTCAGCCCTCCATTGCAATCTGCTAAGCCTGGACTTTTCAATTTGACATCACCCAACAGGCTGGAAACACCATGTGGTGGATGTTTGCAGAGGGGAAATAGTGTTGTGTAGGCAACTTGTTCGTAGAGATGGAATTCAAATGTGACATTTTTTTTCCCCTCCGAGAAACAGATGGATCAGTTTGAGATTTGAGAATAGCCTCTCATGCGAAGGCTGAAAATATATAAATTAAATCTGCTCACGTCTTCCATTTTGCACTTCTTGGAAACATGGGTGGGGTGGGGGGAGCTTTTGTAACCACCGTTCAGATTGGCGGTTTAGAGAGGACGAGGTAGTCGTCCTTGCAAAAAGTAATTTTAAGTAAGGCAAAAGAGATTCTCTGCAGAATCCACCAGGGTCAAAATCTTGGGAGGTGTTTCTAGTCCACGTGAACTATCATAAATTCGTTTTCCCTCTCCTTTCTGTGTACATGGAGTCCTTGACTTACTGACCTTTCGTTTGGAGACCGAAGGTACAACTGGAGTGAAAAAAAGCGACTTAATAGCCGTTTTCCACACTTGAATAGTTGAATAGAATAGACCTTGAAGGTCTTCTGGTCCTTAATGACCATTGCAGCATCCTCATGGTCACATCAAAATTTGGACGCTTGCCAAACATTTGCGATTGACGATGGTTGCCATGTCCCATGTCCCCCCCCCCCTTTGCGATCATCTGACAAGCAAAGTCGGGGAAGCTGGATTCGTTTAACGACCAGGTCATTAACTTAATAACTGCAGTGATTCGCCTAACAGGGAGATCATTAAACGGGGCAAAACTCCCTTAGCAGCTGTCCTGCTTAGCAGTGGAAATTCCAGCCTCAACAGTCGTAAGTTGAGGACTATCTCTTCCCATCTTTCCCCATTTCCTTGGTAATGCACTGGGTGCTTTTTGCTGCAGTCATTAAACAAGGACGTTGTCTCCCTCACCAGGTTTGCCTTTATGTGTCCAGGAAGAGATCTATCAAAATTATGGCTGGCATGTGCTCTCCATTATCTTTTTCTAATTTCAGCAAGGAGGCGGAAAGCTTTTGTTTGTGCTCTCTCTCTTTTTTTAAACGATGGCTGGTAATTAAAATTTTGCCAGGGCAAAACGGTGCCTTTTTTTCAATTTGGTTCCAGGCTAATAAATCCCAGCCTGAGCGGTTTTCTGCAAAGGAGAATTGGGGGAGGCAGAGGCTCCAAACGGCTGGAGAATGAGTTGAAATTAGAATTGGAAGGAGTTAAATTAGTTCAGTTTGGTCCACCACCAGGAGGATGTTACGGTGGTGGTAAATGTCCTCCATCACTCTTTTCAATTCAGCTGTCGCTTCCAACTGTGGCTATAACTCAAGGATCACCTGTAACTTTCCAAGGAAGAACATTGCAGAGATCTTATTAAGATTACGTCTGCTTTGAATTTGGGTGAAGACTTCCTTCTTGACCTTTGTGCGATGGCCATGAGAGGGTGAATCTGGTTGCAAATATCAATCTGATCGGCCTTTTAGCAAACCCTCTTAAGTCTTAAGAGAATATCTGTAGCTCAGTTGAAATGAAGGGTCTTTGGTGCTCTCTGAGCTTGGTTCTTGAAGACATTTCATGACCCAACTAGGTAACATGCTCAGGGCTAGCGAGTGTGACTTGCTCCCTGTTTATATACTACAGTAGCTCAGAGCTGGGCAGAGGTGTTTCATGACCCAACTAGGTGACATTGTCCATGCTCGTGAGTGTTTATGTACAGTAGCACTGAGCTTGGTTATTTTCTTGCAGACATTTCATGGCCCAACTAGGAACATGATCAGTGCTAGCTCTGGAGGTTTTTCATGAACGGCAAAGAGGGCTAGCCTGCTCCTGGGACAGCCAAAAGGAACCAGGAAAAGGAACATTCATTAAAGCCAGGAGCCCGTGGTTGGATCCCACCAATAAAAGCTCTTAGATTGAACTAAAATCCTTGCCGATAATGAAAACCCAAGCGGAAACTGCAGCACACCAAGCTACTTCTTCAATTCTCTGCTCTATTTTTTTACGCCAGTATACATTTTTTTCTGCTCTTTTTCGAATCCTCTTCCTGCTCAGCTTCTTTCTCTTTTTTTCCCTATTAATAGTCGGCATTTCAATCCCATTAAACCTTTCCGTTTTGACTGCCCTATTTTTAGCCACGTCCAAGGATGCAGGTTTCGGCCAACAATGGCCAGGTCAGCCTCTTGTAAGCATTTTGCGGCTATTTCGGCTGCCTGCCGCGTCTTGACTCAGCTCCGAATTTTGGTAAATAAAACGCAAGGCACAGCTGCTAAAAATAGGAAGGCTAAATTGGGGATTGTTTTAAGCCAGCATCTGCTGTGTTACAGCGGTCAACGGATGTTTCTGGAAAGGTTTCCTGATGGCCACTTCTCCCCACCACCACCACCCAGATCTGTTGCTTTGGAAGGCAGAGGAAGACTGCTCCTGAAGCTGGAGGCTTCCCTTAACTGAAGAGGCAACACATCCAAGCAGCATAGTTTAAGGCCAGAGAGTTATAAATTTGCTTCAACCACCACACCAATCTAAACAGCAGCTTGATTTTGCTATTCCTGGTTTGCAGATGTATAAAGCACTTTCTCTCCCACCTCACCCTTCCCACTTCTGCTCTTGGATTGTTGCAATAAGCTTTGTCAATATTTCTCTTAATGGAGAGTCCGTTTGGGCTAGCAGTTGAGGCACCAGGTTGGAAACAAGGAGACAGTGAATTCTAGTCTCACCTTAGGCATGAAAGCTGGCTGGGTGACTCTGAGTCAATCACCAGGAGATGGTGAGTTCTAGTCCTGCCTTAGGCGGGAAAGCCACCTGGGTGACTTTGAGCCAATCACCAGGAGACGGTGAGTTCTAGTCCTGCCTTAGGCAAGAAGCCAGCTGGATGACCTTGGGCCAGTCCCTCTCCCTCAGCCCTAAGAAGCAGGCAGTGGTGAACCATTTCTGAAAACCCTTGCCAAGAAAAATTACAGGGACCTATCCAGGAGTCCACACTGAGTCAAAGGCATGAAGTATAATGATTCTCTGGGTTCTTCTCCCCTAGAGAGCAGAATCCGTAGAAGCAGAAAAACAGAACCAAGGGCAAAATATTGAAAATGAAATAAAATATTGGAAATATGGGCTTGGAAGTTGGAAAGATGGAGGGCAGGATTCTTGTCCGGGGGTGGGGGGTGGGCAACAGTAATAGGGTTGCTATCTGAGCAGGAAACCCATCAAACTGATAATATTCTTGCCCTCAGCAATAGCACAATGGGAACAAAGTAGTGCTGAAGTGTTTCTTACAGGGAATTGGTGACGCATCAAAAGAGATTATTAAAGACAGCTAAGAGAAGAAGCAACCTTTGGAATACAAACTAGTATGAGTATCTATCTATCTATCTATCTATCTATCTATCTATCTATCTATCTATCTATCTATCTCTACTATCTATCTCTACTATCTGTCTGTCTGTCTATCTGGACCTATGTTGGTCTTTCAGCCTCAATTTCCAATTCTGTAAAATGGATTCATCAGGGTCTTCCTTAAGCTGAGGGCTGGAAGCTTCCAGCTTTCCCAAGTACTATACCCACTTCTTAAAAAGGGCCTATCTAGATTTTTTTTTTTTAAAGTTAATTGCCCTTCCTGGCTGTTTGTTAGGAGACTTCTTGGCCATTTGAAAACAGAGAAGAACTGAGGTTCCCGTTTCACATCCAAAAACGGAAACAAAAATTGGACAGCCATTTGTCTGAAAGAGTATAGGGTCTCCTGCTTGAGCAGGGGCTGGACTAGAAGACCTCCAAGGTCCCTTCCAACTCTGTTTTTCTGTTATGTATCCTTTCTTTCTCATCTATTTCTTCTATTTTTTTCCTACCTGCCTGGAGTCTGGATCAACCCACCAAAGACAGGAGCCTATTTTACAATGTGGAACCTGCTATGCTTCCCTCTGTCTTGGCAACATCTTCACGATCCAACAATTATAATCCTAATTATTCCAATAAGCCTTTTTTTCCCCTCTTCCCGTCAGCGCAGTTTTTTTCCCAATTAACACTTGTCACAGGCTTCTTGGGGGGAGGGAAACACAAAGAAGGGAACTGCACAGCTTGCTGCCTTCTGCTCCAGAAGGAAAGGCAGGATATAAATAAAATAAATTAATGCTTAGAGAGGGCAGTATATCGTGGCTTCCTGATCGATGGATCATTCGGGCTGCCTCTGTAACGGGAAAAAGGTTATTTGCGATGGTTGAGTGGGCAGCCAGGGAGAGGATGAAATGATACACCCGAAGATTTTCTTTCTGCACAGATCACCGTCCAAGTCTGAATTTGCTTCCAAGGAAATCTTCCCCGTTTTTCTACGTAGCCCAGTCTACATACAGCCAGCCTGAAGCAGAAAACTGGAGGATCACTCTGAAAGTCAAGCTTTTTGGTGATAAGCACCAAAGGCTGCCGACAGAGGCGAACATTGGTAGTTCAGGATTGACTGGGGGGTCCTTCGTGCTCTCTGAGCTTGGCGGTTTTCTTGCAGATGTTGCATGACCAAAGTGGGTAACATCATCAGTGCCAAGAGGGAGTGGTGCTTGCAGAGTGCAGGAGAGGACTGTGGGGTCCTGGGTGCTCCCTGAGCTTGGTTTTCTTGCAAACGTTTCATGACCCAACTAGGTAACATCATCAGTGCTAGAAGGGAATGGGGTTTGTGAGAAGAGGAGGAGGAGGTGGTGGTGGTGGTGGAAAGGACCGTGGGTCCTTGGTGCTCTCTGACCTTGGTGGTTTTCTTGCAGACGTTTCATAACCCAACTACAACATCAGTGTAGAAAGAGGGGGTTGCTTTCTGATTATTTGTCAACAGGGCAAGTTACTTATATATAGTCAGAAGGTAGCCCCACTTCCTTCTAGCACTGATGATGTTACCTAGTTTAATAATGAAATGTCTGGAAGAAAACAACTAACCTCAGAGAGCGCCTGAACCCTACAGCTCTCGTCCTCCTCCTCCTCCTCTCGGCACACCCCACTCTATTCTACCCCTGACCAAATTTTGATAATGTTTGATAATGAAACCTCTGCAAGAAAACAACCCAGCTCAGAGAGCACCTCTGAGATTCTTTCTCTGAACTTTTTATATCACAACAGTCGAACGTAGGTCGAAAAAGAAGAAGGTGGAAGACCTTTTCGGACGGTCTAACTTTTGCAGGCGTTTCTATTTTAATTTGGGGTGCGTCTGTGACTCTTCCAATCAGTGGGGACTCCTGGGGAACTGCCTAGATAGATCTGCAGTTTTCTTGGCAAGATTTCAAGGAGGACTTGGCCATGACCAGCTTCCTCGGGCTGAGAGAAAGGGACAGGCCCAAGGTCACCCAGCTGGTTTTGTGCCTAAAGCAAGACTAGAACTCACGGTCTCCTGGTTTTTAGCCTGGTGCCTTCGCCCCCGCCCCTAAAGTAGCTCTCTTTTTAATTTGGTAAGTGTTTCTATCTCAGTACGGCACAAAACCCTTCTCTCTTTTTTTGTATTTTTTCCCCCAGGAAGAGCTGGAGAACTGAAGCTGGACAGCTCCAGGTAGGGTATTTTTCCCACTTTTAAACTGAAATGTTTTCTCTTTTACAATCAGAATTGGCCCATGGGGGATGCTTTGCAAAACATTTACCATAATCAAGGCCTGATTTTTTTGTTGTTGTTTTTCTGAGGGGGGAAGAGGAGGGGGTTATGTTTGTGAAAATGCTGCGGGCGGCTCTGAAGGATAGCAGTGAGGAAAGAGACAGAAGCTCTTATTTCCTCCTGCTTTTCTCTCTGTTGGATAACTCTTTGATGAGTTGGTTCTGCTTTGCCCTTTGTTTTCAACCTCTCCTGTTCCTAATGGCTCTGTTTTATATTATCTTAATTTGGGAATGGTTGCAACTTAATTTTATTGCAAGTGGCTTTGAAATACAGTTCTGTGGGAAGTGATCCATCCATAATTTGTTCTTTTGGGGACAGCAATCTTAAGAAACACAGTGGAATTCTTGGTGCTCTCTGAGCTTGGTTGTTTGCTGGCAGATGTTTCATTACCCAACTAGGTAACTTCATCAGTGCTGATAAGGGAGGGGTATGTTCCTTTTTTATATACATGAGCTTGCTGGGTGATGATGGTGGTGAATTTTCTCCTTGGTAGTTCCCCGGTGAAGGCCTTGTTTTCTGCTTGGCTGTTTGTCTGGTAATAATCTCTGCTTATCTGGCTGCTAGCAAGGTTCTCTTGGGGCCTGTTTTCTTCTTTCTTAGCTTTTTTTAATTATCTCTTTCGAACGGTGTGTAATTCTGCTCTCTATCTCTGTCTGTTGATGGCTGATTTGTCCCAATGCCAAGCTTCCAGGAATTCCCTAGAGTTTCTGGATTCGGCTTGATATCCGATGCCCACAGTTTCCCCGTTTGATACTGTGGTCCAGTCTGTCCCTGTGAAATTAAGGATTTTTTTTTTCTCACGTCTTCTGGCTGGCTGTTGGTGTTCATGGATGCACTCTGCTAGTCTTCTGCCTGTTTGTCCCACGTAGTGGCTGTTGCAATCCTTACAAGGTGTGTTGTATAGATGACTCCTGTTTTTTTTCTTCTGGGGCTGCTGGGTCTTTGGGTTTACTTAGGAGATTTTTGGAGCACTTGAGATGGTTTGTGTACCGCTGAACGGCTTTCTCCGAGGGTTTTCAGGTATGGCAGTGTTACCCTTTTCCCAGTTGGTTGTGCTTTGCGGGTTGAGTGGTCAGGCACTGTTTGCTCAAAGTTGTGTTGCATAGCGACTCATAGCAACCTTGTGATGGTGTTAAAACCACCCAGTGAATTCTCCATTGGCCGGTTCAGGAGAAGGGCAGCGAATGGGCTGAAATGCTGTGCAGGACGAAATGTCCCAGAGAGGGGACAATCTGTTCTCCGGCCTCCCTATTAAAAGAGCGCCAAAGCTTGGAGACTTTGAGATGTTCTGTCTTTGAAACAGATTGTTCCCATTATATCAGCACCCTTCCAAGGACAGGACGGACCAGTCCGACTAAGCAGAAGATCGGAGAGCCACAGAGGGAAAAAGCCAGCGGGCCCTTGGCTCACGGCCACTTTCTTTTGGGGGGCGGCGGCGGCGCGCTCTTGAACTCCCACCCAGCGCCGAGTCCAGCCTCGAGGCTCCCCCAACCTTTCAACCTTGCTCGGCGGCCTCTCTCCGACGGCTGGCCGCGCTCAGGGTTGGCAAAACGGCGCTGTCCGGAATTTGGGGGTCGCAAGCAACTTGCAGCGGATCGCTCGCTCCATCTAAGCTCGGGCGCACACGGAGAAGAAGGCAAGGGCTGCTCTTCGCCTGGCGCTGCGCTCTTGTCCTACCCGCCGGGACTGGAGGGGGCGCGGGGGCCGCTCTCCCCATATATAGGCATGCCGGCACCCGCCCTTCCTGAGCTCCTCCCCCAGTCCCCCACTCCCCCCATCTTCTCGCCGGTGGCGGAGGAGCCGCAGTCAATGAGCGGCCGCCGTGCGCGCCGAGGGGCGGCCGGTGGAGGCGGCTCCTCCTCCTCCAGCACTCTTTGGCAGATCCGCCCGGCAGGGGAGGACCCGAGGCTGGGGATCGGGCTCGGCCGGCGGAGGCAGCAGCAGCAGCAGCGGCAGAGGCGACTGCAGCCCGGCCCTGGCGGGGGACTCCAGCATGGGCGGCGGCGGCGGCGGCTGAGCGGCGTGGCGGCGATGAGCCAGGGGGACCATGGGCACGGCCGTCTCCAAGCGCCGCTCGCTCCGCAACGAGGCCGTGGCATCGGTGGCGGCCAAAGTCCGGTGAGTGCGGGCTCTGCCCCGCAAGGGGAAGGGGGCGTCGGGCTGCGGGAAGCGTGGGGGGGTGTGTGTGCGCCCCCCAAAGGAAAGCGGCAGGGGCCGCCGGGGGTGGGCGCAAAAAGCCGCGCGTAAAAAGGCTGCGCGTAAAAGCCGGCGGGGGCGCAGCGGCGGGAAGGGCGAGGGAGCCGCACACGCGAAAGCTGGAGCCGGGAATTGGGGCGGGGGGCGGGCGTCGGAGGGGCGAGCCTGCAAAGGAGAACCAGGGGCGACGGGGTGGCGGCGGCGGCGGCGGGGAAGGAACCGAGCGAAGGACCACGGCGCGGCGCGGCGAGGCGTTCGCCGGTTGCTACGGGTGTAGGAGGAAGGGACGTGTGAAGGAGCGACGTGCAGTGCTTGTGCTTTCGCACGGTCGAGCTGGCAATATGCAGCTGGGGAGAAGAGGGGGGCGCGGAGGCGGCTCGCCAGGCGGGATTGCGGGGAGCAATCCAACCTAAGCCGAACCATCCTCAGAAGCTCCAGTTTGGCTGGAGGCGGGTTTGTGCCGGCGGTTCTAGCATCCTACCCCTCTATCAGAAAGGACCCGCTGTTCCTTTTAACCAGCTCCGGATCGAATTCCGCTGAGTTCCTTCGTCCTGGAGTCTCTGTGCCTTCCTAGGACCTAGGCTGTTAAAACTCTGTGCCATTGAATGCGAAGTCCTGGATTCAGGATCCAGCCACGATTGGCTCTCTCCCTTTACACAGAGAGAGGGAGAAAGAGGGAGGGAGGGAGAGAGGGAGGGAGAGATGAAAAAAAAAACCTAACTTTTCCACACCCGTCGGCCAGAAGCCCATGCTCTATATTTTCAGCCCGGCTGTCGCGAAATAGCAGCTGACGTGTGGTGCGAAGCATTTGGCAAGCTGCCCAGCCCTGTGGAATATTTGTGGCAAAGCTCCAGAGAGCCCCTGGTTACTCCTATGAAACTTCCAACTTGGTGAATGCAGCATGGAGCCGCAGCGGCATTGTCTGCGGCAGTCCTAACCTCCCTGTCCAGGGATGGGGTTTGGGTTGCCCTTAATCGGCCTTCTGCTATGTGGTCTTCCTCCAAAGCGGGCATTGGGTCACCTTCTTGATCCCAGCTGGGTCTCCTGGCTTACGGGGTCTGCATGGTGCATGCACCCCAGATCCTTTCTGATCATCACCGAGGAGAATAGGTGGCTTATCCAGAGAGAAAAGGAGGATCCTATTTATTGGTGACTCCAATCGGGCCAGGTGGCTGAAGGTGTTTAGGAGTGAATTATTGGAGCAGGTGAATCCCGCCAGGCCCCGGGAAAATGGAATTCATATTGGTGTTGTTTCTGGCAGTTGACACATGCAGTGAGTGTGCAATTTGCCTTGGATTTCTTTTGGGTAGAAAACTTGGGTGACTAATTCGTAGAGAGATGTTTCCTGTTCTGGAGGCTCAAGCTGAATTCCTACCAAAAGCAAGGGGATAAAATAAGATAACTTGGAATTCCTGTATATTTCGGACTTTCCTGTATTTAGCTGTAATTTGAGGCTGATTCCTGCTTCCCAGTGGCATTGCGACTGGCTGAGATCTACATTTTGACATGAGATCCCGTAGTCATACTAAGGGGAGGATCTTGATAGAGGCTGTATGGGGTTCTAATCCTATTCAGGACTATCCATTGCTGTGGGACACGTAGATTCTCCTTCATCCATGTCTCTTCGACCATCAATGTTCTCATGTGATTCCTCTTCCAGTATCTCAGGGGTTGCCCCAAAGAAGAGGGGGTCAAGCTATTCTCCAAAGTGCCTGAAGGCAGGACAAGGAGCAACGGATGGAAACTAACCAAGGAGAGAAGCAATTTGGAACTAAGGAGAAATTTCCTGACAGTTGGAACAGTTAATCAGTGGAACAGCTTGCCTCCAGAAGCTGTGAATGCTCCAACACTGGAAGTTTTTAAGAAGAGACTGGACAGCCATTTGTCTGAAGTGGTATAGGTTCTTCTGCTTGAGCAGGGGGCTGGACTAGAAGACCTCCAAGGTCCCTTCTGGCCCTATTCTATTCTATTCTATTCTATTCTATTCTATTCTATTCTATTCTATTCTATTCTATTCTATTCTCTCTCCAGGATGCTCTCTCTTCTTAAATTTCAGAAACAGTTGGAAAAAGAACATCCACAGTAGATAAAATCTGGAACTCGTCACTTTGCTTGATCCTGTAATTTTCCAGGATAACGAAGGAGACAGAGATGGAAATCATTCTTAATTTCCTATAATTTGGAGATCAGCACTCTTTTTCCCCCTTAGCGATGACATTTCCCTCTGACTGTCAGCCGGCCAGCGGTCTTGATGCTGTTGAAAGTTTGACAGCTTGTTCCTTTGATTTGACAGGGCTAATAGCCAATGAGCTGCCTGCAGCCAACGGAGGTGGTCTTTCTAATTGCAGAAGGGAACCTTGGAGATTAACGGATTCAAGGATTCAAGGTTTCCTCGTTCCCTTGTTGAGCTTTCCCACTGCCCATCGAAAGGAAGTTCGTTATTTGATTTGACTTCTATTTTGGAGAATTCCAGGTGGTGCCAAAATATTCCTGCCTATTTTTTTCCCCCTGCGACAAGGAATCTCTGCTGGACTGGGAAGGAAATGCTGGCCCAAGGTCATCCAGTGACTTCTGCGCTTTAAAATCTCTTCGCTCTCCTGATTTCCACCTTACCAGATAGGCTTTAAGATCCAGAGGATCTTCTCTGCTCCCGCAGAGACCTTTTGCAGATGGATTGCCCTTCTCTCGGTCTTCCAAGCGTCGACAAATATCTAAAATTATGGGCTGCCGGCCACGGTCCCGGAGCTGCTGAAACTGGGGGCTGCTTTGAGGCCGTGAAAAATCTCTAGAAGGAAACTCAGAAGCCTGATGGGCTTGAAAACAGTTTCTAGTCCTGCCACTAATAATAAAGTTTGCTGGGAAATGGGATCTCTTGGGATCTGCTGCCTAGTTGCAAAACGTAAGGATCTAGAAAAGCATCCACACTGGGTGTTTTCTATAAGTCTGAACAGGCGCTTGTCTTTCCCATTTCTGGGGTCGGTAGATTCGCTTCCCAGTTCCCCAGTGGCAAATTATTTAGTGCATGCTAGATATACAGGTAGTCCCTGACTTACCGCTGCAACTGAGCTCAACATTTCCGTTGCTAAGTGAAACGTTTGTGAAGTAAATTTTGCCCCATTCTTGGCCTTTCTTGTCATCTCCAAAGCGCCTGAAGGCAGGACAAGAAGCAACGGACAGAAACTAGCCAAGGAGAGAAGCAACTTCAAGCTAAGGAGGAATTTCTCGACAGCAAGAACAATTAATTAGAGGAATAGCTTTGCCTTCTGAAGTTGTGGGTGATCCATCACTGGACGTATTTCAAAAGAGATTGGACAACCGTTGGTCTGAAACGGTACAGGTTCTCTTGTGTGAGCAGGGGGTTGGACTAGAAGATCTCCGAGGTCCCCTTCCAACTCTATTATTCCGTAATTCTCCGGTGCTTCTCTTTCTTTAGGATTAAGAGGCAAAGAGGGTTTGCAAAACTGGGGAGCCAACCATCTCTAGGTAGACCCTAGAGTAGGAGATTTTCAGAAGTTCAAGCTGTCGTCTCTTGGGCTTCCTCCAGCTCTTAATTTGATTCCCAGTGCAGCTGAACAATTACTTCCCTGGACGGCTAATTACCTTCTGAGAATTTTATCCTCCTCCTTCTTGTTTTGGCTCTTTGTAAACAACCAAACTTGCAGCAGGAATTGAGAGACAGGAGGACGTATTCTCCCAAAAGGACAGAGCCACGCGTGGCAACAGACATGGGCTGGGTGGGTTTTTCAAATGCCTATCCTGTGGTCCAAAAAGGTGGAGAATTTCGTTGGGGTTTAGGATTGGGTGGTTGAATGAGGCCGATGATATCTGTGTCTCTGATTTTATCGAAGGAAAAGAAAAAAATGGTTTGGATTGGTCCAGTTGTGTTAGCTCACACACTCACGGATCGGCGTCTTAAAAAACAATGTCCATCAGGAGCACGGAAGAAGCTAAACTTTGCTTGGAGATGTGCAGACGTGCGGTTGTCTGTCAGGGATAAAGGAACCGCGAGAACGCCATGAAAATTGGTCTCGTGTCATTTTCTCTCTTCTCACATGGTCCTTGGTGGCAACTGGTGGTCTGTTGAACAACTGGCCAACCTAGATAACCATGTCAAGGGTTGCAGCATCCATGGCATGTTGGGGCTGGGGATGATGGGAGTTGGGCTTCAACTTTTCTGGAAGGCTTCAACTGCAGAAAGAATATCATGCTCACAGCACTGACATGTGCCCTAGTAATCAAACTCCTTCCTTCTTTTCTTCTTTCCTTCCTTCCTTCCTTCCTTCCTTCCTTCCTTCCTTCCTTCCTTCCTTCCTCCCTCCCTCCCTCCCTCCCTCCCTTTCTCTTCTCTTCTCTTCTCTTCTCTTCTCTTCTCTTCTTCCCCTCCCTCTTCCCTTCCCTTCCTCTTTCATCCTTCCCTTCCCTATGCTGAGGATGAAAAGCAAAGTCAGTAAGACCCCTACAGCATTTTCACCTAGAAACAGATACAATTCCATCCTAGACAAGGTTTTATTTACACGGGTCCCTAAAAGCTGATTCGATGGCACGTCGTTAATCAAGAGATACGCCCAAGTGTGAGAATAGACGGCTCTGAAGTCATAGTGGTTCTTCCTGGTTTTCCCAATTTGAATAGTTTCTCTCCCCCCCCTTCCCTTCCCCCAGGAAAACATCTTTAATTTCTCAGCAGGATATATTACTTGTCAATTTTGTGCTGGTGTAAGGCCAACGGCAGCATTAGCAACATTGATCTAGCTGAATATGCTCTCTCTCATAGGGAAAGAATATATATATATATATATAAAAATGAAAAATGCTGGCAATTTTTGGGGAGGGGGCAACTTTGCAAATGGTTTTGCATCTCTTTGCAACGTCTCTTATTATAATTTCCATTTTGGGATGGAAGGCAATGGGACGGGCGGGTAGCTGTGTCTTGAATTTTGCTGAGGAGCTTATTAATTTTTTCCCCTCCCCTTTGTGTCTTTCGCTGTTTTCATTTTCCCACACCGGATTACGCGAAGAGCGGCGAGGGCTTTTGGAGATTATCTTTCTCAAAACCATCCCGAAGGCAAGAATGGTGCAGGTATGATATATTTCCCAAGATTCAGACTGCATTTATTTTATACGCCCTCTGGAGATTAATCTTTGATTCGCCCTAATTTTAAATTGCACCCCTCTCTCAAGTATCTTTCTAAGGCAATTCATATCAGGAAAAACACATTAAAGCATTGAACAAACATTAGAACGGCTCTGAAATTCTAGCCTAATGAATTAAATTAATACCGATGCCGGCGGGATTTCTCAGACAGTTTCATTAACTAATAAAAGCAAGAAGGAAGCCAAATATCCAGAGGCTTGATACTGTACAGGCCCAGTCTTGAACTACGCTTACTCAAGGATACGGCTCTATACAGGTAGTCCTCAATTTACCACCGTTTGTTTAGTGACTTAGGACCATTTTTCACACTTAGACCATTGCAGCCTCCCCCACAGCCACGTGATCAAGATTTGGATGCGCGGCAACTGACTCACATTTATGACGGTCGCAGCACAGAAGCAATTCAAGGGGGAAGCCAGACTCGCTTAACGACCGTGTGGCTAGCTTAAGAACTGCAGTGATTCACTTAGTGACTGGGACGAGAAAGGTCGTAAAATGGGGCAAAACCCACTTAACAAATTTCTGACTTAGCCACGAAAAATTTTGGCCTCCACTGTAGTCCTAACGTTGGGGGCTACCCTGTATTCAGTCGCTTCGGCCCTTGTTTCAGTCTTTAAAGTTTCTAGTTCTCATGAATGTACTTTTTTTAAATTTAAAAAAATTGGAAGTGTTGGTAAGCTGGGTTGGGGCCACCCAGGGTGGTCCTCCTCGCCCAGATATGGAGCAAGCCCCCCCCCACAAATCTTGTGTTTCTCTTCCTGCTTCCAGATCACTTGCTGGCCGAGTCGTGTGTGGGTCCAGAAGACTCCCCAGAGATTCACATGGGGGTTCAGAACAAGCGGCGGTTGTCTCTCATTTCTGACGGGAGGTTTCAGCCCGCCTTCCCTGAGGAAGCCAGCGAAAAACTGGCGGGCGAGGGCCCCAAACCCCACGTCTACACCATTTCCAGCGAGAGGCCCATGCTGTCGCAGCAGCAGAGCGAGAGCATGGAGCTGGTGGTCATCAAAGGGACGGAAGAAGAAGAAGAAGAGGAAGAAGAAGAAGGAGAGGTGGACGGAGACCGGTCCTTAGGTCAGCCTCTCCACAATGCCGGGAGTTCTCACAACCTCAGCCGACAATGCGAGGGCAGTTGGCCAAGTCACCAGCAAGGCTCGAAAGAGTATCCCAGTTGTGCTCAGTTGACGGTGTCATCTCAGCATCCGTTTGATCTAGAACACCACCACCATCACCACCACCATCAGCACCACCACCATCAACACCAGCACCACCATCAGAACCAAGCTGGTGAGACCGGCTGGCGGCAGAAGAAGCTGGAACGCATGTATAGCATGGAACCTGTTTCCGGTAGGTGCAACCGAGTTATGCTGACTTCATCCTGGCCATCTGTTGCTGGGTGATGGGATACAGGTAGTCTTCGACTTACGCCCACAAGTGAGCCCGGGATTCATGTTGCTAAATGAGACATTCTTTATATTAATCCTTCTAATTTGTAGTTACGTTTCCATAGATTATAGGCCATATCAGCATTTGTGAAATTTGGCAGTTTTAAGACACGTGACTGGAGGATTCTGGTTGTTGAAGTCCACACGTCTTGTAGGTTTCTAATACGTGATCAGTCAATAAATAAAATTTGAAAGACATTGAGCTGGCAAGGTTGCAAGTCCTGCTAGTGTGGTTTTAGATCAGTAAGCCCATGAATTAAACGTTTTGTGTGGTTTCCATACCTGCGTAATATGCAAGGGAGGCCCTCCAAGCCTTTTGCAATATGGAATTCAAGATAGCTCCAAAACATCAAACGCCTCTTTATTTCTTTTTTGCAATAATAATCCGAATCCTAGAGGGGGTTATTGCGGCTTTGTGGCTGCTGTAGCAAACTTCGCCCATGAGATCAGCAAGAGCTGAGCTTGACCAGAGAGCATAATATCATTTTTATCCCATGTAATAAGTTATACCTGTGGATCGCTTTCCTTTCCTCTTTTGAATGCTCAGCCCTGGGGGGCTGTGGTTGTTATGGTGGTTTGTCACAGAGTCAGCCAGTTGTTTAGACAGGACTGGGCATTTTTGTCCACTTGTCGAGTTCTTCCCAAGGACCAGAGACAGGCAGAGGTTGATTCTGATGGTGTTCAAGGTCTGGTTGCAGGATGGAAGCTGCTCCTAGCAAAGCTGCCTTTTGCAATTCACTGATGGGGACTTTGTCAATGCCATGTCCAAATATTATTATTATTATTACGGTTGATTGCACAGTCAGCCAGATGTTTAGACTGGATTGGGCATTTTTGCCCAGCTATCGAGCCCTTCCCAGGAATCTGGCATAGGCAGATGTTTGAAGGTGTTAAGGTCTCATCGCAGGATGTAAGCTGCTCCAAATCAAGCTGCCTTCTGCAATTGACCGATGGGGATTTTGTCAATGCCGATGAGGTTCAAGTGGTGCTCCAGAGGTTCTGGGAAGCGTCAACCACTATTAGCCATATCTCGGCTTTCTTTTGCCCCCATCGTTCTTCTACTTGCAGGCCTTTTTATTGGGCAATCTTTTTAAACTGTTTCTCCTTCTTCCTCCTCCTCCTCCTCCTTCTGTATTCCAGATGAGGTTCCTATCAGGACCTGGCTGCCCAAAGAGAACCTTTTCACTTTCCAGACAGCGACAACCACTATGCAAGCGTGAGTTCAGCCACAGAAAGTTGGGGTGATCAAACCAGGGAGAGGGATGGCGAGCGCGGGACGAGAAGCGCATGTGAGTCGGGGATTCCTCCCTGTGATTGGAGGGGCAAAGAAATGAGAAGGCTTATTTTTCCAACCCCACAGCCAGTGTCTGCCCTGCCCCTTCTCTTTATTTAATACAACTTTGTGTGACAGGACAGATAGTCCTCGATTTACCACCTGTTTGTTTAACGGTGGTTTGAAAGTACCACGGCCACTGAAAAAGTGACTCAAAAGTTGCGATCGTCGCAACAACCCCACAGTCAACGTCGTCACAATCGGGACCCTTGGCAAGTGTGTTGCCCTTTTTAGGGTGGTTTATTAAATTTGTTTGCTCCCCATCTCGGCACAACATCCCTGGCGTCAACCGATCCCCTTTTATGAGCTTCTGACACGGAAGCCGGAGTCGCTTAACGCTCAGGTTACTTGCTTAACGGGGCAAAACTCGTTAGCAACTGTCTTCGCTTAGCAACAGAAATTTGGGTTGTAAGTTGAGGACTACATGTGTCTGTGAACCGTCTGCACAACAAAGGATTGTTAACACTGAAAATGGAGTTTGCCACTAACATTTCTTCTTCCTGTTTCTCTCTCTCTCTCTTCCTGCTTCTGTTTTTTTTTTGTTGTTGTTGTTGGGATTACCAGCATTTCGTAAGTATAATTGCCACCGCGCCTTCATAAATCTTGTGTATTCTTTATCGCTTGCTTGTATGGGCATCTTTGGGTCAAACCTTCTACATTTCTTCCGGTATGTTGTGTGCGTGTTGATACACAAAAAGACCAAGACTTGAGCCATCCTTTCTCCTGCCACCTTTCTCGTTTGGAAGGGTGAAGATGTTGTGGTCCACACCTCCGCCTTCCCGTCTGCTGCTTTGCAAAGCCCATCTTGGTTTGCTGGGCGACCGGAAATCAAAATGTTGAAACATCCCCCCCCCCCTTCATGAATCCTTTGTGTTGATCATTGTGTAAAGTCCTTTCCCGGTGCCTCATGTGGTCCCGTGTCCATCCGTGATGTATTTTAGTACTAAGGAGATCCTTTTGGGTGCTGGAAGATGCAGATGTGAACACCAGGGTGGCTGAAAGAAATTGTGCAATCGGGAAAAGGGTGGTGATGGTTAAGGAAACAGGGTTAGAAGTTGGGCGTTGGGAGTTCTAGTTCTGCCTTAGGTGCAAAGCTGTCTGGGTGACTTCGGATCAGTCCTTCTTTTTCTCCTTCTCAGTCTTAGGAAGAAGGAACTGGCAGGACCAGTTTGGTGCAGGGCTTAAAGGCAAGGGATTACAGGTTGGAAACCCAGAGTTCTAGTCCTACCATAAAGCCTACTGGATGACCTTTGGGCCAGTTTCCCTCCCCTTCCGCCCTTAAGAAGGAGAAGGCAAGGACACAACACTTCCAAAATTGTTGCTGAGAAAACTGCAGTGTAGGGTTGACTCAAAATGTTGTGCATCCATTTTGATTTCCCAGATTTTTTCGCCCACAAATTGGTGCCATGGCACCCACTTTGCCCCATCTCCTTGCCATCTTGTGATGTGGCTCATTTTCGTCATCTCCTCCTCCTCCTCTTCCTCCTCCTCCTTCTCCTCCCTGATCGCGGGATTTGGAACCCGTGTCCCTCTCCTCCCCCTGCCCTCCACGCCCCCCCCATCCCTTTTTCCATGTCATCGCTCCCTTTTGAAGCTGCCGTGGCTTTGGTTTTAATGCCTTAAACCTGGTTCTCCAGGGCGTTCAGGGGCTACGCTGAGAGGAAGCGTCGAAAACGGGAGAACGATTCGGCAACTTTGATCCAGAGGTATGGAGGTGCACGGGTTCAAATCTTTTTTTGCCTGGTTGTATGCGCCGGCTGCAATGGATGCTGAGATCCCTTGTTTCTTTCTTTCTTTTCTTTTCTTTTTTCTTCTTTTTCCTGGATTAAAGGAACGAAATACTAAATTCAAGACCCCCACCAGCCTCTTTGCTGGGCTGCTTTCCTGAGAAGGCAGTTGAGCAAATAAATGCTTTGCTTGTTCGTAACGGAAGCTTATCTTTTTCCAAAAATCAAACTTGGCCAGAGCTTCGGGCCAAATGTTTTGATGGGGCGCAAGTTGGATCTGCTCACAAACTCTGTGCTTAATCGGCATTGCTCCACAAAGGATGCTTTGAATTATTTGCAGCTCATTATTGTCCTAAGCGGTATCGATTCAGAATCAATGAATATGCTTTCTTCTCTTTGGCCCGTTGAATTGAGGTTTTCTTCCTGTAATTAACTTGAAGGCTCAAATAGAATCGGGCTGGGGAAGCGTTGGCCTGCCAGTTGTTGGACTACAGTTCCCATCCTCCTTGACCATCAGCCGTGCCGTCCAGGCTTAGGGGAGCCTAAATCCATTCACCCCCAAAGGCACCTCTTTTTCCCACATCAATGCGTGAGTTATGTCAGCCCCAATCCTGCCGAGCAGAGGTGTGTTTTGTATCTCCCTTTTGCAGATGGGAAGGCTGAGTCCCAGAGTTTGTGATTTGTCCTAGAGAGGCTGAGATCCCACCACACGCCTGCTCTCTAAAGGCGAGAAGACCCTGTGATGGCTTAAGCTCTGCCAATTTTGATTTTCATTTACCAAAGGGGCAAATGCAGACTGACAGGCGTCAGCCGTTGCGGCAAGCATCCTATTGGTACACCTGCAAAGATGCAGCAAAAGTTCCGATTCTGGCTTGGATTAGGCCACTGGGCCTCCGTGCCAGATGCGACGGTTGTTCTTTTTGGCTGCCAAGTGTGGATTTTTTTCCCCCCCTGCTTACCCTTTCCGGGTTGGGGAAAGCCAAGTTGGAACGGGAAGAATCTTGGCATCGCTGCCCGCAGCTTGGCAGGGTTAAAGAGGAAGTGAGCGGTTGAGTAGGGGACGTCTTCATTCTCAAATAGTTTGGCGGTCTCTGCTTCCTCCATTGGCAAGGATCTGTACCACAGTGCTGCCTTATACAGACAGTCCTCGGCTTACGACACTCAGTGACCGTTCAGAGCTACAGCGGTGCTGAAAAAATGACCGTTTTTCTCCACTTAACGATCATTGCAACATCTCCATGGACCCGTGATCAAACTTCGGATGCTCGGTGACTGGCTCATATTTACAACGGTCGCAGCGTCCCGTGGGGTGTGTGTCAGGTGATTCCCCCATTTGCAATCTCCTTCCGAGCTGGCTGACTAATTTAACACCTGCCGTGATTTGCTTAACTGCCGTCAAATGGGGCAAAATTCGCTCAGCAAATGCTCATTTGCAGCCGTAAGCCGAGGACTTACCTGTATTCCACTTCTTGTCTCCTCTGCCTCTGCTTACTCCTGGCTGGGAATCTAATGCGCATGTTTGAGAAGAAAAAGAACAACAGCTGGAGGCGAAGACTAACCCCAGCCTCCTGTTCTCTAAAGAGGCTTTGCATCCCTGAGCCCAGAGCATCACACTAATACTGAGGAGGGGGGACCTTATTTGCTATAACCCCTTGGGCTTTTGCTTCGATAGACGATGAGGCTGCTTGCTTGAGGCTGCCGGAAAAGGTTGTGGCACTGACCGGTTGTGCTTTCCTCCTTGAAAGCATTCCAGAAGCCGCTCATGCTGCTAGTCCCCAAGAGGGCAGGATTCGGATGCAATCCGAGCCCCTCCGCGAAAGAGAATGCATCTGATTGGAAGCAAAGCCCGTGGCGGTTAATGTATATTTTGTTTCAGGCTTTGACTTGTCCTTTTGAGTCAGGTTAATAAATAAATAAATAAATCACACCTTCAAGAGTCTTTTGTGTTTGATGGAAAGGCCAAATAATTCTCTGATGGATGCAAGGTGTAAACCGCCAGAATAACCGCCTAGACACTTGAGAGTATCCCCCAAATATAAGAATATTTGTGACATTCCGGAGAGAGATTTCAGAATGAATCTGTTTTTACAAAATAAGGTGAACAAAGCAGGAAAACTCTGTCGTTTTAATCTTGGTAGGATGGATGCGGAGAAAGTCAACAAAGTTGTCGGCTATAATCTGTCTCTTTCCGTTATGGCATAATTTTGTTCCTGATTGTTCCTGATCCCAGATTAGCAATTGAATGAGTGGCTCCTAATTCAGATTAATTGGGTATTTGTGGAATAACAGAGTTGGAAGGGATCTTGGAGGTCTTCTAGTCCAGCCCCCTGCTCCAACAGAAAAACCCTACACCATTTCAGACAAGTGGCTGCCCAATCTCTTCTTTAAAACTTCCAGTGTCAGAGCACCCACAGCTTCTGGTGGCAAGCTGTTCCACTGGTTAATTGTCCTCGCTGTTAGGAAGTTTCTCTTTAATTCCAGGTTAATTCCAGATCCATTTAACAACATGAGTCCCAACAACTGCAGTGATGTGCTTAACAACGCTGGCAAAAAAAAAATAGGTCCTAAAATTGGTTGCGATCCACTTAACAGCTGACATCCTTAGCAACAGAAGTTCTGGTCCGTACGTTGAGGACTAGGTACTTGTAAGTCCTGGAAAAACAAGACTGGTAAAATCTCACCGGTTGCTTTCAGCAAACAGACCTAATATTCCTTTCTTATTGATCTCTTCTTCAATTTTCTCATAAGATTTTAGCCGGGAGTCGAAATGCAACTTTTTTTTCCCTTCTAAATTGCAGACTTTGGCACCAATTAGGCAGCCCGAGTTTCGATGTGAGCCCTTTAGACTCTTAAACGCTTTTCTTTCATTTCGCTTTTTGGATTTTGCACCTTGAGTTCTATCCATCTTTGCCGGCTCCTAAAATCATCCGTCGCACCTTATTGACAAGCTGTCACGCGCACGAGCATCAAGTTGCCGTAAGAAAATGAGAAATGCCTTTAGCCCGGGGAGGGTGAAAAAAAAAACCAAACACCTTCCATTTCAAGGGTTGGAAGCGAGGGTTTTTCAAATTGTGGGTCACGACGCTTTTAAAAAAAAAAGCGGATTGGGCTTGTGCAAGCAGCCTGAAGCAGGTTTTGAGAGATGGCTGAACCTGTGTTTTCACCGGCTGTGAATTATATTCACCGTTCTTTGGGATGTCTTGTCGAAATAGGCATATTCAGGAAATCTGCTGTTGTAATTTGCAAAACCGAAAAGGTCTGTTGGGTTGGAAGAGAAAAACCGAACGGTATTCTAGTCACACCAGCAAAACGAAGTGGAAAAGCTGGATGAAAGTAGAACATCTTATAATTATAGAATGATAGGTCTGGAAGGGACCTCGGAGGTCTTCTAGTCCAGTCTCCTGCTGGATCAAAAATGGGGTGAGCAAAGTCCTAATCCATCCCCAGAAGCTCGGTGGGGGACTTCTTTGGGCTAGTCCCTCCTCTCAATCCAACAGACAGTATGGGGTAGTGGTTAAGATGTTTGGACAAGGAGTCTAAAAAATCAACTTCTAGTTTTTCCATTCGGCGAGGAAGCCAGCGAGATAACTTAGGACCTGTCGTTCTCTCTCAGCCCAGTCCTGGGAAGTTGAAGAACGCCTCCCTACCAGCTCAGGTTGGGTGGAAAGCATCCATAATTACCTTCATCTCAGAGTTGTACAACTTGTACAACAACCCCCTGAATGATTTAAAGTAAAACTTGACTGAATCAAAGTGGTCTGTTCTAAACCAGAGTCCAACCAGAGATGGAGAACTTGCCCCCCTAGTGGTACCTGGTAGGAATAACAGGTGATCCACCAGCTTGTTGAAAGGTGGAATCAAAAAAACGGGGTCCTTTTAGCGAGAGGGTTGGACGTTGTAAAGAGTAAGATGGAGGTTCTTCCAACTCAAAAAAAAAAAAACAGGTTCTGCTTCCTACAGATCATTGATGCTCTCTGTAAGCTACCTAAACCTGAGAATGTTCCTTGCGCTGGCTTGACTTGTGCGTTCTTGCTCTCCTAGCCAAGATTTGTATATTTTCGGTGTTTTTCTCTACCTACTCCTTCTCCAAATTCCTTCAAGGTGGGTTGAAACTGTGTTATGGGCGAACGTTCTAGTGAACGTTCTCTGCACTGGTTTTTCTGAGGTAGCTGAGGAGGTATCTAAGGGGGCTTTGGAAGTAAAGGTGAAGGTCTCCTGCAACGGGCTTTTTTTCCTGATTTCTTTTTATCTGCAGCTCCGGGAGGTTGACAGATGGTCCTAGAGAAACGGCTTTCTTCCTCTTCGCTTCCTCAAGACTGATGGCCTTCCGTGTTTTTTTTCTCCTTTCAGAAACTTCCGGAAACACCTCCGTATGGTAGGCAGCCGCCGCATGAAGGCGCAAAGTAAGTGAGGAGAATGACTGGGAGGGACTACGCCATGCCATGTTCTTAGGAGTTCTCCTGAGATCTCCCTTCCCCAACCAGGGTTGGACCTCCTGACCCCACTCCCCAGTGGTTTCAGACAAGCTCTCTTAAAGCCCCCCCCCCAAGATGGGAGTGTTTGTGCAAAACATCAATCATGATCCTGGTTGGGGAAAGGAACCTTAGATAGCCCCCTTATTTTTCTTGAAAAAAAGGCAGGGATGGGTGTGATTTTAGCAATATTTTGTTATAATTATTTGCCGTCTCCTTGTCCTTCCCCCAAATCTCTCCTTCTCCTTCTCGTCTATCTCCTTCTCCTTCTTCTTGTCTATCTCCTCCTTGTCTATCTCCTTCTTGTTGTCTTTCTTATCTATCTTCTCCTTCTCCTCCTTCTCATTGTCTATCTTCTTTTTCTCCTCTTCTTCTCCTTCTCCTTGTCTATCTCCTCCTTCTATTTCCTTCTCCTTCTTCTCTTATCTATCTACTCCTTCTTCTCATTGTCTATCTTCTTTTTCTTCTCTTCCTCCTTCTCCTTGTTTATCTCCTTCTCCTTCTTGTCTTCATCTATCTTCTCCTTCTTGTCTATCTCCTTCTCCTTCTTTCCTTATCTATCTTCTCCTCCTCCTCCTCCTTCTCATTGTCTATCTTCTTCTCCTTCTCCTTCTCTTTTCCTCATTGTCTATCTCCTCCTCTTTTCCTTCCAGCTTTTGCCGAGCGGCAGAGAAGTTTCAGCCGGTCCTGGAGCGATCCCACTCCCATTAAGCCTGAAAACCTCAACGATTCACGAGAAAGTACGTCCCCTTTTTCTTGAGCACCCAACCCAAGTGGAAATGGGCCAGAGGGCGGGGGCGGGGGAGAGGGCATCCACGTTCCAATCTAAGCACGTTTCATCCGGGAGGGCAGAGACAGCAAAGGTCGCCTTGACCTTGTAGATGAATTGTGTAGCCCTTGCAAATCTTCCAATGTCCTCCTCGCCGCCTGGGTTTAGTTGCACAATAGCTGGGGTGCTCCAGATCCCTCCACTCCACTGTTGTTCCCAGCCTGTAGCTACTCAAGCGTCTTGCAGGAAGGGTTCAGACAGGTTGCGCAATGTAGGGGGGTGGGTTTTTGGATGTGTGATGGCAGGATCTGCTTATGCTTCATCTTGGACCTTTCCTCAAAGGAGGACCCCGTCCGTATGGGCTACGTCCTCCTCGGTGGCCCGGGTGGGGTTTCTGCCTCTGCAGAGATGGACCTCAAAGCTCTTGTCTTCTTTCGCCCCCTCCCCTTCCTCAGGCCATGAATTTCAGGATTCCTGTTGTGCCATTGACAAAGGGGTCGACTTGAACTGGGAGGTGGAGAAAGAAGTGGAAGCGGCCGCCTGCAGTGGGGAGGACTTCGTTCCCCCCAAAATCATGGTGAGCAGTTCTTGAGGAGCACTCGGGGACCCTCCGGGATGGGAAAAGCCGGTCCCGTCTGCCTCTTGCTTGTCCTGCCCCCAGCTTGTAAAACTCCTGCCAGTTCCAATTCTCTCTTTGCTCTTCTTCTTCCCTCCCTCCTCCTCCTGCTTCCTCTCTTGTTCCAGCTCATTTCCTCCAAGGTGCCCAAAGCCGAGTATGTTCCAACAATTATCCGCTGTGATGACCCATCGATCATCCCCATCCTCTACGTAAGTCTTGGATTGGAGCTGTGGGGGAATGTCCTGTCTGTCTGCCTCTCCTCCTCCTCCTTCTCCTCCTCCTCCTCCTCCTCCTCCTCCTCCTCATCTACCCACCCTCTTATCCCCCACCTCCTATCCCTCTGTCCATCCACACATCACACATCTCTCATCTCTCTCCATTTATCTATCCATCCATCCTTCCATTTCCCGTTTCTGTCCATCTCTCCCTCCCTCTCTGTCTCTCTATCACCCACTCTTCCTTTCATCCCCTATCTTCTGTCCATCCATCCATCCAATTTTCTCTCTCTCTCTCACTATCTAATCTCATCTCTGTGTCTCTGTCTGTCCATCAGTCTACAAATCCCCCCCCTCTCTCTCATCTATCTTCATCCCTCTCTCTCTCTCTATCAATCATCTATCTTCATCCACCTTCCTACTTAGCTATCTCTCCTACTTCATCTCTCTCTCTCTCTCTCTCTCTCTCTCACACACACACACACACACACACACACACACACACACACACCTTCTCTCTATTTTTCCTCCTAATCTCTTTTCTATCATTTCTGCCTTCCTACCTTTTCAGATCTTCTTTCTCCCCTCTAACAATAGACCTTCACCTGTATCCTGTCGCCCTACTCTCTGCCCCATTGCCTCCTCCCAGTTGGTCCCCCATGACCACCACAGCTGTGGCTTTTTAATCCTTGCCTCTTTGTTGTTTTGTTTTGTTTTTCAGGATCATGAACACGCCACCTTCGATGACATCCTGGGTATGTCAGCTTTGGGTCACAAATCACATGAAGTTATGGTGTGAATGTTGTGTTATACGTGTGTCTGGTAGCTTAGCCAAAGATCCTGCTGGTCAGTGTTTACAGGGCGGAAATCTGGATACATGGAAAAGATCCTAGCAAATCCTTCAGGTCGCAGGAAGTCCAACATTCTCTCCAGCAGAAAAAGAGGTGCCCTCTTGTACTTAAAGTTGAGGGAATCTCGGTCTCTCTTTCATTTCCCCTCCCTCAACCTCCTCCCAGGTGAGCAAACCTTGGGTGTCCAGGAGGAGCAAGATGAGCAGACCTTTAGTAACCTCACTCAACCTCCCCTAAGAGGAGCAAAGCCCTAGTAGGCAGGAGATGCCTGGTGGAGAAAGTGGATAGATGGGGGAATACCTCAACTTTCCAATTTCTCCCATAACTGATAGAGCTGAGGGATGGGAGCGCGGCTGACTGGGCGAATCCTGGGAGTTGAAGTCTGGACACCTTAAAAGTTGCCACGGTTGAGAAACATGGCTTGAGAGAGAGAAATCCCCCGGGCTTTTCCCCCTGCTCCTGGGTGTCAAAATAATGGCCACAAATTCACTCATCCTCATGGTGGGGCTGGCCAGAACTGGACACCGTCTTCCACAGCCTTTCTCCTGATTTTCCAGACTTAACAAAATACAGGTATTCCTCGACTTACGAACACAACTGAGACCCAAAATTTCTGTTGCTAAGAAGAGACGTGGGCTAAGTGAGTGTGGCTCCTTTTTCTTCTTGTTGTGAAGTGAACCACTGCAGTTAAATTAATAACACGGCCCTAAAGTGGATCCGGCTTCCCCGTTGACTTTGCTTGTCAGAAAGTCGCAAAATCATGTGACCCCGGAACGCCCGCAACCGTCACAAGTACATGCCAGTTGCCAAGTGTCTGAATATTGATCACGAGACCGTGGGGACGCCCCAATGGTCGTAAGCATGAAAAAGGGTCTCTTTTTTTCAGGGCCGTTGAGCCTTCAAACGGTCACTCAAAGGACTGTCGTAAGTCGAGGTTTATCTATATCCCTCTTGGGGCAACTTTGCCCCCCCGAAGCATCCTCTCCTCCTCCTCGCTTCATCCTTCCTTCTCCCCCATCTGTCCACAGAGGAAATCGAAAAAAAACTCAACATCTACCGGAAGGGCTGCAAAATTTGGAAAATGTTGATTTTTTGCCAGGTGAGTGAGCGGGTGCCAGAACGTCGCCGGTCCCTCCAAAGTCTGGGCTGCAACCGCTGGCTTGGAAAAAAAAACAACCACCTTCCCCACGTGGGGATTGACAGTGACAGAGAGGGCTTATAAAGGGGTCTCCTCCCAAAGCAATTGCATTGCACCCGCTCCCCAGATGTGCGTCATCTCCTTGGCAACCGCCAGCCCTGAATCCCAGCTTTGTAAAAGAAAAAGAAGAAAAAGAAAGTCACAGAAGTTGTGGGCTGTTTCCCTCCCCCCCTTTTTTTTGGCATTTGGGAGTGGCGTTTTCTTTCTTTCTTTCTTTCTTTCTTTCTTTCTTTCTTTCTTTCTTTCTTTCTTTCTTTCTTTCTTTCTTTCTTTCTTTCTTTCTTTCTTTCTTTGATTTATATCAGAGGTCCCCAACCTTTTGGGCACCAGGGATTGGTTCCATGGAGAGAGGGTTTTCCGCGGACTAGAGAGTGTGTAGTTTTGTTTGCTGCCTGCATCACACAGATGGGGCTTTGCTTGTTTGTGCGGACCGGTTGCTGGCATGCTGCGGCCAGCTACCGGTTCATGGACAGGGGTTGGAGACCCCTGATTTATATGACTGCCCATTCAATCTCAGGAACTCTGGGCAATTTAGCAACTTAATACTTTCTCCTTTAGAATCCCTCTTCTCAATGGCAAATGTGGGCTTCAGGGAAGAAATGGGGGGAGATAAAAGAGGTGAAAAGCCCCCGCAAAACTTAAAGTCTTATTCCTCCTCTGAATTCTACAAAGAAAGGGTTTTAAAGTTTCATCCCCACTTGCTCAAAGGGGCTTGGCAGAACCCGGATATTTTCTCCCGTTTAAGGTTGGCCATCTTCTTGTTCTCCCAATGTTCCTCTTCTCCTAGTCACGGGCTGGCTTTCCCTGTCATGGTTGGGATTGCATCTATGGCTTGTCCTATCCCAGACCAATGTCTCTCTAGGTGTTTCGGGAGGTCTTCTCTTTGCCTTGGCCATTTGAGAAGAATGTTGATGTCCTCCAGGCTGATTCCGGAAGACTTTCTCTCTTTACTTCTTGTAGGGAGGTCCGGGCCATTTATACCTCTTGAAGAATAAAGTCGCCACCTTTGCCAAAGTGGAGAAGGAGGAAGACATGATCTAGTGAGTGATGACCTTGTGAGGAATTTGCTGGGCATGCTTTGCAGTTGGGAATCTTTGGGAAATGCCTCCATCTACTCGAACCTTCTTCCATCTTGTTCTGCAGCTTCTGGAAGCGGTTGAGCCATCTGATGAGCAAGCTGAACCCGGTTCCAAATGTCATCCACATCATGGGATGTTATGTCTTGGGGAACCACAATGGGGAGAAGGTACATCCTGTGGTAGTTTGTGAGCAGGTAGAAGAGAACTTGGCCTCCTCTTTCTGAAAACCTCTTTTATGGCTATGTTAACAGAGTTGGAAGGGACCATGGAGTTTATGATTAAGTTGCCCCGATGATTATGTCGGAATTAACTGCCAAGCCCTGTAGTCTTCTAGAGGATGTGGAAAAGGGAACCAATCATTTGTCCTATATCTCAGGAGGCCTCGCAAATCACCCTGGACTTCTTTGCTTTCCAGCTCTTCCAAAACCTAAAGAATCTGATGAGTCCTTGCCGAGTGACCTTCGAATCTCCTCTTGAACTTTCAGCTCAAGGTAAATGAGACGACTAATCTGCCTTCACCTGTGAAAATACACCACTGTTGATTGGTACAAGGAGAGAGAGAGGGAGGGAGAGAAATTGATAGATGGATGGATGGATAGATAGATATGATGGCTAGATAGATGGATAGATAGATAGATAGATAGATAGATAGATAGATAGATAGATAGATAGATAGATAGATATAGATTGGATGGATGGATGGATGAATAGATGGATGGAATGATGGATGGATAGATGGATAGAGATAGATAGATAGATAGATAGATAGATAGATAGATAGATAGATAGATGATAGATAGATAGGATGAATGGTTGGATGATTGGATGGATGGATGGATGGTTGGATGGATGGATGGATAGATAAATAGATGAATGGATGGATGGATAGATGGATAGATAGATGAGATAGATGATAGATAGATAGATAGATAGATAGATAGATAGATAGATAGATGGATGGATGGATAGATGGATAGATAGATAGATGGAAAGATAGATAGATAGATAGATAGATAGATAGATAGATAGATAGATAGATAGATAGATAGATAACAGACAGACATTCAAATGTCCCATCCCAGGAAGACAATCCTGGCATCTTCTTCTAACGAGGTTCTAGCTCTGGATATTCTGGGCATCTGACCTGACTTTCCCTCCCCCTTGCAGGAAAGGAAATGATCGAGACTTATTTTGACTTCCGTCTCTACCGAGTCTGGAAGACCCGCCAGCATTCCAAGCTGCTCGATTACGATGACATTTTATGATCGCCGCCAGGACAGGCCAGGAGGAATTTCACGGGTGTCCTGAGCAGGCGGGCGTCGCAGAGTGGGAGACCTTTTTTTCACGGCCGCCAGGAGGCCGCGAGAGGCACCGGAGAAGCCATTGGGATGTCGACGTTCAAGAGGTCCGCTCGGCGGCTTGAGGCACAAGATGGACGGAGCACTGCTGAGGGAGGAAAGGGGGTAGGTCTTCAAGGACCGAGGTCGCTTAGGTCGCAAGAGGCCCCACGCCATGACAAGTTCTTCTCAGAAGACATTTGAAGCTCAGGTTTCCTATAGAGACTTTCAACCCATCATCTAGTCTATCTCTACTTCACTCTCATGGAAGGTCAAGAACTTCTTTGGTTCACTCTTGGAGATGATCCATCATCTTGTCTATCTCTACTTTGTTGTCATGGAAGGTCAAGAACCACCTTGGTTCACTCTTGGAGAGGACCCATCAAACCATTGAGGCGTTTGAAGAAAGCCAGACCCTTTAAAAAAAGAAGAAATCTCATCCATTTTAAGAACAGGTGTGAATTCTGTCTCTTTCACACACGCATCCAAACCCATCTCCAGAAGTGCAATTTTCTTTCTTTCTTTCTTTTTACAAGCAGAGGAAATATTTAACCAGCTGTTGCCGTACCACGCACGCCGAATATCTGGCAGATGAGATATTTTGGAGTCTGCTTGAGAATATAGTTGACATCGTAATATACCTTTATAGATCTGTCTCTCCACCTCTATATATTTATACTGGTGGGTAGCTAAGAGATAAACAGCCATTCAGGTTTTCTGCATCTGGCTGCAGACATTTGACTTGGATTCCACCAAAACCGTGGAGGGACACTTCAACTGTAGAACGTCCCTCCAGGACAGACCTCAATCTTATTTTATTTTACATATATATTTTTTTCAATTTAAGGAGCTGCTTCCTTAATATAGTTTGGCAAAAGCCGAGTTTTTGCCATCGGTTATCTGCCGATAGGGCTGAGGTGGACCTCGGCCGGTTTATATATATATAGATATATAAATAGATATTAATACCAATAGTTTGCAGATTAGAAACCAATAGCCATGTTTAAAAGAGTCGCTCACTGCAGCTCACTCTCTGGGTTGGTTCGTTTTGGGGACGATGGGCTGCCGTGTTGAGTTGACGAACGCCTACTGTAGCAGTTTGATTTCCGAGGGTGGAGATGGCAGAAAAAAAACCCTCAGTATTCTGTAGCATTGAATCTTTCAACGCCTCCACCCTCTCTTTCTGCTTTGTTCCAGGGAAAAATCTGGGCCAAAACGGTTTCTGAGCGGACTTCATCCTAGTTTTTCTTCGTTCCCTGCGGGTGACTGTACATTTAAATAATCCGAGATTTCACTCTGGGGAGAATTGGCTGGGAAAGGAATAGTTTGGCTTTATTAAATGGGGGGGGGGAAGGGGAGTTGAGCAGCTAAGAAAGTTGATATGCTCTGGAGATATAGTGATTTTTTTTCCAGGATGGTACTTGGGGTCTTCAGCAGGGATGAATTGCTGACTTGTCTCCGTCCGTCTGAAGCTCTGGAGAAAAATAGAGAAAAGGAAGAAAGTAGTAATTAGTATTTTCTAAATTATTTCTTTGGCTTTAACAGCTCCGCGAAAGGAAGCGTTCAAACCAAAGTGCTTTTTCAAACTGGTTTTGTTTTTCCTTGAAGACTTTTCGCTTCTCATCCAAGAAGCTTCTTCAGTTCTGACTCAGAAGCAAAACATCTTCAGGGAAAAAACAGGTGCTTTTGGGGGGGAAAAAGCAGCTTTTTGGGTCAAGGATGACTTAGAATCCCCACGGACAAAGCCTTCAACGTGGTTTTCCCCCTCTATTTATCCTTTCTGGAGGGTACCTGGTGGCTGGCATTTAAACTCCAATCTTCATCACATTCTCCAGCAGCAGTTAAAGAGATATAATTAGACAGCACAGGTGACCTTGCCAGAGAACAGGGCGAAAATTCAACCCCAGCTTTCCCCCCCCCCTCCAAGCAGGTCTTTTAAATCCTGAATTTTCCAGTTTTTTCATTCGGAAAAACGTCGCCTAGCTCTCCCCAAATGCAGAGGACGCCTGATAATTTCTCACTCCTGGTGGATCGATCCAAATATGGCATCGGTGCCACCTGGAGAAAAAAATATCAACCAGGCAACCTTTTAACAGAACCGGCTATTCTGCGCTGGGCAATTTTAACCCTTTATTCCTTGCTCTAGCCTCGTGAGGATCAGGCTGGTTTTGCTAATTGTGAAATCAGGAGAGGGAGAATGGTGTACGAGGCTGTGACTTTCTTGATTTTTATTTTCTTATTGAGGGTTGTGTGCCTCTGTTTTTTGTGTGCCTATCACACTTCCCCCCCCCCACAGTGTGCAAAAACTACCGCAGCCGTTCGTCCGTGTAGAATCGTGTCCTGCCTTATTTTTTATTATTTTTTTTGTGTGTGTGTGTGTTTTGCATGCTGAGGGTTTTCTTTCTTTCCTGTGGGTGGGGGGATATGTACACCCCTGCGGGCAGTAGGACGCGCCCTTGGCCAAGCCGTGGTTTGGTAGATTAGACAGCCCATATGCATGATGGCGGTCTGATCTATGCAACCAGGGCAGAATAAACCGAAGTAGCCTCCTTATGTGGGTAAGAAATCATCAAATGATCTGTCGGTGCAGCCGTTCCTTACTACACGCCTCCAGCCTTTCGGAGTCTCCCCTCAACTGCTCTTGAACAAGGAGGCTCGGTCCCAGGCACCGAGCCTATCCATACAGGTAGTCCTCAACTTACGACCACGATTGAGCCCAAAAGTCTGCTGCTACGTGAAGACAAGTTGTTAAGTTAAGTTGTTTGCCCCCTTTTACGCCCTTTCTCGCCCTTTCTCGCCCCAGCTGTTAAGTAGATCGCTGCAGTTGTTAAGTAGGTAACACGGCCGTTAAGCGAATTTGGCTTCCTGGTCCAAAGGTTGCATAAAGGGGAATCACATGGCCTTGGGACACTGCAAACCCGTCGTAAATAGGAACCAGTTGCCAAGAGTCTGAATTTTGATCACGTGACCACAGGGAACGCTGCAATGGTTGTAAGCGTGCGAAACAGACGTAAATCGCTTCTCCCAGGGCTGTTGTAATGCTGGATGGTCGCTAAACGAACTGTCATAAGTCGAGGACTGCCTGTATTTCTCTCCATCCCAGGTACTGTCAATCCCACACACACACTCCAAGTCTATCAATATCTCCCCCCCCCAGATTTTAAAATCTATTTACAGGGCCATTGCAACCTCTTTTGACAATCCTACAGGTCATCAATTCTCCTGGGAATTTAGAATAGGAAAAGGAAATTAGGTGCCTTTTTTCCACCTTACACCATCAATCTTGAGGAAGCAAAGCTGATTCTTCTTCTCTCCTCCCCAGTGTCCTTATTCCACTCAAGAGCTGCTACTAGCAAGTCTCTCCTTACATTTTTTTAAGCCAAAACTAAGTCAGAGCCACTGAGGCTTGTCTTGGAGGTGATTTTATTTTTATGTCCCTCCGTCTTCCCTGGGACATAAAAGGTATATAGAAAGAGTTTCTCTCCCAGATTCCCCTTTACTGTCCTTTTCTGTCTCTGGCTTGACCCCCTTGGTGAACGTTTGGGAGGAATGAGTAATTAAAAGACAGAGATAATACAGCGATTTACACCGATGGGCACATCCACCCTCAAAAGCATATGCTATTTTTTTTTTCTTTGCTTGTCTGAAAGAGAAGAGTTTGGTCTACATTGCTTAAGAGCACATAGAATCATAGGACTGAAAGGGATCTTTGAGGTCTTCTAGTCCAACCCCCTGCTCAAGGCAGGAGACTTGTACCATCCCAGTCAAACGGTTCTCCAGTCTATTTTTGCAAGCAATGGAGTACCCACAACTCCGGGAGGCAAGCTATTCCACTGATTAATTATTCTCGTTATCAGAAAATTTCTCCTTAGTTCCAGGTCGCTTCTCTCCGTGATTAGTTTTCGTCCATTACTTCTTGCCCTGCCTTCTGGTGCTTCGGAGGAGAAGAGATTGGACAGCCATTTGTCTGAAACTGAATAGGGTCTCCTGCCCGAGCGGGGGGGGGGGGGTTGGACTAGAAGACCTCCAGAGTCCCTTCCAACTCTGTTATTCTCCAAAGCACCTGAAGGCAGGACAAGAAGCAACGGATGGGAACCGACCAAAGAGAGAAGCAACCTGGAATTCAGGAGAAACTTCCTAACGGGGAGAACAATTAACCAGTGGAACAGCTTGCCACCAGAAGTGGTGGGTGCTCCAACACCGGAGCTTTTCAAGAAGAGATTTGGACAGCCACTTGTCTGAAATGGTAAAGGATCTCCTGTTTGAGCAGGGGGTTGGACTAGAAGACCTCCAAGGTCCCTTCCAGCTCTATTTTGATTGATTAATTGATTAGTGGAAGGAATGTCAAGATCTCAGCAAGATCGGCTTGCAATCCTGGGGGTCAGTGACGCTGGCCAAAGTTTGAGAATGTGGCTGATTTGTGCAAAGGGTGTGGCACCCTTTCTTTGATCCCTTCTGGGCTAGCAACCCGGATGTGAAACTAATAAGTCAACAGAAAAAAAGATGTGATGCATTCATTGTTTTCTGTTAGTTTGCAGAGTAAAGCTTTCCTTGACATAGGAAGCTAATGCCTTTCTGGGTGGTCTATATTCTTATTTCCTTGGTTCTAAGGCCATTAGCTGCAGGAGTAGCTACAACGGATTTCTCTTTTTAAACCTTTCTCTCTTTTCCTCTGCCTGATTAGTAAAACCTTTCTGCTACATTTGAGCTGATCGTTAATCTCTTTTTTTAAAAAATTCAGGCATTGCCTGATGCTGATGGAATCTTAAGGGCTTTTATAGAGAGCAACTATGTGTGTGAGCTTTCCATCTTGATAACGGGGAAGCAAATGCTTCATATATTCGCATAGAAGAATTTAGTAGCTCCCAACTGTGCGATAGAAACAAAATTCTATCAAGTGTGAATTAAAATACCTTCTGGATAATCAGATCTTCAGTTAGGTTCTCTCCAACTAGAGAAAGCTATGGAAATGGGCAAGGTCACTTTGAAGTCAGTCCTCTTCTAGTAAGATTGTTTCAGGACACACTTTTATCTCCTGATGCGTGGTGACATTGTTGTCCAGGGTCCAGCCCAGAAGACTCTCCTAAGCAGGGATTTATTTGGGTCCCTTCGCCCCAACACCAGCTTCCAAGTGGTAGCAGCACCTAGCCAAACTTGCTTGGTCTCAAAAGGTCAGCTCTTGATCCCACCTGGATGAGATCCTTCCCAGGAAACGTTAAGGTTGTAGGTTAGGAAGTGAGGACGCCTCGTCCCAATGGGTACCAGATGCCCCGCAAACCTGGTGACTCGGTTAAAGCCATGGTGTGAACTTGGGGCAGCGCTCAAAGCCCTGTGGCTTTCGACTCTTGAGGTTCACCATCTCCACAAGCACTAAATGTGTGGAACCATCTGGAATTAGAAGATGCCATTTGGACCTTCTGGGCTCTAACATCGGGAGAGACCCCTTGCTAAATCGCACCCCTTCAGACACTTGCTGTACGTTGAGTGTTGAATCTTCCAACGCCGTCTAGGGTCACTATATTATGTGCTCATCATGGAGGATAGGAAGATGTTCTACCCACACCAAACCTTCTTGTGGTGGTCTGCGAATATTATGATCTTGTATGAAGGCATCCTAGCTCACAAATCCTGGTCTATAGCAATAAATATTGGGGAACTACGAGGTCAATGATGTATTTCTCCATAGTCATTTGGTCCCCAGGTGCAAGTGTGTTTTGTAACAAGGCTTTGGTGTCTGGTTCAGAGGTAATCCTTTCTGAGATATGGACTCAGCGTCATTGTAATGGGTGGTTTGGGCAGAAATCTGAAATTAGGGCAGAAACAAGGTTAAATTTGGCCCCTA